ATTTTTTATTGTTTTCTTATTTGAGTATCTAATATTTGATTTTTTTTTCTATTTGAGTATCCAATATTTACTAATATAGCAATCAATACATTAACTTACAAAATATTTTTTTTTAATTCAAAAGTTTTAACTTTAGATCATCTAAACAATTCGATTTCATTCAGCTACAATAATTAATTTTTTTTTTAATTCTTATCATTTATTTTTATATAAAAATTTTATAATTTTTTTCTCAATAAATCAAAATGAGAGCTATTTTTTTTTACATGTCAATTAAAAATTATCGTATATTAATAAATTCCAATCCTTTTAGTATTTTTCAATCTCGATTGATTAAGAAAACTTAAATAAAAAATCAAATGTTTGACAATCAAATAGATAGAATAAAAAAATTAAATACTCAAATTAAAAATAATTATAAATTAAGCATTCAAATTGTAGTTTTCTTTTAACATGTATTACACATTTTATGTTTTAAGATTTTATAAAACAATAAAAACTCTTCATGATATAATAATGTACGATTAATGCATCTTACTTTTTCTAGCCGATGAGGTAGCTCATCCAATCTTATCGAATGCATTGAATTTGGATAAGATTTTGAGGAGAAGGCAGTTGGGCAACTTAAATGTGAATTTCATGACTTATTATTGCTTCTACCTAAAAAATCATACACCAAAGCGGCGCAATTTCTTTGTAGTATATATCCATTTCCTATCTGTAATGGTCAAAAATAAATAATAAAAGATCACATTCCAAATCCTTAATTTTCTTGCTTAATAAAACTATTTCTATACCTGAAAATTTATTATCTAAAATTAAAAGCAAATTTAGCCTAACAATTATATAGCCGGAAGGTTTTTTTAAAGTGAAGTAAGATTTGAATTTTAGCGATTATAATTTTATTTGATGATTATGTAACGAGAAAAAAACAACTTGTTGTGTAGTCCAAAACCTATAGACCTTCCGATGAGTAAATTTATAAATTAGTCCCTTTAATCATTAATTTAAAGAAATGAATCAATTAGTATCCTTTGTTTCAAAACATAATCATTTAATCTTTTACATTTTAATTCCACTAATAACTTAGTTATTTCATCAGCTTTTATTAAATTAATGAATTTTGTTTCCAAATTGTCATTTCTTTGATTTTTTATCGAAGAAAGAGAAAGAGAGTATGTGAAGAAAAGAAATACAACATTAAAAGAAGGATAATTTTAAAAAAAATACTAATCTAATAAAAAATAAATTATTAAATTATTAATGGAATTAAAACACAAATGATTAGTTTTTAAAACTAAAAAGACTAATTAATTAATTTATTTTTTGCAACAAGAGGAACTAATTTATAATTACTCAATTATAAAATGCTTTGTTTTACAAAATTACACTCCTTTCGTTCTAAAAAGTTGTCTCCATTCTATTTATATATTTTTTAAAATATTTATTTAATTAAAATTATATATATTAAAAAATATTTTTAATTAAAATCTAATGTATAAGAATTTTTATAGAGTACAATCTTGTTCTGAAACAAAAAAGAGCAATAAAATTAAACTCTAATTAATCCATTATTTGAAATCAATACAATGAAGTCTTGAAGGAGTAAACTATAAATTAATCTCTCTAGTTTTTTTTTAAAAAAAAATTAAATAATTCTTCTAGTTTAATAACTAGCTAGTTAATCCTTATATTTTTAAATCTATTTGTAACTTAATCACTTTCATTCTTTTTTTTAATTATTATTTTAATAAATAAAAAAATAAGTAAAAAAATAAAATTATTGACAAAAAAAAGATTTTTTTTAAAAATAAATTAACTATGGTCAATACTGATTAAGAGATTAATTAATTAATTTTTAAAACAAAAGAACTGTTTAGTTCATTTTGCAAAACTATAGGAACTAATTTATAATTTATTTAGTCTGGAAGATTAAAAATAAATAATAAATAAATACAATCATGTCTTGGGCTGATCTTCAGTTCCACATATCTTCTAGTTTCGGTCCAATAGCCAAAATTCTTCGGCCATGCGAATGGTCTCTCGTTCATATAATATTGAGATCCGCAAATGCGATTATGTTTTTTTTTTTTTTTTTTTTTAAAAAAAAACAATTTTAAGATGCATTCCTACTGAGTGTTTAGGAAAAAAGATTAAAAAAAAAAACTAGATTATTGATTTACGAATTCTTTTTTTTTTTTCAATTCAAGTGTTTTGATTTTTTTTTATTTCATTATTCGATTTTTTATTTTATTTCAAGTGTTAGATTTATATTGATGTGACCGTTAAATTGATATATCGACATATTGATATATCCGCATATGAGTATGAACATTTCACTTTATTTTCAACTGAGTGTCTGCAATTTTTTCTCTATTTAAATGTATGCACTTTAATGTTTTTTTTTCCTGCTTATTTGAGTGTATATAGTTCTAAAAATTTAACGATAATTGCTATTAATTTTGAAATCTATTGAATATCTATTTTACAATATTATATAAGCTATATTTTGACCAAGATAAATAAAATTAAAAATATATATATATATATATTCAATTTAAAAGAAAATAAGAATAAAATAAGACTTGTCAAAAAAAAAAAAAAACTCAATTTCTTCCACTTTCTAACAAACCAAACAAATTTCCAAGGCTAATTTTAAAAGGAAAAAAATTAGCAAATTTATCATACAAGAAAACTAATTTTTTTTTATATAATTTTATATATTCCAATTTCTTAATAAAATCTTTAATCTCTCACATGCACACACATTTGTATATTTCCATATCAATTCCATCAAAACCATACAATTTTTATAGTTATTTTATTGATTATTGATTATTTATTTTTATTCCTAATTAGTTACCATCAATACAGATTTATTTTTCAACACCAAGTAACAGCAGATGAAAGGGCTAAGCTGTTACTTTAAGTTAAGGGATTTATGAATTAAGATCTCCATAATAGTCCTTGATGAAATGTTTTCAGGTAGCTAGATTTCAATGTCTTTGAAACATTGGGAATATGGAGAGTCCTCGATTATCCTGCACGTTCAGTTGGCCAAGGCCTGTGGAAATTGATTGGTGACAGATGAGGCAATAGAAATGTGGCTTATAAGCGTTTGCGATGGTAATGGACAGAACTAAAACGTAATCAATATTTAATGTAACGTAGCAAGATTTCAATCTGACTTTAAGCCTTAGCAGAATCTGTTGTGACACAAGGATGATGAACAAGACAGACTCTGATGTAACTTTGCATCTCAAACTAGCAAACTAGTTAAAGTGGTGAAGGAATGTAGGAAATAACTGGTGGCTTCGCAATTTTTCTTTGTATTGCTTTCATGATGCTCTGTTAGTTACTTTCATAATTGATTCCTTGAAACTTGATTCTCGAATACTTTTAATCAGATGATTCATTAGGAATGGCAACCCTAGTCTACGGGGCACTGTTTCCCCTGGCTGGAAATTCACTGGTGGCAACACAATGTAATGACCTAATGGAAGAAAATAAATATCGTTGATCAGAAATTTAGATGTTGATTTATTACAATCTATTGAATTGTGTATAAATACTAGGAAATAGGCTTCAAATTCTGTTGATTTAAAGAATGCTGAAAATTAGAATAAACTTGAGATAATATCTCATAGACTTTTATTAATCAAAGAAAGCCGACATTTCTTTTTACCTCTAAGTCATATATAAATAAAAAATTCAGTCAAAATCCTAAAACAATTCGAAAGGAAAACAAATTCAAAAAATTCAAAAAAATAGAAAAATCTTGAAAAATAATAAAACTCAATTTTGAGGGCCTAAATAATGTTTTTTTTGGCCAAAATCACCATACATCATGGCATAGCGATGAGTTTGACTCGTTGAACCTTTTAGCATCGAACTAAGTTAAAAAAGCTTCAAAATTTGGCTGATAGTTTTTTTTTTTTTTAATTTTTATCACGTTCATACCGTTTTATAACTTTCAAGACTCGTTGGTCTGCATCATGTAAACTTGTGGCTGCAGGCATGGCCATTTTTTCAGTTTTATCTCTAATTCTTGGATTAAATGGCTAGTGGTATTCAGTACTTCAACATCAGCTGCAGTTTTATGTATGACTTGGAGGCTGAAAAGCGTTTTCTGTCATTCATTGAATCAATAGAATTTTGAAACTTATTTTCTGATATTTGCGTGCAATAATAGACAGGCATCTAGAATTCGTGTGTGGATTCTCATATCAAAGATGTTTATTTTATTCTTGTAACCTTCCTCTACGTCAACAGGGCATCTATTTCCCCTGCTGGAAATTCACTGGTGGCAAAACAATGTAAACTTGTGGCTGCAGGCATGGCCTTTTTTTGGAATTGGTAAGAGTGCTGCAGTCATGAAAGGGGTTAAGTCACAGTAGGCTAATTGTTGGGTTAAATGGCTAGTGGTATTCAATACTTCAACATCAGCCACAGTTTTAATCCAAAGTTAGATGAATTTTTTGTGTCAGGATGTCAAACAAGAGAGAGGAAAATAAAAAAACTCTTGTAGGTATGAGTGTATTGCAGAAAATTGGCAACGAAATTGAGATTTCAGTCTTAATATCCTCAATATACATTGCTCTTTTACTCTTTGTTCTTCGTATAGTTCAGAGAAAAAGCTTGCTCAAGTCGTTGGCCATGTCCGATTCCCAGATGAAGATTTCAGGAACAACTCAGTCAGAACACTGAAAATTCTTAATTTCCTGCACTGTAAAATGAAATGTAGTTGCAGGTTGTAAAATCTTCAAAATTTCACATAAACCATCAACTCTTCTGCATGGATTACTCATAGCCAGAGAGAAAACTAGAACATTAAAAAACAACACAACTTTATTCCATAAGGATAAGCACACTATACACCAAACCAGAAAATCATCGAAGACACAAACTTGGAAAGCAAAAGCACACAAGACCCTTAATTTTACGAAACTGTGCTAGAAAACCAGCAAACTAGACATCAACCCTCTTCAAACCAGCATAGGCTAATATCGTGACGGAGCAGACGCAGGACTAACAAGAGCAGAGGATGAAGGAGAAGCATCGCAATAGCCTCTAAGTATGTTTCCTTCCTCATCAGTGAAGCCAAGAGAAGTAAACATGGCTGGCCAGCATTTATGAGTTATGATATGGATAGCACGACAACAGTCAGGACCAATATCAGCTTGGCCATTCGTGAAATATAAGACAATCTCGTTTATGCAAGATTTTATCTCCACGAGTGCATTAAAGCACTCAACTAGACTGCCTTCATCTTCGATTCTTGACGAAACTCCAGGTTTCTTAATGAGAATGTCTCTACTTGCAGTTGCAGTATTGCTTGAGATCAGCAATGTGAGGGACACAAAGAGAGCAAGATTCTTGAAGGCTGCCATGCTTAAAAGTTTTTGTTTGTGTAAGAAACGAGGAATGGAGAGAGATCGATGCTTTGTTTTGAGGATTTGTGGGGTATTTATAGTTCGTACGTAGAGAGTTGGTGAGGAAGACGAGAGGGCTTGCTAGAAATAAAGATGCGATTAGTGGTATAATTAATTTTTGTTTAATTGTCCTAATCCAAATAGTTTTAAGGGAAGATGATGGGTTTCTTGAACGGTAATTGATTAATTAGGAAAAATTATGATCTATTTACTCCTTTATGCAAATACTAGCTGGTGTGCATGTGTCCTTTTCGTCTTTGAACCTTTTTTTTTTTAAAAAAAAATTTCGAGGTTTAATAACTAGAAAAATTAAATAATAATAATAATAGAAAATAAATTGGTGTGTTAATGAAATAATAAATATTTATTTTCTATTTTCATTATGTACGTTATTCAATTCATCATTAAATATAAAAAATTAAATGAGTTATACAATTTATTTAATTATTTATGTATTTTTTAATAATTCATTTAAATAAATTTGATTATTTATTTTTTTATGTATAAGTATTTTATAGAGATCGAGAGATTATTTAGAGACGAAGGTTATTAATTAAGTTAGAATTAATGTCAAGTTTTATGTAAACTTAGAAAAACAACTTTTTAAATTAAATTTCTCATTAAAGCTTATAGCCACATTATTTCTTTCTGGGCTGGGCCTAGTTCTTAGTGGGCCTAAATTTGCAAATGCTAAATTGAAGTCTATATTACAAAGTCTCTAACGCCTTCACTTATTCCATTTCTCCTGTCATCAGACGACAAAGCTTTCGTTCCCTTCCTTCCCTTCCCTTTCCCGCCCTGGAAAAAACAGCAGAATCAAGAGAGAAAGAGAGAGATGAGCGACTTGTCGGAACTTCCGAGGAAGGAGGCGAGCGTGCTGAAAGGCCACGAAGGAGCAGTCCTAGCAGCAAGATTCAACGGCGACGGAAATTATTGCCTGAGTTGCGGCAAAGACCGTACCATTCGTCTTTGGAATCCTCACCGTGGAATCCACATCAAAACCTACAAATCTCACGGTCGTGAAGTTCGTGATGTCCATGTCACCTCGTAAGATAGATTAATTCTACTTATTTTTTGGTTTAATTAATAATATTGGAATTGTTGTTTTGATTTTAATTTTTTTACTTTTTTGGTTTAAAGGGATAATTCGAAATTAGTTTCTTGCGGAGGAGACCGACAAGTTTTCTACTGGGATGTGGCTACTGGTCGTGTAATTCGGAAATTCCGTGGACATGATAGTGAGGTAATGTGTTTTGTTTTGTTTTTTAATGTTGTTTAGTGATCATTGGAACTGCATTTTGTTTTTGAGGTGTAGAAAATCCCGCATGTTATGTGAGTTTGCTCATCATGTTATTATCTGGGTTCGAATCCAAGTGGAGATTGCAAGAAATAATTTCTTGTAAATGTATCCGGCCGGGTGTGGATAGTATGTCTAAAACTCGACTAGGGAGGGAGGATTGTTCAGTCATTAAAAATAGGATTTCAAATTTCGATACCTGTATTTGGTTTTGTTTAGATCAATGTATGATTGTGAAAATTTAACTGGACAAGGCCATAATATTCAGGGGATGTGTGTGTTATTTCTTCTGATATATTTGTGTTTGTGTTGTTTTGTTTTAGGTGAATGCTGTGAAATTTAATGAGTATGCGTCGGTTGTAGTATCGGCAGGGTATGATCAATCCTTGCGTGCTTGGGATTGCAGATCTCACAGTACGGAGCCAATTCAGGTGTTTTTTTTTTTTTTTTTTTTTTGCTTCTTTTTGGAAAGTTTGATTCTGGATTCTCTTAAATTTGTGAACTTGATAAATTTTTAAAATTTTTAAGTTGATTTTTTGCAGATTATTGATACATTTTCGGACAGTGTAATGTCTGTGTGTTTGACGAAAACTGAAATCATTGCTGGAAGTGTTGATGGTACGGTTAGAACATTTGACATTCGTATTGGTAGGTATGTATTAGTATTGCGATGAGATAAGTTCGCTATTGTTTAATGGTTATCATTGCGATAATGATGTTGGTATTTTGCATTATTCGTGTAGAGAAATATCCGATAACTTGGGGCAACCTGTCAACTGTATCTCCATGTCAAATGATGGTAACTGCATATTAGCAAGTTGCTTGGATTCTACTTTACGCCTTTTGGACAGGTGATTTCTTATGCTTGCCACTTTCAAACCCAGAAGCATACTGAATAAAACTGGCTAAAGTTGGTGAAACACCAACACAATTAATCTCACTCTTAGAAGGATCGCATTTGGGCCCAGACAAGGCATAGAAGTTCTGCAAAATAGTAATAACCGTGTGCACAGAGCTCTTTGAATTCTTATGCTTCTATGAATAATTCTCTTAGTTTTGTTTGTCTGGGGTTTGTCTGCCTCATCTTATGAGTTCCTGATGGCAGATCGGCAGGTGAGCTTTTGCAAGAGTATAAAGGCCATACATGTAAGGTTAGTTTGCCAAGCTTCTTTCTGGCAAAAACACTTGGTCTTGATGAATCTAGTTTACAAGTTGGCTATTTTGAGATCACAACAATAAGTTGAAATTGCTTCGTCAATGTTTCAAGTTTCCATTTTCAATTGTTCTTGAGTTTGAATTTGTCTTTTTCATTTTTTTCCTTCTGCATCAGTCATACAAGTTGGATTGCTGCCTAACCAACACTGATGCCCATGTTGCCGGTGGGTCAGAGGATGGCTACATTTACTTTTGGGATCTTGTGGATGCATCTGTGGTGTCACGTTTTCGTGCGCATTCCTCAGTGGTAAAATTGTTTAGCATATATATCTAATAACTGTTGCATATCGCTGCTTGTTCTGACTTCTATTCTTAAAAACATTTAGTTTGCTTATCAAAATTATTTAAATTACATGTTCGTGGTTACCGATTTGACAAAATTTGTCTGGTTATAGCCAATTTTGTCATACTTCATCACGTGGAATTGCGTATACACTGTTAGTCTTTTGTAACGTTCCAAACCATATGCAAGCCATATTCTGAATTGGTCTACCCAATTTTACCTGTTTTCCTGATTGAATCTTTGATTCTTAGCATAGCGAGTTTCTGAATCTTTAACTTTTCAATTTTTGTTGAATTGACCTTTTGGTGATCTGTCCTTAACATCAGAAAGCTACAACTAACTCCTCAAACCCTTATATAATACGTAGTTGCTGGCATGAACTATTGAGTGTTATTAGATGGAAATCTTATTTCTGCTGTAATTTGTCCATAATCAAATACAATGGGTTCGATGCTGCATACTACAACTAGGATTAGCACTTGTAGAAAGGAATTGCTATTACATAATGCCTGATTTATAGGTTGCTGCTAGAGGGGAATTCATATCTTTCAGTTGATGATTTTGTGGTTGGTTTTTGGCAGGTAACAAGTGTGAGTTACCATCCAACTGACAACTGCATGATAAGCGCCTCCGTCGATGGCACAATTCGGGTTTGGAAGACGTGAGAAAGAAGCAATCTTGTTTTCTTGACATCAAGCTGCAATTTTTGCCATTTACTTTAAACATGAAGAAGAACCTCTAAAAGGTCCAACCAAATCACCCACTCCTATATAGAGATTCACTTGTTGCCATATCAATTCTAATTTTTCTTAGAATTTTGTACCCCCTGCCTTAAATTATTCTCGAACACAGGTATTGTATTGTGTATCACGGGTTCAATTTAAATGTAGTGGAAACTTACTTTCTAGCGTCATCAACTCATACTTGTTTACCCCACTGTTCTTGAGCTAGAGTATATCATGCCCTATGTTTACCTTTAATGTGTACCAAACAATAGATAGAATAACTATTTGTCTAAGGATGACAATGAATCCGGTATAAAATAAGGACTCATTTTATCTGATCTAATAAATATTCATTAAAAATGCCTAATAGATAAGGGTAAAAAAATATATATCCACTAATATGATTTCACGGTATAGATGTTTATTCTTTATTCTATTAATATCTATTAATTTATTTAAATTTTTTATTAACATGTAGAGATTTAATTATATAGAGTTTAAAAATTAAGGATCAAAATATTTTTTTTCAAAAACTTTGAATACCAAAAAAAACTTATAAATAAATGACTAAAATGCAATAATAATAATAATAAATTTTAAGAATCAAGAAAACTTTTCTTAAAAGTTATAGGGATTAAAATAAATATTTTTGATAAATTAAATTTAGTAGATATTTAATGGGTATCAAATAGACAGGTAAACTAGTATAGGTCCTTCATGGCTAGGTAAAGATTTATATTGTGATTTCTTAATAGATAATGGGTAATGTATTTTTTTGATGAATAGGGTAAAAAATTAAATTAATTGACTCGATTATCCGTCCATTGTTATCCCTAATTTATCCAATGTTTTTCAACGTACCAAAAGCAAACTTAACTCTCTCTCTCTCTCTCTCTCTCACTACATATATATATTTGAAATCGAAGCACTCTTCAATATTTCTTATTCTTTTTTTTTTTTTTGGGATAAAAATATGATTTTCATAGAGAAATCAAAGAGGAAACATCAGTAAAGACTACATCCTATAAAAAGTGGGGATGCTCAACAAATATGTGCTCATTCGGATCGAATCTAGCTAAATTAGCTAGTTTATGAGCAATTTTATTGTTTACACGTTTAACATGGAAAAAAAAAGTAGAAAAAAGACTAACTAGAGTTTTGATATAAAAAATAATAGAAAAAGTAGAATTGTACGTATCTGATGTTTGAGGCTAGCAGAATCTAATGTAAAATGGTGCGTTTCAAAAAATCATTTAAGAATGGCAAAAGAAGCATTCATATTTCATTGTTAGGGTTTTTTCTTTTATTGTCGTTTTATTAAGATCCAAATCGTCTAATCTATGATTTTTAGCCCAAGCCTTATTTTGACGTTTGGGAGGAACATTGAATATTTCACTTTATATAAATTAAATAGATCAGCTAAGACACCTTGTGGCTGTAGTTTAGTGGTAAGAATTCCACGTTGTGGCCGTGGAGACCTGGGCTCGAATCCCAGCAGCCACAAATTTTTCCGACCTTGACCTTGTTGCTATCATCCTTAGTTCACTGGTTCGAATCCGGAAGGTCGGATTTTTATTTTTCTATTTTTGGCGCAAGGGCAAATCATGAAGGAAACGATACCTGACATGTCTTTGTCTTCGTATTTTCTATATCTCTCTCTCTCTCTTATTTTATTTTATTCTTCGACATATCTCTAGTCTAAAAACTTAGATTAATCATTTACTATTCTATTAAATGTATCAAATAAAGATAATTATTCGGAGAGTCTTTTACATATATAAGATCATGAATGAAACACGATATCCGACATATCTTGATCTTTTTATTTTCTCTCTTTCTAAAGTATCTCTTATCTAAAGACTCTCGTATTAATCTTTTACTATTCTATTAGGAGTATAAAATAAAGATAATTATTCAAAGAGTTTTTTATATACATAAGAATTCAAATTCGATATCACCTATTTAAACAATTAGAATTTATTTTATTCAAATCGTCTTATTCTCTTTTTTCTCAGTAAATTGTGTTGTCTGAGCTCAAAGACACCTGCCCTACCTCACCCTTTAGGGCCAACAAGCCATGAAAAGTGAAAAATGATGCGTCTCGCTCACCTGCTTCTCTCTGCTTTGTTTTTTTTTTTTTCTTATTCTCTTCCATGGTTCCCTAGCTCAACAATCTCATAATACAAATAGCTACAAAGATGAGCGCCAATCACCAATTTAAGGAAGGCATTACCATTAATCATGAAAAAGAGACTGAGAAGTAACACAATGCTGATAAAAAAATTGCAACTTTGCATGCCTTTTGGCTTGTAACTAATAGGCTTCAAGCCTTCGACTAGGTTTGTAATCGTAGCCAAGTAGTTATGGAGACCTCTCGTCTTTTTCGTTGTAAACTCTTGTTCATGTAATAACTAAAGTTAGTATAAATAAGTAGTACGAGTTGGGTTGCAGCCATGCATTACCAAACATTAAGCTTGAAACGCTCGTCCTGTAATTCTTTTATGAAGTAGAAGAGATCAGGGCCAAGCACAGTAAGGAATTTGCTAGAGAGGTCCAATTCATCTTATTTGTACCCATTGTTGCATTCGTTGTGTTGGATGCATGAGTTCTGTGCTCATGTTTCGTTTTTCTTTTTTCTTTTTTCTTTTTCTCCTCTTTGATTTGCAGGCAAATCATAGCTTGAGATTGAGGTATGGTGATACATTATGCTGACAAAGTATACGTTTTCCATGTTTTCTTATCCAAACTGGTTTGTACGTACTGATAAGATGGGTCATGTTCTAAATCCATAAACTGGATTGATGTTAATAAAAATTATAATTATTATACTAAATTTCAATTTATGATCCCGGTTCTAAAGAGATTATTCTCATTTACTTTTAAAACAGATTAAAAAAGTTATTAATTGTTATGTTTTATAGTATTTTTTATTCATATATATATTTTTAGTTTATTTTTTGGTTTTTATATGGTTTGTTTATGATCCCGCTGGGAGAGTTTGCTTGGATTTTTCTTTGAAAAAAATGTTGTTATGATTGGTATTAATTAATTAATTTTTTTAGATATTTTTAGTTGAATGTTACTAGATAGATATTAAGTCATGAGTATTGAATATTATGATTAGTGTTGTTTTTGTATTCTCTGCAAATGTTTACTATTTATACATCTCGTTGTTCAATTAATCATATAATTGTTTGCATTATTTCTCTTGTAATATAATTGTAAAAATTTATTAGTATGGAAGTATGCTTTATGAATGATATATGTAATGTAATTATAAATTTTTTTTACTATAAGTGGCAAAATTAAATTTGAACTCAAAAAAAATTGACGAGTTAAACGGCTTGAATTTATTAGAAACTGGCACAAATCATCTAAAGGATCGATCTTAATATCAACCAAAAGTGAAAAAAAAACCTAAGTTAGCAAATTCAGTATGTATGTACTAAGTTAGCAAGTTTTGTATGCATATGCCAAGCTCATAGACAATGATGTAAAATTTTGAGTATATTAAACCACCAAATAGTATATTAGTTAGCCAGTTCCACATGCATATACCAAGCTCATAGACAATGAGGTAAAATTTTGAATATATTAAACCAAAAAATAGTAGATATCTGCTACATCAAGAGTCTCAGTACACTTATAGGCTATTTAAATTGTTAATTACTTATAATTTAATTTGTAAATATCAAGTATTTTTGCTTATTTAACTATACACTTATAGGCTATTTAAATTGTTAATTACCTATAATTTAATTCGTAACTATCAAATATTTTTGCCTATTTAACTGTATTTAGCTCGCAGCAAAACGTAGATAGCAATCTAGTGTCATCTATATTAAAATTGGTGAATTATATATAAAAAATAAGTTAGAAAAATCATATTTATTGTCCTTTTCTAAAGTTAAAACTGAAATGATAACATGAAAAAGTACACTCACTTAATTAGCTTAAAAAACTTTTAACAATTAAACGACACTTTCCCATGATGGAAGACTTAATAATGAACCTCTTAAGTTAAGAAAGGTAAAGAAAAGATCATCGTTTGAAAATGTTCAATGAACATCTTAAAATAAAAAAGATAAAGAAAATAAAAGATCATCATTGAAAATGTTCCAGTAGTTCTCCACTCATTTTCCTCCATGTCCTTCGAAGCCCCCACAAAGCAAAATGATTATGAGAGGTCGGAGAAAGCATGTTCCAAAAAGTAATGGACACTGCATTTTCAGTTCTTTAATTGGTCAAAGTATTTTTGTGGAAGGTGATTCCCACAAGCCCATATTCCCCCCGCAAAGCTATCTTGCTTCGGCTATAAATTCCAGGAATATTAAAATAATTAATTATTATACAATTACTTGAAACAAATTTTAATTTTAATTAATCCTTCATGTTTACCTGTGAAGAAAACTAACCAGATATACCTTATCACAATAAAATCAGATGTAAGGGAGCTAGGAATAGAAGATTTTGAATTTCTGCCTTAAGATCTCAAAACAATCAATATTACAAGTTTGTGGGAGAAAATTGTTACTATAGAAACAAGAAAAAGGGAAACAACAACAATAATAATTATTGATTTTCTTTTCTTTAAGTAGAAAAACAGAAGATCGACAAGAGTGTTGTTGATGTTTCACATCAACATCTTCACCTCCTTAACTATATGATACAAGAAATTTAGCTTCTGTAATAAATAAGTAGAAGCTAGCTATATGGGGTGACCTAGTTTCGACATAAAATCAACAAGAGTGAAAAGATAAAGAGCTAGGAAGGTGATGATGGTGGTGGCTATGGTGGTTTTGACGATGGGACTCTTTCTCAATCCTCCACCGGAGATGAAGAAAATCATCCACAGAACATGGTAGCCTTAGTGGTCCAGTGGTGTGGTAGCCATAAAATTCATGAGCTTTCTCTAAGAGTGTCTTGAAAAGAGGGTGGTATAGGTATGAAATTGGAATTACAAATCTTTGAAATCCACCATCTTCATCCTCTAAACCAACTCGAACTGCAAGCCATCCTTTCTTTACCTTCATCTTCTTGTCTTCCTGCATGTTGCTCATCTTTTTGTAATGTAAGAAACGATGGATGTAATAGCTGGAAGATTGGTGTCGAAAGTGTTAGTTGAGAGAGGGAGGGATTTCTAAGTTCTAGGTCCGCCTTAGAATCATACAGGACTAGGTGGGTATATATAGATAAGAAGGGGGAACATAATAGATTAAAGAAGAGGGGCATTTTTGGGTTAAATAATTTTTATTTTGCTTGGAATAGATTATAGAATGGGATTTGGAACTTAATATTAAAATTATGTATATATAATATCAATAAATTATTAGTACAACGATGAACGAATGAAAATTAAAAATTATTATCTCTATTCCAAACAGAATTAATTTTATTTTTAATATTAGATGGGAATATCCAGAGAAGAAGAAAAAAATATATTCAATATATCCATCCATAATTTCAAAAAGTTTGTGGATTATTTAATCAACTAATATATTCCATGACATTAACGTAGCACCACATGCTTAGCCAATCAACATGAGTGTTTAGAGGTACTAGTGATGATCAAGTAAGATTATTATTATTATTATTATTATTATTATTATTATACAAATTTTTAGGTTTGGTAATAAAAGTGTTATGAGTCAGTTTTTGGTAATTATTATTTTTTTCTGAACGTGATTAAGACGTATTCTTTAATACATTATCTCGATATTTTGATAATAAATTTAAAAAAATTATGACTACAAAGATTCGAAGTCTGGATGAGTTCATGTACAACTGACCAAGGATGAGATTATTAAAATACAATTAAAGTTAGAATATTACAGTACGTGTCCCCCATGTACTTTATACGGAATCAAGTTAGATTATTTTTATAAATTAGTCCCTTTCTTTTTTCAAAATGAAAAAAATAGTCCTTTTAGTTTAAAAATAATTAATTAATCTTTGTATTTTTAAATCTATTTATAACCTAATCATTTTTAATTTATTTTTATTTTTTAAAAAATAAGTAAAAATACAAAAATATTGATTAAAAAAGACAATTTTAAAATAAAATATTATTAAATGAACAAAATAATGCTGATCAAGAGACTAATTAACTAGTTTTCGAAGTAAAAAAGTATTTAATTTATTTTACAAAACTTAAGGGACTAATTTATAATTGACTCTCCCAGTGGGATTACTTTACTTTATGTGCCGTCCCTTCACTTTGGAGGGTGACTCGTCTGGTCCAAGATGGAGACCCTGAAGCTCCATGTTTTTCTCTTGAAACTTGTGTTGCTCCAAATTTAGGAATCTTACCTCCCCTGGCTTTTATGGCACAGAACATGGGTGCAAACTTTTGGGTTTTCGATCTGTAACATCTTGGTAAGATTTGGACCAAGGATTCATGCCACAGCTGGTGATCGTGATCATAGAAGAACTCTTTACCAAATGATGGTTTACAGGCCAACCACACAAGTGGCTATGGATGACAAGGACCCCTCTAAACTATTCTTACTCTTTGTGAATTGCTTCTTTATCGTTTCGTATCTTATGGTCAAGCAGTCATGATGATTGTGATCTCCATCTTCAAACAGCACTTTATGTTCTTTCCTCGTCTAAAAAAGCAGAAAAGAGCAAAGTTATAGCCCGACAACTTTGCTTATGTAGTAATGATGTATTGTCTAGGCTTAAACAAATACTAATCACGATTAGGGACAAATCTTGGGCATTTTATAATAGTGCATGTGGATTATCATCGTGGACACAAAGCAAAACCATTGGATAAAAGAAGAATCTGCACTAAACACCAAGGAAAATGGTTCCAGAAGTTGTATTCTTAGTCATCGTCAAGTACGGATGTCCTTTGCTTGTTCGTCCTTGCTTCCTTGTCAATCTTATTTTGTTTGTTTTTATATTCACCAAGTTGCAGAGATAGAGAGGGAGGAGATGTGTTTTTTTGTAGTCTGATGAAATTAATATTAAGAGTGTATCTGGTAATTTCTTTGCATCGTATTTGAAAGTGTTTTTAAAAGAAATTATTGTTCGAAATAAAAAAACATTATTTTGATGATTTTTTTAAATGTTTCTGAATGATATTTTGATATGTTAATATTGAAAACATAAAGAAAAAGAAAAAGAAAAAAAAAACAAACCTCAATTTAATATTTTTTTCAAAGCAAACGCACTTCTACGAAAACATTAAACACTCGTTAAAAAAATTGTGAAGTGATCAATCTAGTCATAGCATTTCATATGGTGCCAACGAGGAGCACGAGCTACATTTTTTTTTTTTAATTTCCTTTTAGAGTTTCAATGATCCAACTATTATCGAACAAATATTTTCCATTTAAGTTAAAATATCTTTCTCTTTTAAATTTTAGATAAATTATATATACAAGCAAAAGATTCATATAAATTATGTCTTCTAAGGAATAAAAAACTATATGTTGACGTTGTCTTAGATAACATAAAATTTATAAAAATAAAATTGTTGACGCAAAAAAACCGATTAATTACACAAATAGGCTTAGTCTAATAGTTGTATATCTAGTTAATTTTTTTTATGGAGCAAGATTCGAGTCTTAATGATTAATATGTTTAAAGATTATATATTGAGAAAGACTGTTTTGTTACGTAGATTAATAAATTCGTTAAATCTATGATGAAAAAAAAAAAAAAACCGATTAACTTGTCAAGGTATTGAAGCCGTACCTTCCAATATTTGTCACAATCAAACCAAAGATTTGGAAATCATTTCAAAGGATAAAAAGAAAGAATGGAAGTTCATGGGGACCAAAGCTCTCTATGGCTCTTCGCTTTACATTGTTGTCCCTTTGCATCAAAGACTTGACTCCCATAGCTCACATGCTATTGGGCGGTGGTGGCGCACACTCTTTGTCTCTAACAGGCGTATCTTCCACTACCACCACCTTTACCTTACAAATATTGCCTACCAATATTATCTTCGAAGGTAACTGCTACATTGCCTTGGAAAAAGCTCACTAACTTTAATGATTTGGAGTACAGGATTTTTGCTCTTTCTCTCTTTTACTTTCTGCCGAAATGCTCTACCTTCTAGATGAATTCAGATGCAAAGCATAGTACCTTGTGATGAAATGATGTCCTGTCAATCTTTCTAGTATTCGGTCGGTGCCCACCACGACAGTACATTCTAATTCCTACCATGCCCTAGTTGGCCTAATTTTAGATTATATATTTTCCTCTAATTTTTTTATCCTCTTTTATTTGTTTGTTTTATTTATTTTTTACTTTATTTCATTTTGATATTTATTATAAAAAAATAATAAAAAATATAAGAATTTTATAAATATTAAAAAAAATGCAAAAATTGCATTGCATAATTATGATCGAATAAAATCATGATTGAAATTAGAATAATTGAGGATACCATTGAAATAATTGAAAATCCTATAACCGAAATTAAAAGATACAAGAGTTCAATTTTAGATACCAAAATTGCATGCCTAAAGGGTATAATTGCAAATAATTGAAATGCGCGATGACTAAATTGAAATTAGAGAGCAAACGATAGGATCAAAAGTTTAATTGATGACAATCCAAAATTAATCCCCCAAGTATGTTCATCGTCTTCCTTGGAGATAAAATTCTCCAATTCCGTTTATGTGATTCTTGGTCGGCAATTGTACCGATCAAGAATCACGCTACATAAATTTTACACCCACTACAATACCCTTTTGCATAACCCTACACAACACAAATTGAATTGGTTTTTGTTTTTTGCATAAACAATAAAATTGAATGCCTGGTTTTGATTTTAGTGGATAAGGGTTTAGATTGGTTAGGAATGATCATACAATTCGGAATCATTCGGAATTTGGTTATAAATTGAGCCTCCATTGCATGGATTAGAGGGGGAGAAAAAGGAGAGGAAAAGCGAGAGATAAAAAGAAGAGGATTCTGGTTTAAAAGTTTTCTAGGTTCTTTAAATTTCTCGGTTTTTGGAAGAACAACTTGAGTTTTGAGAGAGAAGATTAAAAAGGGATTCAAGGAGGATTTTGAGGAAAATCTCGGAGGATCTTTTTGGTTTCAAGGAGGAGATTCTGGATTCACGGAGGGATTCAAAAGAGAAAACAAAAAGTTTCGAATTTGAATTTCTAGGTTTCAAGAAAGAACAACTAGTTTTTAGGTAAGGATACTATCTCTTCTTGGATTCATATCGTCCATTCAATCCACAATTCTCCTAATTTTCCATACTAGATGTGTTCCAAGCCACTCTCGGTATTCCAAAATCAAAAACCAACCCAACCTCTATAATCATCTTTAATAACCAATAAGTAGAGGAAAAATCACAACACCACCACCACAGTCCACTTATTTTTTTCAGTTTATTCCATTCTGGTAACTTAATTGAAAGTATGTGTCAAGGACATTAATTGCTAGCTAGCTAGGTAGCTATAATCATCCTAAAAAAGAATGAATTTGTGGACAAATTGATTGGAACCAGCCACAATCTAGGTCAAAAGGAGAAGACCAACCTGTCCTCGTTTTCAAAATCATGTATTTTTATTATTATTAATTATATTAAATTTTGAATTTCATTCCACATGGACCATACCACTTTGTTACAAAATTATTGGTTAGGAATTGATTAATATTTCTGATAAAGATGATAACATCAATAGTGCTAGTGAGCTTTTCCAAGTTGTTCTTCACCACTATTTTGGAGGCTTGAGCATGAACTCTTCTCTCCTAATTTTGAAAAATATATTCCATTTGGCCCTTTTGGCAGTGGAGAATCTTGCACGTGGCAGTGTACTTTGACAAAATGAAAGAACCCGTTGACGAAAAAAATCTAAGATTGTTGACTTGAGTAATCATAATTTTATGGCACCAAACTTGCATGCGATTACCAAATGGCTTTAGACAATTGTAGTGATTTCTTATATTTAAGAGATTACGCATTAAATCTTAATAGATTAATTTTATTAAAATTTTTAAATATATGAGTTAAAAATAAAAATTTTAAAAAAATTCATACAATTCATGGAGTTCGGAGGAGCAAGCTACATATAATATAGAGCATGATTTTTTTACAAAGGAAGAATCTCAATCCAACAGAGGTTTTGGCCAATTTCAGGAACTTGAGAATGACTTATATATTTCCTCTATGTATTAGAAAAAAAATATTCGGATTAACGGTTGTAAAAACCCTTATTTTTAATCAATTTATTCTATTTTTTTGTATTAAGTTTGTTTTTTAATCTCTTTTTTTATTTTTTTAATTTGAGTCAATATAGAAATTTTTTTTATCACTTTTGATGAACGTAGATGTGATTTTTTTTAAATTCTTTTTTTCAAAAATAAATTCATTGAGTAACTATAACATATGTATAATATTAGTATTTGATTATTATAAAATTTCATTTGAATGTGAGGTTGAAAAAGGATAAAGAATGGGTATTTGTAGTCTAATCAAAGGAATCAAGCCCTGGCCCCGAGGCCCCAACAAAATCAAGTTGCCTATAGAACTAGAAATTGCTTTGGGCAGGATTATTCCGATCCCTCGAATATGTTGTGGACGACTTTCCAGAACCACCGGAGGAGCCATCACTTGTGACCGACCATTTTCAATGGACCACATGAATTGGACTCGCACGCATCAAATATCAATTTAATGACATAATTTATTTTTAAATTATTTAAGTTGTAGTAAAATAAAATTTATATTACTATTTTCATATTAAATTATTATTTTTTAGACAAAATTTATTATTGATTGTTAATTGAAATACTTTAAATGATATTGTTTTAAGCATTAATTTTTTTTAAAAAAAATTAATATGAACAATTCAATTCAACAACAAAAATCGGATCCATAAATAATAAAATTATTTAAAATTTCTTAAAACTAAATATTATTAAATTTTTTTAAAATTAATTTTAATTTCTAAAAAACCTGAAATATATAAAATAATATAATTTTAAGCATTTCGATTAATTGTCAATACTTTAATTGTCATACGTAATGAAAAATATTCAGTTGTCTCAAAATTAATAGTTTGTTGTTTAAATAGATAAGATGGAACTTATTTCGCCACAACTCTAATAATTTAGAATAAATTATATCATTAAACCTTTTTTTTTTAAAAAAAGAGAATAGTTCTTTTTTTTGTCTATTTCCATCCGATTAGATTCCTAATAATTTTATGGTAAAAAAAAAAAAAAGGATTCTTAACAATTTTGGGTCATAAATTACATGCTGATACGAATTTAATTGTCTCATCTGTGTAACCATCAGATGGAATTTGATGACTCTCGTGGCTTTTCTAATTACCACGTGCCAACCAATTGTGTTGTCTAAAATTGGGTTAAATATCTTAGAAGTTTTCCTATAATTTCAATTAATTTTTTATTATTAAATTCAGGTCAACACTGAAATTTGGTGTAATCACATGATAAAAGATTAAATTTTATTTCACAACATGACTATATATTTTAATTAATTACTTGAAATATCACTATAATTTTTAAATCTGAACTACAAATATTAAGTTTTATTTCAACATTTTCATGTGAATCACTTTAAATTGGCTTGGATGATTAAATCTTTACAATTCACTATAATTTTTTTTATCCAACACTTAAATTAATACTGTAATTAACAAAATTTTAATATGCAAATATTATCAGAAGATTGAGTATTTAACTACTCAAATTTAGTCATCCAAAAAAAAAAAAAAACATATAAAAACATCATATTTTGTAATAATTTTGTTTTACCACGATAAAGAAAATTTGAGTTAATTATTGAATTTATAATAAAAAAAATATATAGTATACATAAAAGTTTTATTATTTATTTATTTTTTTGTCACTTAAATGGCAATATTAATAGAGGGCTAAGCCCAAATATATTTACTTCCCTCTCAAACTAGTAGCCGAGCCCAAATGGTTTTTTTCGTTCATCTTTTAGTTTTTACTAGTTTGAGAGCCCATGCGCTACTACAGGTCTATAATAAAATATTTTAATTTTTTAAATAAATTTATTTAAAATTTAAATTAACCAAAATTACTTTTAACGAGTATTAGCATACGGAAATGAAGCAAGTGGATTGTATATCAACTAGATTAATCATACATCATAAAATCAAGAGAATTCAAAGTTTTATTTTTTTTATTTTTATTTTTTTCAATTTATCACATACATTCAAAGAGAAGTAGAACTGAAAATGAAGGAAAAAAAGAAAAGAAAAAAGCTATTACTTAACTCATATATATATATATATATATATATATAGCAATTGTTATCACTATCAATAAGTGGTTTTTTGACACATGAACAATGGTGTATTTATTTTTTCTTATATCTTATTAAATTCAAAATCAAATAATTATTATTGTTTCTGAGTGAATAACAAGTATATAGCATAACTAAAGCACATTGATGGTTTGTTTACCAAACATGTTTTAGTTTTTTTTTTCTATATTTGATATTAAAATAAGCTCAACTTTTCATATACAATGATGTCATTAGAAGAAAAGTGCTAGTTAGCGATGGATTTTTGAACGAGTTCGCTAAAAGCATCTAACAACGGATTTGTGATCGAAAAAGCTTATCGCTAACCCTAGCGCCGATGGAAAAGTATCTCGTTGCTAATATAACGATGGTTTGTCCGTCGCTAAAATGCTATATTTTGTTTCTAATTGGTTGTCAAAAACATTGTTTTATGCATCGTTATTTCGTTACGATTTCGTCTCTAATTAATGATCGATATTCCATAACTAATATCTAAAGTTATTCTAATTGTTGCTATTTTTGTCACTAATTTTCAACTCTAATTTATTGCTAAGTTTATTTATTTTATTTTTAAAAATTAATATTTTTTTTAATTTTAAATCTGTGATATTTTCGATAATAATTAACAATTATAACAAAAAAAAAAAACCTATAATTAAAATAGAAGCACTCATCTACCATGTGTAAGCATAACTGTAGGGTTATAGTGCTTTCCAACGATACACATGTGTCCGGGTATATCATTATTCATTACTATTAATGGTTAATCCTCCAATATTTCGGTCCCTTGTAAGTATCGGTAATTCCATGGACAAGGGCACTGCACCTCATTAGCACTCATAAATATATAATGATTACGTGATCAACGAATCCCATCGCTAATGTCGTCTAGAAGGTCGAACAGTTTTTTTAAGTTCATTTTTGCTTTATTTTTCCACCGGTTGATAGGAAGTTGAGCAACCATCTTCATAACTTCATAATTATGTGTTAGCTAGCTTTCTTTTTTAGTCTAGCTAGCTTGTGTTAGCTAGATGAACTGAGAGAAAAATATTCATGCTAAATTAAAATCTCAAACGGAAAATATTGATTTTATTGAATCAAAATCTAATCAAATCATCTGTAAAACCACACAAACAAACAGACAAACATTCAAATAACCTAACTGACAAACAAGCTCATAGCTGATCGCATCGTGTAGGAAGGAATGACAAGGTTTCCTTCTCGAGATCATGGATCACCAACATGTTTTGTTGCTGAACATTGCCAAAAATAGACATGCCACTAGAACTCCCCATGGCCAAGCAAGCTACTCCCATGCTTGAATCGGCAATCATATAGTTTTCGGCCGGCAATTCCAAGTCTGCTCCATCAAAGTGGAACACGAACTTAGGCACCTTTATATCGGTGGAGCCCGACGGCAGCGTGAAGCAAACGTCAAGCCCCGTCGAGCCGGAACTGTCGACGGGAAGATTAATCTGAGAGGTGAACTCTTTGGCTACCAATTTAAAAGCACTTTCTTCTAAATAGGTTATTGTAGTGCCAGAGTCGATAATTACGCCACCGCTTCCATCCTCTTGGAGTGAAAAGGTGGATTTCTTGATTGGTAAGCTAGTGTCACCCACCGATATTCCTTCAAGAGAAAGATAGTAAAAAGATGGCTGTGCTGGGCTATGGATTAAAGGGGTGGTTTTGATTGCACCACTTGATGCATTTACACTTGCTAGGGATCCCATCAATAGCGTGCTGGCTTTTGTGTCATCAACAGAGGTTAAGCAATAAGAGAACTTGGGCTCTTTGAGTTGAGAAACTAACGACAAGGGTCCTCGGCCAAGCCCCACTAGGCCAGCACCTTGGCTGAATCCACTTCCTTCGTTATCTTCTCCGCAACCGAATGCAACATTAGGAACCGAAACCTTTCCAAACGTGAGAGTTTCGCTTGCCAGAATCCCTTGTGTTGAAGAATAATCGCCGTAAGTATACAGATACTCGCAGCCACCGCTGCAACTGGACTGGGGTAGTGCTTCGCATAGTTGGCTAGAACATTGTAACTGGGAGAAAGAAGAGGACTTTTTCGGATCGAAAATAGGGGTAGATTGATCAAAACACTGTGTACAAGGTTTGCACTGAGTCCATATCAAATCACTACCGGTGTCCAAGATGGCAGAGTAAGTGTCTGCCGGCGTGCCAATCCCTAGCTTCAGCAAGAACTCACCATTCCCTGGATGAACTGGAGCATCAATCTCAGAACTTGAAGATGCAACCAAGGCCATTGCTTTGAGTCTTTGCAACCTGTTTCTTCCACGCTTAACCCCATGTTGAATACGCTCGAATTTCGTTAAGTTCTTACCTGAATCAACATGTTTGAGCCTCACACGAAAGCCATTTTTCACCTTCGGTTGCTCTAAAGCTCGCCGTGATGTAGAAAATGCCGGAGAAAAAAGTACGGCAAATATTGCCAATGCTAAAACTAAACACAAAGAAGACATATTAGCCATGATCGAATATTGCAATCACCTTCGATGAAAACAAGGTCTATGTTTATTGGAGAGAAAAGATCGATGGTGGGTTAGTGAGGGTTATATATATAGGTCAGACAAGTAAGAAATGGTCTTGCATTATGGACTTCGGACCCTATAAAAATGGAGAACAAAATGGAGGAGGCAAGTGTGAAGACGACTAGGAGGTTGAAGATGGTTTAAAGTGGACACTAAGACATTTCAACATGTCGTGGAGGTTGAGATATCATCTGCCATGAGAGTGAAACCATAGGCCGAGTCATGCGTGGTGGTTGGGAAAGTTGAGACTGAAAACAAACAAGTTTGCTACAACCATTTCGAGAAAGAAGGGATGATAATATCGTCACACCTAGCTAGTATTTTTCAAGCCTTAATCAAGAACTTGGGATAACTTTGCATTTTTGGACTTCATTATACCATTAATTTGTCATCCATTTTGATGGGTATTTCAAAATATTTGTATTCATTTGCTTTGACCAATTGGAGAATGATTAATCATCATTGTGTCGAAGGCTAAAATCATTTTCTTGTTGCTTGAGATCTACAACTTGATGGAATGATCGATGTATATATATTGCAAAATAAACATGCCATAAGGATTTTTTCCTCACTTAAATTAGAAAATTCTTTATTCTTATTCATTGATTCTGTTCGTCTTTGCTTCTTTCTATCTAATCCAATATATTTAAAGAGAAGTAGAAGAATTGCGTTGATGTTTGGTGGGCTAACTGGTTTACCAATTATAATTAAGTATTGATGGAACAAAGTTGGTTTGATGCTTCAATTATGGCAGATTGTGTGTCATCTGTCCTTTTACATATTATCTTTTTTTTTACTTCTTTCGTTTTTGGTTAGAAAAATCTATCCATTCACCAAAAAATTAAAAATAAAAAAATAAGAAACAATTTTTAGGTGAAGTAATACAATTAGTCATGCTAATTTAGTATATCTTTGATTTTATCGTTATTAATTGTTATGGTCTTGTTGTATTCATAAGAAAATCTAGGTTTTTTTTTTTTTTTTTTAATCCTCTAAGGTATCTCGGGCTTAAAAACTCAAACTAATCCCTTGTTATTCGTCGGATGTACAAGGATGGAACAACTATCGAGCTTTTTATACACACAAAGACTCGAATTTAAGACCACTTGTTTAAACGATTAGAGCTTAGGATAATCTAGGTATTTGACTTCAAAGAAATTGAGACAATATAACTAGACTGTTTCAATTACTCTTCATCTAATGCCAGGAAATATAATGGATGATGTTTACATAATCTTTGTAATGAATCCATCTGAGAAAGAGGTTGAAATATTAACCTTCAAGGAAGAGAAAACATCACTTTCTTGAATTCATCTCCAAACCTAATTTAGAACTTGAGTTGGAAGAGTGTGAGCAAATTATAAATTAGTCCTTCTAGTTTTTTAAAATAAATTAAATAAATTATAATTATTTTTTTATTTTTTTCAATTCATTTTGATTTTTTATATTAAGAAATAGAAAAAAAATAAGTAAAAAAATATTGAAGGATTGATGAGAATAAAAAAGATTTTTTTAAAAAAATAAAGAAATATTAAATTAACCACGGTCAGCATTGATAAATAATTTAATGAATTAACTTTTCAAATAAAAAAAGACTATTTAATTTATTTTATAAAACTAGAGAGACTAATTTATAATTTTCTCATCCAAAAACATACTTTCGAAATTAATTTTCACTAATAATATAAAGACACAATTGATACATACAAAAATATGCCAATCACGTCAGTTGGTTGGAATTATTTACAAAAACTCATTCTTGGTGCATATTTCATGATCAATAGCATAACTCTTCTTGAATAATGCTATCCAGGATAAAGTGGAGTCATATCTCAACACAAAATATTATGAGTAAATTATAAATTAGTCCTTTTTGTTTTAAAAAGAAATAATTAATCATTTTTGTTTTGAAAAAATTAGTTATTTAATCTCTTAATCAATATTGATCTTGCTTAATTTAATATTATCTTATTTCGAAAAATATCTTTTCTCTTCTCAAATTTTTCTGTTATATCTATTTTTCTAAAACAAAAAAAAAATTAAATTAGAAAAAACATAAAATAGACAAAAAGGATGAAATAATTAATTTTTTAAATAAAGAAACTAATTAATTCATTTCTCAAAGTAGAGAGACCAATTTATAATTTACTCAAGTTAAAGGTGTTGTAACTTGTAAGCTTTTCTCCCTTCACCTACTCTTTGCAGGATGAAACATCTGAGGTGGGGTCCAAAGGCAGGAATTTGAGTGAAGATACCTCATACTCAACATTATGTTTTTAAATCATGAACACATTAAAAAAAAATCATTCTTGAGTATCAAGAATCACGACTTATTATAATATTGAATAAAAAATAATAATAAAGTATATTTTGAAACCGTTATATAACGGTTATTATATAACATAAACGGTCATTATTTAAAACTATGCTAGGGATCGTGAAGAGAATTTGCTGACCAAAAAGGAAAGAGCAAAAATATTTGAAGTACTATACAAAAGTTCTAATACATGACAGACATGTATGGGATAAAGCATTCCCGCTTTTAACATTGTATGCTTCTGTCTAGAAATATAGAAGCTTGTGTAAGAAGAAATTTGATGTTTGCAGTTTGTCTAGTTTGCAAAAATCTCGTGGCATTTCGTATGATGATGCGATCGCAACCAAAGCAAATCTTAAGACAAGAAAAAAGTTGTTTCGAGAATCGAATTAGAATTGATTAGCCCCTTTCGTTTCAAAACTTATCATTCTCTTTTACTTCCTGCAGTATTTCTTACTTTTAAATTATCTTTCATTTGATGTCTTATTTTTCTTTTTCATTTATTATCTTTCTATCTTCAACCATCAATTGATTAAGAAATTGAGAGAAAGAAGATGATGGTTGAAGAGAGAGAAATGTCAACATGATAATTGGAGAGAGAGAGAGAGAGAGAGACTGACTGAAAAAATTGAGAGAGAAGTCACTATGATGGCTGAAGAGAGGGAAAAAAATAAAAAAGAAGGTGAAAGGAAAAAATAAAGCATAAAAAAAAGCGCAATTTGAGAACAAAAATCATTAAATTAATAAAAAAATAATAAATTATTGATGAAATTAAAACATAAAAAATTAAATGAATAGTTTTTTTTAAATGATAAGAGCTAATTAATACATTTCTTTAAATGAGAGAATAATTTATAATTTATCGATAAGAAAGACAGCCTTACAGACCCACATTTTTTTTTTTTTTTGGGATGATCAGTTTCAATTAAAACATAAAAAATTCGTCGAAAATTTGAGGGAAAAGGAGAACTTTTAGCCCAAATGTGTAGGACAATAGGACGAACCAAAACAATAATTCCAGTGTTAAGAGGTAATTCTAGAGCATTTGGTAGTTAAACTAGGCAGAGAGGAGTAAATTTTTAGTACAAGGTAAAATGCAAGCAAGCAAAACGTGAATCCATGAGAAATGCATTATAGTATGATTGACAAAAATCAACAAAAACTGGTGTTGTTCCTGGGACAAAAGATATTTGATCCAACGAAATGGAAGATCACTAAAGAAACTTGGTGTAAGGAATAGAATAAGAAAAAAGAAAGCAAAATCCAAATTTACAATACCTTAAGAGACAAGCTAAAACAAGTAGAGCACCAAAAAACTTTTGCTACCTATAATTCTCTTGTCAAAGATCTAGTCATCACTTCCTACTTATATGGATACAGCATACAGGCCAATAATTGTTATCATAAACCGATTCCAAAAGGTTGCTTCTGTCGAGATTTATTCTTACCTGACGGTTTCATCTGGCTTGCAGGTTCTTCTTCGTCTTCCAGCTTTTTCCTCCAAGCAACCTCTTCCTTTTGTCTTTTAATCAGCTCTAACTCACGAAACCGTTCCTCCTCTTTCCTCTGTTGCTCCAAGGCTTCTCTTCTCTGTGCCTCTTCCACCCTCCTCCTATTCTCTTCCAACATCTTATCCAGCTCCTCTCTTTCCTTTCGAATTAGTTCCTGAGTGGTCATATTCATGTAAAATGTGCATGATGCCGAGATGACAGAAACATCTAGTGAACTGGTTTTCAGAGAACAACATATATCTGGTGCCTCTAGCTTACTCATTGAAAACAAAAAGAAGAAGCTTATTCATATGCATTCAGCAATAAACTTTCAGTCGTTATCAAAATCCATATCAGATGGCAAAGGAAGAAAAAGGAACTGATACAAATTGAAAGAATTAACCATGATGCACTGCCCTTATACATGACAGACACAGCAGGTAAATCCATATCTGAGATGGTTTATGTAAGTGGGTAGAAGAGCAGAAGAGATTGTGCACAATTAGAGGTAGCAAAAACTAACTTTAGTAGGAAACAACTCAAATACCTGTCTAGCTAGGTTCACAGTTAAGCAGATAAAAATTTTAGTTCTGCACCTATGATAATTTGAGTAAATATAGATATGATCTTTTCCCAACAGATGTCCAACTCAAACAGTCTTTGCACTTACAGCTGCCCTTTCATGTTCGAAAAGTACAATGCTTAGACTGTACTTTGAGGCTCAGACTTCACTCTCCCATGATTTTTCTGAAACAGTCTGCGGCATTTATCTCCTTTATAAAGAAGTGAAGTCCCAAATTTAGGGAATATTAGAGAGAACTACAAACTCTACAAGCTGGGTGAGGAAATTCGAATAATTTAATGGAGAACCTGCCTCCTCCTAGTCTTGCCCACGGTAATAACCTCCTATGACCCACTGCCATAGATACATCCCAACCCTAATGGTACTCTGCGAAGACTTGCCACAAGTGATTTTACATTGCCAATATCTATATTACAACAAACCTAAGTCTTTTGAGTTTGCACCTTATGATGAGACATATTAGAAAACCACAGTTGAATGCTGGGGATTTGGTCACTTGTCTGTAATCCAGAGACTTCACCTAAAGAGAACTCAAGATTATTTATGCCACATAAGGGACAACTACATTGACATTGGCAATGACAACCACACTGACAAAAACAATGACAACATTCCTTACAGTCTCGATATGGACAATGACTAATACAATTGCAGTGGTAATTGACATAACTTCTCAAGATATCTTACAAGTGGAAATTCCAACTTAAGCCTCAAAACTCACTGTGATTTTTAAACACAGTGACAGAACACACAATACATGCACAAAACTCAACAACCTATCTCCACACCTAAACGAAGAATAGAAGTCATAGCATTAATGAGATGGTTCCAAATTACAAGATGTCAATGCCACAATTTTTTTTTACTTTTTTCTTTTTTCTCTTCAAAAACTCCTTGCAATATAAAATATTAGTTGAAACAAATGATTACTGTATAGCATAGGTCCATTCCATTTAACCATTTTAAATGTTAAGGTCCCAATTTTTTATGACTGCAAACGAAATACCGAAAGGCAGGTGGAAGCTCATAACCAATTCTTTATCACGGATAAATTATTTATATTCAATGTTGCCAAACAATAAGAGACCTGTAAGTAGTGAGAGTTCAAAATTCTTACTTCTTTCCTTCTTTCCTCAGCAAGGGCAGCTTCCTTTTCCTTACGCAGTTGAGCTTCAACATCATCAAACAATTTCTTCCGACCTTCTTCTATCCGCCTCTCTATTTCTATGTGAATTTCCTCAGAGTTTAACTTCTCTTCCACATTTTTCTGAATTGATTCCTCCAGTCTCCTTGCAGTCTCTTCCTCTAATAGTTTTAGGTCAGCTTCTAGTTGACGCCTGATAGCATGTATAAAAATATAAGCACAGTAAGAGTCATTTCAATAAGCAAACAAAAGCTCTCGTAAGTAAACTGCAGATTTCCACTTTGAGGTTATATTAACAAAAAAAAAAAAAAAAAAACTGATGTCGAAGTACAAATAAACAAGGAAATAATTGTTCGTTAAACAATGCATGTTAATAAGCAGTAGCTTATTAATCAAGAACTCCATAGAAGCTAACCTGTCACATGTCAAAACTAAATATTAACCTGCTCACTGAAAAGTGGCAAAACCCAATGGGGATAAAACACCATGGCTAAAAATTGAAGAAATTTAAAGCTCACAGTAGTAAGGCGTTTTAACACTAATAAGATGTTAGTGAGAGCATGCATAAGATATTTACCTTTTCTTCTCTTCCTCCTCTTTCTTAAGTTTCTCAACAGCAATTTTGGTAGAAGCAATACTTGGACTTCTTGACCTAGGTAATGGAGACAATGATTCACTCCTACTTTTAGTTCTCTGTCTTCTACGCCGCCTAGGAGGCGTTGGAGATCGACTTTTGCGCCTCCTGTAACTCGGCGAACGACTTCTCCGATGGCGGCGAGCAGGTGGGGAATCAGAATCGCTTCTTCTCCTGAACAAAAAAGATTCACAACCTAACAACATCAAATCAAACACTTTTGGGAGTAATCAAAAACCCACTAACGGGATCAATTAACCTCCATATTGCACCAAATTGTACTGTAAGTTTGGATTTAAGGACTACAAATTAAAAAATAATGCCATTACAAGATTAAATAAAAATGAGCTGAAAATCACATCTTTACAACATTACATGACACCCTTTTGAGAGTTAAAAAAACCCACAGATTGGATTGCCAAATTACTTCCATAATTTACTAAATTAAATTACAAGATTGAGTTTTTTAAGAAATAAATAGTGCCCTTAGCTTTTGATGCAAAGAGTTTGTGACCTGGAGTGAGAATTAGAATAAGGAGAGCTGTGGTCAGCCCTTCTGCTTCTTCTACTACGGCGGTTATCCACCGGCGACGGTGAGCGCCTCCGCCGGTACGACGGCGACCTAGATATGCTTCTAGCCATCTCTCTTTAGATAATTAGAAGCCATAATAATTTTACTTGACTTTGTAAGAACTGCGCTTTTAATGAGCCAAGGCCCAATCCACCGTCTGAACACTTTGGTCCACGTCCATTAGTCTTTCTTGATTTTCCTTTTTCTTCTGGGCCGCGTTTGTCTGTGAGAAAATCATCATTTTTTTTTCATTTTCGATATTTGTTTTATATTTAGGAAAAAAATCAAGAAAACGAGCATGGTAATTTATTGACTTATAAGCTACCATGTTACCAAATGTTCATTAGTATCACTTGAACTTGAAATTGAGGTACATTTTTAATATTATTTGATTCATATATAAATTATCTCCGTAATATTAATTTAAAAAACCTCTAAATTTAATCACGATAAATGAATTCTTATGAATTGGTCTCGATATGATTGTTGATTAGTTTGACTTTGACCAATTAAATTTCTCAACCAAAAAGAAAATAAAAGTAAAAAAAAAACTTTTTTTGGGGGATTTTTCATTATTTGGAACGGCTAGCGAAAATGATGAGGAAAATACAATAAAGATGATTTTTATTTATATTTACATATTTTTCCTTTCTCCTCCATTTCATGTCCATATAAGTGTGTGGACAAACTTGCAATTTTATTTTTAATTAATTTTTTTCTCTACATTCTGTACAGTTCTTAATGGATCTCTTTATTTTTTTCTTTATTCCTCTCGTTTTCATTCTTTTCATTTTCTTTCCTCTCACTTTCTCCTCTCCCAAATAAAGTGTTAATCTAAGAGTAAATTATAAATCAGTCCCTCTCTTTTAGAAAAACAAATTAATTATTTTTTTCAAAAACTAATTATTTAGTTTCTCACATCTTAATTCCGTCAAAAACTTAATCTTTTCATCGGTTTTTAGTTAAATTAGTGATTTTTGCTTATTGTCTTTTTTTTTTTTTTTTTTTTTGGTTGAGAAGAGAGAGAGAAAATGAATGAAAGAGAGAGATGAGGCATTAAAAAAAAAAAAAAAGAAGCAATTTGAGGGGGAAAAAAATTTAAAAACTAATGAAAATTTTAAATTATTGACAAAATTAAAATATAAAAGACTAAATAATTAGTTTTAAAAACAAGAGAGACTAATTAATTCATTTCTCCAAACAAAAGGAACTAATTTACAATTTACTTGTTAACCTTATCGTGTTTCTAATAAGGTCATGTCTAAAAAACCACTTAACTATATATATATATATAAAACAAATGGTAATCTCACTTTTTTTTTTTTTTTTTTTTGAAGAAATTATTAGATAGAGTTGGTCTACTAACTCGTATTCTTAACTTGAAATATTTTGTCTTTCCGTAATACTTTGATGGCTAATTCTTGAATTTGGAATTTTAACTAGCAATATCAAAACATTAGAAATAATAGATAAAGATTTGACAGCTTGGAAGAAGTGAAAAGGACCAAACAGCAGATACATGAGTGATCTCAGAGGCAGACCATTTACCAAACCATACCATATCCTTAAACCAATTAGAACAGAGAAGACATGGAAGATGAAGCTGGCATTTTTTATGTGCCAGCCACATGGTATAGTATGTTTTTTCCAATGATTTTCTTGCTTTTGTACAAAAATCTATAGGATGTTATATATAGTAGTAAAGCATTAGTATGATAAGTTTGTCTCAAAATTGTTTTCATGTTGGAGACGCTCTATCTTGCCCTGGACAATTGTATAGCTTCTTGGTCGATACTTGAATCTTCGGCCCAGATATATTGGTGAGACATGAGTGAGAATTCTTGGCTCATAGCATCCTCAAGTTGCTCCCACTTTGCCCATCTCTCGGCCAGATCTATTCCTTGAAGCATTTTCACAACTTCTGCCATTGTGGGGCGGTCTTCAGGCGAGCTCTGCGTGCACAGCAATGCAACCTGGACGATGGTCTTGCCTTCTTCGTGGTCGTAAGTTTTCAAGTTTCCATCCACAATGTCATCAAGCCTGTTTTCCCTCAGCAGCTTCTTGATCTGTACATCATATTTCCATCATTTGAAGCATTACATGAGAAGCAAGTGTAGAAGTTGAAAAAACAAGAAAGATAGTAGATGCATGGCATGTGGTCTCACATGGTCAAGCAGAAGAACATCCTCTTCCTCCTCGAGTCGAGAAAGGTCTATTGCACGCTGACCAGTTACCAGTTCAAGAAGCGTAATGCCGTATCCGAACACATCTGTCTTTTCTGATGATTTCCCAGTCGACAAGTATTCTGGGGCAATGTGACCCATGGTACCACGCACCTGAGTAGTAATATGAGTGAATTTTGTGTCAACCAGCTTCGCTAGCCCAAAATCTCCAAGAACAGCTTCAAAATTTTCGTCTAGTAGGATGTTTGCAGCCTTTAAATCACGGTGTATAATCTTCGGATTACAGTATTCATGTAGATACTCCAAGCCATGGGCTGCACCAAAGGCAATGCGTTTCCTCGTTGGCCAGTCCAAGCCTTTCTCACCAGGCTTCAAATCTATAATAAAATCAAAAAGAAAATTGAAACATAAGTCACTTTTATGAAGCAAATTCAAACAAGTAAAATAATAATAGAGCTTGAAAATCTCAAAGATGGACAGAGGCATGGTGCTCATTCAAAGAAATACCTCTCAGGCGGTATGCAACGCTAAGATTTTGCATATATGGATAGACCAAGATTTTCTCAGATGAAGTTGTGCAAAATCCAATCAACCTCAGAAGATTTTTATGTACAGCAACACTAATCAGTTGAACTTCTCTCTGGAATGCAGCGTCTCCTCCAGGACTGTAATAATCTGCAAGGCGTTTCACAGCAACTTTCGTGTTGTCCGGGAGGATACCTTTGTAGACTTTTCCAAACCCTCCTTGTCCAATTATGTTGCTTTCACTGAAATTGTCTGTTGCAAGTTGAAGCTCGCGCCAAGAGAATCTTCTAAGCTGCCCAAATGAAATTTTGCGGTCATCTTCACCTAAAGGCATAAAAGATCGAAAGTTTAGTTAACGTTAAACAACAATTATGTTGAAACCAATTCAATTACACAAGGAAAACAAAAAATCACCTGCAACATCAACAAAGATATCATTTTTCTCTTTGTGAAATTGATGGTATCGGTGTAACAAAACAGCGATAAGCATCAGAAGAATGAAAGCACCACAGCTTGCAGAAGCTGCAATTACTTTAAGTCTTGACTTGCTGGTTGAAACTGCAAAGGTCTCATGATTAAGTTCCATCTGGAGATCGTCTCATGAAACAAATACAAACAAAATGCAGCGTCTTCAAGAAATTAACCTGGAAGGGGAGAGCTCGAGACGCAAGGTTCATGAAAGCTCAGGCCACAAGCAAGATGAGTTGCCGTAAAACTGAAAACACATAACAGTTAACGACAAGCAAACCAAGCTTGATAACTATGTGTCTGTCATTAAAAGATGATAGGATTTGAGAACTTAAGTATACATCTTAGTCATTTGTCAAGAAATTAAAGAATGATGATACACATTAATCTTGCTTTTTGTGTTTCCCTTTTTTCTCCTGAATCAACGACTACGTACTGAATCTGCTAATCCTTAAATGATGAGTTCTCTTTCAAATTTCCCTTTGACCATGTTTTCACTGTTTGGAGATTTCTTTTACCAAGTTGATGAGAAGCAAAATGACCAAATATGGTTACACAAATAAAGCCAAACAAAAGCTGAAAGAGATGAAAATTCTAGTGGAATTTACTCAAATGTCGCAACTGAAAAGAGTTTCTCGGGTATTCTTCCTGTTAAATTGTTAGATGAAACATCCCTGCCAAAGAAAAGGAATGATAAGCAATGAACATCGTCAACCGCAGACATTCAAAGTCAAAAATAAATCTAACACAAATAGAAACCTTAAATACAGGTGCAATACAGTTGATTTAACCCTGTAATATAGGTGGTTTGCACTTTATACACTGAACTTTAGGCGACATTAGAAATACAGATTATTCTGTAGCTCTTGCTTCTGATATTTGTTCTTCCATCTTGTTTAAACTATTTGTGCTTCCAAAAAATTATGATAGTACCATAGATGGAGAAATGTAACTACAAAAATATGTAAAACACCAACGCACCATATAAACCGAAAACCAAATGTTATAAGAATTATGACATCCACAAGAGAAAGACTACCGAAAAGGCATATAGAACCTCATAAGGTTGATCCTTGACAGAAGCAAAAGGGAAATTTTTAAAAATAGATTCATGCTCTAGGAAACTTCTAAAGCAAAAATGACATGCTGCTCCGAACATAGAAATTTGACTCTTCAGGAGGCATTAAAGGAATTCTTACAAATATTTTAAATTGGATAGCTGGCCCCAAGTGATGGGTATAGAGCCACCGAATTTGTTGCTGGCAAGATTCAGATTTTCTAGTTGCACCATGTTGCCCAGATAATCAGGCAAGGGCCCTGATAGATTATTGTTCTTTAATTCCCTGCATAGAGAAGAGTAGGTTTTAAAAACATGACAATAATTCACTACCACTCATACCTCCTCAAAACATAAAAGGTAATCTTGTTCTTAATTCTAATATGGCATGCATATATATATATATATATATATAAACATTAACGTGATAGTTCTCCAAGATGATAATCAGATTCATATTAGGGACATCAATTCATATTAGAAAATAGAATGGTTCAGATTTGGGTTCGCCAAACTGTCTCAGATGATAATCAGATGAATGTATCTGCACATACATAACTGAAAATCCATGTGAATTACAAGCTAACAAAAAACTTACAAGCTAACCAGAAACTTCAGTTTTGTAATTGCAGGTGAAAGAGTTCCTGAAAATCCAAGTGAATTCAAGCTCCTGCAAATCAGTACATTCACAGAGTAAATGCGCTGCAAAATTTACCCATGAAAGAACTGTCAATTGAGGGAGACTCGAATAAAAATGCAGCACTCCGGTAAGGAAAAATTCCACTGCTATCCCTCCGAAAAACAGAAGTGTGTTGCAAAAATAGGCAAAAAGAAGTATATTTCAAATATAGGCACTTACAGGGATACAACATGTCCATTTCTGCAGTAGACATAAGTCCAACTAAAGCAAGGGCTCACTAAATTAGGATCCCAATTTATCTGTTTATTGGAATCATTGAGTGCCAGTAGAAGATCTCTTAAAGCATCACCTAAAAATTAGAGAAAGTTGAAACTTATCAGTAAATTTATGATGTTTGGTACAAGGTAATGAATGGCAGCAGCACCCCATATTCTATTATCTAGACAATTTTTTTCATTAAAATGATAATATTTTCAAAACGAAACAGGAAGAGAATAGCTATATAATGTACCTTTCTGGTTTACAAGCATAATTGAGTTGATTTCTGTAAGTGAATTATCAAACCAATAAGGTTTTCTCTCCGAGATAATCTAGATTTGAAGCAATCATGTTGAATTGATAACATTTTGTCAAGCCATATGGTCATCGAGTTTAAGAACTTGAATTATGAGTCATTTCTACTGAACAGATCTTGCCGTTCGGTTCTCAAGCAACAATAGAAACATGTGAAATGAAAGCAAAAATTCTTTTCTTCTTTAGCTGATTGTTGTTTGAACCTAGGATCAACTCCAACCAGAGCGTCACCGTTTACCACACAAGTCAAGTTTCAAGGAAAAAATTATGGAAAAATCTTGCCCTTGTGATCAAAACAAAATCAACAGGTCCTGAAAATTTTTCAAAATACAAATATTCAGAGAAATATCTGAACAGTGTTTAAATGTGATGCTTTCTTTCAAGACCACTGAATTTCCACCAAGGTATTGATTTATGGAATTTACATTGAGCCTGAAACCAGTAAAACTATTTCCAAGGAGGATACTGCAGAGGAAGAACAAAGCTTAAAGAAATGAAATGAAAACTTTTAGAGATTTCCATGACTTTATTTGTCAAGGATCCACCCTTTTTTTTTAATCTTTCCGTCAGTATCGGTATTAGGAGCCAACAGATGGCATTGTATTAAAGGAAGCCGTAGATAACACCATACCTTCAGTGTCAGGCGCCTTGGATGAATTAATGATCTTCAACAAATTGAGCAGAATAAGACAGCTGATAACTAGCTTCAGAGGATTCCGGATGGAAAAATCTCCGAACATGGATCCGTAATTGGTGTAGCAGAAGGATTCAGCAGCGGACCTCTTGCCACCACTTGGATGTTCTAATAAACAAAAGTTCTATCAGTTTAAATGTGCAGATAGGATCAAAATTTGATCATTATCCTGCCAAACATTTAAATCAAATTCTCCTCAAAATGTTAACAGATTTGAAACAAACTAGAATTAGCTTTTGCATTTCCATGGAGAGAGCACGCAAGCATGGTTAAAATGTCATAATCATGACACATACATTAGAAGCAAAACTATGCTTACTCCATCACTTTTAGGTCTACTATACTGAACAAAAACCTTGTTTCAGAAGTTTCATCGCACTGAAGGATGCTCCAATCATATAAAGTAATAGAACAAAGCTTCACTATTTTGATTTCGTAGTTATATATGGTACCATCTACTGTGTCTTCTCCAACAAAATATAACTTTCGTTCTTGAGATCATGCACCTTAGGTTGTAACTTTTTTGTATGAAAGTTTACTTTTTCCTTTACATCTAGACCTTCTGCTCAACTATTCTAGCCTCATATCGCCTCAGATTGGGACCAAAGGAAAAGTAGAACACAAAAGAACAAGAAAAAGAACGGCAAGTTCTATCTAAGCTTATCCACATCCCATAAGGAAGAACAAGGTCAGAACCAGTTAAACATACCCACCACAAACCATAATGAGACAAAGTAAATTCTCCCCCCACAACTCCAGTCTGCCACCCCAACGAACTTTGCAGGACCATAAATGGTAGATGGTCAATTTTAAGACCAAACTGTCCAAACCTTTCCTGAACTTTAAATTATCTAAGAATTGGTCCCTCAACTTTTGATTTCAGATTGAACCTTCCTTCAACTTTTTTCATTTGAAATTAGGTCCTTCTGTTAGTTTTTCATAAAAACTCATATGTACTTCCACTATTAGAATTGATAGAATAACAAAAGGACCCAATTTCAAATGAAAAATAGTTGAAGAATGATTCAACTAGAAAATTGAAGTTGAGAGACTGATTTTCAAATGACTTAAACTTTAGGAAAGATTTGAACCATTCAATCCAATTTTAATTGAACTTTTCTGTCCCATTTCCCTTGGACTATAAAACTACCTGGGTTTCTCAATGGATCAAGCAATTTTCTTTATCTTTTATCTTCGTACTGCAGATTAGTAGTGAAAAAACAGCAGACTTGGACTTCAAATTCATAATCTTTTCATCAAAATGAACAACAACAGAACCTATTGATCACTAATAAATTCAACCAGCTAGAGATCCTCCACCACATACAGATACACAAACAAAACAAACATTAGCCTGAAGAAACAAAAGAGGGCAGCTTTGAGATTGAAAACACCCCAGAAAGAATTACACAGAAATGAATCCTTTTAGCTGGAATGTAACAGTTGTAAAAAACTCATACAAGAAACACACACACACACATATAGAGATAAATCAAGAAATAAACAAAAAGAAAAGAAAAGAAGCGTACCTATATTAACTTTAGCCATGGCAAATGCAGCATAGCAAGAATGAATAAAAAAAAAAGGGTGGTGGCACAAGAAGAAGAAAATGAAGAAGCTGAAAGCAGCCATTATTATGATGATCATAAGGAATAAACGATGATTAACGCATTGGACCCACAAAGCATTTTGACGAGAAGGAAAGAAGGGAATTCTTTGAACGGCCAATGGAATAGAATATGAGAGGAGCTAGTGGTGTTGTTGTTGGAGGATGAGAATGAGAATCCCACTAATTAAACTTTGCTTTGCTTTTTCTTGCAATTGGATTGGATTAAGATAATGATTAACACCCTTTTTTTTTTTGTGTGTGTTGTTGGCTTTTAAAATATCCAAACTTGTGAGATGATCAGATGCTTTTTGTTTTTAGCAGATAGGGGCATGGCATGCAAGAGTATCTGTTCTTAGAGAAGCTTCCAATCTGAAATAAATCTAGTTCACCATCTTCTGTTGAGTCAAAGTCAATTGTTCCTTAGTCCCTGGGTTTTGAACGAAGTTATAACTTACTCCTTCATGTTTAAAATTAACTTAGTCTCTTATTTTTGTTGATCCTTGGTTTTTTTTTTTAAACAGTATTTTTTTTTCTCTAAATCCTCACTGTCTAAGACTTTGTTTAGCATAGTTTATGTAAAATATTTTTTTTATTTTTATTCATTATTTAAAATTTATTTTTAATAAATAACTTATGAAAAAATAGAAGTAAATCCGAAGTATGCTTTACACGAAAAAGCCTCCAAGTACCTTTTTTTGAAAAAAAATAAAAATAACGTAAGCTAGAAATTATAAAATTTAACTTTGATTAGACCACAAATTGACTCGATTTTATAATAAAATGTTGTTTTAAGTCAAAAGTTATTTCCAACTATATATATTTTTGAATTTTCTTTTAGTTAAATTTTTTTTTAAAATAACTTAAATCGATTTATAAAATCATACAAAATAGAGCCTAAGTTTTCCTCCTATAATTTAAATTGTCGAATTATGTATTTGCCATTAAGTAAGGAAAAACATACGAAAGTTTTAACTTTCGTCAACAAAAGTTAAGGAACTAAGTTATAATTTTGAAAAAATAACTTAATTCAATTTACAAAAGTCATATAATATAGCGATTAAAAAAAAGTAATCAAAGAGTTTGTACTTCGATAGTAATGGTCTTTTTATAATAAGAAGTCATGGGTTTAAATTCTAGTAAGAAATTTTTGCTAGAAATATTAAATGTGTGAGTTAAAAAAATTAAAAAAAAATGGATTAATTTATGATACTGTTAAAACATCAGGGACTAAACAATAATTTACTCATGTTCTGCTATTCGGGGACAGCAATTACATTTATGGAACTCTTTTCTCAGGGGACATGTCTTATCTCTTTTATGGAAGTCTTGCTTTAACAATGTGACGCACGTGTAAGTCATGCTTTAACTATGTGACGCACGTGTAAGGGCTTACCTTTAGTTGTTGAACAGAACATTTTCTGTCCACATATCGACGTGGTGGGTCTCCCATCATGACCATACTTTGGATAATGAATGATGAAAATCTAACTAAAATACTTCCAGTTTAATGATAGCTGTTTTTTTGGCCAAAAATAAAAAAATAAAAAAATATTATGATTCAAACCTTAACATATTAATTTTTTTAGTAATTTTAAATTTATGAGTTAAAAAAATTAAAAAAATAAATATTAATAATCTATAAATATAAATGTCGAAATTTAAAAATTAAAAAAAATTAAGAATATGTATTTTATATTTGTTTAGTGTATTTAAAAGAATAAATTTTCCTAAATAAATTGATTTCCTTTTCTTGTTATTATCTTTGTTTTTATGGATATACTTATTTAAATATGAATTAAAAGAGCTTCGAGATATATATCGATTGTTGGTCGCTTAATTATAAAATGAAACAACAATAAATAACTAATTAAATAGTTTTTATGTCAATTAAGAAGTTGGTTTTCCTTTCTTTTTCTATATATATATATATATATATATATATATACATATTAAAATATAAACTTTGATACTATTATTTCGACATAAAATTATAAATAAATTATTCATATTGATATTAGAAAATTCATCAAAACTAACTTCTGCAGTTTGATCTCAAAAATAAAACTTATGCCAAGTGCTTATTGTGCACCCAAATTCCGTGCTTGAAAAATAAACAAATATGTGCAACAAATAACGATTTTTTATTAGATGTCCATAATAATTTATTTAAGTAAAAATTCTAATCAAAAGAATAATTATTATTTATTTAACTAAAAAGTCTAATCAAATGAATAAATAATTGAAATAAGTCCAAAATCGACAGCTAATATTTAAAAAATAAACAAAAAGGCAAAACCATGGAAAACAGTCATTATTATTTTTCCGATAATATAAAAAAATATATAAAAATTACGTTTAATTATTTTGGGAGATTGATATTCAGCAAACAATAAATAATTAAAAAATAAAAGGAAAAAAATAAAATTATATATAAAAAAAAAGTAAGTTGGGCTATTGTGGATGGGCCTAGTGACAACTGGGTCAGGAGCGGCCTAGGCTCGTAACAAAAAACAAGAAGAAGAAGAAGGAGACGCAGACGCAGACGACGTGTTGTTGTCAAACGACATGCAATTAATGTCGTCTTCTCTAAAAAGTTTTGGCCACCGCATTCAATTTTCGCGATACTTCTGGTAATGAAATATCGAAATCTACAGATACAAATGCTGAAATTTAACTTAAAGGAAAAATATAAATTCTCTCAGAATGTTTTTTTCCCCCTTATTTAACCAGTATTTTGGAACCAATTTATACAATGATCAAGATAATTTTTTTAAAAAAAATTAAAAATGCATCTTTTATATTTATTCAGTGTATTTAAAAGAATAAATTTTCCTCGATAAATTGATTTTCTTTTCATGTTATTATCTTCTTTTTTTAGGATGCACTTGTTTAAATGTGAATTAAAAGGTTTTTTTTTATTTTTCCATATATATTATACTATACACATTAAAATAGAAAATAACTAGCTTGCTGTGGATAAGCTGTTATTTGCTGGTGTAATCCCAAAAAAAAAAAAAAAAAAAAACATGTCCTCCTCTTCTTTAAAAGTTAAAATTAATAAAAAAATTAAATTGACCATAGAAGAAGTGACCTTTACTATGAAAAAGATTAAATTATAAAAATCTAATTATTCAAATTAAATTACAAAAACTTAAAGTGTCATTAAATCCATCAAACAATCTTAAAAACTAATTTTTACCTTCTTAAAAATTACTTTCATAATAATAATTTCTTTAATAATTCGTTTTATTTCTTAATCTTGCAACGAAAATGACCGAAAGGTTTGGTTAGATTCGACGAACTTACCTTTATGACATCACGGCGTACCCGACGGCCTATATCACATGATTTACTAGTGTGTAAATATTTTAGTGAGCCGTCGTTTCTTCTTTCACATCATTTCCCTCGTACGGTGACGAACTTTTAATAAAATTATTATGTGTAATTATATCACACAATAATTTTACATTGTTTGATAATATTATTTATTTCACAATTTTACTATAATTTTTTATTGGATTTTTATCGATTAGGATTATAAGAAAAAAAAACCATCGTATTGATTCTACGTTACATCTTATGTTAAGAATTTTTATTTATATCAGTTCTCGTAATTTAAAAAAAATCATTATAAAGAGATATTAACACCAACATGTAGATTAGATGACAAAAGGTTTTTCTTTTCCTCTAAATCTTGAAATTTATATTTAGAAAAATTTACTCTCTTTCGAGCATTAAATAAGTTATTTTAATTAAGATAAAATCAAGATTTAATTTTTATTATCTAAATATAATTAGTTATAAATATTTTTTAATAATATTTTATTTGATTTGATTTGATTAAAAAATAATTTGAAACAATCTAATCGTCATCTAAAAATTAAACGTATTTTGTTACTAGTTTAACTTGATCTAGAATTTTATTAAATTTGGTTTAGTTTGATTTAAAAAATAGTCTAATAGTCATCTAAATATTAAACATGATTGAAAATTAATTTCAAAAAGTAATAAATTTAATTTTAATTAATAATATTTTCAGTTAATATAAAAGCTAATCTAATAATACTTCCCTAATATGTAAATATATAAATAAAAAGCAAAAAAATAATTTGATCGTTTGGCTTGTCAATAAATATTCCAGTCAGAGGCCACAGAGATGGCAACTTTGTAAATCCGTACTGTCAGCTAAGACTTATCAAGCTTTCTTTTTTTTTTTCCTAATGCAAAAGTAAAAATTGCTTTTTGTTTACATAATTCAGTTTTTTTTTTAAAAAAAAGAATCGACTGAAGTAATGATTTCGAAGAAAAACCGTTCTTTTCGTAATGTATTAAATGATTTTAATGGCTGATTTTTTTTTAAAAAAAAACCTTAAGTAAATTTTGTTTTTTCACCTTTTTTTATTGCTTAAAAATATATTAATTATATATTTTCTTAATTTTTATGAGGTTATAGGTATTAACATGTCTCTCGAATGTTTCGAATGTCTTAATCATATTTTTATATTAAATTTTTTAACTATAATGTCTCTATATTTTTAATCATATTTGTATATATTATTTTTGATTATTTTTTAAAATAATAAAAATAATTTTTGATTTTTTTTATTGTTTGAAAAAATGATCGAAAGCATGAAACACAGGCGTAATAGAAATAATAAAATTTTTTATATATAAATGTATTGTGGGGGAAATTATTTCAAAAAAAAGTTAATTGGTAAAGTATCTATACTTTTTTGGAGAGGAGAGAATCAAAGTTTACATAATAAAAAAATTATTTTGTATTAGTTTTGTCAGCGAAGATGGACAAAAGTATTTTATTGATAAATAGTTGAAATGTCAGGGAGGGAGTGATTAATAAAAACAAACATTTTCTTAGGGTAAAATGTCATTAGGTTTTTAAAGCGTGCTTTTGGTATCTTCGAGAGAGAGAAAAAAACAGGTGGGAGACAAACGGACTACTCCGCCATTGTGTGAGCATTGCACAATGGAGGAGAAGAAGGAAAAGGAGGCAAAAAAGCCAGAGATACTGAAAGAAAGAGACTGCGAAGACTGGTGTTTTGTTTGCAAAGATGGTGGAGAGCTAATTCTCTGTGACTTTGAGTATGTTTTTTTTTTTCTTAATTATTATTACATAATTTTCTGACTTTCAAGTTCAATCTTCACTGTTCAAAGTCATTGTCTTGTTGGGTTCCTGTTGTTTCGTCTTTTACTATTGGTTGGAGACTGTACTGCTTGTTTCTGTCTTCTGGGGTCAAAGGGTAGTTTTGTCTTGTCGAGTTTCTTTTTGGTGGACTGACCTTTCCCTGTGTTTGCTACTATAAGATGTCAGTAGCAAGTTGAACGCTTTATTTTCTTGTTATATATATATATATATTTTTTTTTTCAAGGCACTGCATCATGTATATGGTCAGATTGTCACCTTCAATGTGGGAAATTCTGCAATGCCGATTTCGAGAATTTAGTGTTTTTTTTTCTTTTTTATAGAATAGAAATCCAAGTTGGTTGACTAAGGAACCTTGTGCTTGTTTTCTTCTGTCCAGAAATGGCAGCAGTGATTGTACTTTTTGAAGAACATCAATACATTAACATGTGCCAATGCTGCTTTCCCTTAGGTTTATTATCATGGTGAATTTCTCTGTAGGGTTCCATCTATTTCCAGTATGATTATTGCTAACATCTGTGGGAGTGATAGTTTCATTACTTAGAGAAAGTCGAGCCTTGCTGCTAAGAGGAAGGTAAAAGAAAACAAAAAACTGATGTTCTTAAATGGAAAGTTAGTCACTTGGATGGTATACTGTTATGAAGGATAGTGTGTTCAATATACTCATATAGATGAGCAATTTTCAAATAACATTGTTGTTCTTATTTTCTGGCATTCAAGTAAATATCTCTAATGATGAGAGTCGAGAAAACTTTCCATGTTTGATTAGGATGTGCACAGACCGAAGCAAGCTTTGCTGCTATATGCATTTGTCTGTAAAACATGATTTCATCTGCATCTGTGGATGCTTTATGGGGACAGTTATAATCTGATTGTGGTAGTCCTGCATTGAAACTGCACTCATTTCATGACTTTCTTCTGAAGTATGTGCAACAGATATTTTCATGCACCTCTTAAAGTGAAGTTGCGTAGGTTATTGTTGCCTTTCTAACTTTCGTCCCCATTCTAGTGACTGTCTAAAGGTTTACCATACAGAGTGTGTGAAAAAGGGCGATTCCTTTCCGGAGAATGGTCAGCACTGGACTTGTGGTAAGCCAATAAAAGTTATATGTGATGATAATCTAACATGAAATTATGTCTTCGCTTCATGTATATCTAAGCAAGCATAGTACGGTATGCATAAGGTCAATTACACAGCATCAGCCATGCTACTTTGTACTATCTTAATGTATTAATTTTCCATTTTTTAACTTTCTTCGTAGAGAATATCACAGAAAACTTACGTAGCATATGAAAAAAAAAAAAAAATTGATGTTTCAGCTCGGCATTCTTGTACAAAATGTCAGAAAGCCCCCACATTATATTGCTACTGCTGCCCTAAAGCTGTATGCAGATGCTGTGTCCGGGCTGCAAAGTTCTTATCTGTTAGAGGGGATAGAGGATTATGCGAAGAATGTTTAGAGTATGTACAGTGTGTAGAAGGGAAAGATGATGTGGATGCTGATGGGGTAAGCATATCACCTTGCTGTGTTATTTTTTTAATTTGCAACCTGCAAATGTGCAATCAGTATTAATTGTTTTTGGCTACATGCTGCATTTCAGAAGTGACTGTAGGGTATGATTTTTCTCAACTTCCACAAGTCCTAGAAAGTAAATGGAAGAAGTATGTTATGTTGAATAAGCAGGTTGTTTTGTCTGCCTACATATTTAATTTTTAATCCTTTTGGTAAACGTGATTTATTTTAGTTAAATATTATATAGCAGGTGAGAAAATGAGGAGGGAGGAAAGTGGACTTATTTATCTTGCAGGGATATATTTCTAAATTTTTTTCCAGTTTTTGTGTTCAATGACATGGATCTGTGTTTAGCAGGTAGTCAAGAATCTGATTCCTAGATCATTATTGAAAAGAAGTCGGAAGTTTTCTAATAAATGAAGAGGATTTTTGCCATTTAAACAATGAATCAGATTGAAATAGAAGCTCTAAATTCATCTATGAGCTCTAAACTTTTGGTGGCATCCATGCTTTCTTTCGATTTCTTGATAAATTCTACTCTTTTTTGGTTGGGATGAACAAAGATATGGTGGTGATTGCTTAATTGTGGTTGTATTTTGTATGTTTTTTAATGTGCAGGGTGAGATAGACTTGACAGATCGAGATACGTATGAATGTCTGTTCTTGGAATATTGGGAAATCATAAAGGAAGCAGAAGGCTTGACATGGGATGATGTGATTTTGGCAGAGCTTGGGTTGAGAAAGCGTTCCAAACGCAGCTTTAAGTCGACTAAAATTGGAAAGAGCAAAAATGATGGTGACATGGTAATGTATGATAATAATCTGGAAATTACCAAAGGCTACAAAACAACAGGAAAAAGGAAGGGGTCAAAGCCAATGGAATATGATGGGTGGGGATCAAAAGAGCTTATTGAGTTCCTTAGATTTCTTGGAAAAGATACAACAAAAGAGTTATCTCAGTATGAAGTTAATTCGATCATCTGTTCATACATTAAAGAAAAAGAACTTTTTGATCCAGAAAAGAAAAAGAAAGTTCTTTGTGATGAATGGCTTCGTTCAGTTTTTAGAAGGAAATCTTTATATAAAAATGGCATACTTAACCTTCTGGAATATCATTTTACTGCAAACTTAATTGATTCACAGTCCGAGGAGGATGAAAATATGGATGAAGTTGAAAGAAGTTTGCAAGACAAAAATGAGAAAAACACTGTAACATTCAAGAGGCAGAAAACAATGGGCTTGTGTACAAAGTCTGAAGAAATGGAAGCAGTTCCTAAACTCTATGAGAGTGGTTTTGCATCTATAGTTGCTGAGAATATCAAACTTGTCTACTTGAGGAGGGGCTTAGTGGAGGAGCTGTTAAAGGAGCGTGAAACTTTTGAAGGTAAGACTCTGGGAAGCTTCGTGAAAGTTAAAAATGACCCCAGAGATCCCAGTGCTAGAAATCTTTACAAGCTTTCGCAAGTTACAGGTAGGAAACTGTATCTTACCTAATAGCATTCAAACAGCATATATTTGGTCTGAAAAGTTTGATCCTTGCAAAACCAAAGTCTATTCATTTATGTTTTCAATGCTATCTACATAAAGCTGAAATATGTTTGGTAATTTGTGGTAAATTTCACTCAATATAGCTAATTCTTGCATCTAAACATATTTTTAACGTTTCAGCAGTTGTTAATATTTCATTATTTTGTTCTTTTGCACTCTTGTTTTTATATCAGGTATAAAACAATCCCCAGTAATCGGAGAGAATAAGAGTGAAATTCTCTTAAGAGTTTCCAGTATGCCAATGGATGTTTGCTTTTCTATGCTATCAGATTTGGACTTATCTGAGGTAACTGTTTTTGAAGCTTTCCTATTGAAATAATGATATGTTTTATTCGGACAATAAATATAGTTTTTGAAGGTTTCATCCAAATGGAACAAATGGATGATTAACAAATCTAACATTTTTTCCTATCCTTTTCAATGCATTTTGTTTTGTATTTACCTATCCCTTTGTAACATCGTTGTTCTTTCATCTGACTGAGCATTTCTGAATAATGCCAGTTCCGATGAAAGTATTTCTCAGTTAAGTTACTGTTTCTCATTACTCTTAGCATGATTATTGGGCTTTGCATGGATTTGAGCCAGTTCTTAGATGTATCCAGCACAGTTTTGTCTAATTGTGTCTCATTTGCAGGAAGACATTGAGGGTTTGAGACAAATTGTGGAGGAAGGCTTACATCCGAAACCTACTATTGTAAGTTTATCCTTTTCTCACGAGGTGCCAACATTTTTGAGCAAATTTCTGAACACTCACTCATGTTGATGCTTTTTCCTTGCCATTCAAGAAATCAAGACTCTAACCTTAAGGACTGTGAATAATCATAATTGTCTTGATTATTAAAGGACTTCGAGTCACTAATTTGGAAGATAAGAAAAGAATCGCCAGAAACCTATCATTAAAGAAGGGAAATTCACCCCCGTAATCTGTTTTTGAAAGCCAATGGCTGTGGGGTTACTCCTTTGCTAGTAAATGAAATTCAGGCCTTTTGCTGTGCTAATTCTTGCTGTATGATAATGTAATACCTATCTTACATTTTGCCAACTTAACCTGCCCTTTTTCTTTCCTGATATGGGTAAAGAAATAGGTTATGAAAATAATTGATGGCGATGCCTTGCTTTACAGGTAGAGTTTGAACAGAAGGCAAAACAGCTGCATGTGGATATAACAAAACATGTAGGTATTCAGACTTAATGTTGTACCTCTTAATAATGTTTTTCTTGCACTTTGCTTACTGAAACTGTTGAACCAATACGACAGTTAAACAAACTATCATATTGCTTGCTTTAAAAATTTTCTGTTTCGTTGGTGATTATCTGGAAATGTATGCTGCAGTGGATTCAGAAAGAGCTGGTAACATTACAAAAACGCATTGATTTAGCTAATGAGAAGGGATGGAGAAGAGAATATCCTTTCATGTTATATGCTATTTACTAAAAGTGTCAGTTCTGGTAACATATTCCATATCTTCAAATTTTCTATCTTGAACCTGTACATTAACTTGCCTGAGATCATATTGAAAATACACTTACCCTCTTTAATTGCTAAAACTAAGTTCTTGCGCTCCGTTATGCATCCCAAATGTTCTGAATTTGGCCGGATTATACCTTCTTAAATTTATTTGGTACTGTTTTCCTTCTTTTATTTATCATCATTGGTATATCATCAATTCACTGCATGATAGGACGTGTAACATAATGCATTTTTCCAAAGTTATTAATTATCTCGGTGAATGATCGTTAGCCTTAACCTTTGATTGGTGTTGGAACATTGTATGAATATCTACACAAACTAGAGCAGCTCAAGAAACCATCTGAGCAGGAACGATTATTACAAGAGTCGCCAAAGGTCATTGCAGAGATGGTCGAGCAAAAAACTACTCCATAGATGTTTCAGAAATGATACAGAACAATATGATGGATCGCCAAAGTCTACCCCTTTTGGGGTTCAGAAATCACCCAGCACCTGAAGTGGAAAACACCTGAGCTTGGTCATACCTCTGTTGGATTTTGAGACTGGAACTGCTTTAAGCAACTTAGTCATCCTTTTTGTTTGCTAATTGCTTGGGAGAAAATTTTGTTTAATGTCACAGATGGGTGTATTTTGTCATAAACTTGTTCAATTGTACAGTTGAAGTGTTGCAGTAAAATCATGGTCGCTTATCCCTCTAAATGTTGGGATTGATATTGCAGCAAAATCATGGTTGCAAAAAATTAATGATGCATCAAAAATCTGCGTTCTAGCTCTATATCTATGCTAACTCTACCATGATTCTATTAAATTTTCGAATAAATAGATGGATATATTTTTATATAATATATGAATCTTCTGTCTGTTTTTAGGTTTTTAATTGCATTTTATTTGTTTTTAATTTTTTTTGAAATAATTAATTTTTTTTAATTATTTTTTCTGATTGAGAAATTTTTTTGATTGAAATGTAAAATTAAAAAAATGAAAAACTTTAAAAATGAAAGTCATGATTTTAAGTTTGTGTGTGCACGCATTTTAATAAAATTTGTTTATCATTGAAAAAATTAATTAGAAAGATTAAATAAAGTATTTAAAAATTTTTGAAAAAAATATATAAGATGCAATTAGAAAGTAAAAAACATAGATTTGATGTATTATTTATTTTAAATTTTCATTATTTTGTAGAAGTTATGATAGAACAAGTATGTCAAGTTGAGTTTGTGAATTTTTTGATTGATTTTAGAAATCTTTGAATTTTTAATTATTTTAGTTTTAGTCTATCCAATGATTTCAACTATTATTCTTCTTTTTTAAAAAAATTTAATTCTTGATATTTTGAGTTGAAATTTTACACACTTTGAAAAAATTCAATCCATTTTGTAAAATAATTCTAGAATTTTTCAAAATAAAAAAACTATGTTTGTTTATTTTTTAAACATTAAAAATATATTTAAAAAAAGGAGAAAAAATAGAAATTAACTCCGAAATAATTTCAAATTTTTTTAGGAGCCCCACATAAATCTCACTGAATGATTTTCATCATGATACTATTTATTTGATTTTTATTTTCTAAGACAAATGACAAAAAACTGAAAAATGGGCTAAATCTTAAAAAAAAAAAAAAAAAATTAGAAATCCTCAAAATCAATAAAAAAGTTCAAAGCTTCAATCTCAAATGACTTAAAATTCAATAGTAGTCAGGCTCTTTTAACCAAAATAGATAATCTTACTAAAGATAGATATCGGAGATGCTCAAGACTGATCTAGCACATTATATAAACTAGAATCTAAGATATATATATATATATATATCGCCAAAAATAGGAATTTGTAGCCCACAATTTTAGAAAGTTAGCGTTGGTTGTTAATGGTTAGCTTGTCAGCAGTGTCGGTATTATCATGATAGACTTTGTTTACTACTGCGAAGATTTGAGTTATTTGCCTTTTTTGTAATAAAACATTTTTTCAAGGTTAAATATTCTGAAAAAAGAATGTTAATCCATAATTATTTTACAAATACAAGAAGCTCACTACTATTAAACCAGAGATCTATTGATAAAAAGAACAGCAATTCTCAAGAGACTCGAAGCAGAGACTCAAAGCCACAAGGCTAGACCACATTTTTCAATGCTTTCTACTTCAAGTTGCACGGTAAAAGGAAAAAAAAAAACGGCATCTCCTTGCTAAACATGCTTTCAGCATCATTCAGACCTGTGGTTCAAGTACAGTATGCTTCAAGTATCACTAATGTATAAACAATGATTCTGTCCATCATTACACAATCTGTAATGCCTGTATACGCAGATAGGTTTGGCACAAATGTACAAACTGTACGAGGACTACATACAGTAAGTACATGGGAAGGCCTTTTCTGTCTGTATATCACTCAAATTTTCTTGCCACTCAAATATCATGCATATCATTCTACAAGTAGTCTGATCGCATCAACTTTACTATTAACATCCAATGGTTTCTCCCTTGTGAACCCAAAAACCTACGACGGAATTGCAGAAGGAAGCATTTCAAGTTTTGGCAATGGCCAGGCCATGCTTTCCCTTGTATCTGAGCACATCAACTCTGTCAATGGCATCCAATTCCTTCTCCTTGTCAATACCAATATCAGTGATGGGAAGCACGGAAGGAACGCTTTTTACAGTAGCTGAGTCTTCATTTTCCCTTGGAGGGGAATGACTGTTCTTAGCAATAGCAACCCCATGCTTTCCCTTGTATCTGAGCACATCAACTCTGTCAATGGTATCCAATTCTTTCTCCTTGTCAATACTAATATCAGTCATGGGAAGCACGGAAGGAATGCTTTTTACAGTAGCTGAGTCTTCATTTTCCCTTGGAGGGGAATGACTGTTGATCATACTCAGCCCATCATCTTCTCTCAACTTTGTATCCACTGAGTCGACGTCCTGGCTGTTACTATTTTCTTGTATCCCTTTTTTCTCACTTGCATCCTGCAATATTTTTTGGTCTTCATTAGTTAATGATGGCGCATCGGATGTTACAGGTTTGTCAGGCAACTCAGGTGCATCAGGCGACTCTTGTTTTTGCTTCTGATCCAAATTCTGGACCAGTGAACCAATTGCGGACTTGGCGGGAGACTTCACGCTGCCACCACCAGACACACTCTTGGTTTTCCTGACAAGATGGTGAAGCCACAATAACTGTTCAAGAATATAGGCTTCTGTTTTCTTCTTGTCTGCATGGTGGAGTGTTTCGATTCGCATTATATCAGCTGCTCCAGCAGAAGGCTTTCTGTTGGCCTCAGACCTGTATCCACAACCACCATATCTTCATTTACTCTGGCCATTCTGCTTACTCGTATTAACAATAAAAATTGGAAAAATAAATTGGTAGAAAGCTATGGACTCACCCGGTACTTGCCCACTCTCCAACCCAACCAAAGCCGTGATGGGCTCTGTTTTAGATCAATTGAAATGCAAAGCAAAATGGTAACAATTAGGCAGTGCAACACAGCAAAATTAAGGATATAAAGCAGCGAAAAATTTTGGATCTTGGGGAGGGAAAAATAATTGGCATTACATACTTTGCTGTGTTAGTGGACATTGGAACCAACCACTGTAGTATCTTCTCCATTTCATCTTTAATTTCTGTAATGGTAAGCTGGACAGGCAAATCATACTTGATGTTAACAAACTAGAGCATCTGCATGGCTGAGAAAATAAAAACCAAGGGGAAAAGTAATACCTCGTCTTTGACATGAAAAGATTGCAATTTGGAACGTAGAGCTGATTTCACACCAGGCGGCAAGTTCTGGTACAATGCATCCTTACCATTTGGAGGCATAGAACCTGATCGTGCCACCTGAGAGCATCTATTATTAGAAGGTCTTGAAGCAAGATTATAAGAACATGAGTGCATGCATGAATAGGAGGAGCATGATAAAGCAGCGAGCTTAATTTTTTTAACAAAGGCAGTTCAGGTAGGAAAAATGAGCAACAACCAAAGATAGTAAACAGTGGGAAATGAGTGTGGGAATCTTCAAACCATATTCCGAGTGATTCAGTTCAGCAGGGATACTGAAAACCGTCAACTTAGTCTGGGTCAGAGCAAAACATGAGGGTGCGCCTTACAGTTAATATGGTTGGGTACTAGAAGATGTCTGTGGATACTAATTAGGAAATGAGCTAGACATTTATGAAGCATGAGGATAATCATTTTTCTTGCAATGCAAAATAAAGCAGCACGGTGTTCAAGTGTTTCAAGTTATTGCATTGTAACTCTATCGAGGCTAGCCTCTTAGGACCCCGATTTAGCAGTTCTTGGCCTTATTGGAAAGGCCATGCACCAGGTAATCATCATCTCTTCTTATAGTAGGTATTAGGTAAGTCAGAATTCTAAAATAAACCTCCTCCAATGAAATGGTGCACACACAAACACACAATATCCATTTTCATTTCGGAGGCACTGTTATGAAGTTGTTAATAACTCTTTCAATTCTTACATGGTAACAGAGCCATACATGAATGCGAGTTTGTGCATGTACATGCATCCAAAAGTAATATCGGTTGCAGTTTGGCAAATTGCAGGTAAGAACATGTAATTTTACAAGATGCAAACTTTGAAAACTAGGGCAACATGTAAGGGACTCCACCACACAACGGCATTTTATGTCTGTAGCAAAGTATATATCGAAAATAAGACAGCTTGTCCATGCTTACGAGTGCAGAAATCACAGAATATAGTTCAACTCATTCAAGATTGTACTTCCAACAACGTTTCTGATTTTCTATTGCTTTTCTTTAGTGGCAGGACTGTCCTTGCTATATTAGAAGCCCATCAGTTTATGTGAAATCATGTCACAACAAATCTTGGTTACTTGTAAACTAATAATTACCAACTTCGAAGAATAATGGATAGACAAAATACGGAATGAGATTTAATATGATGAACATAGATGGCACTTACAAGGTTATCAATTTGCATAACTACATTTGCATAATGTAAAGAAAGACCAGCAGGTCCCAATCTTGGATGATTGCTCCCAGAATCTTCTTCTTGTAAGGAATCATCTGCATATACAACTAAATGCCATCAAATCAATTTTAATATGTGAAATCAAGTTATGCAAGAACTACTTAAAGGATGAAAATTCAAATATGCAGAAGCATGAATCCCAGAGGAAAATCCGTGGGTCAGTTTAGCTGGGAAAAACTACTTTCCATTTTGAACTACATGTATACTGTTCTTTTATCTTATTCAAAATGGTCTTAAAAGTTGATTGTTGTTGGTTTTACATTTTTGTAAAAGCAAAAATCCAAAAAACAAGTGTTCTGTTTCCGTTCCATACTATTGAAAACAAAAACAGAAAATGATACAAAATGGTAGTAAATATTCATTGGTTAACAGTGAAAACTTATTACACTCTGAATATACAAGTGCATCCATGAAAAAATTCCAAATGATAAAGATTATTAATGTTGATTGAAAAAATTTATAAACTGATCATTTGCATTCAAAACAGAACATAGGTAAAACTAGATTGTGACTTTTGTGATGAAAACACCAGGAAAGTTGACATTGACAAGGATTACTGTCCTTTTCTTCTCCTTCCTCTCTCAGTAAAATATGTTCCATTTCACAAGCTGTGGAAATTCGCAAACCACCACTTCCATGTACATGGAACTAAACATGAGAAAGAGAGAGAGAGAAGCTGATGATTTAAGTTCAGACTAAAGAATCAATTGTTTGAGAGACACGCATATACACTTCAAATACTTTCCTTTGGATTTCAAGTTTTGGGTTAGTAATTTGCTCTGTAACTGAGAATTGAAACTAAAACCAAAATGGGACAACACCAGAACTAGCAATTTCCGCACATGAAGATTACATATTATGAAGAAAATAGAAGGAGAAATGCACTTGGCGAGCAAAAATAAGATGTTCTCAAGAACTTGATCAAACACATACCGACACTACCATATCCATATGCATTGCCTATCTCGAGGATCAAAAAATGGACAATATCTACAAGCTTCTCCATCACCTGTATAAGATAATTTGGTCACTAAGCTTGGTAGAAAATCGATAATATTTGTTGTCGTAAATCAAAAATCATAATCTCAATTATGTAGTCACAGAAAGTAACAAAATAATCAGCAATGCTACCTCTTCCAAACTTCTAGACCAGAGTGATTTCTTCTTTACGCTTCGTATTCGCTTTTTTGGCTTTTTATTTCTGCCTTTAACATCGCTAGGCTTTCTCCTGCATTTCAGGATGCAAGGACACAAACTTAAGTTTGATCTGGTCTACAAATTTTTAAATTAATGAAAAATTTCATTTCTGGAAAAAACGAGCAGCATGCTGTTTAGTAACTAAAAAGGAAGCCATATATCACAGTTAAATAGATTCAGCATCACAGCATGATCCTCAGTCACATAAAACTCTTTATGAAGCATGAATGGCTGCAATTTTTTTTTTATCAAGAAAGCACTCAGATAACCATATAGGAGTTCAGAGAGAAGGGAATGGAGAATTAACCTTTCTGATTAGCAGCTGCATTATCCTCCCTACGTTGACATTCTTCTTCCATTCTGTCCAAAATTTGCAATTCATGGTATAGCTCCTGCAAACCCAAGATGATGCAACAGAAAAGGTTTACACAACAGATCATGTTGCTCCAGTTATGCAAGCATAAATCAGGAATGAAAAAATAAAAAATTGATGCAAAGCCACAGACTCAATGTATGCACATCATAAATGTCAAGAATATTATTAAATTGCAAACATGAGAAAAGGCAATCATATAAACACTGGCATCGGAAAATGCAAGAATTCTGCTACTGATATGTCCTTAATCAGAACCTTTTGTTTATGCAAGGTTATTGACCTTGTTTTCAGACACAACCATATGAAACTACTAAAGAGGCCATCCATGGACACATTAAAGTTTGCCAAATCCTAGTAAGAAAGAATATTGCACACTCACAGCTGTACACTGAACCAGAATCATTAAAATCTCTATTATGGATTCTGCCTCCTCCCTCAACTCCTTACGAGGAGTTTGTTCTCTGCTAATTCTAGGGGGGAAAAAAAGAATTTCAATTAGTAATCAATACTATAGAAGTATATTGTAAATATGATTGCCAAAGAAGGTACGGTGACATATATATTACTTCTCAAAATAACGGTCCAAGTTATGCCATTGAGGATCTTTACACCGATTTCCAAAACGAACCACTTCTCCAGAAAATATTTTCAGCTCTTCTCTGCAAAATAAGTAAAAGAAGACTTCAATGTACTGTTATAGAAAATAAACAAATTGGAAGAAAGCTAGCCAATAGAGGCATTATGATGCTAGCTAACTTATAAGACACTCACCTCTTATCAGCTGCAACAATGCTCAAAAGTTCATCCATATCTTTTGATATCAGATTTTGCACGCCTTCTGAAAGAAGCACCTCTTCTTTCAAATGTCTTACACTTCGTGGAGAAAGAGATTGCATAAGGTTGGAACCCTTGACAACTGTGTTTGCTACCTCAAAAGCTAAAATTCCAAGTTCATTGCCCTTAGCTGCTACACTAGAAGTAAAAGTATGGGGGTTTAAACTTGTCATGCTACTCCCTAGTGTGTCCAGGACCTCCACTGCTTTCCCTAGTCCAAGAGTGCCAGCTCTACTTAAACGTGAACTAACCTCCGAAACCTGCAAAATATTGCGCTTCATTAGATGTGTTCGATAACATTATCAAATTAGTAGACCACTGTAGAATTGTAGTAGGCTATAGTCTAGATTATTCCTACGGGTCTTCAGCGGGCCAACGTTGCCGATTACACATATAAGCTTTTGTAAATGCTCCAATTAGAATTACTGATGCAATGTCAACATGCTTCTGATGCCGGTTTGTTCAAAAAAACAAGAACTTTTCTCCGAAGCACTATGGAATAAGATTGAAAGAACATTCCATTTTGATCATTCCTTTCTCAACATCCTATATCGGAGAATATTCCTATTTACTCTAGCATGCCCATATGCTAGACATCCTTTCACCTCACCAAAACTCTCACGATTAAACGAAATAAAATTGAGAAGGATTGACAATTGTGGCGACTAAGGATTCAAAAATTGGGATTAAGGGTTGCTACTACCTGTTTACTCGATTTAAACTACTTTTCTCAATATTTGACTCCAATCCAAGTTTTTTCACATCATCTACACTATTTTTTTTTCTGGGTCCATCCAACACTTCAAAATCATTAACAAGCTTCTCCTAATTACCAACAAAACATAAAAGAACTTGTCTTTAAACATAGCCAAAACTAACTACTCTTGCAAGAAAAAGAAAAAATGGAAACTTCAGTTGACCAAACAAAACAAAATTTGCAAACTTTACCCTGGCAACGGCTGCTTGTCTGCGAATTGATCTTGATTTGATTGATGAAGATGGATATCTAGGAATCCCATCATAAAACTCATCTACAACATCATTTTTAGCGTATAAAAATGATTCCTGTGTTTGCTGCTTCAAATTAGCCTCTTGCAATTCCTTCTTCTCTTTACTTTCCTTCACTTGTTGAGTACTTGAAATATGTGGCTTGTTGTAATAAGAATTAACACCATTCACATTAGTATTTGCATATGGATTGGTTTTCTTGTTATTGGCATTGGGTTTCTTCGAACAAGCCCCTCCCATGGTTACTGTCTAGGGATCAATTAACACTAACACAAGCTGTGAATCCAAAGACAACAAACACCCAATTCAGAACACAAACATTTGAAGCTGAAAAAGATAGAAAAAGCGAAGATTGAAACTTTACAAGTTATTTACCAGATGATTAAGAAGTGGTTTTTTCCAAAGAGAGAGAGAGAGAGAGAGGAGCTGGAGGGTGTAAAAGTCCACCAAACATAGACATCCCGCCTAAAAAAATAATGACATTTATTTAATTTTGTTAAACAATCACATGTAGTCCTCCTAGTTTGTACTTTTATCAAACCAATTTCTATACTTTCAATTAAATCATTTTAATCATTTTATTTTGTTACAAAAGTTGATTTCAGCCCTTTTGATCTTTTTTCTTTTATCAATTTTACAAATAAAAGTACCATTAGACTAGATTTCAGACCAAAATTAAATCCATCTCTCCAGTTAGATTAAAATTATGCTATCTATATTAGATTTAGGTGGATTTGTTAGAATTTTAATTCTCGAAACTAAATTAAACTTTATATTTGAACGTTGAAAAATTAAAAAGAGACTGCTTCATGATCATGAAGTAAATTATCACATGAATGCCACATATTATGTAATAATTAGATGAAGTGTCTTCAATTGTCTTTTACTAAAAATAGAAGTAAATAGCTCAATATGTTTTTATATAATAATTTGATTCTTCAATATATATTTATATTTATTAAAATTTTGAATAATTTTTAATTCTTAATCTGTTTTTTAATTAATCTTTTGATCATAAATAAATTTTTTTATCGAAATGCTTCTTACTAAAACGAACACCCCACCCCCCCCAAACCCACTTAAAATCACATACATTGCATATTTCATTTTTAATAATTTTTATTTTATTTTATTTATTTATTTATTTTTCATTTCAATCAGGAATATTTCAATAAATAAAAAATTGATCATGGTCAAAAAAATAGATTAAAGACTCAAATATTATTCAGAAAGAAAATAAATATAACTAAAAATATAAAGTCAAATTAAAGACTCAAACTATTACATAAAAACATATTGAGCTATTTATCCTAAAAGTAGAGAAGTTGATTTGACTTGATATAAAGTTGAGTGTTTGGTTTCATTAATTGTCAAAACTTGAAGGACCATATGTGATTTTTAGACATATTGAAGAAATTTGGTATGCTTATTATTTGTGCTGTTTTTTATTGGCATCCAGTGTTAAGACAGACAACGAATCAAAAGACAGAGATTCGTACAATGTTTGTAACCAGTTGATGTTGTAATAGGAGACAGCAGCCGTCTGCTTATTGCTTTATTATGGTCAAACAATGGGATTTGACAAGTTAGAACTGGTCAATTTTTCTAACTTCGCCGGCTGATGCCGTTTCCTGGCCGTAGTTGGCGGTGTTGGGTCGAGGTGGGTCCCTTAGCTAGCGGTTGATTCCAGTTTCTAACAAATAATGGTTTCTTACCTGAGAGATTACGAATTTAAATCCTCATAAATTAGTGTTGTTAAAAAATTTTACTATATGAGTTAAAAAATATATATATGGAGAAGAGACGATCGATGGAGGTGGAACAAGAGACGAAGAGAGAAATGTGATCGATAGTAATGTACAAAATAAAATATGTGTGTTTTTGTATTTTGTTTGGTTGATGATGAATAAAATAATACAAAATGCAAAAAAGTTTTTATTTATATTTATTTATTTATTTCATCCTTGTTATATTGCTTTTATACAATGTTATTTGAAATATTGGATATATCTTTTTTTTTTCATGTCATTGTATTATGTATGTTTTACTTTTCCAATAATCTCTAAATATGGAGAGTTTTTTTTTCTCTTTCACAATGTTCAAAAAATAATTTATGAATTTATTTTAAATTTTTATTTTATTTTATTTTACGTAAGATTATATATATATATTCACGTGCTGCTTTTAGAAATGTAATAAATAAAATATCCACCTAACATGCTTTTTTTTAATGCCTTGTTTTTATTTTTTTTAATTATTGAGTTTTTCTCTTTTCAATTTTATTCATCAATTTAGTTAATTTATTTTTATCATTTGATACAATGGATTAAAAAAGAAAAATATTTAAAATATTCTTATTTATAAAAATATTTTTTAGATGCATATTTGAAAAAAAAACATTATAAGCATGAAAATAAATATTTGGAAAAAAAAGTTGAAAAAACATAAGATTTGGGCTTGAAATGAAGCCTAGGCACTTCTAGGCTGGGCTGGGTTGGGCTACATTCCAATAAAGAAAAGATTCAACGACCCGTTGCTTATTCTGAGGCAAACTTGCCCTTTCCGAGCAAGTCACCGTTTCTGATGTAGTTCGGTTCAACATGTGAATGTTGTAGAGTTGCTATAGGCATAGTTTCAAATAAATCTCGTCGCATAACTGTCGTTATTTAACAGAATCAAATTTATTCATTATCTTTCTCAGTCGTTATAAAACTCCTATTAGTTTTTACACAAATAACAGTAAATAACAACATTATCATTATATAATATTGTTATTTTATATTTAAAATTTTCTTTTTTTTCTATAAAAAAAAATTGAATCTATTATACATTCTTTATGGTGTTATCTGTATGAAATCTTACATTTTGAAGTTAGATTTATTATACACTCTTTCAGATGCTATCTATATGAAATCTTATATTTTAAAATTATAATATATTTTATTATTTTTTTGTGTGATATCAAACTATTATAAGTGCTATTAACTTTTTTTTTTTTATCATAAATTCAATTATTATTATATGATATTAAACTATTAGAGATGTTATTATTATACATGATTAGTATAACTATTAAAAAATGTGAATCAAAATAATTTTTTTAATAGGTGTCGACGTATTCAATACATCAGCTGTCGTAATCATTATTTTACCATCGCAATGAATTATAATCCGCAACTACTATTTTTGTAATTACATCTACTATTTAAAACTATAGCTATAGGCATATCGATGGCACACTAGAGAGTCGATGCATTCTTAATGTTTGCATTCATTAATGCTTTTGCTTGATGCGGGATGTAAATTTCATAATCTTGGAACATAATTATTTTTATTAAAATATTAATTTAATTTTTAATTGTAAAAAAAAAATTTATTTCGTTACACAATTGGTTTATTAGAAAATTAATAAAAACTCTACATTTCTACTTCTATTTCTATTTCTATTTTTTTTCTATTTATTATTATTAGAGTTTACTAGTTTCCTATTAAAAGAATCGTAATAGCATTTTGGCTAATAAGAATTAAATGATTAAAAGTTAAGTGTTTTGTGAATTTTCCAACTGTTCAATGAAAATAAAATAATATAATTCTCAATCATGAAAAATACTGGAATTTTTTTAGAAAATAGAATAGATTTTTTTTTCAATGTGTGTGAAATTTTCAAATCAAAATGTCAAAAATTAAAATTTTAAAGCGAAAAGTTGATAGCTAAAAATCATATGATGGACTAAATCTCAAAATAAATAAAGTATAGGAGGTAAAAATATAAATTTAAAATTTAAAAACTGATTTTCAAATAAACCAAAGTTTAGAGGAAGGTTCTCTTTTAGCTATATTTTATAGATAAGGTATCTAATTGCCATTTTATTTTTCTAGGTACCAAATTTGAAAATTATGTTATAGTTGGGAGGAAAACACATGTCTACAGCTAGAATGGTATCGTTGAACAAGATGACTGGCAGGTGGAAAATTAACGATTCCTCCTCCTCTCTCTGTGCTCCTTTTCACTCTTTCAAAGTCTTACATCTTTCCCTTCTGACAAAACAAAAACAAAAGACGATCTTATAATTGTTTAACCTCAAAAACAACAAACACATGTAACTTTTCAACTTATCTGTCTTTGCAGATGCTGAATTGGTCAACTACAATCATCATTATCATCAACGAAAATAACAGCATCAAGAACATTACTTTACAGTGTTTTAGGGGAAACCCCAGATTGGATTTCTCATTGTTTTGATAGAATTTTCATCCCTTCTTCCTTTTGTTTTCCCATCTATCTATTTATGTATATATGTATGTATGTGTATGTATATGTGTAGATGTACTCGAGCAATTTAACAGGGTTTATACTGGCAGTGGTTTCCAGTGCCTTTATAGGCTCTAGTTTTATAATCAAGAAGAAGGGTCTTAGGAAAGCTGGTGTTAGCGGTCCTCGAGCAAGTAAGTCGAGTTCTTTTCGTGAAAAGAATATTGTGTTTTGGTTGAATTTAGTGTTTGTTGTGTTTGTAATGGTGATTGAATTTGGTTTGGTTTTGGTTGTTTAAGGTTCTGGAGGCTACGGTTATTTGTTGGAGCCATTGTGGTGGATTGGCATGATTACTAGTAAGTTACTTTTATTACTGATGTTTTCGTTGTTGTTGTGGTTATTCAAGTTTTTTTTTTTTTTTTTTTTTGGAGGTAGAACCCAGTTAGGCTACTTTGGATTTTGGTGGAATTTGTTTGAGGGATGATGGTTCTTGTGTGCTTAGGTTTGATGTATGTTGATTTGATTGGTGTTTTGTTGGGGGAATTTGACAGTGATTGTTGGAGAGATTGCCAATTTTGTAGCATACATTTATGCTCCTGCTGTTCTTGTGACACCACTTGGTGCATTGAGTATCATTGTAAGGTAAGGTTGATTTCTAGTTCAATTAGTATCTTTTGTTGTTTTTTACTACAAAGCAACAGTTACATGGTTAGTGTGTCTGATTATGTGAGTGAACATGGGCAGTGCGGTGTTAGCCCATTTCTTGTTGAGCGAGAAGTTGCAAAAAATGGGGGTTTTGGGCTGTCTTCTATGCATAGTTGGTTCTACTGTGATTGTGTTACATGCACCTGCTGAACGGTCCATTAATTCAGTCGAAGAAATCTGGGAATTAGCTATCCAGCCAGGTAGAACTCTGTCTTGCTTAGTAGTGCTATTCTCTTGTTTGCACCTTCATCCTAATCAATTTGATGTGTTTTCTTTTCTTTTCCAGCATTTCTTTTGTATACAGCCTCTGTGGTAGCTATAGCATTGGTGCTGATTTTGTATTTTTCTCCACGCTATGGCCAAACCAACATTTTGGTCTATATAGGAATTTGCTCTGTAATTGGATCATTGACAGTAAGTATCTTGTAGCCCTTTTGCTAAGTGTTTACTAAGATTAGATGAATTTAACACCTATGTTTTATGCATATGTGGTCTAAGAGCTTTGAAAGTTTAATCCTAATGGAACATTTGCATGTCTTTCTATAATAATAACTGCAAGTGTACTTGTTTTGCAGGTCATGAGCGTAAAAGCCATTGGCATTGCTATAAAATTAACAATAGATGGCATAAATCAGGCCAAATACTTCCAAACATGGATTTTTGCAATGGTTGCAATTACTTGCATCATCACTCAATTAAATTATCTAAACATGGTCAGTACCTTAATATGCCGTTCTATCAAAATGTAGTATTATCTGAATGGTTATATATTTTTGACTTGTAGTGCTACATGATGGTGAGTTGGTGATGTTTAACCATTTTCTCTGTGACAAACATACTTTTGCAAATGAGGACCAAATTACTTTACAACTCTGGAAAGGGTTGCATTCATATCTTGTTACTGATACTTGAATTCATCTATGACTGTCCTGAGACTAGGTTACTATCATCATTGCCTCTAACTCATTAGTTGTGCATGTTCGTAGGACCTAGTTGAGGGTGTGCACACACATGCTCATCTTGAGGGATCTGACTTCCAAAAAGATTTAGAATGATTTAGTACCTAGTTGCGTCTAACCTGTTATATATTTTTGACTTATAGTCTTACCTAGGGCCTACGTATCTATAACCAGAACCATTGGTATATTAGTTTAGTCAAGGGATCTAGAAGCGTCAATGAATCAAGGATGAATATGCTTAAAAATCTTCTACAAATTCAGAATGCTTGGCAAATTCTGTCTTGTTACAATATTATGCATAAAAATAAATAAATTTGGTTTTCGAGTTACGAAAGAAGAAAAATAAAAAGAATATTTCACTATTGTGGGGCTTCGAAACTAGATAAGGTTTCCTAGAAGAAATTTGGAATTCTTGACCATCAAATTATGGGCATAAAGGAAAAATGTTTTTGTTTCTTAACTTGCACTGACATAGAAGTGCTTTGTATGGAACGAAGTTGTCCGGACCCATACTCATAGACAATGTTTTTGAAATACATGGGCATAACATTTAATTTTAACAAATTCAACCACTCAATGTTAATGATTCACTCCAACTAATACACTTCTAGGCAGATATTTCCTTTCCACGAGGCTTTGATCTCCATCATAGATCTCCCATGATACACCTGCAAGAATTCAATCAAGACAAATGTGTGGTCTCATTGAGAATGTGTTGGTGATAGAAAGTTAAATAGATCAGCAGATGCACAATAGCACTCTGAACGGAGTTTATATATATATATATATATATATGTACACTCCCTCATCTTAAAAGTTTATGGTTATTTGGTAAACAAGTGCTGAATACACTTGGAAAATCTGTGGCAATGGGTCCATTAGAAGATGATTCTTTCTTCCTCTTCTTCATGTGCATTCTGGAAGATTCCTAGTCTCCAAAATTTAGATTCAAAATGTTGCATTGTCATAATTGTGCTTCAGTTCAATACAAGCTGTTATCTGTTGTGGTTGCAGGCATTAGATACATTCAATGCAGCAGTTGTTTCTCCCATCTATTATGCTGGGTTTACATCCTTTACAATTCTTGCCAGTGCAATAATGTTTAAGGTATTGTTATGCACACATGCCATGGAGTGAGAGAGAGAGAGAGAGAGAGAGGAGAGGGAGAGAGGGAGAGGCAGGGAGGGAGTAAAGAACACTTCTAACTCTTTCTGTATGTTTTCTGAAGGATTATTCTGGTCAAAGCGCAAGCAGCATTGTATCAGAGCTTTGTGGGTTTCTTACCGTGTTATCTGGGACTGCCGTATTACATAGTACCAGAGAGCCAGATCCACCAACCCTACCAGGTAGATCTCTTATGCAATTAGGTTGGTGAATCTTGCTAGATGTTAAAATTTTGACTTACATGCATGCTTGCTGAGTGTTTCATATTTGCTTAATGTTTGAGCCATGGTGCACATTCAATTTCATTACTTTCCTAATTAGAAAAACGTATCAGTAAGAATCAAAATCGTGAAATCTATAGCATTAATGTTCATTTTATAGTGACAGAAACGCAAAGAAAGGAATAGGTTATCAGAAGTACTAGTGGAGTTTCTCAGTATGATGAATTAGGTCAAGAGCATGAGTCGGTTGATACAAGAAAAGCAGTTGACTGAGTGGGAGAGAAAGTTAGTCACTCTGTTTGGAAGATGTAAGAGTTTGTAGTGAGGACATTGAAGAGGAGAAACGAACATGCAAAAACATCTGTAGGTGCGTGGAGCGTATTCGAAGATAACTAGGAAAAGGTTTGAATATTGGTTTAAGGTTCTTGAAAGATTTTGAAATTATTTGGTAGAAACTCTTTAGGTTCTTGCAACTGGCCAGAGATGTTGAAGACTTCATTGCAGATGAAACAATCAAGTGTTTTTGGGAGAACATCAATGGGAAGGCTTCGAAAATCATGAATTAATCACAATGTCTGACTTGCAATGAGCACTGAATTGGTATCAAGGAAATTGAAATAAAAAATGTGCTACTTGAATTAACTTGAAGAGAAATGCATACATGAATAGAAACTAAGTTGAATATTTAACTATGAAGTTGTGATGTTTTACACCTAAACAGAATAATGTTTCCACACCTTCACCATTACCGATGTGCACTAATTTTATTTCGCTGGAAAAAGTGAACTCTAAATGTTTATGAATTATGACTTTAGGCCCTAGCCCAATATGTTTTGTAATTTTCATACTAAGAATAAGATTCAAGTTCCTGTAGGTTTTCTTCACCTCACTGAAATGTCAGTTACTGCATGGATAACTTTTGTTCATGCTAATATGTTAAAAGACAATTATTACATAGATTTTATTTTCTAGGGTTGCAGACCCTTAATGTTAAAGGAAATTAGTGCATTTGTCTGATAATTCCAACTATGCAGATCTTTATGCCCCGTTGTCTCCAAAAGTATCATGGTACATCCAAGGCAATGGGGAACAGTGGAAACAGAAGGATGAAGATGGTTCACCTCCCAATTTCGTCACAATTCTCCGGCAAGACCATTTCAAGTGAAAGATAATATACTTGAGGTGCTACAGTTTTCAACTTGTTGTGGTGCCGAAGGCCCTAAGCAGAACAGCTCGATTGTCTATGGCTTGTGCAGGTGAAAACCATGTGGTAATTTTTTGTTAGGGAATTCTTTCTACTTCTTCCCCCTTTTAAGATTGTAATAACAACTTCATCTTGCAGTCTTGTGCCATGTCGTTAGTAGTGGTCTCTCACCTTATTTTGATTTTCACATTTTTGTATTCTCTCTCAACTTGTAGCTATATTTGCTTTCATTCTTCAAACCATGTCCAGTCTCAGTGTGTAGATTTCAGAGTGAGCTAACCCATGTAGTTGGGTCCTTGTAATCTAATTTATTCAATTTTTACATGATAAGCTTTGGTAAATTCGTCTCTTTGGTTGTGCTGAAATTGATTATTTTTCCTTGCTCGCATAATGAGTTTTATAGCTTTAGTTGCCTCTTAGATAAAGCTTGATATTTGATTAACGTTTTATGTTGAGGAGATTCAAGCGGCCTCTACCAAGGGTTCATTTGCCGTCCGATACTTACATTCTCCACGCAAAAAAATGAAAGGTTGTCTTGAAAAGAAGCAATCAACAAACAACATTATTGTAAAGGGCCTCTAATTCTCATGCTCTCCTGCTGCGATTCAAGTCAACAAACAGCTCCAGTTCTGCTTGTTCTCTCACATGATCGATATGTCCGAAAGAAAACTTGAATGGAGTATGGTATTTCAGCGATATCGTCACTTGCATCGACTCAACGCTCCTCTACTTCTAGGAGAGCTACCCCAGTTATTCAAGTCATTAATGGTGACAGTCAAGGGTTGGCACGATACTGGGTGATGATCAGTTCTCTACCCGGCAGGAATCTACGAGAACGGGAGAGAAGCTGGAAACGGCAAGATGAGCATGGACTAGGAATAATAATCAGAGACTTGACAGAAACCTTTACAGCAACAGGATACAGTAAAGATTAGTTCTTGTAGATATTCACTACAATGGAACAGTACTCTTTTCATAAAAGAAGTGTAAACATACACCTGTCTTCAATAAACTTGTAGCTTAACTAGCACTTGTTCCTTTCTTTCTTGAAAGGTCTCAGATCGAGCCTCATCTGTAACCGAAAAAATATGCACAGCTCTCAAAAACTGTCAACAAATTTCCCAAGAAAATAAGCCCTCTGAAATGAATTGGCAGGTAACTCTGCTGGAAAAAATAGAAATCTTTGGTTGAAACCCTACTTAGGAAAAATCCATTCGGTTCCCATAGAAAGCCAATCAATCTTCTACATTAGGTATTCAGATATTCACAAATAACAGGAAAACTCTACAGAAATAATCCAGAAATGACAAAATAGAATAGAAAATCTGTATACGTACAACCACCCCTAAGAATTTTTCATACAAATCCTTACCCCTATGAATACAAACCTGGTTTGAAGCCCTGTAAACCAATCAAATTCTGGTTTCTATGTATAAAGTCTTCCTCTCATTTCGAGTAAGTTACATCTCTATCGATACATCATCATCAGGTAAAACCAAAGGCAATAGAGAATACTTGACTCGAAGAGAGATTTTTCCCTTATCGACATTAAGCTTTGCCCCCGACACAACCCAGTATCCAGGTGAGTCTTGTGGTCCTCTTGTCATCTCTATTGTGTCGACGAACTTCAAAAGTTTAGGGGTCTGAGCAGCAACTGGTGGTCCTCCAGGGTACACAGCTGAGTTTATGTTCACCATAGGTTGTGGTGGAGGCTGTTTTTGAGCACTTGAGAAACGAGTACTGATCAGTGTGGATATGATTCCAGATTTCTGGTTCAAGGCAGGGGAACCATCCCACTCAGACCTCCTCAAAGTCGTGGCACCAATAACTTTAGAAAATTGGAGGCGCAAAAACAGAACTTTTTTCAAACCAGATTCTCCAACTTCAAACGTGGCCCCGGTGACAATTGAGAGATCATCATCCGACTCAACAGGGGCTGTGCAGATATGCGAAAAGCTCTTCCATTTCACCTTCTCATAATATCTGTGATCGGAGGAGGCATCCGATATATTGCCACTCCGTTCATCTGCAAGTTGGAAGGTCTTTGGCAGTGAAGAAAGATGTTGCAAGTGAATTGCTAAGCAGTTGCTTCTTTTCCCTTCCAAGTACAGTCGAAGACCAGTAACTGGTTTCTTCCCCACATCGACCTGCCATGTGTTTTGAACAAAAAGATAAATACAATAGAATGGTGCTGAGTATCATCAACTTTAACTTATTATAGATATTCACTGCAATTCCGAGAAACATATGAGAAGATGCAAGAGTCTATGGAACGACGTAAGAATATGAACTCAATTAGTAACCAGCACTAAGTCCAGGTGATCACTTTAAAAAAGGGATGGGGGCAATCCAGGATAAAATATACAGCTTGCTCAAAACTCAAGATTACTTTATGATGGTTACTATGACAACGTAGGAAATGAAGCTTGATTTGACTTCCATCTAATCTAGAACAACGCAGATAAAAAATTAGGATAACTGCTTTTCCGTTGTAAAGTGTTTTTTCTATTCCTGATCTTCAATGGAAGATTGAGATGAGATCTATGTTCGCCTTGAGGCACAATTACTTTCCAGATGGTATTATGATCTCATATATGACGAATGACTGCGGAATGAACCTTGATTTCTTTAATGGAAGAGAAGGGAAAAATTGAAAGCAATATGCAAGGCCCCAATGAAAGAAAGGAAACATAAATCCCACAAACAAAACATGAAAATTTCACGCAATGGTAAGAGCATTACTGGTGTTGTATTAACATAAAGCTTAGGACCCATGAGGCTGAACTGCAAAGATGCATTACTTTGTTGCTTCCTATCAGGACCAAGGGCAAGCTCACCGAATACCGGTGCCCATTGCCTTGGAAGCTGAAACTCCAAAAACTGGTGTAATTCTTCAAGTGGCGGCTTATCTGCACTCAGAAACAGGTCAAACCAAACAAAAGTTAAAGAGTTGAGCAAGCAAAATAAAGGGATAAATTATTCAGTGATAGAGTGTAAATCCAATAAAACCTTTTAAATAGCTATCAAATTTTGATATAACACCACGTGAAATTCATTTTTATTTGTTGATTATTTAAATAAACAGCGGTTCCCATTCAGCTTTGAAAAGCGTTTTCTTTGGCAAGGATCATATAGAAACACAATGAATGTGCACTATCACAATCTCAAATCCACAAAATGCACTACATCAACATGCAAAATGAGAAGAAATTCCATGCTTACAACGGATATAGAGATTAATGGCGTGAGTCAAAAATCCACTCCCGTTGATTCCACTCAATAATGACGTGATTGGCACAAATGACATCGAGATAACATCAGGTTCAGTTTGAACAGTCAGACACCACTCATTGTGTGGTAGGTTTTTCTTCATTCCACCTTTGCGCTTGCTTATGAATTTAATGTCCTGCAAAATATATACAAATTTGACAGAAAGCACTATAAGGAAGCTCTCATGAAACTCAAAAAAAAAAAAGAAAAAAGAAAAAAGCAGAGTCGACCAAAGTTAAATACAAATTCAATGCATATCTATAGGGGTTAAAATCAAATTTATTTATGCCATTTGTGGATTACAGGCAGCTTGGAAGTTATTACACATTTCCAAAAGGTGTACCTCAGCCTGGGAATAAGAGCTGGATGGAAATTGGTCCATGAACGCCAGCCCCTGCTGCTTGACATGCTGGGAAAAAAAAAGTTATTGCTGAAAAATTGCAATTCTTTTAAGTTCACTTGAATTTCATTCATGTCAATTTAAGAGGGAAGGCGTAGATAGACTTTTCTCAAACCTTTTCTCTATCATAAAATTTATCAGAATTCACGATACTCCTTCCACCATCCACAAACATTTTGTCAGCCCTATCCTTTAATTTTTTCTGTACATCAACAGGTTGAAGAGGCGATGAATGCTGTTGCTTCACATATATCATATCCTTTCCCCCCATTTTGATGCCGACAATAGCATGTGTACCATACTTCTCAATAAACCTGGAAAGCAACGGAGAAGTATGATCAAAGTTGTCAAGGATATACCAAGTATCAAAGTAATATGCATCCTAAAAAAGTCAGAAGTTTCGTGTCTTTTGAATTCAGTCATACAAAGCAGATAACCAATTATCCATGCAATACGTTTCATAATCAAGCTAAACTTCTACAAATTGAATAATACTCAAATAGACTATACTGCAAATGCACATGACAATCAACAAAACAGAAGTACATACGCTCCAAAAAGGCAAAAACGTATCATAGTGGAATGCAGAATCAGACTTTAATACAGCTACCTCATTGAAGATCCATTATTTATATAGGAAAAAGGTATGACGATTGATGCTGAAAAGAGAGTGAGATAACAACACTAACATTTGTTCAGCGAGTACTTATCCAGCTACATATATTTTAAGCACTTCAGCCATATGTGGTAATAAACATGCAACATTTTGTCTTCCTCGAGTTACAGTTACAAAAACTATGAGCCTAGGTACTTCTTCAGAAGCATGAAGTCTTATTTATAACATATTCCCAATGTCTTATATATAGGAAACTGTTGATCTTCTAAACACCTTAAAGACCATTCCCTTCCTTAGATCAGCACACAGCATAAAAGGAACTGTACTAAGAGGTTGCGATCATAACAGCATTGAACGATTGACCCACTTCTGCTAACTAAATACTCTACAAAACAAGTTCAATAAAATCTAGAAATCTTCCAAACACATCTCCAGTTTGCAAAGTCAAACTGATGATAAAATCCTGTGGTGTAATGAAATACATAAAGAATAGGGTTTCTGAGATCCAACGTTATTTTCCATATTGTATTTTAAATACTTGTATATAAAGTTCTTTTCATTGTTTTCAAGTAAATTGTATTTCAGGCATTACCTCCCTAATTAAGTGAAACAAAGGCTATCACACCAAAGGATTGTTTGTTCGGTCATGAAATTTACATCCAAACTTACAAAAAGTTCATCCAGTGTTGTGGCTGAAAAATTTAATAAGACCAGGAAGGAAGTCAGGAACACACAATATGTTCTTGTTAAGGTCACAAAGATACCAACGTCAACCAATAATGGTAAAATTCCCAAGGCTAACCATACAGAAAAGGCTATAATCAGTATTAGTGTGATTATATTGCCAAAGAATCATTACAGGCTTAGAAATGGTGTGAGAAAAAAATGAAATATTATCGCCAAATGACAGAAAAAACAAGCATGTTTCTAATCTAGAGCAGGGTAGCCATCAAATCAAAAGAGCTTTGAGGTTATATAGACAACATCATTCTCTGCTATTCGAACATGCATTCTGGGAGGTATGGAATCATTCTCACCTTGCCAATGCAGCAGGTTCCCATGATGATGGTACAGCTTCTTTAACATGGTCACATAGCACAACCTGCGACTTCTCTAGTGCAATGCTGTAAAGTGTGATGTTTACACCATCAAAAGCAAGGGCTTTAGTACTGGCAGCATCTTTCTGCCAAACTCCTGAAAATTCAAATGCAGCATTGAAATGGCCTGAAGGAATTTTTCCAGAAAGAGAGAGTTCCTGGTTAAACTGCTCTGACATCTACAAGCAAACGGAAAACACTGTGAACCATTAAATCAAGTTATTTGTATCTATAACCAAACACCATTTTAATCCATTATAAAGCAATTTATATCCTTAATAGTTTGTAAAACACTAGAAAAAATTAATTTTCTCATGAATGCAATGCAATTTTCATATCTACTTCCCATTTGATCTCATCCACATTCATTCATAGCCAACTGTATCCACAGGCCAGTTTAGACACCAAATTTAAAAACATTCCCCTTTCATTTCGATACAGCAATTCAAATGCCTCAAATTTGACCATCAAAGGAATTAGAAGCTATCACTAAATCATAAGAAGAAACAAAGAAAGAAAAAGTTGATAAGATGACTTAATTAGAATTTAGGGCTTGACGAAGCATGGAACAATCAATTCTAACTCTTTTTTCTTCCTTGAAAAAAAATAGCTGATATTACAAAATCAACAAAAAATTCCATTAAGCTCATTACTCATGAGAGACAGCCAAAAGTTTAGCCAAATTGTTAAACTTTTGTTCCTTAAACACACACAAAGACAGATACTTGGACTACAAACTCCTTAATAAAACACAGACACAAAGACAGAAACTTGGACATACAAATTCAAAATAGAACACAAGTGGACAGCAACATAAGCCAAAAGAGCAACGTAAAGGTAAATTCTTTTTACCTGTTGAAAAGAAAGAACATCAGAGCTAAACCTCATACGCTCGCCTTTATCACATTTGATAGATTTGGGAACATTAGGAATAGAAAACCCACCAGGAATCACCATATTATGTACTTGTCTATCATCATCATTAATCACAATCAATCTTGGTGAGTTTTTCTTGCAATACTTGAGCCTTAAATCAAAACCCAGATCATACCCAAACCCAATTGCCTCTATTGCTTCTTCTGCAGCTTTCTTTGCACTACTCATGCTTACAAGTTACAATCTTTCACTCAAGACTTCAACTTTCTTTCTTCCTTTGTTTTGTTGGTTTAAATCCCATAAAAAGTGAAGCCTTTTTGGGTCTTGCTTTTTGTTAACATGGCATTTGTTGTTGTTAATTTTATTCAAGAAAAGTTCCTTGTATTTGAATGAGCTAAGGAGATGATGATGGTCAAAGTTTGATTTTTTATTCGTTTGATATTTTGATCCCAATTTTATTATTTTCCAGTTCTTAGGTTAGGTGAAAGTGGCTGGAGATCAAGTCAAAGGTTTTGTGCTACTGCAGCCTGCTGCTTTTGTTCTTTCCTTTTTATAGGAAAAGCAGAACCCATGTCATCATAGGCTGCTATTCCAGTTTTTTATGCAACCTTCTCCAAGCCTGCCATTTTTTCTAAGGGCCAGGAATGTTAATATGGTACAAATTGGTCTACCTACAAACTATAAATTAGTTCTTTTATTTTCTTTTTAATAACGAATTGATTAGTCTCCTTATTTCAAAAATTAATTATTTAATTATTTAATAATATTGATCATATTTAATTAATATTATTTTATTTCATAAAATGTCATCATTTCTCATCCATTCTTCCATATTTTTTATTTATGTTTTTTCATTTTATTTTTTAAAATAAAAAATCAAAATAAATTGAAAAAAATAAAAATAATTAAAAAGATATGTTGAACAGATCTAGTATTTATTTATTATTTTTTTTTTAACTTGATGTCCATGTGGTCATGGGAGTACTAAAGAATAGAATATCTCCTTTTCCTTCCTAAACTCCATTGCACTTGTTTCTAAATTTCAACTAAATACTTTTAAATAGAAATCTCAAATCTAACATTTGGAGTGTCATTCATTTACTAAACTAGCCAATATTTTTAAGAGTATTCTATATAGTTTATAGTATTCTAGTCAATTTTTATAAGATTTAATTGTGAATTAGTTTGTAACACCTTGAACTTCGACCTTCGACCTACGTAGATCAAGAATATTACTTAAAATCCCTCACATTCCAAGTACAAACTAATAAGAGATCAAACTTTAATTATACTCATTTTAATTTATAATTTTTTTTAATATCTAAAATTGTATATTGTTAATCAAGTTTTTTTACAATAACATTTTATTTAAAAAAATTCAAAATTAAGGGTTAAAAATATTTATATAATTTTTTATATAATTTCTAAAATGTTTATAATATTTTATAAGAAAAAAGTTATAAAAAAAAAGGTTCAAGATTAGAGAAGTTAAAAATATTTTTTAAATAATTAATAATAGAATGTCAAAACGATGTTGTTTTGACATTTAAAGTACCATTACACATAATAGAGATTAGATAATTTAGATAATATTTATCCAATTTCTAATATTTTAGGATTGAAATTACGTAATTTGATATCATATATTTGAAATTATCAAATTACAGTAGAATGAATATAAAATTTGTCATTAAACCATTTTGAAAATATGTAGGGTTAAATGTAGAGCCTATAACAATCAATGGGATGACAAATTAATTTTCATGGAGGAACATGTTTCTAAGCGATTCCTCTACCATGTCCGATCATCGAAAGTCGGATAGATACCACGTTGTCTTGGAAGTGGTCTTCGGCAGGCAATGCGCCCAATGGCGACACTTGCCACTAAAACTGATATAGGAGGATCTGATAGTTAGGTGCATCCATCGGTCAACTTAGGAGGTTAACAACAAATAATAATAATAATAAGGCCAAAACAATCTAACTATTTTTTAACGTTAAATCATTTTAAATTAAATTTTTAAATCTGATTATTAGTTTTATCAATCCTTAAACTTTAATTTTGTTTTGTGAAATTTAGACTATCTTTCAGTTTTATTTTATGATACATATAATTCGGTGAGTTTTACATAGGGTTCTTCAAAACATTTGACTCATTTCGAAGTATTTTCTATTTTCTTTGATTTTCTATATTTTTAATGTTCAAAAAATAAAAATATATAGTTTGAAAAATTCATTTCTTTTCTTTCTTTTTTTAACAAAATAAATTGAATTTCAACGTGTGTAAAATTTCAGCTCAAAATACCAAATATTAAATTTTTAAAAGAGAAATGATAGTTGAAAATCATTAAATTGACTAAACTTTTAAAAATTAAAAATTCAGGAATTCTCAAAATCAGTAAAAAAAAGTTTTAAGAACTCAACTTCAGATGAATTAAAGTTGAAAAATGAACCTTTTTAGCCTCATAATAATAATAATAATAATTAAATCACAGCACACCAAAGGCTGGTGAATTTGCCAAAAAAACAATACTGCCAGCATTCAACCAAGGTTCTTCCATCAGAATATGATTTGACTTTTCCTACCTGCCCATTGACATCAAGACACAACCATGTCAACTCTGCAATGAAGGGAGTGAGTGCCTTTATTTAGGTTGGTTGTGAAAGTTCCTTAATTTCCAAGAAAAGTTGACATTCAAAAGAAACAAAAAAAAGCCATCTTTCCCAAACGACATCTTACCCAATTGGCAGCTCCAGAGATTGGCTCTTACAAAAACATTGCATGTACACTAATAATCCTGTTGTACATGAGTTCTTAGTCCTGAACTCAATGTCAAAGAGTGTCAAGACCGTTGTTGGGCTTCTAGATCACAATATAGCTACTTGTGAACTTTGTAGGGACTGGGGATACAATGAGTATAAAGAAAAATAGAGAATGTTTGACGGAGCAAAAAATGCTTAACTAATAAATGATGCTAGAGTTTTCCTGCTGGATAAGGAAGTTTTGCAGTTACAAATAATAAATAAATGTCAACTATAATCTAATGATAGTCAGTCAGAAATATCATCCCCATATATTCCATTACCATTATCCAGATCAGTAACAGGTTTACTTCTTAATTTTGACAATCTACCAGAAGATTTCAATGGTTTCAAGGGTTTCCTGACCCTCCCCGCCTGCAACTCCAACCCCTTTTCTGAAGGTTTCCGTTTTCTCTTCATGCGTGTCCCTCCCGTGTCCTCTGTAAGAGAGTCGATTGTAATATAAGAGTTAGTTACCACTTAAACAAATAAACTAACATGGGACACTAGGAGTCAATTTGCTTAAAGAATTGAATGCCAGAAGCCTAGATAGTTTTTATGCATAGAGTCATCAGAATTCCATCTACTAAAATTATAGTAAGCTTTTATTTTTCATATTGGAAATCATTTTCCTCATTTCCTGTTTTTCTCCAAGAAAAGAAAGGGATCTAGAGAACTAATCATCAGTGTCAACTACCACACACAAACAGCATATTCCCAGAAGATAAGTATTCTGTGCCCTACAATGATTGGCAAATCAGGCATATGGACAATGTTAAGTTTTAAGATTATTTCACTCAGTGAGTTACTACTGCAAGCCCACTACTTTTTTGAAAGCTGGGAAAGAGCTAGTTGTTTACTGAAGAGCGTCCTACAAATCTCGAATCCCAGTTTGTGGTATGAAGAGAGAACATTAACAAACAGCACAGCATAATCTTTAGTTATAAAAATATCTCCATTCAAAAATCTTTTAAGAATACACATGTTGTTACCTTCAAGAGGACTTGATGCATGGTTCGTCGCTTGGCCATTCTGTCCAGCTTCTTCAGAAAGAGGAGATCCAGAATTATTAGAATCCATCAACTTCGAAGAACTTCCCATACACTTGTCTTGTTGCTCAGAAACGTCCGGACAAGGGGTAGCTGGCAAGAAACACAGTTCTTCTTGAGACAAATCTGAATCACTGAAATTATCTTTCTCCACTGTTACAATATCAACTTCGTCATCTTCATTAATATCTGATTCTTTTACCTGCAAGAATACATACACTTTGAGAAACATAAAAATGGAAAGAAGACTTGCTCAACCAGTCTTTTTTTTTTTTTTACCTTTTCAGTTTCAGGTATCAGATCAAATTCATCTTCGCGTTCCACATACTCTTCATTTTCCTCTAGCTCTTTGAAGTCTGGAGCGAATGCACTCCAGTTCTCAGTATGGTCCTTAGCCCAAATATAAACCAAGCCAGTCAAGGAGACAGATATAATAATGGGGTGAACAGGATGCCATGCTAAATCAATCAACGCCTCTTTTGGACCTTCAAGGATTTTTACAAGATGTCCAGCCCTATCCCATATGTAGATCTTGTGCTCTCCCTTGCTCGCAGAACCACCAATTACCCATTCCCCATCACCACTGAAACAAGGTGCTTTCCAGTGCACTTTGGTGATAGTATCCTGGAACTCCCGGAAAAGTGCTAAGCACTTTGATCCAACAGCCTTCATCTTCTCAACCCCAGCTACCTCATCAACAGTCTTGTTCATGTCCTCTAGAGCCGTAAAACCATCTTTTAGGGGAAGAAGATTTTCATATATCCTGATTGTCCGGTCATTTGAATTTGTAAGAAGATACTGCCCATTTCTGCTGAAGACTATGTTCTTGATCACAGCACTGCCAGAAGTGGGAACCATGGCATGTACTTGAATACTTTTGTGATCTATTATAAGTATTTCTCCTTTGGAGTTTCCCACATAAACCAGATCCCCAGATTTGTTAAAGCATGCAGCAGTTGGAGTGAAAGGGAGGCCATCTGAGGATTTGTTACGTGATGGAGGGACAACTCCGTTGTCCACTTCAGGTACTGTAACTGGAAGCACAGTGGTGTTTCCTGTGCTTAAATCAACAATCATGGGAGCAGATGAAAGTGGGCATGCTAGGCAGAGTGATGAAGAAGAGGAACCAGGATGCAGCCGCGCTAGTAGTGGGGTTTGTTGAAGAGTAATGCGTGTAATCTTCTCTCCACTGACGACATCCCAAAGTGTTAGTGATTTGTCAGCAGCAGACACGAGAATACGATGACCATACTTTGACCAGCAGACACTTGTTATGGCTGCAACACAGTCTTTATCCCGGAGCTCTTTTGCAATTCCCCTGGTCTCAAAGTCCCAAATAACGCAACTTCCATCAGTGCATCCAGCTGGCAAAGAAAATGAAAACAGATCCAAGCAACTAGGAAATCAGGATATCAACCAATAATGCTGACAAATTTTTTAAGTAGCCAAAAATTAAAAGAAACAAAAATAAATATGGCCTTAAAGCACAGGCAGCAAGGAATGGTTTCCTTATCAAACCATAAATCCAGGATTGAATTGAAACCAAGGTGAAAGACAATTCAATGATTGCATAATGTATCTCAAAAAATAACTCCTTTATTGACAATTCACAGACAACTCCACATGGATGGCTATATCTATTGCAAGACTTCACCTTCTTCATATGCTCAGCACTAATGACACATAAAACTATAACTAACATAACATCCATGTCTACTACAGAACTTTATATGCCAATACCGATAAAGCATGCTCACTACACCTCTCAGTGGCTCCTTGTACCGCAGTGCATATAAACACATCCATATGCCATAGCTGGAAAATCGCACCTTTTCATGATTTTTTTTCAAGGTTTTCAGGGAACTGTTTATCATAGGCTGGACACAACTAAAGAGCCTACGAGATTGGACTAATATTAACAAGGTGAGGGCTTATAGAGGAGGAAGATAGAGGTTTGCTCCAAATTATTAGACAATAATTCTTTCTAGTTTTTATGATCCAGGTTTGGCAGCATAATTACTACGTGTGACAATCAATTAATCCCACATTATATCACATCTGTTGCCAACAATCCACTGATATGGTGCTTATCTATGCTAACACAAAGAAGATCAACAACAAGACATCATGAAACCCACTATTCTTTACAAGATCAGATAGTTAATAAAAATCACCATCAACATTGACAACAACAATCACAAAGTCACAATAGAAACCACAACATTACAGCCTTGCTGCATCCTTCCCCGAAACTTTAGTTCCTCTTACACACAATTCTACATTGTCCCTAAAAACTAAATAAAAAAAAGTTACACAATTACATTGAAAAAAGAACATAACGAAAAAGACCAAGAACAATCAAACTAACAAAACATAATCAATACCCAGAATAGCTTAGCTAGCTAGCTAGAAGCACCTACATTATTCAAAAGTTATAATTACATACCAGCAAGCAGCGTGCCACGGCGATTAAAAGCAATACATTTCATAAGCCCATGTTGCAAATACTCCTCTATTACTTCTGGAAAATCTCCTTGCAATGGATCTTTTCGAAAAAACCCAAAACATTAGACAAAATAAAAACACTAAAACATAAAATTTGTTTACAAAAAAACAAAACCCAGAAATAAAATAAGCAAAAGAAAAGGAAAGAGAGAGAGAGCTGACCAATTATTGGGGCATTCATGGGTCCGTTGTTGAATTTTCCCTGATTGTTATGTTTATTGACAATAAGCTTAAAAAGAAAGGAACTTTGCTCTATGTTTGTTCAATTTGTCCAGTTTAGTAAGCAAGGATAAAGGGAGAGAGGGACGAGGAGAATAGTGGTGGCGAATAGGAGAATGTTGGCGGTGACGGAGGAGGAGGAGGAGGAGGTTCTGTCGTGGGGGAGACAGCAAAGGGAAGTTAAGTTCTGTTCAATTCCGAGACTGAGGGGGAGAGAGAGTGTCAAAATTATTTTATGATATCTTAATGTTTGCCACTATAGCTTATTTTATAGTTTTTTATTTTTTATTTTTATGCTATGTAAAGAGTAAAATACATTTCATCCTCCATAGTTTCCAAAAGTATCAATATAGTCCTTTTATGCTAAGTAGCTAATGGCAATGAATGGAATGCTCACATTTTTTCAAAAAAATTTCTTTCACCTTTTCTAAGCTGTGTTTGTTTCGGAAAAACCGAATTCCTGAAAAAAAATCTTTGCATGTTTGTTTGGCCTTCTTGGAAAAAATCAACGAAGTCTATTTTTCAATCAAGAAAAATTTAAAGTTTAGTAATGAGAAAATGACTTCTCGGATATAAAATGAAAAACTAATATTTTCTCTCCGGAGCTTCGTTGATGTCCATCCTCATTTTCACCCAACTCACCCAACCATTGCTGCCTGCAACCCACCCAAGGACGTCTTCGTCACTCATGTCGTCGTAACAAAGCTAAGCCACCATCGAGCAAACAATGCCTACAGAAAACAGTTAGATCTTATTTCTCTTGCTGAATATTGTCCGATTTGTTTGTTTGTGAGTCTTCCTCCTTCCGGGTCTCTCACTTTCTTTTGTAACTCCTTGTTATAAACTGCCGCTTTAACTCCTCGTATCTATGTTTTTGGATCTTCAAAACTGTAGAATTTCATGTTTCATTATATTTTTGAAATTAATCACTCAAGAAAGTGATTTTTTATTGATTAAATAGTTTTGCCTGTTCAAATTTAAGGACTTAAGTTTTTGGACTTCATCAATTATATATGGTGTGGAAGATTCGTTTAACCTTGGATTAGGGTTAGTTGAATTTGTCTTCATTAATTTCGTGGGTATTTGAGCTTTGGCTTATTGACTCTTAAAAGAATATATTAGGCTAACAACAACAACAACCTAAAGGATTGAATTATTTAGTTTGGGTGTAAAAAAAAATTATTAATATGCACATTACTTTCAAAACCAAAACCAAATGCACACTAAACGTCAACGATTTGCAACTTAAATTCTTTAAACCTAGGGCTAGAGAATAAGAAACACATTAACTAGTTTTAATTTACCTCAAACATTAATTAATTGAAGCAAATTAACCATCAAACAATTAATTTAATTAATTTCATCCCCTTTTCTACACCACTTGAGTAGCACCAGTTGACGTCTTGGGTTCCATGGAATGTTCTGAGATATCTCCATGCTTGGTGGCATCATATTTTTCTCCATCACCCCACAATGCATAAGCCTCCTCTCCATGCACAGCATCGTCCCCAATGAGCAACTGTTCTTCAGACATTCTTAATGGGATCACAAGGTTTATCACTACACAAATAATTGACGTAACGACAAGGTTCCATCCAATTATAAATGCACCACCAGCTAGCTGTTTAAGTATTTGGATTCCACCGGAACCACCGTAGACACCTCCTTTTGAGTTTGTCACCGGCAGAAATAGGGCGCAGAGCTGAGGTTCTGCAAAAAGGCCTGTCAAAACTCCTCCTAGAAGGCCAGCAACGGCATGGGTGTGAAACACTCCTAGGGTGTCATCAATTCTTTGCATTAGTGTCCATCTTTTGTGAACAATCATCATCGTGAACCATGGAACACTACCGGATAGAATTCCCATGATTATGGCCGCCCATCCTTGAACAAGACCTGAAAAATATGCAATCATAAAACTAAGAAAAAAAAATGTTATAGAACTAATATTTATTTAGTACTGTATGAATCCAAATTAAGTCTCATTTATTTTTATATAATGGAATAAGTTTTTTATCATTCTTATATTTTAAAACGTTCTTATTATTATAATTACAATAAAATTAAAATAAAACGAATGGTTACCATTTATTATACTATTTGAAACATTATTCACCCAAACTCATTTGTACTATTCATTTATTTTTATATCTACTATTCCTTTCATTATGGTATTTTTATAGTTTTCAAACTTTTTTTAGAAGTTTATTATGAAAGTTTTCTTGACTTTACACTTTGCTCATTCTTTTTTTAATATTATTTTTTTGGTCCTCAATTTTTTTTTATTTTGGTCTTTCTTTTTTGTTTCATTTTTGTCACTTTAGTCTTTGTTTTTTTTTCTGATTTTTTAATTAAAATTTTTAAGGAAAAAAGATATTTAAAAAAAATAATTTACAAAATAAGTTTTTAGCTAAAAATGTAGATATAAATAAATAAATAATATTTTTTTAATAAAAATTTTATTAAAATATAAAGAATAATTAGTCAAATACAAAATTTTGATTAAAAAATTAAATAAATTTATATTCAGTTTTAATTTGATATATTTTGATAGACGCATAATATAATATAACACGAGATATCAAACTGAAATAATTTTTTAAAAATGATTTTATATGTTCTGTCCAACACGTAACATAACGTAAATAAAAAAAACTAGTTTTATCTAGTTTCTAATATATCATTATGGTTAATTTTTTCGATCAAACTACAAATAATTTGCACATGATATGTTTTTTTAAGAAAAATAACCCCCAAAAATAAATTTACAGAGTAACGTGATTTACACTTGAGGTGCATTTTATTAAAAAAAAAAAATCACGTGCAAGTACTTATTTAATTTTCAGTGATAAAATCCATAAAAATAATAAAATTAATAAGCCAATGAACAAGCATGTAATGGCACTCAACATGGATAGAAAAAAGTCAACTAATGCTAGGTATTATAAGGTTTTTTTTTTTAATTATTATTATTATTATTTTTAAAGGTTGATGCGTGCTTCATTCCAGCTGATCAAATAAAGTCCAACAAAAATCTCAGGATTCACCATTTTTCATGTGAACAGAACCTTTTTCACGTGAACAGAACCTTAAAAATGTATTTCTTCAAAAAGATTCACTAAATACATGCATGCATTTGGAGATCATGGGAAGAGAAGTCAAAATGAATTACCTGCACCAGGAGTAATGCAAACAAGGCCAGTAATCATACCCTGAACAGCACCAATTACAGAAGGTTTCTTGAAGAAGATGACATCTAGCCACGTCCATACAAGAAGACTTGTAGCTGCACAGATGTTGGTGTTTAGGACGGCCATGGAAGAGTCAATATTGGCACTGTATGGATCTCCACCATTGAATCCAGCCCATCCCATCCATAGCAACCCTGCTCCTGCTAACATTAGCAGTACATTGTTTGGTGGAAATCTCTCCCTATCCTTCGTTGATCTTGGACCAACCTGCACCGTTTACGAGAAAAATCTCTCACCATCGATCCACAATTAATATATTCTCCTTACATCATGGAAGAAATTGTAAGAACAAAACAAAAAGAGTCTATTATGATTTTTGTATGTATATATATACTGTACTTCGTCAACTGATCGAATAATCTAACAAAAATATTGATCCTAAAGTATAATATTGTTGTATGCTGATCATGAACCCACAAAACTAATTAAAATAAGTCATTTAAGAGAGAGTTTACGTGTTTTTTGAGCTATATATAAGAGTTTAAAAAGCCTTCTCAATCCAATAGTGATTAATTACCTGTTCGATGAGACCTTAAAAATAGCTTTATTATTTTCTAATCTACCATCTTAAACGAAAGTTTTTTTGGGTTGAAAATTTGACAAATGAAACCTCTAAAATAAGACCATAGAAAAGGTTTATGCAGTATTTTCTAAAGAAGCAAGAAATTTCTAATGGAGCAGTCAAAAGTTCAGATAGACAAAACAGGCATTTTTCTACCCGTCTTTTGCATCGAAATCTACACTAAATATACTAAAAGACTAAGAGAAATGAGAAAAGAGAAAAGAACTGATTTTTCTAAAAAACCCAGAAATTTCTAATGGAGCAGTCAAAGTTCAGATAGACAAAACAGGCATTTTTCTACCTGTATTTTGCATCAAAATCTACACTAAATATACTGCAAGACTAAGAGAAAAGAGTACTGACCCAGAAAGCAGTGGTCAAGCCAGCAATCCCAGACGAAAGATGGATAACATAGCCACCAGAATAGTCCATGACACCCCAATGAAACAAGAATCCACCACCCCACAAGCTGAAAGCACCAACAGTGTAAGAGAAAGTGAGCCATAGCGGCACAAAAGCCATCCAAGCCTTGAAATTCATTCTTCCAAGCACTGATCCAGCCAAAAGAATGATAGTGATCGCAGCAAACACACACTGAAACCAAACCATGGTGGCCATGGGATAAAATGGCGTAGCCATTGCAGTCTCCTCCTCGCCATTATCATAAAACTGTGTGCTCTCAGGCAGTGCGGCTTGCTTGATTAGAAACTTCTGGCCTAAAGCAGGTCCTGCTTTACCCCAGAAGGGCAAGAGCTTGTCTCCAAAAGACATCTTGTAGGCCCAAACAACCCAGCAGATTACAACAGCAGCAAAAGCATAGAAGGCCATGAAAGCTGAATTGACTGCCCATTTTTTCTTAACAATACTTCCATAGAGGATTACAAGTCCTGGCACGCTTTGGAGGCCAACAAGGGTGGCTGAGATCATTTGCCATGAGTTATCACCCTTGTTTAACCAGACAGGAACTGCGGCTGAGCCTCCTTGGTACGCCACTGGGACTGGGTTAGGTGGAAGAGCAGCCATGGTTTTTAGAGGGTTATGACCGACTGCTGCTACTCCTATTGGACTAGCTCTTTTTTTTTTCTACAATATGCAATACCTGACGAGTACTGTAGAAGGAAATGGACGAAATGGACTTTATAAATGTATCAAGCAAAGTTTCAAAGCGAGCAAACGTCACTAGAAATAAAATCTTGTAGGTGATAGTGAACTTAGCTTAATTTACTTCTTTTTTTCCTCCTCACAAAATTTTCTTCATTTCTTTTGATCAATAAATACATGATTTTGATCCCGATTCTCTTTAACTCTTTCACATACATATTTAAAAACACTCTTTTTACATTTATATTGAAATCAAAATCTAAAATATTTTTTAGGGGGAGTGTTCAAACGTGAACATACTAACTTTAGATTAAATAATATTGAATTGTATATAAATTATTCAAGTTTTACCGTTTCATGAAAAGATTAGTCATTTCAAAGAACTTTATCTTTTGTGGAGTCCACATGTTAATTTATATAAAGTTTTGGCTAAATTGACCGAACCTTCACTGAATTAATTTAGTTCATTTTATATAGGTTCAATTTGTCCACCAAAAATTAATTAAAATAACTTAGCTAGTGGGTTATTATATGCTAATTCATATTATTATTATTATTATTATATTGACTCAAACTACACTACAAATTGATTGAATTTAGGATAAATATCACTCGACACAAAATCATGGGTTGTAAGGATGGATACGGGTATTTTGGCAAGACCATTGTCCATGTCTTATTTTAGGATACATTAGGAAGATTGACTTGGTAAACTCGAAGCGGGGTCGGCCAAAAGAATGCTCAATTGTTACTTCATTTAGCCTTTGCTAGCAAATTGAAACAGTTTAACTTCAAAAATCGAAGTTTCTTAAACCAAATCAAATAGTTCACACTTAAATGACGTGGTATGATCCTAAGAGTCAAAAGGTCATCTTCTTTCACTATAAATACCAACCTCATACTATTATAAAGGGATCGAACTTTTAATGAGGGATCGAACTTTTGCATTAAAAACTTTTGACGTCGGAACTTTCGATCTCTATAAAAAAAAAACTCCAAACTCTTTATCTTAAAGTTCTTTCACTCACACATTAGACAACTCTTAAAGTTTCATTTGTTTAAACTTTGACTACCCATATGTAAGCCACCTAACTCGTGCCTTACTAATATTGTTTGCTTCTCCTCCAATGCCTCTTACTATTTGCATCCTTTTTGCTTAGTTGTTTGATCGTTGCTTTTATAAATCACATCACTAGCTCTTTGTCTCTTGACCGGTTTACCGACCAGTTATATGATTCGAGTTCTCAAGAACCCCCTATACATTCCGGCAACTCCGTTAGAGAATGTGTCGTAGCTATGAAGTCTTGCTTTGGCATTTCTCTTTAATAATTCTTGATATATAGGATCTCCACCATCTACTTTAATATCGAGCAAATTTGTTTCTCCAAATAAAGAAAGTTTCAAAAGGATTGAAATGTCCTCTAGGATAGGGGTGATTTCTCCCCCAACCAACCACAAAGGTGTGAGTATGGGCATTCTAATAAGAGAGTATGTCTCTCCACATATGTTTATCCGTATCAAAACAAACGTCCACGTGTTTGCTCAAGAGAATAGCATCCAAAACCCTAGCAACTCTAAGTTGGTCAACATATGTTTTGATTTTAAGAATTTTGTTTGCCCATTATTGCCATCTAGAGAACACTAGTTTTTTCCCCATCTAAAGAACACTAGTCTTTTCTTGTCATTCTTCTCTCATAATATTATAATTGTTTCAATGATATGGGAGTGCATTAAGTCCAAGCAAGAAGCGAGTTGCTAAAGAGCAACATGAGGATAATGCACCATCTATATATATATATATATATATATATATATATATATATATATTTAAAAAAATTAAAATTAACGATAAAATTGCGAGGGTAATTAGCAATGAAGACATATACAATAGCAATGGATTTAATGATGAAATTATGAGAATATTAATGACTATAATTTAGTGACATATTTTACATCATTACGTAGCGACGGATTTAAGTGGAAATAGGGATGGAATGACGATGGATTAAGACATTACAAATGACTATTTTAGATCGATTTAATGATAGATGTAAGACATTAATAAGAGATGTCGATTTTAATCATAAAATTAGCTAGAAAATAGTCAGAAAAGCCACACTGACCAAAAATTCAAAAATAGAAAAAAAGTGATTAATAAAAAAAAGTACACGTCAAGAAAAGCAATGATATATGCTATTAATCCTCTAGGGAATTAAGGGTGGAAAGGAGCTGGAATCTATTTATTTAAATAGTATAAATTATGTTGGAAGATTTCAAAAACGGTATCTTGTCTTTGGCCAGCCTGACATGATAATAAATTCTCTGACAAGCTCGACAACTATATTTATTTTATCATAGGACTCAACCTGCCAAGCTGGGCAATGCTTGAGAGGAGGGATCCCGGGATTCTTTTCTTGAAGTAGAATCTTACCTCTATTCTTTAATTTTTAAGAGCTTGTTGAGTATTATCCCAGCTGCAGGAATCTTCAACGCTATATATATATATATATATATATATATATTCTGCTTCCAAGACTTTTTGTTTCTATTTTTTAACATAAAATTGTGTATTTAAATGCTAATGACGCATTTGGCATTGTTTGCGATTATAGACCGATGTTATTTGAATCCGATTCAAAATTAGCCATTCATTCGGTTATTGTTTTTTCAAAATGATGGTTATAGAACTTACAACCATCTTATCTACATTATTTGTAATAGCCGGATATCGTATGTTTTTAGAATAGCTAATCATAAGAGTTTAGTGATCTCTTACAATAAGCAATTACGAGATTAAATATGTTAAAAGTCTTAGATATGCGAGTTAAAAAATAAAAAAAAATTTGTATTGTGAATTGATTTGCTTTTTATGCTTATTCCGTACTATTATAATTTTTTTTTTTATCTTTTGAATGTATTTCTTAATTGTATTAATATCTTGTTAGATGACATTTGTAAGGCTACAATTCCCAAATTTTATAAAATATAATTTATTTTTTTTAGAATTTTGCCTCTCTATTAAATAATTAAAAAAAGGTTTTAAAGTTAAAAACACTTTCAAATTTTTAGACAGGTTTTGTAAGAAGATTATTGAAAATAGTTAGAGTGAAACAAAACTTTTAAACTTTCAAAAGTTTTATTACTTTTTATATATGAAATAAGGAGAATTACCTCCCTTCAAATTACTAATTTTGTAACTTAGTGATAATGATCTCTTATAATAAGATATCACGGATTCAAATCTTAATAAACTAGTTCTATTATGAGCTTTAACCGTGTTAGCTAAAAAAAAAAAAAAAAAACCTCCCTTCAAATTTAAAAACAACATTGCTCTTTTAAAAGGATAATTACAATTTTTACAAACTCCTTTTTAACTTGATGAACATTAATTTAATAGCTATAGAGTGAAAAATATACCTAATTTTCTTACACCATTTTTTAACCTCATTTAATAGTTTAAACTTTTAATTTGCATTGGTTATTTGATTATTTAATTTCATTTTCTTAAGAGATAATAAGTTCGAACCTATTCTTTACATTCAAATCAAGTTTAAGCTGTAAGATTGCGAAAGATTAATTGATTATGCTGCCGTTTTCTATGGCTTCAATTAGGCAGGATTGACAAATGACAATGACCTCATTTGGCCAGTTCACATGATTAGATTATTAGATGGATCAATTAGGCACACCACCTTCTATTTTTTTATTTTCCTTTTTTAAAATTAAATAACCAATGGCATATATCCAAATTCCAGATACTGATCTTCTGACAATTGGCATGGTTAATTGATTTGTTTTTTTCCCTTTTTGTCACTTGTTGTATGTCATATGCATTTAATTTTAACAAATATATGTTATTGTCACGTTATTGTTTCATTTTATGGGCACTGACAAATGATGTATTTTCTTTCTTTTGGGAACAATATAGTAAGATGGTAATTTAAATGTTAATAACTATGTTGTCTTTATCTATTGTGTCCTATTTTTTTGAAAAATTGGATAAAGAAATTGTTTGATTTTGTCCATATATATGCAACATTATACAAAATGATCTTTATGGAAATAACCGATCGACATTGACAAAACTTGAGGGAAATTCTTTCCTCGTATGTTTAACTTTTTCTTTCCTTTACATTTGCAAAGAAATCTGACACCCAAATTATAGCAAAAAGGAAGAGAAAGGGTCACACACATAATATTATTTCCGTTCTAAAGATATTATCTTAGTTGATCTTTTACTCGTATTAAAAAACTTGTTAACTATTATATCATATCAATATATTTTATTTGTACTTTTCAAAAATATATATTTTTTTTATCTGATTTTATGTTATTTGATGTGTTAACTGTTAAATATGTTTGGCAAATCAATTATTTAGCTTTTCTTAGGGTCAAGTTTCTTTTCGCACTTCAATGGCCCGTTTTGGCCGAAGCTATGCTCACTTATGCAACGCTTCCTAGTTTTCCGGAGTCTTGACAGCCCAGGTTCATCCAGCTCTTCGACTAGTTACATATTCTGAGACAATAAAAAAAAAAAAAAAATGAACTCTTTGACATAAGAAGATTATAGGTTGAAGGAACAACCTAGAACCCAGATTTCTAATGCATCTATAATTTTAAATAACGACCATTACGTTATATATCGATCATTATGTAACAGTTTTGAAGCATACAATTATCGTTATCGTTATTTTAGTATTATAATAAACCGTAATCCACGATGACGATCGCGACCGTTTTTCAACCATCCACAATTTAAAAATTGCATCAAGTTGCCATTAATTCTAAGTTTATAACTCAGATCGACATTAGCAAAACTCGATAGAAGTTCGACACCCAAGAAATCAACTAGGGCTTGCGAGGGCGGTAACTCCTACCAGCACATTAGATACAAACACCCTAATCAGTTCCGAGAGCTTTGATTTTGTATCATGCTACAAGACTGAAACGGAGAGAGATGGCAAAATCGAACCTTCTTTTGTATGAATTATCAATTAGTAATAATGTTACAGAATGTTCTATTGAAAAAAGAAAAAATATTACTCCTATAATGTTCTAGACTGTAATGCGGTTACAATACTTCCTTTTCAAGTTTCAACACAGCCATGAAGGCTTCTTGAGGAACATCAACCTTACCTATTGCCTTCATTCTTTTCTTCCCTTCAGCCTGGTGACAGAGACGGTATATAAATAATCAGGCACAGCAACATTTATCAACAAAAATTAATTCAATTTTCTGAAAAAAACTGTGAACTTTCTAGGATCTTATAATAGAATTTATCAGACAGTTTAATTGGATATAGGAGTATCAGATAGAGGTTAATATTGCTGTTATATGTTAACAATGATCTGTTTTTAGTTCTCCGTATTGGTAACAAAACACCATTATCCATAATATAATATCGAACATCAATGCTATAACCTAAGAAATTTAATGATGAAGTACCTGTTTCCTGAGCAATTTCTTCTTCCTTGTAACGTCGCCACCTACATGGATAGAGAAGGGAAAAAATTGCTTATAAAGTTAAGTATCAAGCACCGGTCACTTATAAGCCGTCTACTAGTTTTCCTAGAATAAAAATCCACTAAAATTAAGGATTTCTATCCAGGGAAAACATAAACAAGTAGATTTTTCACGCCAGATGATTGCAAAAGGAGAGAAGCAGAAAATATCTGGAAGCTGTATGTGACTCTTGTGTTGAATATCAACTGATTGATAGTTGAGTGTACAATATTCTAAGAAGCAGAGTGTGGTCTCACCATAGCATTTGGCCAACACATCCTTTCTAATCGCTGATAAAGATTCACTAGCAATGACTTTTGCACCTATGCATGCCTGAAAAAAAAAACGATGTGGTTAAGTATATTCTGGATTCTTCTTCTTCCTTTTTTTTTTTTTTTCCTGAGAATCAAAATGGATAATCTTGAGTGTGCCAAACTATCATGCTTTTATATATCTGGAGTTACATGACAGATGTTAAAATATTGTTGGGAAAAAGAAAACTAACTGCACTGAAATTAAAAACAGCACAAATGCAAAGTCTAACATTTTTACCTAGATCTCACTGTAAGAAGTTATAAGTTCAAATATTATTGAAAGGAAAAGAAACTACGTACTGCAGGAAACAATTAGAATAGTAAAAGTTCTAACCAAAATAGAAAGCATGAGATATAAAACCAATGTTGCCAGAGTTTAAAAATCTAACTGATTAGTTGACAACAACACGATGTGAAGAGAGAAACATTTAACATAATGGATGAAAACAAACATATTTACTGACACTGGGCATCATTAACATGGCAATATGTCTACATATAAACAAAGGGTTTTGCTCAAATTGAAGTCAATAAGCACGCAGACGAAATCTTGCACATTTCACTGTGACAACCATTTAATACTCTTAATAAATCTCTTGCACCAGAAATACTCGTACAATTTGATCAGTATTCAAACAAATTTATAGTGGAAAAAGAAATAACAACTGTAAATTGGGTATGTTATAATGAGAAGCACCGCATAGCATTACTCATTGAAAGAGAAAGAAACCATACTTGAATGGGTACTTTGAACATTTGCCGTGGTATAAGCTCCTTCAACTTCTGGGTCAAAGCCCTCCCGACAGAATATGCCTGAAAAGAAGCGCATCCAACATAAGTTATGACAGGTAACAAAGCATTTAGCTCAACATAAGAACCTCTGCAGAATAGGTGGTTTACAATGAGGACCTCTTCATACCATTCAAGGACAAGGGCTTTGAATAAAAGACTAACTAGTAGAGAAGCTAGTGTGATACATAAAAATAAAGTAACAAAAACCAAAAGCTTGGCTCCAAGAAAACAAGAGCAAAAGGTTAGAAATTCTTCACAAAATGCCTCTAGCTAAATTATCCCAATGCCCCAAATTGCGAATTTAGAAATGTCCCACATATTAGACAATGTCTCAATTTCCATAGTTACGATTGAAAAAAGATAAAGATGGGTTTTTACTTTCTACAATCTATTTATCCTTACATAATAGACAATGTCTCAATTTTGACCTTAAGGCATTCAAATCTTCTCATTCTTGGATATCTTATGTTACTCCCACTACTCCATTCATCAATCCCGCATTTAAAGCGAAAAAATTCAAACATGTACACAAGGATTTCACTTCTATAGGACATGATGCATAACAACTAAATAATATGTCATAGAAATGAAAATTTAGTTAAAATCACATTATCACCAATTACTCCCTCTCCCCATCATCATTTGGACCATAAACAACAGGAGTGCACCATACAAATGCATCCCCCATATTTTTGAAGAAGCATGCAACTGAGAATTCTTCTTTTTAGAGATCACCTCCATCGTTTTCTCCTAAAATACAGTAACAACAGTACTTGTGGCTACCTCATTTGTTTGGATCATTGATGCATCTAAAAACTTCAAATCACAGGGCAAATCTCATTTGTAAATGTCTAAGAAACTAGCAATTTGTGTTCATTAGTAAACCTATTTATCCTCATCTCCAAATAATTGTTCTCTTTTTTGAGATTCCATACTTCATTCATGCCCATGTATCGCTTGTGGAAGCAGTTAAATTTTTGTCATCAAATTGCAAAAGGTTCCTACCAAATTTTAACAATAATATCTATTAAACAATTCCGTAAGTTTCATCTGTACAGAGTCGAGTTTCAAATAAACATGCTCCAGTCTACCAGATATGTACAATCACTTCTCTACAATTTATAGAGTCGAATGATGAGTCTTGAAAATTACCTTATCCTTGTGCACAATAGTTGCTAATGGTCCAACAGGGTCACCGTTGATTTGAATGTCAAGCCTTATTAAATCACTTTCCTTGTACCTAGTGATCAAATTTTAGAACAAAATGTGAATTGCTACAAGTAAATCATCTTGCTTAATTTGGAGGAATACATACAACAAAGTTAAACACCTATGCCATGCAAAAGATGAAAATGAAGTGATACATGGCATTCGTTTTGGAGAACAACAATTATTCCAAGAAAAGAATACATGTTGATGACAATAAGAATAAAAGCTATCCTGCTTGTATTTAGACATGCAAAGCACTGCCAGTCAAAAGCACAAAAGGATATGCATAAACTTTTTTTTTCCATCTTACAAAGCACTATATGCAGTTACCCAAAAAATGTGTACTCCAAGCTAGCATATCCCTTACTTCTGGACTTAAGCTGATCAAAGAAATCGCCTACCATCTGTCAAGTCAACATGCAGAAAACTAAGAGACAAGAATGAATAATTCCTCACTAGACTGTAAAGAGAAAACACATTCAGTGAAATGAGACTTTGAAGAGGAGTGCTAGCACAGGAGGACAAAAGTAAGCAAAATGTCACCTCAGCTAGGGGTAATTCATACGTGAGTGATGCTCTATTCTCAGTGATATATTTCATTTCTTTAAACTCTCCTCTCCTTTCTTGAGCCAGCTCCATAAGAGTGCCAATGTAGTCTTTCGGTGTAAGCATTTCGATCTGCATACTTCAAAGAAGCAAACATAATTTTGTAACAAGCCTAAAAGAAGGATGAGTAAACTAGATGTCATTACATGAAATAATAAACATCAGTGTGTACAGCAAGACCTTTACAAATGGTTCCTCAATTGATCGCCTTTTCCCAGGTTCCGGAAGTAAAGATGGATTTGAGCACTCAACCTTCATGAAAATTAAATTTTTGCACATAAGATATAGCATGACATACAATTTAGACATAATAGAAATAAAATAAACAACTAACCATCAAGAAATGCAGAAACTAGATTACAAGAAACATCAACACCACGATTTATAGCATGTTTTAAAGGAAGTTACTAAAAAGGACACAGTATTTATACAGCAACTGTTGAGGAAAACCTCATCATGGCAGATGACTATAAGATTACGCTGAACATAGTAGAAAATAAACTTTAGGGTTGGCCTAGTTGGCAAGTGCGTATGGTCCCCTACTAGTGAACAGGGTTCAACTCCAAGGCCAGACCGTGAGAATAAGTTCTTATGAATCCCCTAGCCCCAGTGCAGATGGTCTGCCTTTGACCAGACAATGAGGTGGACTTAGTTTTAGTGCATACACGCTAGCTAGTCTCCGGGTACCACATAACTGTCAAATGAAAATAAAAAATAATGTAGTTGACAAATTTTTAAAATTTCTGCTTTATGAAAAAGAAAAAGGAGTTCATAAATGTTCTGTGAATTATCCAATAGAATAAGCATAATATATAGTCTATGGATCAACATTAGGGTTTACAGTGTGTGATCGCTTGTAGACTGATTCTGGAGGACAATAAGATCACAATCAAGGGGAAGTTGAATCAAAATTTGTCTCTCCAAATATGCATATGGTGTTATGCAAAATCAGCAGCAGAAAGTATCTATTTGTTCAGTTTCAGTATCCATGTATGAGTCTTGAAATATATCAATTATTAAGTGGTTACTGGATCCAGGAGCAAGCAGAAATTACAGTATCACCATCCACGCAGTTCACTCTGTATACCACACTTGGAGCAGTAGTTATTAGGCTTAGATTGTATTCTCTCTCCAGCCTTTCCTGTAAGAAAATAAAATTTTCAAGGCCAACGCTAAATTTTCATAAATTGACAGCATAACTGAGAAGTTGCAGTAAAGCAAACCTGAACAATTTCCATGTGGAGAAGACCTAAGAATCCACACCTAAAGCCAAAACCCATGGCATTTGATGTTTCAGGCTCAAACTGCAAATTTAACCAGAAAAAAGGAGAGAGAGAAGCATTTCCTCTAATCAAGGACTGATTAATAAAGGATGCACTGCTCTGATTCGTGGAAAAGAATATAAAAGAACTCCAATGAGAGGAGGCAATGAAGAAAAAGAAGGTGCAGATGAAATTAGGTGGCAAAGTCAGACCCTGAGATTCTAAAAACCATGTGAATAAGCTTTTCAAAATCCCAATTTGGTATCTCAACCATCCCCACACCTTGGCTTCACAGGATCTGAAATTCCTCTCACCTCACAAACCCAGACCCCAAAAGGTGTCACTATCCTAAAAAGGAACTGCTCCCATAGATCCTCCACAAATCAACACCTCAAACGCCATCTTAGAAATAACCTAATGAATAATACCAAACAATCATGCAAATGTTTCAAACAACAAATAGAAGATAACCCATCAGTCCCTGTGCTTTTAGGTCTTAGAACATATAACATAAATTGATAACAACTACGTATGTCAAAAAACCAGAATTTCACTTTGCTTGATCTTTTGGTTGGATACAATCTGTCAGTTCCTGGAATATGTTGGATTCACAAGACAATTAACAAAAGAATACACAGCACCCATTTCAAATCTCAGAAGCAATCAGAAGATAACCTTCCACAGCATCTACTCCAAAGCCATTTGCACAAATCTAAACAATATAAAGTTCCAACTCAAGCCCACTACTATCTAAAATAATGATAAAAAAAGAAAATGGAGAGAAGCCAACTTATGGGACAAACAGTAAAAATCAATAAGCCCATCCAGCCCCCAATTTCTACATCATATCAAAGGAAATCATGGAAAACAACTTAGCTACAAAGGACATAGCAATCCAGTAGCCAATGCAAATTCATATCACCTGTCATAACCTAATCACATTATTTCCAATCACCTTATCTTGATCTAAAGACTCCCATTTCTATATAATCACTTGTCAAATTCAATATACCTTCAATGCAGCATCATTAAGTTGCAGTTTTTCCAATGCATCACGCAACTCAGAAAATCTGTAAAGGAGAAAGATGAAGATGAGAAATACTCGAGAGATCATGCATAAAGTAGCTAACTTAACAAGAACAAACAAGATGTCAATACTGGTCTGCATCAACCGGAAACAGGCCGCAGAACACCATCGGGGTGGCTTCCTCATATCCAGGCAGTGATTGTTCCGCCTTTCTACTATAGTGAGTAATAGTGTCACCCACCCTGGAATCTGCTACTGATTTGATAGAAGCAGAAAGGTAGCCTACCTGGACAGGTACAATATAAGGAGGAAAAACTAGTTTCAAGTTAAAAGAGAAATACATTTAAATCTTAAAAGAGACTGCATTAGAGTAATAAGATATATAATAGGAAAAAAAATAAAGGAAAAGCAGTTTTCCAATATAGTTCACAGAAGCAGTTGAAAAAAAAAAAAAGAGAAGAAAGCATGGGAAACAGAATGAGCTCCATCATTATGTCTCAACTAGGTATTAAAAAAAAAAAACCCGCATGGATGATAGCAGACAAAAAGATAGGTGGCTATAATTGGCTGAGCTGAAAGATAGCTGGCATAACACCCCCTTAGCTTTCCAATTGTGAAGAAGATATATCAATGGCCAGCAATTGGTTTACAAGCTAGAACCACTAAATTATGCATCATTTATGAACGGTTTGTTCTGTTTCCCTGAGCATGAACACAAACAAAGAGAGATCTTGGTCCTGATAACAAAACCTATTTAATTACGAACAACCTTGATAGTGTATACATTCACATGCTATCTTGCAGACAATGTGACATAGGAGATTTGTACACGTACAGGGAACAAGAATGATATGGGAAAAGAAGTCAATTTAGAAAACAAGTAAGGATTTGGCACCAACCATTTAAATAATCAAAATATAAAAGAAAAAACATCATTAAAAATTTTGCATTTCAGTTCCAGATACCATGTTTTTGGACTCTAGAAAACAAACCAACCAAGCAACACAAAAGCCCATCCTAATCAAGGTTATTCAGAATGGAAATTTTACCTCACCCGCATACAATTCTTCCACTTGCATCTGATTGGGAGATAGAACTCCAATTTCATCAGCAAAATAGTCCTGTCATTTTAATAATGCATTATTAGGAAAACCACAAGAATATGTAAAGATTAATCAGAACCATGGTTTCAGAAAACAGTCATTTACACCACGTAATAGTCACTAGGAGGGTTTTGAAGTCCCATCGTACTAAGCCCTATGTTTATTTCAATTCCCTTTAGTTTACACCCATTAGAAGCAGGGTCTTGCAAATAACAGTCAATGGGAACATGACAGCCATTAAACTAGATAAATCTCACTGGATGTTTGTTTTAGCTATGTAGCTCAAATCTTGATAACGTAAGAGATAACTCGTGTATTTGTATTGAAAAATCATGATCCTTATTCCATGAAAGTGTTGGCATTCCTTTTTAAAGGTTAACTAATTCTTTAACAAACCCATGCAACCACAGCCACATTCTATGACCACAATGGAAACAATCTAAATTTACTGATCTACAAACAGTTACTTGAACACATGACAGCTGTATATGGCTCAGCATGCAGTAGAAATAAATAAGCAACTTATTAGGGGAAAAAGAATTGATTAACAAGATTACTTTACCTTTCCACTGGCCATAAAATAAATTCTGTCACCTTTCTTTATTTTCCCATCTATGACTCGAAAATACACAATAACACCACGATATGGATCATAATAACTGCAAAATAATTTATAAAGGTTACGAGACAGACTGGAAAATGTCATTTCTACCATTAAGTTGGTGAGGCAAATGTGAAAATAAACACATTTGGCCAAGCCTATTGCAGTACAATAAAAGTGTAATTGGGTTAATAAGCAAATGAGCAATGGAAAGCATTACGCTCCCCATGAAAATGTATTCTAAAGAGAAGAAGAGGAGGAAAAAAGATCTGAACAACTAAACTATGGATGTTTATGACAATAAGCTGTGAAATTTCTTTCTTATCCGCACTACTCAGGTTTCTTTTGATCTCAACTATGTGCCGCCTGGTTTGTCATTGAAATAATGTTGGGTGTCAAAAAATCTACATTTAACAAATATAATTTTGATGACATTAGATACCAAAAGGTATGTGCATAAACACAAGCTATAGAAACAACAACGAATAATAGCATAATTCTACTTGGAGTTCATAAATATTGGCAAGTCCAGTGATGATGACCAATTCTATACCTATCAAATATTAGGGCCCTCAAAGGCATTTCAGCAGTATCATGGGGTGGTGGGATCCGCTCGACAATTGCATTCAGAATTTCAGTTATACCTCTTCCCTCCTGTAGAACAATAGAAACACCAGAGAAGATTACATTCTAAGAAATATCCTTCCACTGCAGGAAACGGAGATTGGTTGCATCAAAGACAATAGTCAAGAACCAACCTTTGCAGAGCAGTGTATTGCATTGCTACAATCTAAACCAATAACCTACATAGAGAGACATGTCAGCAGTGAGTTTGAAGCAACTGTTAGCAAACACAAATCCTCATCTTTCTGCTGAAACCTAAGAGGAGCACAGTTACTTGGCCAGACAAGGATTCTACACAAGCACAATAAACCACAGATAAAGAACACGTGCATTTATATTAATGGACAGAAAGGCAGATTTACATTAAGCTGGGAATCTTGCTTTTGCTCTGGAAGAATAGTTTAAAAAAAAAAAAAAATCAGGGCAGATAATTGCTGTGGTAAAAGCTATCATCTTAGTGAGTGTTCGTTGTTAGTCAAACTAATAAAAAGGTAAGGGCACATTAACTTATAAGTACATAACATAGTTTCCAAACTACAATAACCAAAATGGATTAGACACCCATTAAACAAATAGAGTTCTTCCATTTTGTGCACCAACCTCTTCGATCTCCTTGCAAACTTGATCTGGTTCCGCACCTGGAAGGTCTATTTTGTTTAAAACCTGAAATGTTAATTGATCACATTCAAACAAATTAGATATAACCTATCAAAGCATTTCAGAGAATGCTAGTATACATATTTACAGAGTCTCACAGACGGGATACATGTATGTATGTACACAAACTCATATGCAAAACAGAAGATGATAAACCACTTACAGGGATGATTTCTAGGTTGCTTTCCAAGGCCAAATAGACATTAGCCAAAGTTTGTGCTTCCACCCCCTATAACAAAATAAATATTCTTCAGCAACAAAAGTGATAACAATAAACCTGAATGGATAGGTAAACAATTCAGCAAACAAGGCTGCTTTCCTTTCAAGTTTATATATCCAATTTCAAACTAAAACCTACTATATCAAAATTACATAAAAATTTATAACCTTTACTTGGCAATAAGAATCATATTGTCAGATAAAGTACAGATTAAACAAAAGTAGTTCACCTGAGAGGCATCAACAACAAGCAAAGCACCCTCACAAGCAGCAAGAGAACGCGAAACCTATAAAGAAATAACACAAACCACACAATTACATCAAAGCACGTCCACATACATGTCATTCACACATTTTCATTTCCTAGCAAACAATTTCCGAATATCTAACAAATTTAGCTTTCTTTCTCTGCTTTCTTCAAACCCCTAGGGTAGCCTCGGGCCAGCTTTCGCATTCCGACACTAAATCCCTTCCTAGTCGCCAAAAGAAATTTCTTTCTCACAGCATCCCCTTGATTCCAACTCCAGATGATAAAATTTAAATTTCTAAAATATCTGTCATTAAACATACCTCGTAAGAGAAATCAACATGACCAGGAGTATCAATTAAGTTCAAGCAATACGGTTCGTTTTCATACACATATCGCATTCGTGCCGCCTATATCACAAACACAAAATCAAATATATATTATATCAATTAACTCAAGAAAATCAATTAAAAAAAATGCGAGCATAAATTAACTCAAAAAAAAAAAAAAAAAAAACCTGAAGCTTAATTGTGATGCCTCGTTCTCTCTCCAAATCCATACTATCCAAAAACTGCTCCTTCATTTCTCTCTTCTGTACAGTACCAGTCATTTGCAGCAATTTATCAGCTAACGTTGATTTTCCATGATCAATATGAGCTATAATACAGAAATTCCTAATATTTTTAATCGGAACTTTCCGAAGGCGGTCTTGGCCGACAACGATGTCGAAATCGGCGGTGGAAGGAGTGCCGGTGGTGGCTCGGCAGCGGAGGTGAAGTCTAGTGGCATGTTTGTAATTAAAAGGAGAAGAGAGGGGGAATTTGTTAGAGAAATGGAGGTTTTTCAGTGTTGTTTTGCTTCTTGTTGTTGCTTGGAAAGGAAGGAGAGCGTTAGTGTTTAAAGATAAAAGAATTGTAGCCATTTTTTTTTTCGCTCTCTCTCTCTTCCCTCTCAATCTGGTTCCTTTGTTTCTGTTTTGAAATTAAGGTAGCTACAATTTAGTCCTTTTATTATGAGTGCTATTCAATTTAGTTGTTAAACTATGTAGGGGTTGAAAATATTCTACTACTATCTTGTAAAACAGCTAAAAATAAAAAATAGCTTCATATTATTCACTTGTATTTTGTATAATCTGATACAATAGAATTTTTAAAAATATCTTTTTATATTTCTAAAATGTGCAAGAATTCTTAAATTTTATACTTATAAATTATGTCTTAGAATTTTTTAAATAATTAATTTTGAAATTATAAACTTAAAATTGTAGGAAAGAGTAAAAACCTACTTAGTACTTAATCAAAACCTTTTTTAAAAAAAATAAATCATAATTCTAACTACATAGAAAATCAAATCATGTACTAATTAATATAACGGATTAGTCATATGAAAACATTACAAGAAACACTAGAATGGATACTGATTTAAATTTATTGTTAAATGTTAAGGACTGATTTGTAGTAACTCCATTAAAATTTATGTGCATTTGTGTGGTTGGTCTACCGCTCGTTTTTTATTAGCCACAGACAAACATTGGGCCAAATGGGCCAAGAATTGAAACAGACCTAAGTTTTAGGCCTCATTTGGTTTTAGATCCACACCAGGCTATCGTAGCCCAATGAAATCATTTTCGAAAAAAAAAAAAAAGCCAATAATTTCTATAATATTTTCGTTTGATCAATACGTTCAATTTTTAAGTTTCCTTCCCAATAATCTCATGTCTTCTTTATTTTTTTCATAAAATCCTTACAATATATTTGAAATTTTGTCATTATCTTTCTTTTTCTAGGAAACTACCTAATTACAACAAGTTTTACTATATTAATTTTTTTATTTAGCTTTTTTCTTCTTCTTCTTTTTTTTTTTTTGCGTAAACCCGTGCAATTTTTTTCTTGTTAATTACTATAATTCGTTAAAAAAAAAAAACCTTTAAAGCATTTCATTATGCTAATGTTCTTTAAAATTTTTATTTTTAAAAATAAGATTTACCAATATAAGAATTATATGGTATAATTTTATTTTTCTATCATAATTTGATTTGAATATAATCAAGATTTACAATAAAGAGATAATACAAGAAAAATAGATTACGATAATAAACTATTCTGCAGCAAATAAAATTGGACATTCAAAGATATTATTATTGCAAGTTTTTTTTTAACAAAAGTAAAATAAGAGTAAAGGAAAAATCAAGCGAGAGAGTAATATAAGAAGCTTAATTAAATAACTTTCTTGGAAGATAAATTACAAAAATTATTATAGAGCATATTGGTAATTTGTATTTCAAAAGTGAACTTATATGTACCTTTTCTCAATTATTTTTAGTTTTTTTAGTAATTATATTTAAAAAAATTATTTTTAGTATTTTTAGAAAATAAAAAAATAAGAATCATGAAATGAAACAGTTAAGAGTTCCTATAACGTATCACATAACTAATTCAAGTAATTCAAGACTTTATTATCTATAGTAAGAAAATAAATACTTATATTTCTTTGAGCTCAATTTTTTCCACAAAGTTAAATTTGATCGCTACATCTAAAATTCTTTCAATTATAAATACGTAACAAAATATTTATTTTCCTTTTTCTAAACAAACCTTACAAAATTTATATAAATGCATTAATTTCTTATACAAGTCACATATAAACACATAAACGTACTAATTCTTCCTAAGTAATTTTTTTTTCCTTAGAATATCATTTAAGACAAAGTTTATTGGATTTTTCTTCAAACTATTAATTCTTGTAAAATATCATAAACAGGCCCTGTAACCTGCAATGGTAACAAAAGGACGTATTAAAACCAAAAAGAGACCAAATATATAATTCTAGTGCTGCTCTAAGGAACCAAAAAGATAGGAAATCCTCAAGAGACGTGGCATCAAATATTCTACCCAAGTTTGGTTAACAAGTCATTCCAGTATCACTATCTCCATTCCACATAAAGTTAGAACTGATGACTGGTAATGTAATTAGCGCACCGATAACACGCATGTAAAGGCCGCAGTAGAAATCATCTAAGCACCAAATTCTTGAGACTTGATCAAAAATTTTGAATTTCATTTTCGAGACTGTTACAAGGGCAATAATGTTGAATGTGCGTATACATTACTCTGAAAAAAGAGTAGAACTTCATAATGAAGAAATCAACGCAGCGATAATTGAGTATAAGTTGTTTCCATTTCATTGACAAAGGCATCTTTCTAGATATGAGCACTCTTTGAATAGGTAAAACAAGTGGCAATCCAACTGAGCTCCATCTACATGATTGTCGATTTCCATCGGAAATGGAACTCGTGAACTCATTCATTAGCTCTGGCCAATTTTCCCCCGGTAGATCTTAATCTAAATTAAATATGTTTCAAAAACTAGACAGCCTAGGATGACAGTAGATGCATGACACCATGCACGGTGCTCCTTGTATTGTGATGGCTTTTCTATTTCACATACTATTTGCATATTAATATTCTAATTACCAAATCTAAGCTTTTCAGCTGGATACAACCCGTCCGTTCTTCTTCCCTTTTGGTTCTTTGGTGATGAGAAGTTCAGACCATTTGCTTTCTGTGGTTGATTAGGCTTCTTAACTGATCCCCGCGTTTTCTCTCTATCGTTTTTCCTGCAACACAAGTTAGGAATATAAATGGCCATAGTAAGATATCAAAATAAGAATATATATTTATTGGCAGCCTTCAGGTAGGACGAACCTGAAATGAAGCAAAAACAGCAGCACACCAACAACTGCAGTTCCTTTTGCAAAAGTTTTAAGGAATGGCCTCCTTGGGGGCTTGCAGTCCGCCTTTCCTACACTTAGATTCTCGGTTACATTTGAATCCTCAATTGCTGGAATCTGCACTTTTTCATGTTTTTTATCATCCTGTGTGACAAAGATTGTTCAAGTCATACAGAGTTGGGGTAAAAAGTTGTTGAAAAGAGACCTACAATTAAAACATTACAAAAAAAAATCAACAAGAGTGACTCACCACCTGGCCTTTATTTTCTGTAGAACAAATCATATCCTTCTTCTTCTCTATAGACACTTGACCACTCGTTTCCCCCACATTTTCCAAGTATTCTGTTGTTGAGCAAATAAGCTCATCTGGTATCTGTTCACCTTGGCTACAAAAAACATAAGTATCACAGAGGTGCTGAAAACCACTACTATCCTCCCTGCTGTCAAATTCACGAGATTTTTCACTTTCTACCATTGCTGCGATGCTGTCCGGGGAATCTGATTCCTTGTATGTTTCGTTTTCTATGCTATTAAACCAAGTGGTTTGTAAACATTTATTTGGCTGTTTATTATCAGGGTCTGATTCAACCATGGTGGCATTATGTTCCTCTGTGTCATTATCTCCAACAATGTACATGATGCTCGTGTTCACAGGCCATAAGGCATGGCCATCTCCTGCAAGTTTGCTTTGAACAGAATAAAGATTTTCCTCTGGTAAATCTACGCATGAAAGAGATAAAGGTGAAGCTCTAGTTGGTACGACAGAAATTCTACATTTTCCCTTCTGATCCCATAGATGAAACTCATGTGAAAAGGAGGACCAATCAGCAAACAACTCTCTGTCTTCACCATATCCAAGATCTGTATTTACTTGAGACATGCAGCTGTCATTCTTATGCAAAAAAGCATGATCTGAATGTTCGGTTTGTGCATTTGAACTGGGTACAGAAAGCTTGGAAGAGAAGCCAATATCCATGACTTTCATGTCAAAAGGAGATTCTTCTTCAGAGTCTGTTGTTAAACTATCCCCTGTTTTGTAGTATATGACCTTGTCCTGAGATTCAAATCTTTCTGTAGGCTTCTTGACTGAAAAAGCCACCTTCTTATTTGGTGATTCAGGAAACCAGATGGTTTTAAAATCATCTTCCGCATCTAATTGGTCCTCAAAATTCAAGTTCCGCACAGGGCCTGATACAGAACTCATGCTGGCAATAGAAGACACTTCCACATCATCACTATGGTTTCTTCTAGGTGTGCTACAATCCCCAGAATCCCCCACTACTAAGGCATCATCTTCTAAACTAAGATCAACATGAATCAGGTCTATTCCATTATTTCCACAGCTGTGTGTAGCTCCATCTTCTGTATGAAATGACCTACTACCTAAACAAATATTAGACTCAGCAAAAGATGGAGATAACCCACCATCCAACTGATGATCATTCTCCAAATGTTTTGAGCAAAGAGATCTTGTTGATTCATTTAAACAGTCTTTTTGCCATTGACATTTACTGAATTCGCCTCTATGTAGGTCTTCATTTTCTAATTCTAATGAGAATTGTTCAGAGGGATAACCTTTGACTCCCGGAGAATATATTGAATCAGAGTTCGTGGGAGATGAAATATCATTAGAGCAACTGCTGCATGAGCTAGCAGATTCGAGCATAAAAGCACTTTCCACATCAGGAGACTCTTCAAAATACGAATCATCATTTCTGCCAGAAGTTGTATTTGAATGTTTCTAGAATGCAGGTATGAAGCATTAGAAGTAAAACCAATAAGTAAACAATAATCTGGAACACAATCTGATTCTTAACTTATTGTTATAATTTATAGTAGCAAAAGCATTTACTTTTCTCATTGAAGAAAAAAAAGAGATTCTTTATTATATAAAAGAAAGAAACAAAAAAGAGATTCTTATACCAGTCTGGATCTTTGTCTTGATTCCTGTTGTGAAGTGGTAGCAGAGCTGGAGAAGCTACAATGTGACAACTCCAAGGTTCTTCGAATATTTCCAACCATGTTCGTTGGCATAGCTATGGTATAAGTGACAATATCAAAATCAGGAACCTACAACAAGAATTCGTCTGTGATCATTGTCAAATTGACACAAGAAAACATTTTAGAAAGGAAATTTCTGCAACCATATTACTTTAGATGAAAAGAAAGCATAAGTGTCTTACATTTAAATGCCTAGACCTTGCTTTCTTTGAAACAGAACGTATACACATACAAACTTTTCTTGTATTTCTTTTCTCAACAACATCTGATGGGGAGAACAGATCTATGCCTTCCAATCCCAAGATTTTGCAGACCTACAAACATAGAGCACAATAAGAAATCATGTCACTCAGGTTGGATCATATAATTGAGATCGTCACAACAAAGAGAATTGGTACTGGCAGAGCTTACCTTTAAAAATGAATCCACATTAGAATAAGGCATATACCTGCTCCCAGCAAAAGACTCATATTTATATGCTTTTACATATCTTAGTTCCGTATGCTTTGTCGATAACATTTTCCATAATGCTCTTGACACTTCAAACCTATGAAACAAAACAAGAAATTAAAGACATTTAATAAACCATTAAAAAATCATTAAGAATCGAAATACGTTAAAGCTATGATTCGTGTAATGATACATCATACAAGTTTACAGGAGGTGAAAACAATTGGAACATACAGCAACTCCCCGTCAGCAAGTAAATCAGCAATATGAAGCTGCTCATCTAATCTTGTCTGAAGAACTTCTCCAAGCCATATCCTTGCTTGAGTCTGTTAAAAAGAATACAAAAACAAATAAACAAAGCAAAAATATCAGACTTACTATATTAGAAAATAAGCTCTTAATTTATGAGCATTCAAAAACCAAAAAATCGTTTCACACTGGCTACAAAAATATGCAAAATTAGAACTAATTTAAGATTGTTTACAATAGTACTAGTAATTTTTATCGATTGAACTATGATAGAAGGCAAACTACACTCTACATAACCTTTTTTTTTAAAAAAAAATTCAGCACCAAAGATACTTATAGCTACTTTTAACAGAAAATGCATCTAAAAATAGGGGTATTGAAGAATCAAACATCTATAAAGCAAGGGAAAAGGTTAAAACGTTCTACACGTATCTAATACTACAATAGCCACTAAATCACCCACAAGCTAAAAACCAATTAATTACAGAAATTAAGCATCCAACATCATAAAGTTTGAATCTTTCTTTCTGGGTCATCGTCATTTCAGGTTTTAACTCCAAAGCAACCTTTTTAATAATTTATATAAAAAAAGAAACTTCAACAACCAGTGAAAAATGAATATAACAGCAAGAAGGGATGGTTTGTTTCATTGCATGACCTGCAAGAAGACATCATCAAGTTCCCGAAAGTTGGATTCAGCAGCAGCAGAAGAACAAGGTGAAGAACAAGAAGAAGAAGAAGTAGTAGTGGTTTCACCAACACCAGCACCAACACTTGCGGCTGAGCTAGCTCTCAAAACTTGGGGAGATTCACCATGACTCGCCATCATCACCAGCGCCATGCTTTACGGCGGCCGTAAACCAGTTCCCGCCAAAATGGTGGTGGGTCAGTCCTTCCGTTTGAGTTGTTACAGTACTGACGATGTATGTGTTGTGCGTTTTAGGATGGTCCGTCAAGTGTTGTGCAGAAGAAGACGGACCGAAGATTCAGCAACTTTTTGTGTCCTTCTGCCGCTTAGCTTTTCTTTCTCTTCTTTTTTTAATTTTCAGTGTCTTTCCTCTTACGTTGGATGTGTTTGACAAATGATGGTGTTCAAACTTCTCGTCAAATACACTAAATTAAATCCAAATTATTTCTTCTTAGTTGTCAATTACACTAAATTAAATTTCATTTGTGTTTCCATTCTTTATCTTATTGGGATGTTCGTAGATCTTGAACTATATAATAAGAAACAGTCATTTTTCTATAAATAATAATCAAATAAATTAATTATTAGAATTCAAATATGTTTTACTAAAACTAGTTATCGAATGCATAACTACTGAGATATATATGTTTTTGTTTTCATTCATGTCTTTATCGTTATATTTATAAAAAATTATTTTTTACGATTACTTTAAAATTTAGGTAATATTATAAAAAAATAAAAATTTTAGATATATGAATTAAAAAATATATATATAGCTTTAAAACGTGGAAGAGTGACTTGTGATTTTAACATGATTCCAAAACACTATTATCATTAAAACCAAAAATAAAAACTTTATCAGAAATCAACACAGCTAAAGAAATAATAATCGAAAGAAATGATTTTTTTAATTCACATATCTAAAAAAAATTATAATTGATGGATGAAAACTATCTACCCATTTAAAAGCCAAATCAAAAGGAACTAAATAATTTTTTTTAAGAACAGGAATTAGCTACGTAAGTACTGTTTGGTCCAGGAATTTCATGTGAACCAAAACTTACCTCTCGTCAGAACTCAGAACCACTACTATTATTTAGGATTAATAATATATATATATATATATATATATATATATATATATTCCCTTTTTTTTTATTTTTGACATTTGTTTAATATGATTCCTTTATTTTATTATTTTTATTTATCACATCCGTCTACTGAAGATATTTTTTAATGTGATTCTTTGGATGAGATTTTGATAAATTTTTCGATAGTAAATAACAAGTGACTGCTACATCAAAAAAATTTAACACTTAAGAAAACAATCAAATTAAAATAATAATAATAAATAAAAATTACGTTTGAGGTCGTAGCCTAATGGTTGAAAGCTTGCCTAATGACCATTCGGGTTCGACTCTCTCTGCGCAAACTCGTCACTCCCACGATGCCTTATCCGACCACTGCGCTTGCAGGGTATTTAGTGGGTCCATGAATTTATCGTGTATCGCGTAAGCTGACCCGGACATCTTGAGTTATAAAAAAAAATTAAAAAAAAAATTCTGATTTTTTTTATTTGGTCACGTATCAATTTTATGTAACGTATCATTACACGTAACGTTTCTACTTTGACATGGAATGCCATTTATCACTAGTGATTTAAAAAAAAAAAAATCCTACCAAAGATACCGTATTAAAAAATATCTAGAGTAGGAAAAACATAATATTTAAAAAGAAAAAAATTGAGGAGCTGTCTCTTTTTTTTCTTTTTTTCTTTTTGTTTTTTTTATAGAAAAGACGAAAGATATATTGAGGTCAGAGTACAGTAGATAAGGAGCGAAGACAGACTGCCCCCTACGCATTTTGTCTGCTTCCTTGTCTTGTCTTCATTGGTTGTCATGAAAGATCAAAGAACCATGATAAAACATCTTCAACGTGGAAAGTAGTGCCGTTTTAATATTGTCCACAACAACTTCTATAAGAGGAAATAGCATTGCCCATCAACCATAATAAATTCAATGTTACGGTTTTTGGGTTTAATTTTAAGAATGAATGCAAGAAATAAATTCTATGTGGAAATGTGGTTGCAATATATATATATATATATATATATATATATATATATATATATTTGGATACATGTGGATTGATTTTTCAAAACTTGGGATCGATGGTCCGAAGTCACGTTAAATATTTGACCGTAAAGAGTTTTTATTTTAAAAATACTTGACAATATCACGATGACAGACACAATTTTTAAAAATAAAAAATTTTTAGAAGTAAATTTGAAAAGTTAAAACCATATATGGCATAATATACATATGTGTGTGTGTGTGTGTGGATTGATCTTTCAAAACTTGGGATTGATTGTCTAAAGTCACATTAAGCATTTGGTCGTAAAGAGTTTTTATTTCAAAAATACTTGATGATATCACGGTGACGAGACACAATTTTTAAAAATAAAAAATTTTTAGAGGTAAATTTAAAAAATAAAAATGATAAATGACATAATACCCTCATTAAAAATTACTTATCTTTTTTCTCTCTCTTGCATCCCTATAAAAAAATACTATCTTTATAAAATTATGATGATTTTTTTTTTTGACACCACTAGTGTCGGTAAAAAAATAAAATGATATAATATCCATACTGAAAATTATCTATCTTTTTTCTCTATCTTGTATCTCTTCATAAAAATACTATCTTTATAAAATCATAATGATTTTTTTTTTTTACTCCACCGATGTCACGTAGTACTCGTTTTTTATTTTTATTTATTTCATTTTATTACATTAGCTTGGAATCTCATTTTTTTGTTTGTAATAAAACAAGATCTCATGCATTCATTCATGTATTAAAAAACTGCAACAAAGTCAAAGAAATGTAATTAATACATCACTGCCCAAGGTTCAAGATAATATTAATAATAAAAATTAGTCAATGATGAAATGTGCATTAAGAATAGTATAGGATCCAAATTATTAGAATTAGGTGCCACTTGTTAGCATTACCGCGTACGTGAAACATGTGCCAGTTGCGTGAGGCAAGATGTAGGGATGAAGGTGACTTAAAACGCATTAAATCAACTACTTTAGTAATGTAGATACATCTTCAAACTTTTCAACAATGTAATATAGACGTAACTAATCAGTTTTTCGTGCTATGTTATGCGTCGAATTAAATATATTAATTTTAATTTGATAGCATGTATTATACCGTTGATCAATTAAAACATATTAAATTAAATATAAATGATAAAATTTCATAAAATTTTATAGTTTTTAATCAAAATTTTGTATTTAACTTTTTTTTATATGTATGTTTTTAATAAATTTATAGTTAAAAAATGACTTGCTATTTCTTATGCATTTTTTCTCAAATAAAAAACCCATAATAGTCTAAATATAAAATTTTTAAAAATATCTTAATAATTTTTTTCATATCATTGCATTGAAGAAATAAAACAATAATTAATATAAAAATTGTATAAAAATAAAAAAATATCATTTTTATTCTTATTTAATACTGATGATAAGATTAACTTTTTGAAAATATTATATTTGATTTATATACATTTATTTACAAAATAATGAATAATATTAATATAAAAAATTATAATTAAATTATTAGGTGGTTCTTCTAAATATTATTGTAATTAATTTATTTGAAAGAGTTTAATTTTAAAATGTTAAAAAATAATAATAGGGTATGGTTGGTGTTATGCGTATAAATGTATAGTTAATTTTTAATAAAATCAATGATCTTAATTTTTTTATATATACATTATAATCATACTCGGTGGGCTAGAGTGTACTCCACAAATCAAAAAATATTTTTACAAAAATTTAATTTGCAAAAAATACATTGAAGTTAATATAGTGTAATAAAAGCAACTACAAATTTGATTTCGATAAAATTTAATTATATATATATATATATATATATATATATATATATATATATATATATATATATATATAAGCAAATAAACTGGTGAATCTATTTTTAAAATTTCATTATACAAAGAATAAGTAAGTAAAAAAAAAACTCTAAAAAAAGTTATTCGAAAATACATAAATAAAGAAACTAAGTCATACTCGTTAACAAATAAAATTACATAAAAAAATTTAGAAAAAATTAGAAACCAAAATGCAATATTTGTTAAAACTTGCATATCAAATACCTAAACATAGGCCTACAAAAAAAAAAATACCATATCAAATGACTAAATAAAATTTAAAAATTACAATAATGCCACTCAATATAACAATATTAAACAAATAGTTCTTATAAGATCAAATGAATAGTAAGTAAATACTAAAATGAGCGTAGATGAATAGTAATCACTCTAAATCTTTTAGGTTTTCTTATAATTATGTGTGTGTGTGTTGTATTGGATCGGATATGAAGTGAGTATTCATTTTATCCGATCTAATAAATATTTATTAAAAATGTCTTATATAGACGGTGAGACGAGTAAGAATAAAAAAATATATACACTTACTAATATGATTTTCGAGTACGGATAATCACTCTATACCTTACGGGTGCTTTTTTAAAAAAAAAAAAAACAAAAAAGGATCTAATTGTATAAAATTAAGAATTAAAGATCAAAATGTTTTTATTAAAACTTGAATGACCAAAAAACTTCTGACTAAAGGACCAAATTATATCTATGACTCCAAAATGATTTTTTATCTTCTTTCGTGACAATTGGTTGGCCAAAGCTGGAGCAGACATGGCTCGAAGAATGATCCAACTTCAATTAGCTTCTGCAGCACTTTAGAGCGTGGACCCTACTTTAGACAGATTGTATGGAGCTATTTGGAGTAGGGTCCAAATTCCATATGAAATAAGATCATCCTTGGAGCTATTAGGCAGATGTATGACCATAAATGTAATTAGAAAAAAATAAATCAGAGGGGTTTAATTGGAAGAGTTTCAAATATAAGGATGAAATCAAAGGATCCAAATTGAAAGGATCTAAAATATAGGGATGAAACTTTACTTTCCAAAATAACATGAGCTCCGCCAACTAATTCAATTTTAGCCGTGTTAAGAAGACGAAACTTGTTTAATCTCCATATAAAATAAAGAACAAATACGTTTATTTGTCTTTTTATAATACTTAAAATTTTTCGTATGTTTCTAAGTTTTTAATTACATCATATTTGCCTCTAAAAGTATTTTAAATATTCAACTTATTATTTTGATCAATTTTTATGCTCAAATTTATTTTTTTTAACCGAAATGCTCTTGATTGAAATTCAAAAAATAAAAATTTATATAATTCTAAAAAATTTAAAAATAGAATATATAGGTCATGTGGATTTTAAATGTGTTTTTTTTTTCACATTTTAGTAAATTATTGAATTCATTTTTAGCAATGCTAAGAAGAGCCAACTTGTTTAATCTCCATATAACATAAGGTCAAAGTTAGTCTCTCGTACTTGTTGTGGTAGTCATATTAATAATCCCATGTCGACGAATATCAAATTCGAGTCTTTCTTTCCTCTAACGTTAACAATTAACCAATAATCATAATTATTATAATAAATAAATAAATAAATAATTGTGTAATTAAAAGTGAAGAAAATTTATAATACTCAAGAAGTAACTAATACAATGACTTTTTCACTTGTACATTAGTTACGAAAGTTACTTCGTAAGTGTTATAAAATTTCTTTTTAAAAGTGTTAGTCATGAAGGCAAGGAATACAGTCTCAAATTCAAGTCCATAAAAGAAAAAACCAGGCCTGGTCCACAACTGACTTGGACAGGCTTGAGTTTAAACAAATGGGCCAACTAAAATAGAGGCCCATTTATGTTTTGAGATGAGAATGGAGATTGAAAGAGATAAGTAGCCTTAATCAATTGGGCTGGGCCAGAAAATTAGATTTGGACAACGCAGTTGGTTTCAGTCTCCTTTATTTTTTCCCCGGAAACAATTTCCTTTCTTCCTCCAAATTTAACTCCAAACCGAAACAAAACCACAAAACATTAAAAAAAAAAAAAAAAAATAGCACTCTCATTACACTTTACATCGTATTTTTCAATTATATTTCAATGTTTTTGGTATCGAAGAATATAAGGTAAAGAAGATTATGAAAGAGTTAGAATCAATCAAGAAATCAAACAAGATTATTCGAAGATCAAATATTTTATGATTTATCATTTGATTTTATTTGTTACCATAATTTATTATTTAATTCGCCATGCAAATAATACATATGTAATAATTTTATATAGATATAACTTTCCTATTTTATTTTTCAGTCATAGAGAGAAAATCATGAATTAATTTTTCAAAATTAATTAAATAGTAATTTTATTTTAAAAAATAATTAATTAATCTTATATTTTTAAATTAATCATTTTTTTATTTCTCAATTCATTTTGATTTTTTTATTAAAAAAAAGAAAAGGAAACAATAAGTAAAAAAAATATATATATATATATATAAGGATTGATGAGAAAAAAAAACTAATAATCAATAATGGTTAAGGAAATAATTAGTTAATTTTTAAAATAATAAAAACTATTTAATTTATCTTACAAAACTAAAAGGACTAATTTATAATTTATTTCTTCCATAGACCAAGCCTGTTTTCTAGACCTGCCCGAGTCATGGATGGTCCCACAGATATGGCCATGGCCCACATTTCTCTTCTTTATTTAAACGTGCCAGCAGGTAACCTTGTAGATTATCTATCACTGCTTCTTTCAATCAGCCGCCCAAGCAGTTTGGTCTCCCTCACTTGACCTACCCTAACTAGCATAATGTATATGTTGAATTTTTTTTTCTTAAAAATTACTTAAATAATTTAATTAATTTTATTACGCATTTGTGTTATTTTTTTTTAGTTTTAGCATGAGTTTAAATTCCACAATACGTATTATCGATTGGATTAACTATGAACTTTGCTTAATATAAAGTTTTGAATCATGTAACGATAGACATGGGTATTTTGATAGGAAGCCAATGTCTATGCTTTATTTTTTAGATGCATCTAAAAATTGATTTGATAGATTTAGAGTAAGAACTTGTTAAAAAAATACAATTGTTATTTATTTATTTTTATTTTTTTTGTATTTTTTTAGCAAGTTAAAGCAATTTGATAAAAAAAAACAACCCATTTTTCTCTATGTCAAATTTAAATATAAGAAAAAAAATCCTACTTCAGGTATGATCGACACGGAGATGCATATATTTATGCATGAGCGCTTGCGTATGTAACTAGAGCATGAGTTTAGTTACGTCAAATGGTTATTGGGATTCAAATATGGACTCACATATGGACGACGCGACGTGATACGATTCTAATAATTAAGAATCATTCTTATTTCATTATAAATAGTTAAATACCATGCGTTGTAATAATTGTAAATAGATTTTAATTTTTTAATTTTTAGTAAAACATATGAACTCTTCTTTTCTTTTCAAATCTATTCCACTCACATCAAATATTATCTAAAACTTAATTTGTCGGTGTATGCTCTTCTTTTTATGTCTTTTATTATTTAAATTTATTTCTTATTATTGATTGATCATTACTTTCATGAATCATAATATTATTTTTTTATATTTTAAATAGTATATCAATTAATTATTTGATCAGTTCTAAAGACTCTCCTACAGCATATATATATATATATATATATATACAATTTTTTTTTTTAATCAAATATATAAATTTTAGTTTTTTTTATTTGAGTACGTCGATGATGAGTATTATTATTATTATTATTATTCCACTCCAGCCGGTCAGTTACAGAGAGCCAAGCCGGCCAATTAGTTCGGTCTCCCTCACTTGACCTACCCTAGCTAGCAAAGCAATCACAGTAAGTCTGCAAATTCTGCTATCTAACTTTAATTGAATTAATGAAAAGAAAGAAAGAAAGTCGCAAATATCATTTTCCAATGCCGTATTAAAGTGGGGAAAGGATACACAATTGACGCTACTCCTAGTCTGCTATGCCCAAGTTTAGATTTTGGTCGGCCTAAGCATCCATAGACCCCTGTGCTTTGTACCGTAGCCAAGGTCCAATATATGAAATTTTTCAACCTAGGTTTTAAAACACCTTTGATGTGTTCAGTAAAAGTGGCGAGTGATTTGATTACAGATTGATTGGAGAGAAATTTAGATTTGATGTATGAAAGATGACACAAAAATATGTGAAATATTAAAAAAAAATATTACTAAGTCTTCAAAAATAAAAGTTTTATTAAATTTAGGATAAATAGCTCAATTTATTTTTATATAATAATTTTTCATATGTTCATAGGTTTTTAATTATATTTTATTTATTTTAAAATTTTTTAAAAATATTCAATCTGTCTTTTTCATCAATTTTTCTAATCATAAATAATTTTTTTTTCAAAATGCCATTTACTGAAATAAAAAAAAACTTAAAATCACATAACTTATATATTTTATTTTTTAAGTCTTTAGATTTTTTTTAACATTTCACTCAGGAGCATTTCGGTAAAAAAAATAATAATAATAAGGTCAAAAAATTGATCAAAAATACAAATTTAACATTTTAAAAACAATTCAAAAATAAATGGAGTGTAATTAAAAATCTAGAGATAGACGGAGACTCGAAATATTATATAAAGACAAATTGAACTATTTATTTTTAAATTTAAGGAAAAGAACGAAGAGGACCAATTGTAAAGATTTTATATGTAGAAATCCTTACATTGAATCCTGAATTAAGAAAACTAATAGGTGAATTAAAGGTCTACTTGGATGATATATGACTAGAAAGACTGCATAAATTTGAGAATTTGAAGATTATAAAAAAGTTGTGTGCTCATCCATCTATGATTTGAAGGATAATTCTCCCTATCAAATTAAACTTTCAAGGATACTATTATTATTATTATTATTTTCAACTCATAGATTTAAAATTTTTAATAAAATCAATTTATTAAGATTTGAACTATGAACTCTTGGTAGAAGAGACCATTGATTGAAAGCACAATCTGGAAGATTTTGATGTTGATGGGAGTAGTCATGAAATTGGCAAATCACACTTTGAGGTCTCACATATTGAATCCTGATTTGTTAGGTAACTAGACAATCTGTATTTGTTGAAATGGCAAATCCCACTATATTTTTGGCATGGCCCATGAATGGGAGAAGCAAAAGTACCAACAATCAATCCATCACCATCCTCTTGCTTTGCCTTACTGTTTAGCCTTCTTGGTATTGCTCCAAAGAATGCAAAAAAGACATAAGCGTGAAGTGTATTATTGTCACTGTGCTTTTCAAACTTCCAACAGAGAGAGGGAGAGAGGGTGAGAGAAATAAAGAACATGAGCCAAAGGAAACACCTGCATCTTTCTTGCTGCCTTTCTCTTCTTTTCATGGCTAGCTCATGCAAAAGCAAAAAACACCCCATTTGATTTTGAATCAATGAGAGAGAGAGAGAGAGAAGAAGGGAGAAAGGTCATTTAATATCTTGCTCTTTTTGTTTTTTGTCTTGCTCACTAGGGCAAACCATCTTTTTCAAAATTTCAAATAGAATGCCATCAAAAAAGAATTTTGTTCAATCCCACTCCCAAATTGTCTGTCTCTACCAATTTTTTTTTCTTTTTCTTGACAGAAAAGATACTATTTACCCCAACTTACTTTTGACTGCTGTACACTATTGTTATTTTCCAATCCCTCCCCAATTTTCCCAGAACCATTTCTCTACTTTCTACACTCTTTGCTTGCTGACAAGAACATTTCTGGGCTGCTCACAGCTAAAGAAAGCAAATTGCTGTAGTTGCCTGCCTTCATTCTTCAGATTTATACAAGCTCAGCTAATCCCTTGACATCTTCTCTGTAGTTAACACTTCACCACCATGGCTAATCTCAAAAATTTAGCCATAAACATTAAGCACCTTAACACATCCATGACTCATAAATCTGGGGCTAGGTCGATGATGTCCCGGGAGTTTAATTCCCAAGTGTTAAATTATGTATAATTGTGCGTTCTTTCTTTCCCTTCATCACTGGTCCTCTATGAAGATTCTATGAATGAAATCTCGGAATCTTTTCGAGTATAGCTTGGGATCAACAGCTGAGATAGACGTGGGATCCACTTGCAGGGACTTGTATGCATGTTCTAGCTTTTTGCTGATATCATAATCTTGGAGGATGTCAATGATACCAAAGTAGAGAACTACGTCAAAGATCTCACTACCATTTTGCGAAGGTGTTGAATTGTTACTTCCACCTCCTGTGCAATGATCCAGTTCAGTATTCCTCGACATGCGCTCTGCTCTTGCAGGCATATTTGCCCCTAGCCGGATAAATGGCCCCCTGGAAAAAGACTTCAAATCAGTGCACGCCATGCAAGACACAAAATTTGACATGACACAATCACCAAAATTCAAAGTAATGAAACTAATAAAGTATAAAATGAGATGACAAGGACAATGATCACCCAACTACCGCTGAAATTTTACGCTTTGAAGTCACTTTTCATCATTAATTTTCCTCTCTCTCATTGACATAGCATAGATTTACAACTACGGTTTCAAAGTCATCGTTCCATAAATCATCAGCAGAAAATTTGTGGGATAGATATAAATATATTAATGCAGTTGAGGCAATCCTAAAGATTAATGCTTTGGTTGTGAATCACATTCATTATTTATCTTTGATTGTCTAAAAGGGACTGGAATAGGACCAGACAAAAGTTTGTTTCTATCCAAGAAAGCAAGTAGACCCCGCTAATACATGTTGTCCACAAACTACCCCCAATTTCGCCACTACAGCTTGAGTCACTTTGAGTCATTCCAACAAACAGGAATGAATTCAAAGGAACAAATCATTCAATAGAGGACTCCTATGTGGGAAAAGGAAAATGATTCACTACTAAAAAAGAAAAAGTTCAACCACAAATTATACCTTCACTTTTTGTGAATTTTATCTTATATTTCCTTGGCTATGTGCAGATGATATTGGTATTTTAAGACAGAGCAGTCTTCATTGCTTTTCAAAACCAAACTCTGGGGTCCATAAGCAACTAAAGTTAAACCATTTAGCACATGCCTAGTAGAAAAGAAGATGCCACACCACTTGAAGGGTCCAACATTTAGACTTTTCATGGCAACAAAAGCCACATTTAAAAACAGGATCATCTGATCTGTACAATGAAGCCGGCATACAACAACAAGTAAAAGATCCATTTTCCAATTAGAGTACGTATCATGTAACTTAACATCTCTAAGCATGATTTTTGCAATAATCATCTATTTTGACCATTCATATCTTTCACCACAGTTATCTGTCACACCATTTCACATGCACACACTCCCACAAAGGAGATAACATGGAAGATGTTTAATCTTATATTCAACCAAGAAAGAAAAAGGATAGAAAAATGTCTTTAGTTGATGGCAATAAATACAAATCCTAAGAACTAACGTAAGGAAAATAGATTTGGGAGAAGAAAAGGCAGAAACAAAGCAAAGCACTAACAATTAGGAGGGAAAAAAAACATGAATTCTGAAAAGGAAAATACATACTGGCCTTCCATGACCCAGTCCATATCAGGAAGCAAATGATAGCCCCGCATTGATGTTTCCTCATTATGCGAATTTCTTTTTTCTGATACAGGCACACAAAACCAAATGACCTCAAGGTTGTGTTGTAAATTTCGAAGGTAGCAGAATTACAGGATAAAAGTAATTTACCGAAATGCTTGTCATTTGGTGACATAATGTGATCACTTGAGTAATCATCACGGAAGTGAAGACCGATTAGAAGACTATAATCCATGATTCTCTCTGCTTCCAAGAATTCACAGTCCCTATAAATTTGCCTGAGAAAGAAAGAACAGAAGACAAACATAGTTTTAACTTGTCAAGATTAGTGCCTCACCAGAGTACAAGGAAAAGGATGCAAAACTTAAAAACAAATTCAAAAAAAAAAAAAATGCAATGCTGTTATCTACCTGATGAGTTCATTAAACCATGACCGTTCCAGGCGAAATACAAAGTTTAGATCAAGATCCTTAAGCGTGGTTGTCTCATCAATTTCACCCTCAGGCTTGTCAGTTGTGCGTCCATGAGAAGAACCTTTCAGGTCAAAGCGTTTATGGATACGGTACTCAGAACAAAACAGATTGCCCATTACAACAAAACGGGTCTGAAATTACATTGAAACGTGAATAATAATCAGATTTCTGTAAGCATTTTTGTAAAAAGATAATCTGAAAGAAAAAAATCCACCATTCCAATTATACCTTTTGACCTCCCACTGGTTTAACACAATGTACACCAAAGAACTTTGTAACCAAGGAGTTCTTGTACTGGCAAACATGTTGGTAGTAACTTGGAAGCATCTTAATGAGAACCTGAATACGGTTCAGAACAGGTGGTGAAAATCTATCCACAGGATAAAAATACATGTTAAAATAAGCATCTAGAAGCTTAAATCGATATACAGAACCTAACTACTCGTCTTAAGTTATTCCCACTAGAGTTAAAAACCACTTTCATACATTTGCTTTTCTGAAACGCGTTGAATTAAGAATTTGGAGGACAGCTAATAACTAACCTTGACTTCAGATTTCTTCACAGTTTTGATCATGAAGCGGTCATCTTGAGTTAGATAAAAGAAGCTTCCACTCTTCCCAGGGGAAGAAAATTCTCTAAGTGCATCACTTCCACAAACAGCTAGCATGTAATCCGCTGGATCTATTGCAAACAATTCCCTCAGATGTCTAAATACCAAACAAACCAACCACCACCATAACATAGGAAATCAGAGACAGATTCAATATCTCCTTTCTTGGACAGAAAACTTAAAAATAAAGTAATAAAACATTATAAATACCAAAAATCACCAAAAAAAAAAAAAAAAAGTCCTGAAAATAATACCTGAATACCATGGGACAGTAATCCTTCCATCTGAAATCCACAGACTGATGAGGAGGAGTAGACTTCGATCCTTCAGGTGGAAACCTTGTCCAGAACTTCTCGTTAGGATCAAAATCACTGTGTCTTAGTTCCCTCATTATTGAAGCATGCTTCCCCACAGAATGCCTAGAGAAAACACAATTATTAATCAAAACTCTTAATAAAAAATTCTATAAAAAAAAACCCATATTAGCGAGTAAAAAAAAATACCTGACACCCAGTTGAAGATTAAGCATTAAATCAAAATTTTTATGCCCTTTCGAAATCGTTTGTCCTTGTTTCTTATTAACCTCACCATCAACAGAACTACAAGGACTTCTTACTGGCTGCTGATGCTGCACATTGCCCTCACATCCACCTCCGTTATCATCACTACCATCTTTATAAAACATTGAAGCCTCCACATTATCTACAATATCGCAAGTAATATCACCAGCCTCTCCATCCAACTCCCAAATACAAATCCGCGGAAAATTACCATCCACCGATGACCTCTTCCTTCCTCCTCCAACCCCACCTGCTGGATCCAACGCCACCCCTTTAAAATCCTCTCCGCCGCCACGAACTCTCCCATTTCCATGCCCGCTACCGAATGTAAACATCCCTTTCCCTTTCGGCACCCCATTTTCCCAATACCCTTCATATCTATTCCCATTAGCCCAAACCAACACTCCTTTCCCAAAAATCACCCCATTTTTCCACTCACCAACATACTCATTGCCATTACTCCATCGATACTTCCCGTCTCCATCTTGCAAATTAAACTTCCATAAACCTTGATAAACATCCCCATTAGCATACCTTTTCTCACCAAACCCATGTTTTTTATCACTCACCCAATTCCCACTATAAGCTTCGCCATCTACACCAATAAAAGTACCATAACCATCCATTTTCCCTAACTTAAACTGACCCTCGTAAGTAGCCCCTGATGGCCAAGAAAACTTCCCACCTCCATTAGCCTTCCCTTTCTTCCACTCCCCTTCATACATACACCCATCACACCACAAATACTTCCCCTTCCCATGCGGTACACTATCTACCAACCCCCCCGTATATATATCCCCATTGGGCAGCACCTTCTCCACCAACGCACAGCTGGCGTCGACACCGGCGGCGACAGTGGTGGTCGTCGTCTCGCGCGTTGGCGTCACGCGCCGGGAGTTAGGCTGGGATCGACTTCTCGTCGACACAATATGGCACGGCGAGGGGACTAGCAAGGACAGGTCTTTGTTGTTGTTTGCTTTGGTTTTGGGGTTTTCTGATAGTGCGGCTAAGAGGGTCTCCTGCATTTTGCTTTTTATGCCGGAAAATGCACCGGCGGCAACATTTCCGGCGTCCTGTAAGATTACAAGCGTCGTTTCCTCTTTTGTGGGACAAAAACAAATGGTGTAGCGCTACTATTGGTTTGAAGAATGGGTGAGAGAAATAGCAGAGAAAGAAAAAAACAGAGCAAGAGAAGAGGAAAAGCAAAAGACCAAAGACACAGAGAGAGAGATTGTGGGCAGTCTTTTGTCGTTTGTCTAGGGAAGGTGGCAAGCAGCAGGCAAAGTACAGGAATGGGAAGGATCCATTTTTGAGTTTTGATAAATATAGTGACCAAATTGGGCTGACATTTTTTGGGTTATTTTGCTTGAGTATGAGTCATTATTGGAGGAATTGATTAATTTGTTGGGGGTATTGTGGGGATATGGAAAGAAATAATTAAGTTAGGAAGACCATTTCTTGATTTATGCAAATTTGATTAACATGAGAGGGTTTGATTGATAATGCAGCCCACAAACATGCATATAGATTGCAATTGACTCGAAAAAAGAAACTATTGAATGAAAAAGATTATGGACCAATAATTCTTTATTGTTTGATAGATTAGTCAAATTCTATTTTTATTGGTGGAATAAGTTGATGTGAAAACAAATAATAAAAAAGCGTGAGAAATAATGTTTTTAATTTGTTTATTTGTCCTACACAAAAATGACACATGTAGAATATAAATAAACCCTAAAAATTTCTATTAAAAAAAAAAGATAAAAGGAAAAAAATACGACTATTGAGTAATCGTGAAAATTTTCATGATGTTTCAAGAGTAACTAATGTAAATTATTTTATAAAGAGATATACACAAACAAAAAAGAGAAAATTAGAAAAAAAATTGAGCAATCGTGAAAATTTTTTTATCACTTTTGATGGATACGGATGTGAGTCTTTTTTCGTGTGTCTATCCTTCTCGGTACAAGTGAACTCGTGGAGTAATTTTTATACATATATACTAATTATTTTTTACTTATTATAAAATTTTTGGACATAAAAAAATATATAAGTAAGAAAAAAAGTTTGATGTGCATACATATGTATAATAAAATTTTGATCGTTGGTAAAACGATACAATAATTATTATCTACAATAAAACCCAAACCCATGACAAAAAAAGAGATCAAATTTTTTCTATGTTTCTTTTCTTTCTTTCGATACAAACTATACCACATTTGTTTCCATTCGTTTTTTTTTTTTTAATTGTTCACAAATATTCTCAAAAAAGAAAAAAAAAAACAAAAAGATGTTCACAAATTATTCTAGTTTTTGTTTTTTGTAAAGATGTTAATAAATTATTCAAATTTTTGTTTTTTTCTTCCTGAGTTTTTGTGTGCCAGGATTAAATCCATTATTGCTAGATCTAAAACAAAATATTCATTATTTGATTAATGGTTAATATATCTATGAGAAAATTTCTTTCTAACAAATATGAGATTTTTTTTTAGTCAAAATCCAAGATGATAACGTAAAAAAAATAATAATAATAAAAAAATCTTTTTATTTGAATAAAACCTATTTCTCATTTTGTCATTATGTAATATAGAATCCACTATATATATATATATATATATATATATATGTCTGATTCTTATACCAGCATCTCCAACATACATTAGTTTATTTTATTATTATTATTTATTTTTCAGAGTAGACTTTTCTCAGATTCTTCAAAACCCTAAACATGATTTGCTGTTCAAATTCTATTCTCTCAACTAATATTTTGTTCTTGATCTAGAATTTTTCTTCTATTTATTTAGTCCCTAAACTTTTATGTAGTTTGAACATTGCTTTTTTTTTTTCCTTTTCATTTTAGTTCTCAAAGCTGTAACAGTGTATAACTTCCAATATTGAAATTTCTTTAGGTGGTGTTAAATTTTCTGTCAAAACTTTAAACAATGACTGAAATGCCAGCCACTAGTTACCACTTTACAGAAACTGTCACAATTATTAAGGAATAGAGGACCATTAAGAAAGATGTTCTTGATGGCAGTTTAGTGGGTGGAGATCCATACAAGGAAGAGAATCAATTGAAATGAGTTTGACATTAATTTTAGGGCTAATTATATAGAGTCCCTAATTGATATTGTGGTATCAATTCGGATCCTTATCGTTGTAAAATTTTACAATGCAAGTTAGTTTGGGGAATATTTATTATTAGCCCAAGAATCTTATTGTGGGTTGATTTCTTTTTGAGTGTGTGTATAGGTGTGAATATACATTTGTAAATTTGAATAACTTAAATGTTTTGGAATATGTCATATCGACATGTGAGGTGTGTTTTTAAAATCAATTTGAAATAAAATTTGATTTCAATTGACGTACAAACTGCTACAAGTATATCTTTTATTGTTGAATGAAAAAAAAAAAAAAGAGTATGTTTTTTAAAAAATATTAGCTACCAGGCATCAACTTTAGTTTTTATTAGTACTGAGAAGTGGTTGGAATTAAATGTTCTTAAATTTATACGATGACAATTTATTAGGGTAGGGCTGCAAGAGTCTAAACATTTAGTTGAGATAATTTAAAGTTGTCACAACAATTATACAATTATATCATTTAAAAGTTATTTTATACCAACTTCGAGGACCATAATAGGGAACAGTAAAAGGCAAAAAAAAAAATCCAAAACAAATGGCTAAAATAGAATTTTGCATCAAACAAAAGTTTAATTGAATTTGAAAAATTTAAAAACCATTAAGAAAATCACTCAGTTGAGATGCCATGCAAAGTCTTAGGGACCAAATTAGAAAGGAAAGAAGATACCAAAGCACTTTTTTCATCAAGGAAAGTTGAAGGACTAAAAATTGAAAAAACAAGTTTGGGGACAAAAAGACAAGTTTTGAGATAAGGAATTTGTCGATCAAAAGCATGTTTTATCCATGGGAATGTGAGTTTTGTCCAAGAGGCAATTAAGGAGGGAGAGTTGTTTTTGAAAATAGACGAGAATAAAATAGGGACCAATGCTTGCTTGGTTATGTTTTGAAAGGACAAAACTTTGTAATATTGCTTCACTGGTCTTTTTCTATGCTGCCATGAACATCTGACGACAAGAGACCTTAGAATGGCAAACTTGGGTCATCTTTGATCATTGCCTGAGACTGATTTTGCAGCAGCCAGCATGGTTTGAGCATGTACAAAACTTTCCATATGGATACAAGTGACGCATGAGAGAAATTTTTCTTTTTTCTCTTTTTAACACTAGTTATACTACCAACGACCCCCTTAGTAATATATATATAATTCATTAGACTAGAATTTTGATTATCACCATTAGAAAGATCTTCCGTCTCATTTGAGTAGTACTGGATGTTGATTGTTAGTGAATTCAAAGAATCTGATTTTTAGAATCGATAAAAAATTAGGCATGATATTAGACATGGATTGTTAGTAAATTCAAAGAATCGACTTTTAGAATCGATAAAAAATTAGGTATGACATTAGACATAGATTGTTAGTGAATTCAAAGAATCGACTTTTAGAATCGATAAAAAATTAGGTATGATATTAGACATAGATTGTTAGTGAATTCAAAGAATCCGACTTTTAGAATCGATAAAAAATTAGGTATGGTTCGATATTATCCGGTCTAAAAATAGTTGATTGGTCTCAATTAATGCAAAAAAACTAATTCAAAAATACTTTATGCTTCTTTTATATATATATATATTAGACATGGATTGTTAGTGAATTTAAAGAATCTAACTTTTAGAATTGATAAAAAATTAGGTATAATTCGATATTATTTAGTCTAAAAAATAGTTGATTGATCTCAATTAATGCAAAAAACTAATTCAAAAATACTTTATGCTTCTTTTTATATATATATATACACTACCAACTTTTGCAGCATTGTTTGGGAATGTACAAAACTTTCCATATGAATAAAAGTGAAACATGAAAGAAATTTTATTTTTTTCCCTCCTTTTAACACTAGGTCTACTACCAACTACCACCACAAGTAAGACAAAAATATTTCTAACTTGTTAGATTAGAAGTTTGTTTATCACTATTAGGAAGCTCTTATTTCTCGTTTGAGTAATAGTTGACATGGATTGTTAGTGACTCAAAGAGTTCAATTTTTAGAATCGATAAAAAATTAGGTATGATTCGATACTGATCTAATAGATAAAATGATGAATTTAGTTTTAATTGATTTTGATTAATGCAAAATCTAATTCAAAAGTACTTCATTGTTTATATATATATATAATCTACCAATTTTTGTTATTTCAAATCAATAGCACATATGATGAATAATGAATTTTTGCTTTTCCAAGTGTAGTTTGGTGCCATTTGTAGTGTATGCTATTTGTTTTTAATTTTTAAATTTTTGGAAACAAAAATTTGTTTGTTTTGAATAATCACAACACAATTTTGGAAGATCAATTTGTTTGATTTTGAAAATTTTTGACAATTGCCTATTGATTTTTTACTTATAAAACAGAAAACTAAAACAAATAAGGTTTTTGTTTCTATTTTTAAATTTGATTTTTTTCTCCAAAAAATAATGAAAAAATATTTGGTAAAATTCTAAGGATGGTTTGGCATGGAAGCATTCAAGATTTTTATGAGAAAGTTATTTGAAATGCCAAGGATTTCTCTATTTAGAATATTAGAAAATCTTGAATGTTTGGAAATCTAATATTTCTTGGAAAGTAATGAATGTGATTCTCTTCTAAAATGATAGAATCACAATCCAAAGATAACAATATATATATTTTAGACTTAAATACACTTACTATTAATATTGATTGAACCGATATACCCTTATTTTTTACTAATAATAACATAATTATTTTAAATATTATGTCCGTACGTTTCAAACATCTTTATTAAAATATTTATTTTACTTGATAATTACAATTTTATCAAGTCAACATTTTAGGGTTTTTTGATCAAAAAGTCAAATTTTTAATACCAAAATTTTATATTTTAGTTTAATTCATTTTAATACATTAGTTTTGGGGAAATTTTATATTACAGTTTTTATATGTATACTGTTTAAACAAAAGGCAAATATTAATATATTCAAATTTAGATATTATGATTTTCATAGTTAAAATGGTAAATTTTATTTAAATTCCTCATGAATTTTTAAAGATTATCACAGTAAATACACATTACGCATTCCCAACAATTACATCCTCAACAATTGCATACGCAATTCTAAAAAGAAATCCAAAAATCCAGAGACCAAAAAAAATATTTTCTTTATGTCGTATACTGTATAGGCCATTCATATAGCTATTTGACCTGTTCACCACATTCTTTTTGTTGTGAGTAGGGCAGTCCATTTGGAACCAATTTATTTATTTTTCTTTGTTTCCTTTGAAACAATTTTTTTTTCTGTGAATAAATTTGGGAAAAAGAAAAAAAAAGAATGGGGAAAATCAAAAGAAAAAAAAAGGAGGTGAGGTTAATGTATGCTGCTACTTGAAAAATTGATCAGTCTGGACTTGGCCAAAGATATCAGGACATGATTCCCAGTTGCCCTTTTCCTTGGCTTCCCAGTAACCACCAATATAGCGGTAAGTTTCACTGCCTTTCTCCTTCACAAACCACCGAGGCTTCCAACCTCTCTCTTGCATCTTCCGTGCCTGTGATCGTACGAAAAGAATTCCTATTATCCTCTAATTTACCACATTTCGTAAGCAGAAGAAGCATCATGCAAGGGACAAATGCATAGGTGTAAATATAGAGAGATCTCTACTTTGTGCATGTATTTACCTGTCGTTGCCTCTGCTCTAGTCGTAACTTCTCATCATTGGCCTTTGCATACTCTCCATTTTCTAAGCATCTCTGATCAGGTCTCAGCCTGGAGTCTGTTGGTGGCAGCTTCTCCTGTGTATAAATTTAAAGTCAGCAGCTATGAAAGGAGGCATTGTTCTCTACTGCAGAGGAGGAGGAGTGAGACAGCATTTTCGTAAAAGAAAGATGACTAGCATTGCTCATATCTTTTACCAACCTTGAGTCCTGGTGTGAGCTCATTCAGAGTGATGGAAAAACGTGTCAGATTATATTTGGTTGGATACTTCGATGGTTTACTCCGTTTCCAGAGCAAATGGGGCTCTGACTCATTTCCATTCCTTGAGCCACCAATGATTTTATAGTGCATGCTATCATCCCATTTGCCAAATAAACTTGCCACTGTTTTACCATTCTTATCTTGAACAATGCCTTGTACCTACAGAACAAATAACATTGCATGCAATCAATGGTAATGCCCGATCTTGATTCATTTACAGGGAAAACATTAACAGACAATTATTGATAGTCTCATGGGTGCCATGATAATGGTCAGATGATTTTGCAACAAGCAAGCTCAATGACAGTAAAGAAAATGTGTTGGAAATTGTCCTATGAAAGGGCACCTCTGAAGCAAGTTACCATAATGTACATCAACCTACAAATTTGACAAATCAAATCATCATGAATATACCTACAGTGACAGACTAGGGCTTAGCCACTACTTTAAGGTTTAACACACTAAAAATGCAAAAGACACCAAAGACAGAGAACAAAATAATAATAATAATAAATAAAAAAACAGAATATACAGCATTCTGTGGCAACATAAGAAATTTTTAGAAACGAAGTTATTTCTGATAAATCAGTGAGTATTGAAACTCCAAATCCATTCCAAGAACACTTGAATCCCTATTCTTTCAAGTGGTCACAGTTTACGCCATATTTGTTTCATTGGTACAATGAAAGTATGCGTTAGTTGCTCCATTAAAATGCACTTCAAGGTGGATCATTTAATTTGATTAAAAATATGGAAATGAGGAGAATGAAACCTACCAATGAGCTTCTAGCTCATTTGTAGTGGCCTCTTGCTTATATGCTAGAGGTCACGGCTTCAAATCCTAGTTATACTAGGAGCCTTGGGTGTAAGTGTTAAATATATTAAGAGAGAGAGAGAGAGAGAGAGAGAATGAAACCTGGTGGGGATTCCTGTCAATGATTGACTGCTCTTTGAACTTTAGCTTGCAGGAATATCTCTGATTCCCCTGTATCTTCATTGTACCATAATGATCACAGTATAGTTTTCCTAAAATGTGGTTGTAAATTGATGTTGTCACCTGATAAAAGAAAGTCAGCTCAGCAGGCACCTTATAGAGAATGATAAGTGCTATCAAATGTCAAAAACAAACCTTACTCCACTGGAAAATTTCTCCATCATCAAACTCTAGAGTTAAAGAGCCAATTGGATCAAGCTGGATTGATCGACCCCAAAATTTACTTTTTAAATCGCTGTCACCCCAAAACTTCCAGCCTTGACCTTCACAATGGCAAGCAACAACCATTGGGTGATGACTAACCTGTTTCAAGATGAGCCATGCGGATGTTTAAAAATCATCAGTGGCCTTAGCTACTTTAAGACAATGGCTGTGTATAATAAATATGTGCAAATGCCCTCTCAACTACACAATTTTTTTTTCCTCATAAGCAATCATGAAAAAGCATGTCATACTAGACATGTACAAAAGAGGAATAACAATTGCTTATGATGCTTCTGGCATTGAAAATGATACCTTCTCAGAGAAAAAGCGAATGCCTTTATCCGGATAATAGGCCTCATATGTCTCCCCCAGAAGTGGATTGAATGGCTTGCAATGTCTTCCATCAGTAGAGGCATATCCTGATACTGCAAATGCCGCCACATTGAGTGCTCTCATAAGGCTATTGCCCTACAATAATTGCACCGAGAAAGTATGCAAATATTTGTTAAAAGAGAAGTATAGGGTGAGAGGGTGATGTGTTTAAGATTATTCCAAGAAAACTAAAATACTGTGCACTTCTGAGAGCAAAGACTGTCAGTGACACTAAAAAGGTGCAGAATAGAAATAAAAATAAAGTTTAGCAGCTCTAGTAGGATTTAGGACCACGCTTCCACACACAAGCAAATAGATTTTGCAGAAAAAGCAGTCTAATTGATAAATTCTTCACTTCAATGCAGTCCAGTATGACTTCCATATCTCCGTAGTGTCTTCTTAAATTGTCTAATGGCTGTTGATAAAACAGTAATAGGTGCAAGTAACAAGTGCCCTTTTGGTAGACATACTAGCTTAAAAAGTAGGCAGAATCATAACTTTTGCAAAACAAGTAAAACTATCATGGTTTCTGAAATAGTATAGAAAATAGTAAATGCTAGGGGCAAACATACACCAATAAGTTTTTAATCAACTAGGGTACATTTGACTAAATAACAAATATGCAGTTGTTTTAAATCAACCATCAGAAAAGGCTAAGAAACACCAAGAAATGACAAACCTACCATTTTACCCCATTCATAGGCTCGATCTAGAAGGTACGAGTATTCCAAATCCTCAAAACATTTCTGTAAAGAAGAGAGGGGCTCATTGAAATAAACTGGAAGACAAACTTTAGTGAGATCCTTCCCGATATTATCTTTAATCATCGACCAAAGACTAACCCCCTTCTCCTTTTCAACTGGGTCAGGCAATTTCTTACGCCGCCTGACACAAAGATAGTTAGATCGAACAGATTTAATACGGAAATCCATGCCATCTTCAATATCAAGAGGCCCTTCATCATCATCATCAGAACCATATGGTGTTTTCTGGAATTCAGATTCAGCACTTCTAAATGAACTTGATGAAAGAAAATCTTGAGTATCAAGGAACTCATTGTCGTCGTCATCTGTTTCCTCCTCTGCAGCATCATGTCTGTCAGGATCATCATCAGAGCCACTTGCACTTCCCTCTGGTATATATTCAATGAAAAGAGGGCCAAAAAAAAAAAAAGTTAAAATGGATGACCACAGTTCTAACAAAAAACGGAGGAAGAAGGTAAATATTGAAAACACAAGTAAAAAGAGAGAGAAGCCAGGCATTGGTTATCATTTTTCCATGAGAAATCAACAGACATACGTATGCATGTCCATCAGTTTAAATTGAAAAACATACGACTGAATTGATGCAACAATAACAAGTGGATGAATGTAGCTGCTAGCATAGCAATCAACTCAGGAATTTTGAAGCCAGAAACTTCAAACCAGGCTACACTAACATGCCACACAGGAATTTATCAGAAAAGCAGGTGTGCCAAATTTAACCCTCCCATTTACAGACAACAGATCACACGCCTCAAAGGTTCAATGCAAGGCAACTGAATATCTGCTATAACATCCATTTTTGGCACAAACGAACTTCTAACTAAGCAATACTACAAATTACCAAATAGATGTTACCTATATAATCCATCACTAGTGCTCCAAAATATTTTTTCTACCCGTATCATTAGCCACTAAAACAAATAAACATGCATTATTTCTCCTCATTGCTTATGAAAATGTCAATTAAAACTTGCTACTGTCTATTTCTGTCCAATCGTTATATTTTAAAAGTATCCTGCATGATTTTCCAGCAAAAGGCTTTGATGGTTAAATCAATACCAACTGCATAATTACAGAATAGAAAGAACCAGCTACTAGTCATGCATTCAAATTCCAATCCAACATGAAGGATTAACAGTGATCACAAACGAGTCATATTAAATTATTTCCATAATCAAATATTAGTCTATCACCATTACACAAAGCAAAGTAAGTTGTTTCACATCCTAACAGACAAACACTAAGTTCCAAGGCTTAGTGCCTGTTTGGGACCACATTGTAGCACAAATTGGCTGACAAGACAAAATGTCACCTGTAATAGCAGTAAACAAGGTTTTATCAAACCGTACCGGAAAATTTCTGTTGCCTCGATCCAGGCATATGTTCATGCTGCCTTTGGCTTTCATCAACAACTGTATCCTCCAAGTCTACTTTCTCTGTCTAAGAAAATGCATCCATCAAAACCCAAGTTAGAATACAAGAATCAAAGAAATTACAAACAAAAAACTGTAACACCGAGTTAATTTTTTGGTTTGTACTTTATACCTCTAACTGGCGCAAAGTGTCGACAAGCAGAGCCTGTTTCTGCTTGAGGACCACAAGATGGTTATGAAGAATTGAAAACTCATTCCTCATTATTTGTTCACTTTCTTGTATAGCCTCTTCCCTCACCCCTTCTTCCATCAACCTTAGCCTCAACCTCTTGGTCGAAATCACCGGCCCAGTTTCCATCAACTCATTATTTGGTATTCTCGGATACATATCCTTCACCGCCTGTAATGCCTCCATCCATTCCACCCTTTCCTCCCTACTTCCCGCCCTCAAATGCATTCTTTTCGTCCCCGTAAATATCGAAAACTTCTTGTCATCTGATTTGCTCTCCCTAATCGAAGAAACCTAATAACCCCACAAAAAATAATCATCAAATCCAACATTCCCAAAAACTAAAAAAACCTAGTTTTTTTGGAGATCTAAAACGAATCTGAGAATAATCTCCTAGCACTGTTTCGAAACAGTGCTAAGGAGAGCACATTGCGTAAACCAAGCAATGCGATAAAACTGTTTTCAAATTTACCTTGAGGTGAATTTCTCCAATGGGATTTCCAAGACGAGAGACCCAACGTGAAAACTCTTCACCGTCTGTAATAATATTATTACGGTGGTTGTGGTGGTGGTGGCGGCGGAGGCCATTGATTTTATAATAAGATAAGACGCCATCATTGAGGAGGAAAAAACGAGAACGCCAACCTCTACCATAATTCACCCATTTCTGTAAAATGCCTGAAATTCCTTTATTTTGAAGGGACAATAAAAATTGGGGTTCTCTTATTGATGACAGTCGAGAGAGTGATTCGATGGCGGAGGATGATCGGACACTACGGTGGCGGTTGTTCCGCTGGTTGGATAATGAGGATGATGATCCATGGCTGTGGCTCCGGCTTGAGAAAGAACGAAATGATGTCGCCGTCGACGACGACGACGACGATGGCATGGTAGTAATTGAAATCATTGCATGATTTTTTCTGTGTTTCGTTTTTGTAAATTCAAAAAAAAAAAAAAAAGAGATTTTTTATTTAAATGTTAATATTTTAAATGGAATTTAAAAAAAAAAAAAGTGAGAGAATGGTTGAGGTGGCGATTGGTGGCGTTGCCACCAAGAGAAGGAAAGGTAGTGGAGGAGATGGAGACGGTTGGATTTGGAGTTTTAGGAGGGAAAGGTTAATATGTAGGTTGACCATCTAAAATAATGATTTTTTGTATTTATCTATATTTGAAGTATTTTTTCGATGATAAGAGTATTTTTAAAATTTATACATTAATCAAGATTTTTTTTTAATGATATTATAAACACACTTCTATATCAGTCTCGTACAATTAAAAAAATTATATTTTTTTCTAAATGCTAACCCGAAAGTTTAAATTTTAAGAAATAAAAAATAAAATAAACCTACCGGCTTACGTATTGAAAAAAGTTTATAATATCTTTATAAGTTCAATGATTTGAACTAGTATGAATCGGATCTTAACTCGAATTAGATCTAAATTCGATGTAATTAAATGAATTTGATAAATAATTTTTATTTCTTTATCCAAATCTAATTATGATCTTAATAAATTAACACGTTTATTAAATGGATCAAACCGGATTTGATTCAATAATAATCCAATCTGAAATTAAAAATAATATTTTAGAAATATTAAAATATGAAATTAAGTTGAATGTGTGTGTGTGTGTATATATATATATATATATTCAAGAATTGATGTTATTATATTTTTCATCATCCTATTTTTGCTTAGAAAAATACAAAAACGAAAGAAAAAAAAAGATAAGAAAAAAAATTAAAATTCATCAACATAAGAAAACTGTTTTTTATCGAAATGACTTATAAGAGCACGTACTGTAGGTTATGGCTTAGGCTTATGAAAAAGTGATTATGTGAAAGCTCAAAAAATGTTTAAGAGTCTTATAACATAGAATCACTTTGTTGTATATAGAAATCTCGTTAGCCAATGCCGTCCGAACTTTATCATTTTAACCATTGGTTAGCTTTTGTGCCATCTTGATATTCATGAGAATTTCTTTTTCTAGACTTACGCATTGACTTTGTCGTTTTAATTGTGACTTTGTTTCCTAACCTCGACTCTCATTATCTCGTTTTTGTGAGTTTTTGACTTATAATTTACATTATGGATGTTTTCTTCTTTGGTTTCTTTCTTTCCTTTTTTTTTTTTTTTGATTTATATTTTCTTTTGTTTTTAGAATAATTGATGGGGTACCTTTGATAACTTTTTTTAGGAGTTTTATTGATCATTTATGGATACTCGTGAAAGAAATCATCAATGTTCAAAGTGGAATAATATAATATAAAATTTTTATGAGGTATATGAAAAATGACATTTTTTCATCTTAAAGGCTAATTTGCCTATGTTAATAAACGTTAAACTCTTTTGAAAAAATAATGACTAATTTGGAAAACCTTTAGGTTAACCAAAGAGAAGAAATGATCAATGTAATTTGAGATCATGACTTAAAATGTGTTGTTCATCATTATTAGGACACCAATCATTTTAATCTTTCAACTTTGGGCTTCATGATGTTTTCTTAGGTAAAACTTTCATTTCAAAAGTTTATTTGGAAAGGGAAAAAAGATTTCTTTTGGTTTTGGTTTCAACAAAAAGAGGGATTAACCTTTTTACTTTTTCATCATAAAGGTTATCGGGAAAGAAAAATGTATCTTTAGATTTCAACAAAATGAAGGATTACCTTTAGCATCTATCTCGTTATATCTTAAAATTTGATCAATCTTTTCAATGTATTTGTCATTATACTTTCTCGATGGAGGATGATGTAATGCTAAATAATACTTTTAAATAAATATATCTTGATTTCAAATCAAACAATATAAAATTATAAAAAGTGAGTATAAGCCTTTTTTTTTTTTTTATTCGGATATACAACTCAATCTATGCATAGCAAAATATTTTTGGAAAATAAAATTCAAAATTTGATAAAAAAATTAAAAGACCACTGGTCGTAGATTAAGAGCATGCGTCATTATCATAACTTCCAAGCTCACTTAGTCTCTTTATCCTCCATGATAACAATTGTATGATTTAGTAATGGATTTATGCTCATATTTAGAGTATATGGACTACTATCTAAATTGATATGCCCTTTTTTTATCAAAACCAAAAACTTCTTTTTGAAAACATGACAATTATCGATGTCCAACAGAGATAGGAACAATACTCGTATCTCTCATCTTGTTTATACCATGTAGGATAATGAGATGTTTTTGTTTCATTGGAATTGGAGTGGTCAACCTAATATTTATTAAGTTTTAAAGCATTTCACCTAATAAAAAAGGTATGGGTGATAGTTGCTCGTGATCCGTTTTGTACTCTCGATTATATGAGTGGTAGGGGTTGTTTTGCTAAAACGATCACGATTGCTATGTTTTTCCCAATTACTCCCTCAATGCCTAAGTCAATAGGATTCATCGCAACTTAATGTATCTTACCATCTATCTTTTTGGTATCACTACATTCTTCTTAAAACCATCAAGAATTTTTTCAACTTTGAGTGGTTGTTCTACGCTTTTGTTTATGATAACAATATCGGTAAAATTAAAGGAGGAGTTTTCAATTAAATACTTAAAATATGATGTCTTAAAAGTATTCAAGAAAATAAGGATCAACTCTTGTTCATGTAGTGGTGGATGAATCTAGGCTACCACCTTATGCCATCATTAAGCATACTCGGTGATGATTTCTTTTGAACTTTTTTCCATACCCTACAAATCAAACCAAGTTTAGAGAAACCTCAATGTTCAACTTGTATTATTTCATAAAGACATTTAGCAAATCCCTCGATTTCTTAATTTTGGTGCCATTCAACCTCATGTACCGAGTTCAAGCAAATCCACTAAGGCTCTCATGAAAAAAGTGTATCAATAATTTCTTATCTTATACAACTTCAACCATCTTGCTACAATATACTCTCGGATGAGTCATTAGGTATTGAATGCATGTGTATTTGGTGAACTTTAGTACTTTAAAGTTCTTAGGAATTATCACATAAAGAACCAAACATATTTTAGTAACTCTCACCGGATCATAGACATCGCCTTCCTTAATAGCCCTAAGGTGTTCTTCAATGACATGCAACTTATCCATGTTGGACTCTTCCATTATCTTAGCTTTTATGGTCCCATCGTTAGTAAGGTCTACGGTAAGCACATATTGCATTTGTAATACTTATAGGCCCCATGCACAAGCTAACGATCCAAGTATGGAATAAGGCCTTAACAAGAAATTATGTTGCCACTAGATTAACGAGTTAGCGATAAATAGCCCGAGCTGCAAGTTGGCACGAGAAAGGTGTATGACATGAACTTGGTATTGGTTTAAAGTGTTTCCCTCATTTGGCGATGCTAACGGAGTAATGTGCCTTTTCCAAGTAGATTAGTCGGGTGGGTAGTTTCATTTTTTATTTTTTCAAGTTTTTATTAGTGAGCCTATTCTCATTATGCTCTTTTTTCATACTCCATTTTTTGTTACTTGAGTCGGGTGTAGTGGATTCAAGAGGGGAGTTGAGTTTTAATAGGACGACCTATATTTCAAATCCTAAAAAAAAAAAAATCAAAGAAGATATATTATATATAGTGATTATATAGTAAATATATGCATGCATAATGTGAACTGGATTAAAAATGTTGCTTTATCGATGTAGACTTTAAACGATAACTTGCCAAAACATGGGTTAGACCAAATAATATTACAAAGATAATTCGTGTCTTAATGGATCAAACCCAATGGATAATATCTAGCTTTTTTAAACAAAGTTTAGGTAAAAACTTGTCTAATCTTGAAGTCTTTTTAAGTCTCCAGATTGTTTAGATTACTAGTGTGATCATCTAGCATCTAACCTTATGTCCCAAGAGGCATGGGAAGGTTATTTCGTAATTTTCTATACATAGGATGAGGTCTAATCCAAACGAGAGTCGAATGAGCATCGGTAGACTTTCGTCATACTTGTCTTCAAATCTCTCTATTTAAATTCAAAAGGGTTTTAGCTCGAGTTTAGAACTTTAACATGCTTTCCTCGTGGCATGTGAAATAGTTCAAAGTAAACACATCCAATCTAGTTCACAATGAATGTATACAAAAATTAAAATGCAAGATAAATAAATTACATAATTAAATGAAAAAAATAAATTACACAAAACAAATAACTTGGGATTAATCAAATGACAAAATAAATAAATTAAAAAATAAATGGCAAAAATAAACAAAGAAGATAAATTAAAAGAACTAAACCTATGGGCTAACTCGAATTTCTAGTGGAGTCATCGTGTTGTCGCTACTCGACATTTAGAGGACTTCCAAAACAATTATTTAAAAACAATTATTTGTTTATTTTGTTTACCGAGGATGTGAGTTAAACCATGTTTTGGAATCGTCATTCAGTATTGAAGGAACTATAAAACTTAAAAATAACACTAGTTCGGAGATTCTAGGGCAAGAAGTTGATTATGCTTTTGAAAAGATATCAATCATCAAAAAATACCATTTTCGTGGAAAGGTACCGTCTTTGGTGCAATCCTAAAAGTTTATCTCCTAAAATTTTTAATTTTTTCCAAGTTAATCCTCAAGTCAAAATTCCAAGTTTATTAGCTAAGTCACATTATTATTATTTTTTTGGTATTATATTGAATTGATCGTCGAACCTTATCATCGAGAGTATCATTAATTCAACATCGAATCCAGCTTTAAGTCTCTACATAATTGATATATCGGAGAACAACCTCGATTATCAAGATGATAGACTTGAATTAATGAATAATATCAGTCCCTATTAGATAGGAGGCTTGCTAATCTAGCATTTTCTTTTTTTTTTCTTCTTTTTTTTGCTCTTTTCCTTTTTTTCTTTTTTATGTTTTTTTTTCCTATCATTTCCTATCATTTTTCTTTTTATTTTTATTTTTTAAATATTTTTCAATGTTGGTGGAGAATCGTCATCGGTTCCTAAAAATTAGAAGACTCGACGATTCATTCACTTATTCATTACATAATTTAACCATTGGTAATTTAAGTGATATTCAACAATAAAATAAATCTGAAATTTAATTATCAAAACCTAAAATATAAAAACTCAACACATACACATGAGTTTAAAATCTACCTTCATTTATGCTTATTTTATTAACTATAAATAATAAAATTCATAAAACTTTAATGACTCTTGCAAATATATTTTTGTAAGAATTGGTGAAATAAGAAGTTAATTGCAACTAAAAAAAAAAAGCTTGAAGATGCATGAAATCTAAAAAATTAACTTCAATTAAGTTTTTCTTTTTGTCATATTAACTTGAAAGAAAAAATTTATGATCTTAATTTTAATCTAAGTAAATTATAAATTAGTTTCTTTATCTTAGATAAATAAATAAATTAATTTTTTTATTTTAAAAACTAATTAGTTTGTTTTTTTATCCGTAAATCAGATTATTGATTTTTTTTTTTAAAGTTTTGTTTGATAAAAAGTTAGCCATCACATGTGTAGATGCTTTTGTTATACGAACTGATTGAGAAACGATTTCCACTATCTTCATTGTCAAAATAGATAAGACATTCTTTATTATTAGTGCTTACATCTCATCATCAATAAGCTACTAGTTAGAAGAAAACCAAGTTATCATCTCTTTTATTTTTTAAGATGCAAAAAGATCCTCAATAGGCATGTTTTAAAATTGTATTAGTTACTATTAGAAGGTTATTTCGTGTATTAAAAAACGTCAGATATCATTTACTCTGCAGAACAACATGGGAAAAACCAAATTAAGATAATTTGAAGTTCGAATAACAACCTAGGATGCATGATGAATCATAGTAATACAAACAAAAAGCCTGCCCAGTGGCTTGTATTTTGCCTCCAATTTCGTCTGGGAAAAAGTGGAGGAGTGGGTTCTTTTCAGTTTCAATGTCGATTTTGACATCAAATTTGTTTGTATTGAAGTGTTACTAGAAGCCACTACATCCACTATCCCTACTGTTGTTTAACACCCACAACCTTCAATGGTAGTCATTCTACCATTAACCAAAACCCACATCCTGTCTCATAAAGACTATTATGGATATTTGAATAAAAGAAAATCACATAGCCTGGCATCTTAAGATTTTCCATACTTGGAAACATATCCCTCCAAATGAAAAAGGCAACCATGAAATGCCAGACATGAAAACGTTTAAAATCAATATCTATCCCTTCCTACATGTGATCTCTCAAATCAAGACAATCACCTCAACAAGCTTTGCCATTTTCATACAATTGGCAATTGCTGGACTTCCAGACATGTCAATCTCCTCCTGTAAAACATCAAATGGTAACAGCCTAAGAACCTTTCAGGCCATAGCTCAAGTGGGTTAGATCGCATTGTTGGGTCATATCCATGGGATCTACGTTTATATATACAAAACAAATGAAAAAACTATTTTTTTTTTTTTTTGAAAATGATGTTAATATTGCATCGAAATTGGTTTTTAAAAAATTTCTTGTTTCGAATGCGTCTTTTATATGTATATATTTATATAAAAAATCATATTATAATTATAAAATTAAAATTATTATATATATAGTTTTAATATGTTGAACAATCATATTTATCAAATAATTTTATTATATTTAATTTTTAATTTTTAATAAATACTAAATAACTTATAATAACATATTTAATACATAATTCTTCGTATCTTAAAATTTGGTAATTCTTCAGTTTTATCAATCATATGGTTTGACATTTAAAAAAAAAAAAAAATTTCCGAAGCTTATCATTTGTCATCCCTTTTCATCTTCCTCTGCACCTTCTAAGTGTACAAAGAAAAACTGACCTCAAAACTTTAAAGCCATGGCCTTGGATTTAGAGTCCAGCATAAACAGAAAAAAGAACAAAATGATGAGTGAAACATTGCTTGTTAAGGGCAAGAAAGTAGAAGTCACCAGTGATGAAGAAGGGTTTAAGGGAGCATGGTACGTTGCAAAAATAGTAAAAACTTCTTCGAAAACACAGAAAGGCAAGATCTTGGTTGAATACGAGTCATTACTTGCTGATGATGAAAAGAGTCCGTTGAAAGAGTTTATTGATGCTTCCTTGATTAGGCCTTTGCCACCAGAGGCCAAAAAGTTAAAACCTTTTGAAGTTTTTGATGTTGTTGACGCTTTTTCCAATGATGGCTGGTGGAAAGGTGTTATCTCTGAAGTTCATGATTTCGGAGGGGCGGACAAGAAGAAGACCATGGGATACTCTGTTGTTTTTGACAACCCACCTGAAAAAATTGAGATTGGATCTTCAAGTTTGAGGTTTCATTTAGATTGGTCTGGTGGTACATGGGTTAAACCCAAAAAACAAATGGTAGGTACTTTTTCATGTCTTTGCTTTTAAATTTCTTGTTTTGAAGCATGAATGCATCTGGGTTTTGGTTTTTATAAGGTTTTGTGAGAAAGTTGTTGTCTTTATTATTGTTAGTTCGAGGAAAATTTCTGATGGGTTGATTTTTAAGAACTGGGGAAATAGGTGCATAAAAAAGGCTGTTGTTTTTAATTTTCATTTGTTGTTTTATGATTTTGTGTATCTTGGGTTTTGAGCTGTTTGTGGATTTAATTTTACACAATGCCTTTTTTTCACTATTTCCTTGCTTGGAATTGCCAAGAGAGCGATGCAAATTGCCTTGTTACCTTGATCAGTTTGCGTCGTTTGTAATATAGTCAACCAGTAACATACTGTTTAGATACAACTAATTGGCAGACCATTCATAACTAATTTGTTTATTAAATAAATACCACAATTCATGATGTTTAAAATCGTTTATTAAATGCTAAAACTACTATGAATATTTCATGGTTAAATTATTTATTTGTTATGTTTGATAATTAGTGCATTTTGTTGCATTGTGTCATCCCATTACATTATGATTCTTGAGACTTGTTGAGTTTACTGCAAACATTTTGTCCACAAGACTGATTTGGTTTCTTGTTTATTCAAAGAGAATGGAAGGGTTGAAGTTTAGCAAAGGAATGGTTGTAGTAGTGAATATTGATGAAGGAAGTTCAAGTAATGATTGGTTCGAAGCAGTTATTCTTGAAGAGGTAGGCTTCGATTCTTTCCTGGTGAAGCTGAATAATTCTGAAGATGAGAGTGGCCTTACGAAACTAACAGTAGATTCCTTCCACATCCGACCTCCTCTTCCTAACTTGGAGTCAGAAAATTTTAAACTCTTGGACCAAGTATATGTTTTATACCGCTCAGGTTGGAGGCTTGGCTTCATCAACAAAATTCTTATTGAGGGAAGGTTTAGTGTCATGCTGAAGCATTTAGGGGTGGAAAGGGAATTCTGTCACTCAGAAATGAGGCCAAGCATGGATTTCATAAATGACAGCTGGGTTCTTCATCGCAAGGTTTGCTTTCTTCTATTTAGCTTCTCCCAGCTGCAATGTAGGGTGGTTTCTGCTTCCTTATGAGATTATCTATGGTGCTTTAATTTGTTTAATTTTTGAATGACAAGAAAGCTAGGGTTGACCTACCATCACCTTGACGCACACACACGCACAAACAACCGAGGGAAAATGTCATCCATAACTGCATGTTTTCACATAGGGAATATACATCTAACCATATAAATGATATGTAATGGAGCGCTGTTGTATATTATTGAATATTAGAAGCATTTGAATGGTCCAACAGTATATTAGCTATTGAGCAATTCATTTAATCTAGTAACTCTTGTTGATGTTTTGACAATTTAATTGTGTAATTCTTCTTGATCTTTTGCTACATGTATAAATTTAATTTGCTCAGGTGTTTATATATCTAGACAACTATATTGCTTCGCTGTAACTTATGTAGATGGCTTTTTTCAGGACTCAATGAATGGTACATATAGTCAAGAACAGCCATCAGGTGCCAACAACAGTGCCAATAGTCTTCAGATAGCTGTTAAGCTTGAAAGTTCAAGTGCTGCCAAGGATGACAATAATGAGAATACTCGCATAAATTCGGTGAAGAATCCAATGCAGGACTCGTTCTCTGATGCTGCAACTTACTCTTGTAAAAGAAGAGCTGTGACTGCTTGTATGAGAGTAAAGCAGGCTTCACCTAACAGTGAGCCTACTCTCTTACCCCGTTTCAAGAAGTCTAGAGTGGACAAATATGCCCAGTGTTTATCTTCCCTGCAATGTAGTGCAAAGTTAATACTGGTTGAGACACCCAAACAAGGAGCTGAAGTCTCCAGTACCTCAAAAACAGAACATTCGATGCATCATGTGGCTTACAATCAGCCTATCGCTGATTCTAAGATCTCTTTCAGGCTAAAGAATGATGTAAGTGAAACTTTTGATTTTGGAAACCTTTATTAATTAACTCATTGAAACTAGATAGATAAACAAATGTAATGATTTGTAAGCAGTAAATCAGGTGAAGGCCACTTATTGCTATCATGTTGTGTAATTTAATATCATTGATAATAAAGGTTGATGGTTAGTTATTGGGCCAATTTGTTTACAATGTTTAGTATTGTAGTTTGCTCTCTTTGCCACTTGGTCTAGAGTAAGTGCCAAAATCTTAGCGCTTTACAGTGTGCTGCATTACTGGATAAAACTAGCAATCAAGTCTTTTTGATTTCCACAAAGAAGATTGTTTTGCACCTCTTTTCTCTCCTGTTTCGTTTGTTTTTTGACCATGTGCTCATCTTAGTGGCGCTTTTCTTAATATTACAGGATACCAACCAACAAGAAAACATAGTTAAAGGTGAAATGATGATTTCTACTGACGAGGAGGGAGCGTCACCACAGTCCCAAGCTAAAAGCCAGCTGGTTCAATCAGCAGATGTACTAGTTCCGGAGACTAATCAACAAGAAACTGCATTAGAGGATGAAACAATGATTTCTGTGGAGGAGGAGCAGATACCACCTTGTTCACAAGTTGATGGCCAGCTGGTTCGAATAGCTGGTGTGAAAATGCAGGAGACCCATCAACATGGAACTGCCATTGAGGATGAGACCATGATTTTTTCAGAAGATGGGGGAAAGCAACCACATTTACAAGCTACAAGTCAGCTGGATCTAACTGCAGGTTGGTACCTTTTCTAATTTGATTGGCATTTATTAAAATAATGTTATCTGAAAAATGATGCAGGTTTTTTTTTTTTGGTTGGTGAAGAGCATAATGTTGCTGGAGATGGTGCAATTAACATGGACTTTGGAAATCCTGCAACTATAGTGGTCAAATTGCCTACGTCACATGTAGAGCCTGTTGGTTTGTCGGTTTGTCAGCCTGAGACTGTGGAGCAAGGGAATAATGACATGAGAGATCTGCAAGTAGAAATAATCACTCAATATCCTCAAATGGATGCCTCAATCGATAGTGAGCTAGAGGAGCATCAACTGTTGCCATTTGTGAAGAAGTCACCTGTGTGGGACATGGTTGAATCACTGGAAGTTTTCCAAAGAATGCCCCAGAAACCTCATTTCAATCCTTTGGTCAAATGCAAAGAGTTTGAACGTGAAGGATCTGCAATTGGAAAGATGGTGCAATTTGCCACAATGGTTGAGAGGACTTCTGAGTTGCAACTGGGTGACCCTTGTACTGTCTTCGCTAGCTATTTGGAAACTCTTGCTGATCTGAAAAGCTATGGATTTGATGTCGAGGCGGCAGTTTATCGTATTAATCGTATGTTGTCAATCAAAGAAAGCCAAGTACAGCTTCAGCGTACATCAAAAGAATTTGAGACGCAGATTGCAGAGATTACTTGTGAAAGGACCAAGTTGGAAGAGGATGTCGAGGCAATCGACAAGAAGATACGTGAACTAAAAGAGGAACGAGGATTGGCATTGTCAAAGAAGGAGCGGATAGATTCTGAGATTACCAACTTGCAAATGCAATCCAGTGGTATCAGTGCAGACATTTCAAAGGCTATCATTGATTTTGAAACTATAGCTACTGCCTCTTGGTGATTTTCATGTTCTTGGGTCCTCTACTGACAAAGATCTTTTACTAAGCATGTGCACGTGGGACTGCTCTCCTTATAAGCCAACTTCTTACAGGTGACTTCCACTTTGGTTCCGTACTAGGCGTGCTGTGTGTATCCTAGGAATGAATTGTTGTCATTGAAAATATTATGGTTGATCCAGATGAGCAAAACTGTATATAATATCAGGCGAATTGAAGTATTTTGAGGCTTCAGATTTACTACTCGAACAAATGGGTGTGATAATGCATGTATCAGTGAGGATCATTGGTGGCTTAGACAATCTGGAAATCTGGAAAAAGGGCATAATATTTTCAAGATCTTTTTTCAGAAAATAAACTGAAAAAACAAAAACAAAAACATCAGCTTGATTTGGAGAAGAAAACTGAGATAGAAATAAGCTAAATAATCTAAAAACACGTTGAGCTTTAAGTTAAATTGAGATAGATATCTAACATTTAAAAAGTTTAATTTGAATATCAAATATTATTTTTTTTAACAAGAAATAGGTAAATCAATCAATTCTGACAGCCTCTAATAGTAAAAAAAACAGGACACGTGTTTTGAAAATATCCAAACATATGATTTGAAAATTAAACAAAAAAGAAAAATAAAATTTTAATATCCTTTTGTTTTTTTGTTATTCCAGATCACGTGTTTTCAAGACACATATCATGTTTTAAAACTATTAGAGATGGTCGAAATTGACTAAATTATCTATATTTTATCCAAAAAAAAAAAAAAATTTACAATGGTCAAATTAAACTATTTATAGATTGAAAATCTATGTTGGTTTGATTGAAAGTTCAAAATATTATTTATTTTTTATTTTTATCATTTAACCTTTGTTCATTTGTATATCTAATGGTCGTGGTCTTTTGTAACATGAGGTTACGAGTTTAAATTTTAACGGACTAATTTTGCATAAAACTAATCTCTTCACATGCCATGCATAAAAAAATAAATATGAAGAATGCATAAAACGAGTAAGAAATAAAATTATAGTACACATCAAATAGTAATATAGTTGATGTTGTCATATCTTAATTAGTTTGGAATATGTCTTATTAAACCCATAAAGGCAATTACAAATTAATAATTCTTCAATACTTTTATTCCCAGTACAAAAAAATCCACATATATTATATCAACAACACCACTTAATGTTAAAAAAAAGAAAAAAGAAAGACGTAAATATTAAATTATAATTATAAATAAAGTTAAAGTAAAACCATTGTTTACTATTTGAAACACAATCTATCCAAACTTATTTAACTATTCACTCATACTCAAATGTACTTTTCTTTTCATTATACAATGACATTTATGTAGTTTTTAAACATTTTTATATATTTATTATGAAAGTTTTCGTAACATTGCACTTTATTCATTCTTTTTTAAATATGATTTTTTCAATTCGTAAATATTTTTTATTTGGTTTTGGTCCTTCTTTTTTGTTTTATTTTGCTTACTTTGATCATTTTTTTTTATTTTTTTAACAAAAAATTTCAAGGCAAAAAAATTAAAAAATAAAATTTTAACTAAGAATTCACTAATTTTAACATTCTTTATACTATTAAATAATTTTTTTCATAAAAAATTTATAAAAAATGTAAAGAGTAATTAGCAAATATAAAATTTGATATATTTTGGTAGACACATAATATAACATGGGACGTTAAAATAAGATAATTTTTAAAAATAATTTTATATATTTTATCCGATTCGTAGTGTAGCACGTGTAAAAAAATCTAGTATATCACTAAGTTATAAGGGTATTATCAATTTTTCATCCAAACTATTTTTTCATCCAAAAATTAAGTTCTCTACTAACCGATGTCATTTCTTAAAAAAAAAATGCAATTTTATTTGAAATATGCATAAAAAAACCTTAAAAATGAATGCAAATCCTTAATTATAAATTTTAAAAAAATTGATATAAATTTTTTTTTATGGTGGTAACAATGAGACTAAGTACATAATTGGAAGGTAATTTTAAAGTTTGTAAAAAAAAAAAAAGGGCAGAAAATCTTCCAAAGTATACAATTTTGAGGTTCCCACGAAGATGGGAGCAACGAGCAGGGACAACATTTGCAACATTCGAAAAAAAAGAAAAAAACGTGCCAGGTTTCTTCTCTCTTTCGGTTCCTTCGAAACCATAAGAAGAAACAATAAATAATCCCCAAAAAAAAAAAAAAAAAAAACCCCAAAAGACGAGAGAAACAGAGAGTCAAGAACCGCTACCTCTCTGTTGATTTACATTCCTCAAATCTATTTCTTTGCGTAAGCTCTCTCTCTCTCTTTCGCTCTGTTTTCTTTTTTCTTTCGTTCTTGACTGATTTTGCTCAAAATTTTAGTTCTGGCGGGAACCTTATTTTTGTTTAGTTTTAGTTTCTTTTTCGCGATTTTTTTGTTATGCAAAATGGGTTTATCCTTTTTTGCTCCGGGGCAGTGGAGAAAACTAAAAAATAAATAATTTTTATTGTTTTTAATGAATATTAGCAAATGTTTTTTGTTTTTTTTTGGTAAAAAAAAATATTCTGAGCAGTCAAAGTGAAGGTCATAAATTCTAGGGTTTCTGTGTTCTTAGGTTAGTGGTTGTTTCCATTTATTGCAAAACAAACTTGACTGTAATGCTCTGGATCAATGTGACAATTTTTTTTTTGCGTTATGCATGTTATTGCAGAGTTGAGCGACTTATTGTGCTCTTTTGTATTTAGGGTTTCTGTGTGAAAATAAATATATATACTGTTTTGGATGGTTTAGTTAAAATTGGACATGAAAGGAGCTTACTTCAAGCTGAATGTCGTAGAAAGATGTGAACTTTTGTTGGATCTTGATCGTACTTGATCTGGGTTTTCATTCTTTTGTAAGATGGAACGAAGGAAATGAAAATGTGATTCAAAGAATGAATTTTGGTTGATTATCTTAGCTCTTGATTGGTTGGCAATCTTTAGTGTTGCCATAATTTGGTATCATTTTGTGTTATTTCTTATGTGGTTGCTCATGGTGTGTTTTTGTGCAGTTATCAAAGTTTTGACAGTGGGGACATTTTGCGAGATTTTGTGGGTTCTGACCTGGGTGGGTTCCAACAATGCCATTATTAAAGAAAAAGGCGTTTACTTTTTTGGAACCGCCTAAGGATTTGGAGCCTAATGAGCTTGTATACCAAGTTCGGTTCACAAAAGAGATATTCCGAAATTATGAGTATCCTTATTTCAAAATTCTTGAAAGTTATTGTATAAAATGTTTTATTGGATTTGCATGATGAGTTATTTCGTTTTTGTAGTTTCTAGTAGACCCTAGAAAACTCTGTTTAGTGGAGGTCTTTTGGATATTGAATAATGGATGGTTATTAGTATCCACATCTTTGTTGTTTTAATTTTCTTTTTCCTTTTCTGCAGCCAAATGGGTATTACTAGTAGTTTGTCCTCCTTAGTTTGGATTAGGGTGTACTTGAACCAGATAAAGGGTCAAAAGAGATATTCCAAGGTTATGGGTTTCCTTAGTTTGAATTCTCAAAGGTTGTATGAATTATTTCGATTTGCTGGATAGGTTAACCCATTTTCTCTTATCTAGTATCTAAAAGAACAACTCTTTCTAATGAAAGCAAGCAAAACTCTGTTGGGTGCAGGGCTTTTAGGTATTGGTATCTTGTATGATGGATCACTAATTAAGATGCACTGGCCTGTTTTTTTTTTTTTTTTTCCTTAGTTTGGATTAGAGTATATTTGAACCGGATAAATTTGTATCGCCAGCGAATTTGGACATGTAAGGTTAGTGGAAAAGGTAACTTGACTTGTGAAGAGGCATTGGTGTCTGAAAAACATGCAACTGAGAAGGTTCCAGAGATACCCAAAGAACTCATGCCCCTTGCACTGCGCACCATTCAATTTAGTAAGAGCTAACTCTCTGCTATATTAATATGAATCCTTTTTTTTAACATCGGTTGATCTGTTCTTTTGCCTTTTTGTCTGCATCTCTGCTGTACAGTAATTGATCACTTTGCTGATGCTTTTACTATATTGATTTCTTTTGGACCCTCAAATGCTCCATGTTGAATATTTGGCGCATTATTTACTGCAAAGTTATGCTTTTGCTTGATATCTGTGTGGCAATGGTTATAAATGTTGGCATGTTTGACATAATGGAGACATAGTTATAGGTTAATATACATCAGCTGATATTCATTTTTTTTCCTTTTCATTTGTACAAGTTTATGTTCAACAATGTTTTAGAATCATATTTGCAGATTATATAGTTGAATCTTCTATATTTGTTGTTAGTGTCCATGACTTTAATATGGTCTATTGCGGCAAAGGCTAGTGTTACAGACCCTAGGGAAAACATTTGCAATTGCGATACATGGTGTACCATAATCCATAATTTCAATCCTCTAGTTTGACAGTTACTTGCTTCAAAATTCAAAACCTTGCCAAAAGAATGTGGACCACATTGGATGGCATGTCAGTAACATGACTGTAATTTAGTCTTAAGTTAATCAATTTTCTGCAATGCCAACATTCCATGTAATATTTAAGGTTCAATGCATAAACTTTGCTTTTGAAAAGGTTCAGTATCAACTGCAAAAGGAAAACTTGGGCCTCTTGACTTAGAAAGAGCCCTTATTTTCAATTGATGACATCTCATCTAAGGTCAAGAAGGGATAGATGGTGATTCTGTTCATTAAAATGAGAGTGTGGATGCTGGTGATGGAGGAACCTTTAAGTATTTGTACAAGTTTTGAAAATACCTTAGATTTGATATATCAGATATCACAATGCAGTGTTTGTGGCACATTTTATTTTTTGCATGTCGTGAAGCAGACCTCCAAGCTGTACATAGGGCCTGCATTGCAGGTGTCTTTACTAGATTTCATGGAGATGAGGTTTATGCATATTTTACCCCATCTCATCTGATGTACTAGTGGATTGGGTTAATATGTAGGTTGGCTTTAGTAGCATGTAATTGAATAAGCCAATCGCTACATTGATCAGAGGTCTTGAGGAAGTTGACAATTTTGGTCTTCATTTGCCATATTGGTCAATTGTACCCAAATGATATGACCTGGAATTTGATAGTTTCAAATTGTGGTTGCAATATCTCAGGATATTTAAAGTTGCAGCCTTCTTATTCTTCAATTATTATAACACATCCAGTCCTACTAATCTTATCCCATATTCTAGAACTGGGAATTGATAATGACTGGACTTTTGCTTCTCTCTCTGAAAGCTCTCTACTCCCTCCACTTTTTATCGGAGTAGAATAAGAGCCAGTCAATGTGGAACATATTATTCGAACCCATGTTATACACTTGGCATGGATTAAGCCCTCTCCTTAACAGGCTAGTCCGCATTGAATTGCAAGACTAGTTATAGAGTGTCTTGAAGGATCATCCATCATAATAGTTGATACTATGCAAGTATTACTGCATATAATGTGCCTGTAACCTTTGATTCCATTACATAAATCCCATGGTGCATGTAACATGTGCTTGCAGATGATGATAAATGATGTTCTTAACAGTTTCCATGAACTAACCTCGTCGCTCAAGTCAATTATTAGAAGTAAAAAAGTACACATATTATAGAAAGCGTGCTGCTCGCCCCACGGCCCACCCAACACGTTTTAAATGAAATAAGGAAATAGTTGTTTGCATAAAGTTCGTTCTATGAATTTTTCACAAAGGATAATCTTTTTAGTGAGATTTGTAATCACAAATTTGTTTCCATATGCTCTTTTATCATTCTACTGTACACACCTACAAGCATAGAATTTGTATCCAAGTTATTGTTACTTACAATTATAATTATCCTAGTTATTATTGCTTTCAATTATAATCTTGTTCTTTCCTTTCAAAGTAGCCGGTTTGGACTTTTCAATGTATTGGTGCTATAAAATAAATTTGAAACAGAATCTTTTCGTTGAATATGATCTAAATTGCTTGTAAGAGAATAAAAAATTGCCAATCGTGCTTATTGTTTATTGTAAATCCAAATATTGGCTTTGTGTGTCTCTAAGTATCTGTTTGGCTTTACTTCTTTTATCCTCAGAATCTATGTTTCTGTATTCACGGACCTTTGGTTTGTCAGGTATGCTTTCATTGAAAGATCTTGCAGACACGATAGCAGCAATGTTGCAGGAACATTTGTTTACAGGAGCTGAATTGCTTGGAAAGAGAAAGAAAGGTGATCTCTGCACTTGCAAGATATTGAAGGTTCTGGAGGAGAGTACTGTTAAAACTAAATATGAGGTAGCGTGGCTTGATAGGAATAAGAAAGTAACAGAAACTGCAGTAGTGAATCGAGATGATCTGATGTGGAAGAAAGCTCCTTTCAGTAGGAACAGTTTGAAGCCTTTTATTCGGAAATCTACATACCGAAGTTTTCCTTGGGTGCTTCATGACAAACTGGCAGAAAAATATCGAATTTCAAGGAATCCACCTCACGATTTAAAAGGCAAAGTTCTTGTTGAGGATGGAATAGTCTATAATAAACGAAAGAAAGATTCCAAGGTAAATATGCTGTAACATTTGTTTGGTCTTCAAAATTCATCATGTATCATGTTGGCTTATATGCATCATGTCCAGGACGTAGAAGAATCTGGAAAACTTAAAAAGAAGAAAGTGGAAGGTGAGGAAGCTGGGAAAGGTAGGTTAAAATATAGAAGCGACCTAGTTCTTTTTCGAATTTAGCCTGCCTTTTATTTTCTACAGTATGCTTTGTTAGTTCTTTGTCTAAACCTAATATCTTATAAGCAATGTTCATATTTTTCTCTCTTTTATCGGGGGCAGGGAACTTCAGCAGAACTCTTCCTATTAAAATTCCCTTGAGGTCATGCATATCTAGTAAATTATCATTTGACCATTTCTTTTATTGCTGTATTTAAACCTGCAGAAGATAATCAACAAAAGGAAGAGCCTATCAAGTATCCAATTGATGATCTTTTGGTGCAACCTGGAACAGATGATCCTGTCTTTACAGTCCGCCCTTTGCCTTCAAGGGATTTTAATGTTCCAATGGCTTGTGTTGGGGATCTTCTAATGGTTTGGGATTTTTGCTCCTCCTTTAGTAGGCTGTTGCACTTGTCGCTGTTCTCTCTTGCAGATTTTGAAAATGCCATTCGCCATAAGGGAAGTAATGTGAATCTAATTGTCGAAACACATTCTTCTCTTCTTCGGTTACTAAAAGGTGACAAAGATGAATATTTTTCAGCTGTTCAGAAAAGAAGCCGAGCATTGAAGGTAAAGTGCAGAAATTCCTTGCTATTCTGGACATTAGTTCTGTTTAGAAGTGGATTTCCTCATTAGCTACAAAAGTCGGATTCTCCCTGCTCTTCTGTGGAGCTTCTCTGTACCATGCCTTCATGGTGGTAGCTGTTGATGACTTCTGATTTTTGTTTTCTGTTTTTAACAGATAACATTAACTAATTGGACAGACTATCTATGTGATTTCATAGAGATTATCAACATTGGTGATTTTTCCACTCACATATCAACAATTAAGCGGGGGCACTATGGCCTTTTAGATGCTGAAGTCAAATTAGGAATTTTAAGAGAATTGGTTAATCAAGCCCTTGAAACAGATATTGTTAGGGAGAAGTTGGCTGAATATGTTGAAGAGCGGCATGTACTCTTAGCAACAAAGAGGGGGAAGCAGTGAAGGAAGGCAGGAAAAAAGAGAAGAAAAGGAACGGTTGAAGGCCAAGTCTGTTGCTAATGGAGTAATGAATGGGCATGTTGTGGATAGCATAGGAAACAATCAACATGTGGTGGTAAATGGGAATCATATTGCTCAGAATGGGCAGATTGCAAAAAAGAAGGGAGAGGCCTTTTCAACCAGACCAAATCATGCATCAAACAACAGGTTTCAGTTTTTATTATTATTTTTTTTTTTGTATGTCAGTGCACAAGCACACACACTTTTTACACAGGAATATGGACATGAGAATAATTCTAAACCTGCCTGATTGAAGCTTATTACAACTTGGACAGTGAGAGTAGGCATTCAGAGATTGAATCAAAGAAAACAGGCAAGATGAAGAATATGGATGCGGAAGGCGAAGCAGAAAATGGGATAGATTTAACCAAAAAGGAAGCATTGATGCTGCTGAGGGATGAAAAAAATGCTGCAGCAACAGTGAGCGGCAAAGAGCAAAGGGTTATATATCTTCTACTGTCCTTGTCCCTCCCCAAAGTCTTTCAACATGTGTGTATGCTTGCTTGCTTGCTTAGCTCATATTTCTTATTTTTGGTTTGACTTTGTATAATACCACAGAGAGCATATTTTGAACGTGAGCTAGAGAAACGAATCCTGCATACCAACCCTCTGGGTAAAGACAGAGATTATAACAGGTATTGGTGGTTTAAGCGTGATGGGAGGATGTTTGTTGAGAGTTCCGACTCCCAGCTTTGGGGCTATTATTGTTGCAAGGAAGAGGTAGCTGCACTGAACAAATTTGTCCATCCACTCTTTTTTTCTTTCCTATTCTCATTTGAATTAATGAGACCTAGTACTGTTGAACAGATTGACGCGTTGCTGGGCTCACTGAACCCCAAGGGTGAGAGAGAGAGGGCTCTTCGAAAGCAGGTGGAGAAATTCTATAGTAGAATGTGGTAAGTAGTCCTGGAATGAGTTAAGAACAATCTTCTTTTTTATCTGGAAAATGGTCCCAACTTGAAACCTATGATTACGCATTATTGAATGATCGAACAGTGTCTGTTGCAACTCTTCAATTGATTGTATTAGACTATTAGCTGATATTTAGTCTCACTTGCTTAAAATGGTGCTATTCCAATCTGTGACAGAAAGAAAATAGCCCTCTGACTTTTCTTTTTGAATTTAAACTCCCGAATTACATGCCATTGAATGAAATATAGCTTTTTAGACACTTTCTGCTAATCTTGTGAAGGCTTATGACCTTTCGTTCTTCAATGTTAAAGAACTTAGCACATAAACAACATTTTCCCTGCAATTTTCTTTCCATTCATTTGTGCCTAACCTATGAACTTTTCTTCAAATCCTTTTACCAGCTCTGAACTCCAGAAGAGATCGAAGGACTTGGCTACCAAAATCGCATTGGAGGAAGCTGTGCAGAGGAGATCTACTCGTGTTCGGGCTCTACCAAGAGAGAATCCTGCCAATGCTTTTCTCAATTATGTTAACAAGTTGAAAGAAGACTAACACAGTTTTATAATTACATTCAAAGGCTCCACCTCTGGTCAAGTTTAGCTTAGGTCCTATACGAATATTTTAAGGTCGGAATGCGGTGCGGGATATGTGAGAGTCGGAGATTTTTACTACATTATCGCCAATTCATTATTTTGTTGGCCGGAATCTGGGGGTGACAAGAGAGGTAGGAGTGATGACTGGCACGGAGGCAGTGGCCATCAAGAGAACATGGATGGAAGAGTTTTTTTTTGTCGATTCCCTCTTTAACATTAAATGACAATCTTGTATTAACACTTGCCTCCATTTTGGTAAATGACATGGTTCACCATCTTAAAACAATTATTTCTCTATTGATTTTTTCATGCTTTGTATTTAATTTTTTTTCTGTTCTCGTCTCTGGAGGTAGTGGTTTGCATCTCTAATACTCTATAGTAAGAAAGGGTCAATCACATAATTTGTACTTTTATTCTTGATATATATATATATAATTTTCAATCTGGTTGTATTGTATTGTATTTATTTATGATACTTTATAGTAAAAAATGCCGAGTATAAAAAAGAAAAAAATCAATTGAAACAAGTGGCTTAGATTAGTTCTAAGGGTACAATTAAAAGAGCTTCAAAACCTTAGTCCTTTAATTGAAATAAAGAAGGAGCATAATTGGAAGAAATTTAAGAAAAAAATCCTAATTAATTGAAATTTGAGGGTTTAATCGAAGTTAAAACAATCATATGGTACTTAAAGTGATGAATTGTAAGAAATACGGGACCGAAATGGACTTTTGCGTAAAAACGTAACACCCACCTACGTATAACAACCCCCCACTCGTTTTCTTATACCATCCACCATTCATCTCCTTCAACTGAAACCACCATCCACACCTACAATCCTCATCTCGCACGCCAGCCCCCTCACCGGAAACAACCAGCCCCTCGCACGCTACAACTCCAGCCTCTCCCTCTCCCAAAACTCCCTCGCACGCCACAGCTCTAGCCTCACCCGAGACAACCAGCCCCACGCCAATCTCCCTATCCAGCTCCAGCCTCTCCCTCGCGTGCCAGGCCTCCAGGTTCGCGAGTTCGCACGAAAAAATAAAAAATAAAAATTGTTGTTTGGTTGATTGAGTTTGACATGAAAAATATGATGTTGTAGACTGCATTTGTGTTTGTTTTTACAGAAAAAACACAGCAACTGATTTGTTGCAAAGTCTCCTTAAGTTGCAGCAACATTGACAATCTTCAGAGAAGTTGAAAATTTTCAGAGAAGTCTCCTTAAGTTGTAAACACGTTGATAATATATTCATCCCATGTTCATGCATTGCTAGCTCATTGCGAGAAAGTGAAGCCCTTTTCATATTGGAGATATCTGCAGTTCTTCATGAATTTAACGAGTGGAGAATTGTGGGATATTTCTATAATTTCCTGAAACTCTTTCCACCATTCCATAAAACTGCTCTGTTTCAAGAAAATTTCAGGAGATACTCCATAATCATTGATTTGCTCCATTGCGTACTGCTCAAACACATTCAGATTCTCTTTCGCCGATTGTTTCTCCTCAGCACTTGAGGTTCCAGCCTTCAACAATTTGCATGAAATCAGAGCTTCCTCCACTTTTGCCCAAAAGCAAGAATCCACTGTTAAAATACCAGCCACATCTTGTTTCTTCTTGTTATTTGGTGTGCTCGAGAGTTTCTCTGCTTCCTCTTTCTGCCACTGCTCAAGCAGAAGGAAATGTCTAGATCTTCCACGGGTTTGATAGTCTCCTTTGCCATTGTTTCTATAGTATTCAGCAATATCAAGTGGCTCCACCATTCTTCTGTAATTTGTTCCAGCATAAAGCCAAGCCGTCCGGATCAATGCGCCTTCCTTCTGCGGCTTTCTCTCAGTTTCCTCTACCAAAGGTTTCCAGTAATTATTGAGAAGTTTCTTGATCCTGGTAACTTCCCTATCGCTTCTGGAGACTTGGTTCTTGTAACAGTCATAGTACCCTATCTCCTTAGTCTTGCAAACCTTCTTATACCATTCTAGGCTGGCCATTTTTGTCTTCACTCGGTTTAGTTTTTTCCATTGGTCCGAAGTCTTCATTCTTTCGGCCTTCAGGACCTTTTCTCGTTCTTCTAAATTGGAGATAAGATTGTTGTGGTCGTCGTTTTGCTGTTGTTGCTCAATTTAAAGAGGATTTGACATTAGTTAATTGATGAAGAAATGTGAGAAGTGAATGAATACCATGAAGGTAGTGTAATTATTGTATTATTTGTATAGTTTATCAAGAATAAGACTCAATACCTGGATGGTCATTTCAACTCCAATTGCTTCTAGTTGTAAAATTATTCCTGTCCTGAGTGGATCTGTATCTGATAGATCAAGCTGAGAATTTCCTCTGATGATAACTTTAGATTTCAGATCATTCACTAACCGGTCATAATAACATATCCCCTGCGCTTCGCAAGAAACTTTGCCTTTTCTGTTTTCCAATAACCTTGGAACCACCTCGAGGTCGTCAACGCAGGCACATCCTTTCTCAGAACACAAGATAAACGTGCCGAAAACCTGGTAATTATCAGCAGCAGATTGTGCAGAATTGTTGAGGGAAATGGAAGGTCTCGGAAATGGGTCATCGTTTCCGACAACATGCAGAAAGCAAGAGTTCCATTTTGAACGTTCTAATACGGCTTGTTTGAGGCCTTGGTTGCCGAGAAATGGCGAGCCAAAAGAGATGCAGAGGGGAAGCTTGGGAGATGGCTGGTTTTTTTGCGAGGGTTGGTTGATGTTTTCCAAAAGCCATAAGGTAAAGAGAGAAGCAACTGATCCTCCAAGAGAGTGTCCAGTGACAATTAATGGAGTGCTCAGTAATAGTTCACCAGTCTTTGAATCTTGGATCTGAAAGAGTTAACAGTAACAGCAGTATTAATAACACAGTATTATGGAGTCTAATGAAGATGAGATTTTTGGCTATTAACAAGGTTTTGGAGATCAATGTCCATGGCTTCATGCTACTAAGAAACACGATATATAATAGAAAGGTAAAATAGTTCAACCTTTTTATTGGTTTAGGACCTAATCATATACTCATAAACTTCAAGGACTAAATATAATTCCGATGTAATCAAACAGTAAATAATTTTTTTTTTATCCAAATCTGATTATGATCTAAATTCATTCATCCGTTCATTAAACAGATAAATTCGATCCGATTTGATAAAAATCAGACCTAAAATTAAAAATAATATTTTTATAATAAATATAATATTTTTTAAAATAGTGAAAAAAGAATATGAAAAAAATATAAATATAAAAATTGGTTGAAATTTAGAATTTTTTTTTTATAAAGTTCAAATAACATATATTCTTCGATGATGAACACTGTATTTATAAAAAACAAATATAAATTTCTTATTATTTTTTTAATTTTATTTTATAAAAAAATTATATATATATATTAAAGATTTGGTATTATTATATTCTTCGTCATTCTATTTTTATTGCCAGAGGGACAAGAATGTGATATTCAACAGCGTTTTAGGAGCCGTATTGAAAAAAAGATTCGGAAGGGCACCTGAGCTTTGAGCTGGGACAGCTCCTCAAAATGGTCCTTAAAAAGGGTGATAGCATCTGTATCAATGGAGCACGACTGGTTGCTTTCAGAGCATAAGAAGTCAAAGAGAAGAAACTTCTGATCCTTGAGAGTTGCTGAGGAAACTAACTCTCCACCTTGTTGATCGATCTCTCTTCTAGATATAGAAGTTGCGAAGGCTAAGAGTGTATAATTTGATTTTTTATCGAGCTTCCATCTTAGGGATGCATCCGTTTCTGTTTCAAGGGCCTTTATGGCACTGCATGAAATCTGGAGCAAATCAGAGTTCACCACTAAGCTTGCCAAATCTAGGCCACTCATAAACCTGCAAACAAGCACAAAAAACAGACAGGAACAAGGAGGCTGTTAGAATTAAGGATGTAATATTGTTTTCTTCATCTAGGTACGTAACTTTTACTTGGCAGGAAGGATGGATAGAACTTTTTGCTTACAGGGGAAGTTGGCTCATTCTTATGCTCTTCTAGATTGGTTTAGGAACAAAATTGGAAAAATAACAATAGGAAAAGTGAATATTGTATTTATTGACACTGGCAGAGATTGAACAGATTAAATCCAAAGGAAGAAATCTCCTTTGGCTTGGTACTCACGGCTTGCACCTTTCGCATGCATGGACAAAATTTCCTTTGGCTTGGTAATCTCTGTGTTTTCCATGAATCACCTGCTTCAGTTCTTAAAGTCCACTATGGCGGCATTGCATTGACAGACAGACAGATTTTCCAGGAAGCAGTAAATAGACCCGGTTGCGTTGACAGATTGAAATTTTCCAGAGAAGTATAGTAAATGGACATATATATTGCATTGACTGAGTATTAGATTTGCAAGGGATCATACTGATACCCAACTACCATGAAACTTCTCGGTTTTTTGCTAAGTCCTTGACATCCCTTGCTACTTTTTTTGTGAGGAAAATAGCCACCAAACTTCCCTCCTCTCCAGACTTTTCAACCAACCTTTCTAATTTGCTACCTAGATTGCTTAACTTTGCCTTTCTATGGCATCCAGGTTCTTTGAATCTCAGTCCTCTTCTTCATATAGATCTTTCAGCTCTTAAACTGAGCACAAAACATCTCCTCATCATTCGTGCAGTTTGGCTTTCGCACCTGGGTTTTGAGTTTTTCTTTCGTTTTTGCTGAGTTTGATTCTCTTCCCATTAAATTATAAATTAATCTTTCTAGTTTTTTATATCTTGACCAATTGTTTGATTAGTTCTTAAGAAACACTCAGACACGGTATGTTACTGCTTTATGATAAAGTGTTTGATTTTTTTTCAAAACTGGAGTTGTGCATGCCTAAAAGGTATCAATAATACCACCTTGGTGCCGAAAGTTTCAGAGGCTGTAAATTTTTCAGAGTTTGACCCATTAGCCTTATTATGGCTTTTACATAATCATTGCTAAGGTGCGTGCTTCTCGCATTAAGGGTGTAATGCATGAGGTTGTTGTTAGGAAAATAAATCAAGGAAAAGAATAAAGTAAAAAGATAAGAATAATCACATAACACAAGTATTTTTACGTGATTCGGCAATAATATCTGCTTCACGGCTACATTAGGATTTCTTATTAGGTTTTATTAAATGACGACTCTAAATACAAATAATGTTGTCTTTATTTATAGTGTGGACAATTAGGGTTATAAGAAAAAGGTCTAACGGATCTTTTACTGTATTCGAAGTCTCTCCTTGACCTTTGCTTTCTAATCGGCTAGCAAGATTGTCATGCTGGATCTATATAGCACCTTATACTGGAGGTCTCCATCTCTATAACTTAGCAGCCCTTAGAAAAAGTTAGTTTATTTTTGTTTCTGAGCGGTAAATCTTACACGGTGTTCTTTTGGCTGATAACGTTATATGCACCGTCGGGCGAAAAGGAAAGATTTTGTATCTGAGAACATGAAAGGCCCTGCATTCCAATTACAAGAAGAGTTATTCTTGTTTGAGGTGTGCTTTTAGACTTATGCCATCCTGCTATGGATCTACCATATGCACAATTCACAGGCAAGCACAATATATTTTGACAGGCATACTAATCTTGAATCCTGAAGCAATTGGACTAGACTTGTGGCAATATTACACTCCATTTACACATGCCATGCTGATATGGGAGAATGAGTTTACATAATAATTCACCTTGAAAAGAATTAATGGCTGATTCATAAGAAGCTCACTGCAGAAGGGTTTTTCATTACTGCAAATTCTGAGCTTCATAATTTAGCCAAAGAATGGCTAAAGACCACGGCGAAAGGATGCTCCGTGGTGGCAGTTCTCATTGCCACCGTTGTCTTTTCTGCAGCAGACACAGTTCACGAAGGTCCAGATCAGAACACAAGATTAAATGAATCAGCATTCCATTTACTTGCTCATAAAAAGATGGAAAGAGACAAAATTATTCATAGCCCTTGGACAATGGACACCAGCTTCCCATTTCTTTTAGAAACAGTGCTTCCATTTCGAAATTATTGTCCAGAAAAATGAAACTTGGGAAGACACTGCACTTCAATTGGCTGACAACAGATGTCGTGCTAAGATTTGATTATTATTATTATTATTATTGTTATTAAAATTAAAGCTTTTATAAAAATTGGTTATTTTGGAATATATTGATCAACTAAGCAAATTCAGGGACTGGTCCATATTTTTTTATATCAAGTTTAAGACCAAATTGAAAGTATTAGTGACCTAGCGAAAGCTTAAGAGAAGAAAATAAACACCGTTATCTATAAATTCAAACACAAGTTCTAGATACCAATCAACTACAAATCATTAAATTATATGCAAATGCTAAGAAATAAGCTTGCAATTATGTTGATTCAAAGAACATCGAAAGTTGGGATAAATTGAGATAGTCTCTCATAAAATTTTATTAATCCAGAAAGCACTTATTTTTCAACCTCTAAGTCGTCATAAATAGAAGATTCAGTAAAAACCCTAAACCAATTCAAAAAAGAAAACAAAATACAAATCCTGAAATTTAGGAAAAAATATTGAAAAAACATAAAAAGTTTATTTTGACAAAAATTACGACTACATCATGACATAGCTATATGTTTGACTCATTAGATGGTTTCACATTGAACGGTTTCTGAGACAGCAACAGCCCAAGCCCAATTGCAATAATAATTATCACCATTCAGCGATCTACAACGACCATTCTGTGCGCAATTGCCACTCTGTCCTTACCTGGAAGCCATCAAGTAAAACTTGCCTCTGACTTCTATTTATGGTCTATGAAGTGTTTGATAAATATCCTCACCAAACCAATGAATAGGACTAATGTCATTAAAAAAAATTATGAATATTGCTACCGACCCTTTAATCTGTATAGTCTTTAAGATTGTTTACTTGTACTTAGTTGACCCCCTTTAATCTGTATGGTCTATGAAGTTTTTTTAATTGTAATTGACCCAACTACCACACATATTTTAATTTTAAGATTTCTTAATTGCCATTGACCCAACTACTACACATGTTTTTAAGATTTCTTAATTGTAATTAACCCCATGTAGATAGCTACTTTTGCGTCCATTTTTGCACTGTTAAAAATTACTTAAATATTAATTATTATTCTAATGATTCACCTCCATTTTTAATATTTAATAATAAAATAAAATAAAAATCATATTTATTCAAGGATTGTTTAATTATTTAAAAATATGCAAGTAAAAGAAAATGAAAAAAATATCGATTTTACTTTAAAAAAAATCTTCAAGGCCAACAAATTAAGAATTTTACTTTCATTTATAAAAAGTGGTTCAATTTTTTTAATTACAAGTGTGACACTCTCATCAAATATGAATTTTGTAAAAGCTTTTTTATAACTAAAAAGTTATAGATAAAGAATTTATTTTCATTTGTAAAAATTGGTTCAAATTTTGTAATTAAAAAATTAAAAATATCATCAACTATATATATATATATATATATATATATATATATTAGTGAAATATTTTAAAATGCCAAAAAATATCATTATGTTTAATGTTTATTAATTTACTCCAATAATAATGTATAACATTGCTTAAATCGATGATATAAAACTCTTTACGGGTCACTTTTTATATTATTATTATATTGTATTATATTATATTGATATTTAGTTGCAAATGGAGGAAAATGATTGGAATATACAATAGAAAGAAATTTTTTTTAGAATTAAGAAAGTAGTTATATTTTGCAAGAAATATTCCACTTATTAAAATGCTAAAAGCTATACTTACATTAAATTAAAAATATCTGAATTGGATCAAGTAAATGTATGAAGTGCATACTCATATAATTAAAAAATGAGAAATTGATGGACATTTTGAACTTTACACCATTAATATGAAATAATGAAATTGTGAATATGATGAGATGAACTGATGAGTTTAAAAATTTTATATATTATGACTGGCACTATAAGAATTGAAAATAATTTGTAAGCCATAATATTGATTGCTAGAGCAAGTATTTAATATCTTTTTTTTTTCCCTCTCAAATAGGACTTGCATCTTTATTAATAATGTATAAGAAAACAAAATATGGCTTATATTCATAAATGTCCATACAAATATTATTTATACTTAAGCAACTGATGTTTAGAATGTCAAAGAAATTACCTTATAATTTAGTTATAATTATTCTTAGTAGTATTAAATTTGGGTTGATTGACTAAAAAGCAAGCATTTTTTAGAGCTGGCTTACCTAGAAAATGGTAGACTTAATTAGTCTCGATTGATGTAAAAACCAATCCCAGAATATACTATTACTTATATATATACACTTTAAATAAAATTATTTAAAAATAATTAGTCATAATTATCTTTTAGTGGTATCAAGTTTGAGTTGATTTAGCTTAAGAAGTAATTTTAGTGGTCGATCAAACATTAAATGTATTCTAGTATTAGCTTAGTCTAAAAAATTATGAATTTAATTTCGATTGATATGAAAATTGATCTGAGAATACTTAATTCTAAATATATATATAATATATATATATATATATATATATATATATATATATATATATATATATATATATATATATAGGACAAAACTAGTTGGCGTTAAGAATTAAATTGAATGAATCTATCAGATCGAGATCGCTGGATCCAAAAATATTTATATAATATACTCGTCTGCAGCAAAAAGTCCAAGGGATTGTAACAGCCGTTCACATTTCTCTTATTCGCTAATGGCTTCACAGTACTATTTATATGAGAACAACAATGGCTTTGGTACTCCTCTCTTTACCCTTCAACTAACCTTTCCAATCTGTTGCATGCCAAGCTGAATTTGCCTTTCTATGGCATCCATTCTCTTAGGTCCTGGCTCCTCTTCATCCTCTTCCTTGGCAACCGAATATTCCTACCATGTCTTTCTGAGTTTTAGAGGATCAGATACTCGCAGAACCTTTTTAGGCCATCTTTATAATGCCTTAGTCCAAGCAGGGATCCATACCTTTAAGGACGATAATGAGCTTCCTTTGGGAGAAGAAATCTCCCCACAGCTCACGAAGGCAATTCGAGACTCAAGAATTTCTATAGTTGTCTTCTCCAAAGACTATGCTTCATCTAGATGGTGTCTCAATGAACTCGTTGAGATTCTTGAATGCAGAAATACAAAGGGCAGAACTGTTTTGCCTGTGTTCTACCATGTTGATCCTTCACATGTTCGGAAACAGGAAGGGAGTTTCAAAAAGCTTTCAAGGCATTTGAAGATAAAGAAGAAAAGGAGAAGATCAACAAGTGGAGAAATGCTCTTAAGGATGCTGCCAATCTCTCTGGGAAAGAGCTCGCTACTACGGCAAACGAGTAAGTCTTTCTGTTCCTCAATCACTGTACGTACTTGCTTTGAATTACAGTACCTTTTTTTTTTTGTCCTAAAATGATTGTGGTGTTTAATTTTTCATACGTATTAAAAAAAAAAGTCATTAATTTTTATGCAATCACTCTTTTTTGTTTACGGTTTTTCAAAACACTCTCGTTCATTTTAGAGAATAATTTGTTTTTTTCACCCCTAACGGATAAAATATATAAAATTATTTAAAAAAAATTATTTCAGTTTGATAATCTATGTTATGGTATGAATCTATAAAAATATATGAAATAAAAAAAAATTATCTATAGTTTTTTAATCAAAATTTTGTATTTAACTATTTCTTATTTGTGTTTTTCATAATTTTTCTATTAAAAAAGGATTTATTCTTATTAATCCATGGATTATTAACTAAAAAAAATTAAATAAAAAATTAAATTTTTTTTTGTATTTCATAAGATTGTGTTGAAAAACTAAAGTAACAATTAATAATAACTTACATGGAATTGAGCAAATAAAAAAATATATTTATTTTTATGTTTATTTAATGTTGATGAGAATATTGATTTTTTAAAGAATGCAAATTTAATTTTATATATTTATTCACAAAAGAATGAATAATAGTAAAATAAAAAATATATTAATTTGAATCATTGAGTGGTAAAGTCAAAGCATAATTTTAATTATTTAATTTAAAATAAATAAAATTTTAAATATTTAAAAATAAATAAATAAATAGTAAATGCTTAGTGTAGTAGTAGTTATATAGTTAATTTCTAAAAAAAAAAAAAAATGATTCACTAATTTTTTATACATCATAACTATACTAAGAAGGTTCAAAGTTTTTAGTATAAAACAAAAAATATTATTAAAAAAAGTTAATTTGCAAGAGATATGTCAACTAAATTTAAAGTTAAGAGACTAAAATAAAAATTATTACAAAATTGATTTTGATCAATTTTTATTATATAAAAAAGAAATAAATAAACACATGAATTCTTTTTTTTCTCTCTCTCTTCTTCTTAAATAATTTTTTATTCTATGCTATACATGGCTAGTCTTTGAATACAGGCCTCACACGTAGAGCAACCATCTCTTTTTTATTTTTCACATTTGATTTTTAATTATTAATTAACTAATTTGAGTTTTTTCTAAAAAAATTGAAAAATATTATTTAAAATACACTTTTAATTTAAAAATATATTTCGGATAAATTATATATATTAATCATGCTGCTATAATTTAAAAATTATATAAATCTAATTTTGAAAAGAAAAAATAATCATGTTCTAAAAAATTATTTCAAAATCTATGCATATAGAAAAATAAATCAAAGCTATCAAGTAAATATAATTTTAAATTAATTGGATGAGAATTTTTAAAAAAATGACAAATTAAAGCAATAAATTTTAAATAATAAAAATAATTAACAGAAAATACTAAAAAAAATGAGATCAAATAAAAATAAAATTGAAGTTTGAATTCGAAAAAAAATATATAAAAAAATTAAGGACCAAAGTATTGCAATAATGCTATTAATAGTGAAAAGACTAATGATTTGTAAATATGTGAATAGTAAAAACCTATTTTGTTTTAGTGTTTTTTATAATATATTTTTTCTTACAAATTAAAAAAATATTAATTATTATATCATATCATCCATACTTTTCAATAATATCTTTTTCTTTTCTTTTTTTTTTTAATCAAAATTGTTAGTCATTGAGATGGATTTTAATCAAATGTATTTTAAGAAAATACACTATTTAAAATTTTAATTAATAAATATTTTGGAACACATATAAATGAAAAGGTAAATAATATTTTATGAGACGGTATCGAGAGTAAATCATGTCTTGCAAACCAAACAGTGAAGAGTTTAAATTCTACCACCTTACTCTCATTTCTAATTAATTAAAAAGAAGTAAATATAAAGTAATATGGATTTGTCCATCTTCTTTTTTCTTCAAATTAATTATAAAAAAACATAAGTCTAAAATAGTATGAGTCTACAAGTTTCAAACCAGAATGGTTTTTACTAAAGAAAGTGTAATAGAAAACAATATAAATTATATTTTCGAATCTCACCTGGCAATTTAGGTTTTTGATTTGAAATGATTTTTTTGACATGGTTGTAACTCTCTCACAAAATAGAATTAAATCAGAGGCATTAAAAAAAATACATACTTAGTATTTTGACTAAAATAATAATTTTGAAACAAACAAAAAATAATCTCTTTAGAAGGAAGAGAGTATGAAATCTAATCAATTTCTTTGAACATGTTTGAATATTATTTGCTTTAATTTTGATAACTTGATATTATCAATGAACAGGAATGAATCAGTATTTATCCAGAAGATCGTCAAAGATGTGTTGAGTAAAGTGGATATCAAAAACTTGAATATTCCCAAGCACCTAGTAGGTATTGATTCTTGTGTCAACAATATCATCAAGTCCCTTATTGCCTCAGATGAAGTTGGCATTGTAGGCATACATGGGATGCCAGGAATTGGGAAGACAACCATAGCTAAAGTTGTATACAAAAAACTCTTCGATAAATTCGAGGGAAGCTGTTTTCTTTTCGATGTCAATGAAAAGTCAAAGGGACCTGATTCTAAGGTTCAATTGCAGAAACAACTTATCCGTGAAACTTTGGGATTAAATGTTTTGAAGAGAAAGAAAATCAGTAATGTTGATACAGGAGTCTCTTTGATCAAAGATTTACTTGGTCTCAAGAAAATTCTTCTTGTTCTTGACGACATGGATCAGCCACAACAGCTCGATACATTTGGAGGGCTGAGTGGGTTTGGTAAGGGAAGCAAGATAGTCATAACTACTACAAATGAAAAATTGCTAGCTCGACTTAAAGTTAAAAAGCATTCGGTCCAAGAATGGAGTGAAGAAATGTGCCTCGACCTTTTCAATTTCCATGCTTTCGGCGACCAAAATCCGAAGGATGATTTTGAGGAGCTTGCGGAAGAAGTAGTAAAGCAATGTGGAAATATGCCTTCAGCTCTTGTAGTTTTGGGAAATCGTTTTTCTCAAATAAGTGAACGTGATGAATGGGAAAAGGAGATTGATGAATTGCGAAAATTTCCTGATCAAATTCATTTCAAGCTGAAAAGAAGCTACGATTCGCTAGATGATGATTTGATGAAGAGTATATTCCTGGATATTGCCTGCTTTTTTGTTGGTGAAAATGTAGACTTCGTAGCGACAATACTAGGCGATCGTTATCGTTATTGTCATAATATAAGAAGCCAAATCCAAAATCTCGAAGAAAGATCTCTCATAACGATTGATTTCGATGATGACATAACGATGAATGATCTAGTACAGAAGATGGGAATGGAGATTGTTCGTCAAATGTCAGATAAATATCCTGGAAAGCACAGCAGAATTTGGGATCACGATGATGCCTTGGATGTGCTCAACAACCAAATGGTAAAGAACTGAACGCATATATAAGCAGAGTCTTGTACTGGAAAAACCATTGCCTCTGATGATTTTGTTAAACTTTGTTGTTTTTTCAGGGAACAGAAGCTGTGGAGGGTCTCACCCTGGATGAATATGATGAGGACTACGAGCAAACTGTAAGACTACCGAAATCAATACCGTTATTGAATAATTTAATATCGTTTGATGATAACTTTTCAAACTTCTTTATTTTTCTTCAGGAGACAAAATCTGTGGAGGATCTCACCCTAGATGATTCGGATGTGCACAGCAACCAAACGGTAAGAACTGAAGGCATAAGTATATTCCTGTCCACAATCTCTGTCGTATTGATCTTTGTCAAAACTTTTACATGTTTTAAGAAATAGTTTTACATGTATCTACTACCAAACCATGCAGAGGAGGTACTTCTCAGGAAAATACTTGTCTAGTGTCTTCAGGCAAGTAGTTCATGGGTTTTTTTATCCCTTTGATCTGCAATGACCTTCTCTGGAAAGCCACGAGAAAGAAAGGGTTTCACCGGTAACCGAATCTGGGACTAATATGTCACCTATGACAATTTTTTGTTAAAGTTTGTTAATCTTTTCAGGGAACAGAAGCTGCAGAAGGTCTCACCAGAGATGTGCAAGCACCAAAAGTCATAAATCTAAGGACAGAATCATTTAAAGAGATGAGGTTTTTGCAACTACTTCGAATTGATAATGTGCATCTTACTGGGTCCTTCCAACTTTTTCCCAAAGGGTTGATATGGCTCTCTTGGCAAGGATTTACTTTAAGTTGTTTGCCATTAGATTTTCAACTGGACAACCTTGTTGCTCTTGATATGCAATACAGTTATAACCTCGAAGAATTGAAGGTAGGAAAAATCCAAGATGCCCCACAAGTTTGTTACTATTGCAATCTAACAATTCTGTCTTTCCAGATTAACAATTCTCTGATTTTCCTTCCTGCTTCGACAGGTTCTCAACAAGCTGAAAATCCTAAATCTCAGCTATTCCAAGTTTGCTAAAACGCCAAACTTGCTAGGACTTCCGAATTTGGAGGAACTAATACTTGAAGGCTGTGAGAGATTAGTTGAAGTGCATCAATCTATTTGCAATTTGGAGAGACTTATTACCTTGAATTTGAGCCAATGTTCCGAACTGAAATTGCTTCCTTCTGGCATTAGCCAGCTTTCGAAGCTGGAGAGTTTGCTGGTTGAGGACTGCACAAATCTTGAATCAATCTCGGAGCTTCCCTCGAGTCTAGAGAAATTGGATGCGGATGGTTGCGAAAATTTAACAGAGATTCATGGAATTGAAAATGTGAGCGACTGTGACTTTTATTTGTTGTCCAGCGACAGTTTATCAGATAATTTTAAGAAGAGTCTGGCTGAGGTACTATCTTTCTCTCTCTCTCTCTCGCAATATACTCTTAAATTTAGCAAGTAATATATATATATATAAGGTCTAAAATTCCAGCTTTGATTGATATTAATAGGCATTGTGCAAGCGTGATGATTATTCGATTTCCTTCAATGGTGGTTCTATACCAGAATGGTTCAACAGCATTCCTGAAGAAAGATCTTCATTATCATTTCAAGTACCAACATCTGCAGTTTCGGATGGTATCCTCCGATTAATCGTTTGGGTTGTCTGCGCATGCGACATTGAATCCTCAGAGTGTGAGATTGGTGTCAAAGTCTCAACGGCCGATGGTTTTTGGCTGTTTGAAGATTCCATATCTCCAAAGAGCGATAACTGTTCTAGTATAAGCTGTATAATGTTGACAGATGTGGATGGTGGAGACGAATTGGAACTGTCTGTGGAAATAATCGAGGGTGACAATTCTGTAGAAGTAAAAGAGCTTGGGTTCTATCTGATTGAAGTAAAACCAAATGCTGAAGAGGGGGATAACCGTGAAAGGCGAGACACAACCAAGGAAAAACAGGATGTTGAGGATGACGACGACCAAACAACACCATCTTCTATTGATGATGGAGAGTTGCATGGAGGTGGCAACCAAGAAACAAGCAAGGAAAAGTCGTATGTTGAGAATTGGGATGATACAGAATCAAAATCCTCTATTGATGATGAAGAAGAGGACAACCATGATGACCAAGAAACATCCTCTATTGATGATGAAGAGGAGGATGGCTTTGACGACCAAGAAAAAGCCCCGGAAAAGCCAAATGTTGAAGAGGGGAAAGGCTGTGGCAACCAAGGAACAACTTTGCCTACTTACCATGAGCGGTGGAATAATTATTTAAGAAAGGAGTTACCAAAGTGGAAAATCTTGGAATTGACGGTAAGCAGCGAAGAAACAGACTCCTCGAGTGATGATGAGAGTGATGATGAAGACGAAAATGACAGTGACAGCCAGGGAAGATCATCGGTAACTTCTAAGAGTGACGATGAAGACGGAAATGACAGTGCTAGCCAGGGAAGATCATCAGTAACTTCTGATTAGGTATAGATTTCTGTAATGTAATATCTTCCGGTATATTGACCTGGAACAAGGCTACTATGGAGAAAAATTTTGCTGACGGCAACTTTGCGAGGCATCTTCATCCATTGCTTCAATGTTACTGTTCAGTTGAGAGGAACAGAAAGTTCGCAGTTCGCAGGCACACCAAGGAAGCGTAATTTATTTTTAAGCTTTTAGTGTTTTGGAATAAAGCTTCTTCTTCTTCTTCTTTCCAGTTATATAAATAAAGCTTCTTCTTCTTCCTCCTTCTCCTCCTCCTTTTTTTTTTTTTTTTTTTTTTTTTTTTTGAGTTTCAACATAAGTAGAGTGGCCTGGTTATTTGAGAACTAATCTGAACATAAAATATCTCCATTTGTCAGGAAACAAATCCTTTAATCTTCCTTTTGGCATTGGCCGATCGTTCATCATTTTCGGCATGAATCTTAACTCGGTCTGTGAGCTTCCCTCGAGTTTAAGGGATTATTCATTTATGTGGGTCTTGATATTTATTTTCTCCTATTAATGTAACACACTGACCTATAACCTAAAATAAGTCGAGAATGTTATCGATAATACTTCATATTTGAAGTATAATGAATACGAGATACTAAACGTTGTATCCTTCACTGTCTAAGATAAATAACATTTGCGATGGAACTTCATATAAATTAAAATTTTAGATTCATTTTTAATTATTTCAATTAAGTCCTTAGATTACTCACGTAATTAATATTTAATAATTTAAACTTACGCGTAAACATTCTTTGGCTCAAGCATAAAGCACAATATTAATGTTTGCATAACACTCAATTTCCATGCAAACATAAAACTTAAATTCACATATTTAAATAAAATATTCACACACATATATTCATCTCTTAAGAGGTTTTTGGTCATGAATATTACAACTAATTCCTTAATGTCATAACTGGTGGTTCGATGCCAGATTTGTTCTGCTATCGCAGAGATGGATCTTCATCTTCATTTCATGCACCAGCAGTTTCAGATGGTATGTCTCAAGCCCTGGTGCCTAGCTGTTTGTGTTGTCTTTTCAGGCATTTATGGAGGAGTTTGCAAAGGATTACGAGACATAGGAAAGAAGATCCGACCATCTAGGCAAATGCAATAGAATCTGGTTCAATGACTCTACTCAACAAGCATATGGTAAGAACTAAATGCACACATACAGTCTTGCACTTTAAGAATACAGTCTTTTCTACTTTTTTCTGTCAAACTCTTAGTAAATTTTAGGTAATGCTTTCATGTGCTAGGAATTTTATTGTATTCAAGAATTACTATCAATATTTAGTCTCAGACTCACTTCAAAAGAGAAAATCACAGTTTTCGCCAGCCATGATGCCTGCTAAAAAAATTGAACAGAACAGGGATTATATTGAACATGTGACCGAATGAGGCTTGTGGCATGACATCAAGCGAAAGAGCTACTGCATTCCAGTGACTGAAGGTGTCAAGATTTAAGATTTACAATTGCAAGATAGATTCTTCTCAATGTATAGAAGCTTCTTATTCTAGGAGTCAGTTGGCACACAAGTGAAAGAAAGCAATTACATTATCTTGACCACAGCTCGACTAAGAATCTTTCCCTGGTTGAGATCCTGGAATGCTTTGGCAGCCTCCTCAAAACCATATTTCCTTGTAACAGCATCGGTAAGGTTGAATATACCTGATTCTGCAAGTTTGACCAATTTGGGAAGATCCTGCCTTGCCCTTCCTCCGTAAGAGCCAATTACTTGAACCTATTCCATGAGTTAAAAAGGAGTCAAAAGTTTTGCCATATTGGACGTTGTAGCAAACCAGCTGGAAACTATAATCAATAATTGCAAACTACTTAAAAATAGAAAATCCAGAAAAAGCAGTATAAAATGAGGGAGGGATGCCTTTCAGAATTATACATGCTGCTAAGTACTGAGGATCAACTAAATTAACGTTCTACTCTACTCATAAAACATTTTCCTTCGTCCAATTTAAAAAGGGAAATTCCAAATTAAAAGCATATTTACATTGACAGAAATGAATCGATTTTATTGAAAAAGTTTTCCTGTGAGACATTGCTGAAGCCAATAATTTATGGGTGGAAATGTGATACTTATTGGTGAAGACGCACCTTTCGACGGACCAGATGATTGATATCTATCTCCCCTACAGCACCAGCCTGTGCAAGTCCAATCATCACAGCTTTTCCTCCATCTCTTACACTCTGTGTGCACTGCGAAAATGTCAGTGGCTTGCCCAAGGCTTCCACAGCAATGTCCACACCTCTTCCTCCAGTTATTTCCTGGCAAAAATAAGTGAATATTGTACTTTAACTTCAAATATGAAAGAAAAGAGGAAGAATGTTTCTTAATCTATTCACAATGCATGACCAGCAGCAACACGCTATCAGAAGACTGAGTTCTTAAAAAATACTTAAAACATCACAATTTGGCAATGATAAATGCAAACGAAAACAGAAAACTGAAATTATGGTGGCCCTCTGTATCAAAAGCAAATCAAAGAACACAACAGTCCACTGGGCTTATGAAGAAAACATAAAGAGCTAAACTTTCCATTTCTTTTAGAGCCAGAGGCTATTTCATTTCAAAATCATGGCACAAAAATTAGGAAGAAAACTTAGGAAGACACTGCACTGCAGATCAAGTTCCCTATTTATATCTTTTACTCACTACCAAATCAGCCAAAAAGCTTTGGCAATGGCACTGTCATCAAGAGTTGGGAACTTCTGCGTCTCATTTAACAACTAGAAACGAAATGAAAAAGTATCCACCTTAATCCTTTCAATAGGATCTTCTTTCATTGAATTTATAGTGGCGGTGGCACCAAATATCTTAGCTTTCTGAAGTTTTTCATCCTGAACATCCACAGCAATAATATCTGAGGCACCAAATGCCCTTGCTATCTGCAAACAACTGAAGCATTTTGTCTTAGTCATGGTTATGCAAGAGTTCGCTAAAATAGAATAACAAAGCACCATGAGTGACTATGACGACTTCAGTTTTGACGAAATAAATAATTCATATTAACATAAACAGTCCGAATTTCTTCTGATATTCTATTCTTATGACAGTTGTCATGGTGATGCTATGTATTCCATTTTCATGGGTTGACTTGTTAGAAAGTCGCATATTGAACCCCCCCCATACATCTGTTTTTGTCATTAAATTAGGGACCTTGCATTGTTCGTCTCTTCATGTAGGTTACAATCTAGAAGTGTAGAATTGTGCGAGTGTGACTATAGCACTGTTCAAGAAAGGCCAATGCAACCCTTTCTTGGACCCAAGATACAACACAAATCAAGAAATCGAAAACCCTTAATGTTGTATGAGATATTATGAAGTGTGCATTTAAAAATTATAGGAAAACGAAAAATCTTAATGTTGTATGAAAATTTATGAAGTGTACGTGTAAAAATCTATAGGCAGTCATTATGAACTGATTTTGCACAGCAATCAAATAATTGTTCCTGCTTTCAACAAATTGCTTTAGGATTGCTCGCAAGCTGCTTGTCAACTGACATCAAATGACCATGCAAGTTGTTTGGAAGCATCTTTTGCATCGTTGGTAGTTGTGCCTTCTGCCCAAACTTTGTCACAATTATAAGTGCATAAATCCACACAAAACACAAGAGTGAAAAACTGGGATCTATATATGCAGATGTATGCATGCCTTTCTATGTAATGAATGAATGTGCATATACAAGCATGTACAATGTGGATGCCATGTGTGTGGTACTGAAAGCTATCTTATCAATATAAGATATTTTCTGTTACCTTGATCCTACACCCCCAACTCCAATCACAGCAACAGAATCCCCAGGGTGCACTTCAGCTGCATGAGCCATGGCACCATAAGCAGTGAATACTGCACATCCTAAAATTGCAGACTCAGCATATGGCAATGAGTCTGGTAATATAGTCAATGCATGTGCTGGAACAACACAGTATTCAGCAAGGCCTCCCATGCTATACATGAAAACCGGCTTTCCTACATGATATAGCATCTGTTTAGTAATCCAATTATAATGTTTATATTCCAAAAGCAATAAAGAGAACATTTCCCCAAAAGGCCTTAAAAGAGAATTTCAACATGACAAATTCATAAAGCAATAGAGAAAAATAAGAAAAATTTAATACCAGAAATGCATGAGTTTGCTAGAACAGAAGTGCAAAAGTGTATATCCAGTTCATCCAAACGCACATACACACAAAAATCTATGTATCAGTGTGTGCCTGTCTGTCCATGAGAGAGAGAGACAGATAGACTGCATTATGTCAATTAGTCAATCTCATGTGAATAAATAATCATCCTTTAATGAAATTATGACCAAATTGCATAAGAACAGAGTACAGACCTGCAATGTGCCAAATGCAAGTGATGCATGGAAACACAAAATCACAATTAAAACTACCAACATTTATTTAGATTGAAAATGAACAAGCACTAGTTGATATGGAAATAAAAGAAAGCATATCCAACAATTGAAGATATAAATATACTGTCTACTGCTCACTTGTAGCTAACTACACAGCAATCAGAAATGGGTCACGCTCTATCACAGTATCTAGGCTCATTGACCTTACGGTACAGGAGACTAGTAAAAATGGATATGCAGATACTAACACACTTCTATTGAGTTTTGCATTTTCTTCCTCTTATTCAGTTTCTACCTCTCTTGCAGGGAATTCATCAATCTTCTATCTCCATTCCGCTCACTTTGATGGCCAATTATCTCTTGAGCAGGAACGTATGGAACATATATTTTACTTCATAAAAAGGAAAAGAAAATTTCCACGGCATAAGCCTAAAGAATGACTTGACTCTGGAGTTTGGCTATTGTAGGGGATATGAAAGTTGTATCGGGAGCATTACAACAAGTTGCAAGCTTTTCCTATCGACAAAAAACACAATTTGAGAGCTTTAATGAAAAGAATGTAAAATTAAAAACAATAGTTCATTACCACTGTTACGAAGGAATAGTCGAGTTTCACCATCATAAAGAGTTCCTTTTGCCCGATTATAAGCAAAAAAATCCTCACATAAATCATCATGGCCCTGTTTCCGAAATCAGAGATTTATCATATCAGTACCTTCTTAGCCAAATTTGATCTTTTTGCTGCATTTCCAATAGCCCTTGTGATGATATTGAATAACAATAACAAAATGAAGCTACACACACAACTACAACATCACATCTCAAGGTAATGTCACCTTAGAACAGTAGAAACAGTTACCACAAGGCATGATAAAAGCTCCAACCACATGAGAACCAACTGGAAATCTGAAAAACATGATGAAAAAAAATTCATAATTCACATTCCTACCATCTCCCTGCATGATAGAGAACCATTTCCACTAAAAATATAAAATCTTTTCAAACAATTTCAAAAGAACCTTGCAAAATTATTAAGAAAGCAGACTTCATTTCACCTGATACTAATTACATATCTAATCCATGTACCTTTCAACAATTTTTCTATCTGTCAGCTCCGCATGTTCCACAACTTCGCCAGTGATCTCATGACCAATAGCACACGGAATAGGAAATGGAATTTCACCCTTTATAACATGAAGATCAGAGTGACAAACTCCACAAGCTACAGCCGAAAAAGTCAAACATTAGCTCCAAAAAGAAAACCACAAAAATATACCATAAATAAGAAATCAACTGATCAAATACTCACCTTTGGTCTTAATAAGAACTTCTCCAGCTTTAGGGCGAGGAATATGAAACTCTTCCATGGTAACAGGCTTATTGGGTTCCCAAAAAACAGCTCCACGCATAAACCCACCTGAGCTAACATGATATGAACTCTTTGAAATCTTTGTATTGTCATCACCATCAAAATAACTGATCTTGGCACCCTTAAAACCACCATTATGGTGCAAAGACTTAGCAGTAGTGTCAGCTAGAAACCAAGAAGAGGGTAGAATATTAGAGGGTTTTGAAGAGAAGAGTTTCTTGGCGATTGATCTTTGGATCAGATGAGAGAAACCCATGTCTTGAATCGAGAAAAACAGATCAAAATTTTGCAGTTTTGGAAAAGAGTGAAATGAGGAGAGTGAGTTATTATGGAGTTTTGGACTTTGTACTAGGTTGTAAGGATTGGGTCAAAGACAGCTTAAGTTGCTGATTCGGCAGCTTGATGTTTGGGTTTCTCTGCCAGGTCATCTTCATTTTAATTTTATCCAAATCGCTAAATTATTGCTCAATCCTGATTAATTAATCTACCTATGTATCAATTAACAAATAAAACTAAAAGAACATGACTTTTGACTATTCATTTAGGTCGTTCATACTCAATTGCACTATTTATTTACTCTATTTACACTCATTTGCATTTTTCATTTACTATACATGCCTTTTTTTTTTATTTTTTTGACCACGTCACAAAGTTTATAATGTTAGTAATCAAGTCATAAATATTAATAGTCACGTAAAAAGATGCGTGAATATTTAGATAAAAATCGTTAAAATACTTTTAAAAAGATTGAAATGCTAAAATAAGAAAAAGATTAAAAAAAAATCTCGATTTATTACATACTTAAATTATGATTGATTATAAAGATTCATAAATCGATTTAGAGACAACCACGGTGTTGCCCAACTCTAAAATTTTCTCGAGTTCAAGACCTTTCCTATGCAAAGAAACCCTCGTGGATTAACAACACCCTTTGAACAAAATTAAGCTGCAAGAAAAAAATAGTGATAAAACTAAGTTGCTAAAAGGGTCCTCTTTTTTTTTTTTTTTTTTTTTTTTTTTCTTTTCTTTGTTTTGTTTGCTTTGACATGCATCTAGACCAGTCTCAGGTCTAAAAAGAAGGCCACAGAAAAAGGGCAAAGTTGCATAGGCCGACAAAATGCAAGGACGTATAAAACTACTCTATTACTATTTTTTTTATTTCTTTTTTATTGCTAAATAAACTCTATTAATGATTTATGGGTTCATTTTATTTGACTTAAATGTTTAATGCTATTTTGTAATTGATTAAAACTCCAAAATAATAATCCTTACTTTAAAAAAAATAATAATGTTCAAGGAACCAAGAACTATAACACCATTTTTATTTGTAAAAAATAATTTGATTTTCACCAAAAATCAAGTAATACTTTAATTTGAATTCAGTTAATCAAAAATCGAATCAAAACCAAAAGATGGCGTAATAGTGAGCTGTCACTTCATGGATCGTAGGTGACATCTAGAGATTCCCCAACCTTAAGTTGAGGGACGTGACTGGCTACTGACTTCGTGACACATGTCATTGTCCCAATGGACAATAAATGAAAGTACAAAAATGCAAATTGCAAAGATCACAGACAAGTGAAGTCTTGTCTTGAAAAAGAAAAAACCCTAATGTTATGGTAATGGTGTCGAAGGAATCAAAATGTCCAGCGAAGCAAATGGTAAGCACTTGCCATGTCTGAGCAGCTTGTCTCCCTTCTATCTTTCATGCTTTACCTTTTGCCTTTCTTTTTGGAATAAACTATTATAATTTTCCTGCACGCTTGAGAGTAAATTATGCCCATACACTCGCCAACTCTGCATGCCACGTGAGTTGCATTACCTTTTTTTTTTTTTTTTTTTTTTATGAAATTAGGTTTCGATAACTTGCCCTAGCTGGGTCACCCTAGGCGGGATATTTTTAAAGAGCCCAACTTAATGAAGACAAACTTTTTCCTAACCATATGTATCTAATTCCAATTACTGGTCACAAGTTCTTTACTTTTTTTGTATTAATCATTTTTATTTTTTGAGTCTTAGGTTGTGTTTTTTTTTTTTTTGAAAAAAATAAGTTTCAAAAACTTTTTTTTAATTTTTTGATATTTTTTTTACGTTTAAGAAAAAAGTCAACGAAATTTGATTTCTAATTAATAGAATTTAATAAAATATTTTGAAAAAATATTTTCTGAGTTAAAAAAAAAAAGAAAATATTTTTTTCTCTTAAACAATACTTTTCCTAACCTATGGAGATTAAATTCATTTGTCACTTTCAAAATTAGAGGATATATAATTTTTTTATTTTTATTGTTTGACCTTAAATTTAAACATTATGATTAAGAAAATATCCTTTAATTATTAAGCTACATTTAATCATTCTCAACACATTAACTCATGTGATAAATAAATTTGTCTACATATACATTATTGTCATTGATTTGAACTTATCTAAAGATTATGAAAAAAAGCTTTTTAGTAAATTATGACGATATAAAAGTAAATAACATCATTAATACAACATTTATTTTTGATATTTTTGTCTTTCAATCTCTAATATGTTTTCATTTCAAAAATTAATTTTACATCAATTTTTGTCTATCCCTTTATATAAACAAAAAACAAACTTTTTTTTTAACTATTGCTGATCATTCAGGATTTATTTGATTATTTTTCAAATTCGTCCCTAGTGTTTTAGATGAAAAGAACCATTTTCTTTCTTCTTTTTTTTTCCTAAAATTAGATTGTACCTATTGTACAAGATAAAATTGCTTTTTTTTTTTTTCTGTTTTTATTGCAAGATGAACACCGGTGCCAGCTAAATAAATTCTCTAGCTTTTTGCAAACTATTTTTTTTCAAAAAAATGGAAAATAATCCTCTCCTTCTATTCTATATATGCTCATACACCTGGCAGGACAAATCCCACAAAAAGTCATTCAAGGTCACAAAGAGGTTACATTATATTTGTCTCCATCATCACCTTACGAGGAAAGCTTCAAGCTTTTTCTCCCTTTTTTCTTGTAGGCAGCTGCTCTACTAAAACTTTAACAAGCAGTAGTAATAGTAATTTTAGATCCTTTCGGTTTCTTGTATAGCTAACTGTATTATAGTTTTTGGCAAAAGATAAGAGAAACAAAAGCAAAAGCTAAAAAAGAAGAAGAAGAGAGAACAGCCCAGATAAAGAAAAAGCCAGCTACAAGCTTAAGCTCCCCTATATACAATAAGAAAGCCTTCATTTTGATCTTTCTTTCTTCATCAACTTGTTATTGGGTGTTTGAAATGTTGAAGCTTTTCAGTGTTTATCAACTCTTCATTAATTTCCTCGTTACTTTCTCTTTATTCCTTGCTGTTTTTCTTACAGGTATGTTGTGTTTTTTTTTTTCCTTTTTCTTTTTTTTTTGGGTTTTGTGTGTTTTAAGATTCGAAATTGTTACTCGGGTTTTGGGATTTACTGGGTTTAGTAATAAATATTGAACCTTTCATTTTCAGGGTTGTTTGTATATATTGTTTGATTACTTGGGTTGTGTTTGTCTTTTTCTTTTTTGGATTTTTGATTGAGATCTAGAAGTGATTTGGCATTGAAGTTTCTGTTTGGTTGCTGTGAGAATGTAGGAATGTAAATAGTAAGTGAAAGCTTGAATCTTGGAGCTGATTGGTCTAGTTTTAATTTGTTTTGTCGGCTTTAGTGTGATAAAGTTTGTGCTTTGGCTGTCTATACCAGTTTTTCTTATCTGATATTTTGTTTGGTGCTCACTTTTAACCAAATTTCAGATCAGAGAAATTTCTGTGGTTATGAGTTTATTACATTGAAACTGAGAATGTATTATATTTTTTATGATTCATAAGAAACCAAGACACTAAGAAGTGAGCTTCATTATTTAGTTTAGAATGCATAATGACTCTCTGTGCAAGGATGGCCTAGTGAAAGAGTCTGAACGTTTTGCTTTTGAGTCGGTTTGTGATTAATTTATGCTGTATTTTTGTTGTCTGCAGAATAGCAAATGATGCTCGATCAATTTCAAGGTTTTAGCTGGATATTAAGGACACGAGTTTGATTTATTTCTTGCTTTTTGGGGGGAAAGTAAGTCTTAAGTTTTTTTTGGCAATTTTTTACTTGGGATGGAAACAAATCATCATTAGAACTTCAGCCTGTGTTACTCTTTGGGCTACTTCTCACTCTTTTTGTTGTTATACTCAATCACAGCTGTCTAAAGGTTTTATTTGCATATGATTGAACCATCTTAAAAGGCTTTCCATCAAATTTTTTGTAATTGGTGCCTCCCCTGTTTCATAACAGTCTATTAATTCTTGTTTGATCAGTTGTTATACTTCCAATTTTTCCACCTTAACATTCTGATTTTGACCATGGTCGTTTTATAGACATGTTATTTTTTTATCTCCTGGAACCATTAAACTGTTTTTGCACTCCTTCCATATTATTCTAATTTTAAGGTTGATGTCTTCCCTGATCTTCCCTCTGTATTGATCTTATCTATTGTTTGGCCATTCTGCATGGTTGGACCTCTGTTGCCATCCTGTAAATCCATTGTTTTTAAATTGCTTGTTATACGCGGGTCAGGGGTGTTGTGAGTGTAACCACAACCACGCATGTAATCTGGCTTGTATGCATATAGAGTCCATACATGAAGTGAGTTACTGGTCAACTACTAGTAACATTGTAGTAAGTGGGGATCATATGTGAAATTGAGCTGTGATCGTCATAGTGAGCTTATTTGTAATTTTTATTGCAGATTCTTGATCCTCATTTCATTTGTTTTTCTTGGTTGGCTCCTGGCTTATAGACCACTTGCCATAAGAGTCTAATCGTTAACGTTTCTTTACATTTTGAATTCCAGAATAAGCAGATGGCAGCTGAGCTCGTCCATTCTGCAACCAGTGATAAACTGGCTGAAGTAGATTGGACAAAAAATATTGAAATCTGTGAATTAGTTGCACGTGATGAAAGGTATAACATGTTGTCTGCAGATGTTTCAGTTAGTGCAAATGCTTTGTTCATGGTAATTCATGTTTACAGAATGATCACTAGTATTAAATATGCTGTTGTTCAAAGACTAGTTTTTACGATGATGTTTTTAGAATTTCAGTATTTAAGGTGCTGCTAGACACTGCATAGGTAAAGCAAGCTGTTAGGGAATGAACATTGAATCCTCATTTGTTTGCTTGTCATTATTGAGCAATTCATGGAACAGTTTTGTTCATTCTAATCTGCAGGCAAGCTAGAGACATAGTTAAAGCTATTAAAAAACGTTTGGGGAGTAAGAATGCCAATACTCAATTATATGCAGTGATGGTGGGTTGATGCTCTCACTTTGTATGGTAGATATGCTTGGTACCTTAGAAATAGGTTAAATCACTTATTATCTCTTGTTTTTGCAGTTGTTGGAGATGCTGATGAACAATATTGGGGAAAAAGTTCATAGACAGGTGATTGATACAGGGATTCTGCCCATTCTTGTCAAGATAGTGAAGAAAAAGGTAGACCATTCCCTTCTTTTAAAATTTTTCTTGGCTAATTTTACAGAATTGTAACTAAAATTTACCTTGTTCTCCCTGTATTACAGACAGAGTTGCCCGTACGAGAAAGGATATTTCTTCTTCTAGATGCCACACAGACGTCTCTTGGTGGTGCATCTGGAAAGTTCCCTCAGTACTATTCTGCATATTATGATTTGGTGGTACGTAAATGTATGAAAAATGTGGTTTGTCAAAATTACATGTTATGCCAATTAACCACGACTAGATTAGAAATTCTGCAGTTAACATTTGATAGTTTGAGGGGTCTCGGTTCTTTTTCTTTGTCCACATCATTTGAACTGTTGACAGGCTTTACCAAAAACCAACAAGCTTGTCTGTGCCATCATGTCTACATATCTAGAAGGAAATTTTTGTCAACTGAACAACTTACTAGCTCTATAGGCTTCCACTTAAAAGCTCATTGGAAGTCCAAAATTCTATTTGCAAAACTGTCAGATAGGAGATTTTTCTTCCCTTAGTGAGATTCTGAAATTTGCATACCCCAAATATCTTTGAATTGGAGTTGTAGACATTTTTTCTCCACAGTCCCGACCCTTGTTCGGCTTCTTACTGGTTGCCACAGAAAAACTTTATATTATAATGTGGGTTTATCAGCTTAGGTATTTTACCTGCTGCAGTTACAATTCAACAGCATAACAGGCAAAAAGTTTGAACTGTTCTTTTGCTGTGCAAGTTTTTTAACCCCTGAAAGCAAGCTTGTTTTCAATTATTGTCCAGAGTGCCGGAGTGCAATTTGCTCAGAGGCCTCGTGAAAGACCATCAAATCACCAGGCTGCCCAAGAAAATAATAAAATTACCCTTAATGGGGAACTTGCTGCCTCTAGACGTGAAGCGGTTGCTCAGCCAGCACCAGTGGAGCCTGAAGTTGTCCCTGAATCCAGGTATCTTTTGCTCGAATCCAACCCTTGTTGGTATTTTGGTATGTTGCATCATGCATGGATCTTAAGGAAGGCTAGGTGCTTGTTTCTATCATTTGTGCATAGAAGAGTAGGTTGAATTGTTTACCTGCAAAAAAATAGCCATTTCTAATCCTGTATTTATTGTACACAGTATTATTCAGAAGGCTAGTAATGCTCTGGAGGTTTTGAAAGAAGTCCTTGATGCAGTTGATTCTCAAAATCCCGAGGTAACTTCTTTTCCTGCAATTTTGAGTTTGGTCTTGGAATGCTTTGCTGCTTATGTCTATCAATTAAATTTCTCTCTCTTTCATTATCCTACTTCAATTCATATTGGATCAACTTCCATATTCGATTTCCTTTTTGGGCTTGAACCCTTAAAAAACAAAACCATGAGACAGTTACATGGCTTTCAAGGATTTTAAGAACCATTAATTTCTGCAGTATGTGATTAACATACTGTGGTATTTCCAAGCAGAATGAGAGTCACATGGCCATCAAGGATTTTAAGAACCATTAATTTTCTGCATTATGTGATTAGTATACTGTTATATTTCCAAGCATTCTGCTTGAATTTTTCAATTCTCAACGGCATCCTCTATGGATGATGTAAATGATCCTTTCTTTTACTTGGGTTTGACATTAAAATGCCCTATGTCTTCTTCTTCCTTTCTTTTTTAATTTTTAATTTTGTATAAAAAATATTTGGCATGTGAACTTCTAATTTGATGCGAGTAGGCAATTTAATATGCTGACCCAACTAGTTTGGGATTAAGGCTTTATTGTTGTTGTTAATGGTAAAAAGCTGGCATATTAACATCATAAGTTATGCTTCAACGCCAACTTTCTGCATGTCCTGATGTTTGCTGTTTACTACTGTTGATTACAAGGCTGTAGCTTATAATACGGAAGTAAATTGCACATTTATAATTTTGAATGGTTGGCATTTGTCAGTTGCTTTTGCTTGATTCCTCTTTTTTTTTTTTTTTTTTTTTTGTCTGGACTTCATTGGTGAATTAAGTTAGCATTCCTTATTCTACTTGCATGACATTTTTCTTTCAGGGAGCGAAGGATGAGTTTACTCTTGATCTCGTGGAACAATGTTCATTCCAAAAGCAGAGAGTAATGCATCTTGTGATGACTTCTAGGTAGGGCTGCTTTCGGGTCAATATGGCAGATTTGATTATTAGCCGGACTTGCACTTGCACTTGAATTGATTCTCTTTCTCTCTCTGAGGTCCAGGGATGAAAAGTTGGTCTCCCGAGCTATTGAATTGAATGAGCAGCTACAGAAAGTTCTGGCAAGACATGATGCCCTTCTTTCTGGGAGGTCTACAGTTCCATATAGGACTCGCATCTCTCATAGAACTACAACCACCACAAATCATTTTAATCATGAAGAATCAGAGGAAGAGGAGCCTGAACAGCTTTTCCGAAGGTATTTTCATGTCATCTTCATTAGGGCTGGGCTTGTATTTGGTGAAAAATAATTGACCTGTATCGTTTGAGCATGCGAATTTTCCCATCTGGGAAGCAACTTATGTCCTCAAGCCAGTATTCAACCCACTTTTGTGAGGAGTTAATGCTATATGCATCTTTAAACGCGTTACCTTATATTTAGCTTCCAGAACGACATGCATTTGTTCCTGGTTCATATTGCCTTGTCATTGCAAAATTTGGCAGGTTACGAAAAGGCAAGGCTTGTGCAAGACCTGAAGATGAAGGCAACTCAGAAGAGCATCACCCTTTGCCTTTGGGCTTGCTTGGATCAACCATTCCAGGAGAAAGGCTGAACCGTCCACTTATACGGCCACTTCCACACGAACCCAGTGCAAATCCTGCACCTGTTGTAATTCCACCTCCACCTGCAAAGCACATGGAAAGGGAGAAATTCTTTCAGGAAAAGAAGGCTGATGGTTCTGCTTTGTCTGGCCATATGAGGGATCTTTCATTAGACAGTCACAATGCCAGCAGTTCCCGCAGCGGGAGCATAGATTTTAGTGAATGACTATGCACTCGAGCGATGTTCTCTTCAACTCCTGGTTTTTCATCAGTTTGTATTTAGTAATTTATGTCAAGATGGTTTCTCGTGTACTGTTAATGAGGGTGTTTTTTATTGTTAGTCAGGTATTAGTGGGTATAGAAAGGTTACAGATGCAGAACTTGTCATGCTGTTCTCATTTGAGTACGCATTTATTGAAGTTTTTACTTTGTTTCTGAAGAATTCTGCCTTAAGCTTTGCACTTTTAAGCAAGCTGGGACTCTTTTTTCTGTCTTGGAAGGGGTTTGTATGCAGGAGATTTTTCTAAATTATATTCCTGATTGGTTATTATCATCTTATGAGATATAGCTCATAGACAATAACTACTTTCCCTGCTGCATGGTTGAATAATCATCCCTGTAAAGTGTAGTCCACAATATCCTGTCCTTTTTCTTCTTCTGTCTTTCCAAAAGTCAATTTTCCATTTTGAATGGGAACCCTTTATAAGTCATTCCATTTCCTGGTGTTCATCTACTGGTTATTTTGCCTCTTGTTCTCCTTTCTTCGTTTTGTTAGGGCCAAAAAATGAAAGAAGCCATTGTCTTGTATCCAGCAGGCAGTTCCCATCAGATGATCTCTATGGTGGAGTTAGCTAAGCTGATCCTGCTACACCTTCCCAACATCTCCATAACAATCTTAGTAGGGATAACAAGAGGCAATTCTGAGCCACCAATCAGTTGGTGGATTTGTGACGCATTTGTGGGTGGAACTCGGTGCATGAAGCAGTGAATTATGGTGTGCCAATGTTACCTTCGCCATTGTATGCAGAGCAGAAGCTAAATGGTGTGGTTTTGGCAGAGGAAATGAAGCTGACACCAATGCCCATTTTAACAGAAGATGGAAAGGAAGGATTGGTGAGCTCAGAGGAGGTGGAGAGAAAGGTGAGAGAGTTGATTGGATTGGAAGGGAAACGATTCAGAGAGCGAAGTTCGGAGATGAAAACGATGGCTACGGCTGCTTGGACTAACGGTGGGTCTTCCTTCACTGCCTTGTCGAAGTTGGTGGCTTCTCGGAAGCAAAAATGATCATAATACATATTCTCTCATACTTCCTTAAAATTGACAAGCCTTTCTTTGTCATTTCCCCAAGACATTTTTTCAAAAAATCATATTATTTTATTTTCTTCTATTTTAAAAGGTTCGAATTATAAACCACTTGATTTCCAAAAGATAAATTTCAGTTGATTTTCGAAGAGATATAAATATAGATTGAGTTATAAATTTATTTTAAAAAATTCATAGTTAAATCAATAGATTATTTGTTTAATAGTAACAGAGCTGATTGAAATTATATTTATTGAAAACGATTAAGTCTTATCGTTTTTGTTTCGAATATGATTGATTCTATCATCAAAATTAAATAAAGATTTATCTAAAACTAGATAAAAACGCAAAAACAGACTTAAAAATTATCTAAAATAATTTTCATGCCAATAAATTTCCATCCACACAAGTTCAAAATATCAGCTAGGTAGGAGATAAATGTTAACAAATGCAATAAATTCTTCAAACCAAAATTGCAATAAATTCTTCAAACCAACTCCAATAGATTGCTTTTCATCATACAGTGACCAAAATTTTTGTTTGTCCACCTTCAACCACGGGTGAGTAAATAATAAATTAGTCTCTTTAGTTTTCAAAAACCAATTAATTAATTATTTTGTTTCAAAAATTAATTATTTAGTCATTCGACAAGAACAATATTTAATTTAATATTATTTAATTAATTAAAAAATATTTTATTTTTCATCAATTTTTTCATAATATTTATTTGTTTTATTTTTTAAAAAAAACAACTTAAAAAATATAAAATCGACAAAATGATTAAAAAATTAGTAATTGATTTGTTTTTCAAACTAAAGGACTAATTTATGATTAAATAATTAGTTAATTTAATATTATTTATTTAAAAAAAATATTTTCTTTTCTCATTAATCTTTCCATAATATTTATTTGTTTTATATAAAAAAAACAATGTAAAAAATATAAAATCGGCAAAATGATTAAATAATTAGTAATTGATTTGTTTTTCAAATTAAAGGACTAATTTATAATTTTTTCCTCAAACTTTTATGTCAACTGTGATAATAATTTCACGAGAAATTTTATAATATTTAAGAAGTAATTAGAGATAAATGTTATAGTAACTTTCCTAAAAGTTAATTTTTGTAATAGATGTGACAGGAGCCAGTAAAAAAATTAGTTTCTCTATTTTTAATAACTAATTGATTGGTTTTTTTAAAAAAACTATAATTTGTGAGACATTACTTAATTGAGTCCCTTCGTGCTTGCTATTGTTTTTTTTTTTGTTTTTTGGGTCTAAAATCTAAATTGCATATTTTATACAATAATACTATTTTGGAGTAAATTATAAATTAGTTTCTCTATTTTTAATAACTAATTGATTAGTTTTTATATTTTTAAATGTATTTCTAACTTAATTCTTTTTATTTTTGAATTTATTTTTTTATAAATAAATTGAACCCAAAATTGAAGAAAAATCAGGAACAAAACGGTAGGCAGAAATAAAAACATGAAAAGATAGGCAGGAGAGAGAGAGACACTGAAGTGGTGTTGGTTTTTTCTAGTTTCTGATTAGTCGCTCTCCACACAAGAAATGTTGTTCCTCCTCGTTTCCCGAAAGCATGCATTGAAGAGCATAGGAACCTCACTTTCTCTTCTCTAACTAGCAAAGTTTGAGTCTTTATCTTTCATACTTACAATAATCACGCTCTTAACTCTTCTTTCTGCTTGAAAGATTTTACATTTTGAGCTTCTGGGTTGTTCTTATAGTGGAAAAGAAAGAAGATCCAAATTTTGGTTTTGGCTCTAGACATCTCAGTAAAGAGAAAAAAAAAAGTTAGGTTCTGTTTTGTGTTTTTGTCGTGAAGATAATCAGATGATGATGAATTGTGGAGCAATGACTGCTACTACCCCTTCTTCTACGTCTTGGTCTGCTTCACACAACTCCAAACTCCCCATGTAAGTACAATTCTCGACTTGTGTTTTTCTTTGGTTCTGAACTTTGGTGAGAATTTTGAATTGTGGGTTGTGTAGAATTCTGGTTTTTATCAACTGGGGTAGTATTATTTGATGTGAAAGTTGATGGTTTGATGTGTTTTATTGTTTGTTGTTCTCATAGGTTGTTGCCTAGGGCTAATTGTACCACTCGAAGGATGTGTTGTGTCTCTGGTGTTCATGTAGACGCTTGTGTTAGTTCTAATGTCTCAAGAAATTATGTAGTAGCTAAAGATTCATTGGGTTGGTCTGGAACATCACCTTCTTTATATTCTAAGCAGCCAATCAACAGATTTTCGTTGCCTTTGAGAGCATTAGTGACGTCTACGCCTCAAGACGTTCCAACTGCATCTCTTATCGGTGATGAAAAGGTAGGAGTTTTGTTGCTTAATCTTGGTGGTCCAGAGACTCTTGAAGATGTGCAGCCTTTCCTTTTTAATCTGTTCGCTGACCCGGTAAGAGAATCTTGCTTTTGCATCTGATTTGAGACCTCAATTGTACATAAATATTTTGATTGAGGAATGGAATGGATGTTGTAGCATTTTAGGACAAATGGATGTATCTTTACGCACTTGAGTTTTGGACTGTTGGTTATTCTATGAATGATTGAGTCAGAGAAGCTGCTACCTCTCTTCATTTTATTGATACAGAGTACATCTTGTACGAGTACCAACCAGTTGAGATTATTATGAAACTTTGTTATGTTGTCATTTTCATCAATGATTCTCAACCAGATGTTATTCTAGCCATCTTATCTTTCTGATATAACAGGACATTATACGGCTGCCAAGGTTGTTTCGATTTCTTCAAAAGCCCTTGGCCCAATTCATATCTGTTGTGAGGGCACCGAAGAGCAAAGAAGGCTATGCTTCAATTGGTGGTGGCTCTCCTCTGCGGCAGATAACTGATGCACAGGCATGATTTTGTTTTTCTTTTTCAGATTAGCTTGCATTTTCGTAGTAGCTTAGATTTGTTCTTCCCGCATCTGGAGCTTTAAAGAAATTGAGCAGAATCGGAATACAGTAGTCGCTGGGAAGTCATTGCTATGCTATGGGCTACATACATGCCTTCAAGCATTTTGCTTTAAAACTGGTTCTTGTTTTAACTGTCCGATCTTGCCTATTTTCTCTTTCAGGCTGAAGAATTGAGGAAATCCTTGTGGGAAAAGCAAGTCCCAGCAAAGGTGTATGTTGGTATGCGCTACTGGCACCCATTCACTGAAGAAGCGATTGAACAGGTACTCCGTTTGGCTTCAGTTTAGTTACTAATTCTTTTCCTGATTATGTTCTTAACACACCATACTATAATGAATAAGCTTCTGATATTGAACTGTTAGAAGGGTCTGAGTCATTTTTGCATAATCTCTAAGGATTTGTAGTAATTTCTCCACTCAAACAAATCTGCTTGGCTGTTTCTTACCATTGAAAATAATGGCATTCCCTAATATTTAGATTTGGTTGCTTGCATGTCTATCACTTACTTTAGGTAGTTATTTGGATGTGACTGCACTATATAATTAAACCTTTCAGGTTTTTTTTCTCTTTTTGCATTGATTGATTATCTGGTAATCGGTGGTTATAATGCTAGTAACATGGCAATAAAAGCTTTTGATTGTTGTTACCTGTATTCTTCGTTAGCTGATAGATGGGTTATGAATGACGATGTTGTGGTTTGTTTTTATCTGTTTTGTAGATAAAAAGAGATGGAATCACAAAGCTGGTTGTCCTTCCGCTTTACCCACAGTTTTCAATATCAACTAGTGGTTCAAGCCTTCGACTCTTGGAGAGCATATTCCGGTGATTAAAAAGCTCATGCTCTATCCCTTTGTGATGCTCCAACAACATAATCTAATTTTGATGCTTTCTGATGGTCAACCAGGGAAGATGAATATCTAGTAAACATGCAGCACACAGTGATTCCTTCTTGGTACCAGCGTGAAGGATACATCAAAGCTATGGCAAATTTAATTGAAAAGGAATTACAAAAATTTGACCGTCCTGAACAGGTATTACCTTGTTGAACACTTTTGCAGGATTGTGTTTGTCAAATTTAATGTCATGGTTCCTTATTGATCTCTCTTAGCTAAAAGTAAAGCTAGGAGCTAGCCAAGTACATGTGGATTTGTTTATGTGTGTGTATTGGTTTATATCACAACATTTTAATCCCTTTCTTGTTGCTTTAAGTACCTTTTGTCTACCTTTGCATTTAAAATTTAAGCTCAATTTGAGAATGTGCATTATAGGTTGTGATCTTTTTTAGTGCACATGGTGTGCCACTTGCATATGTGGAAGAGGCTGGTGATCCGTACAAGGCAGAAATGGAGGAATGCGTGGATTTGATAATGGAGGAATTAGAAAATAGAAAGATCATAAATTCATACACTCTTGCTTATCAGGTACTTCTGAGTTTCTTCTTGATGTTATCTGAGTCGAAGTTAGTGTGTTTTGATTCACAAATTATCGATAACAACAAATGACTATCTGGCTTACATAAGATGCATGAATTAAAAATCTTGGCCATGGTGGAGAGAAGTATAAACTCCATTTTTAAAACTATCGTATCTTCCTTTTGAAAACCTCATTCAGAAATGAATAAAGAATTTTTTTCTTAAAAAAAAGAGGGGGAAAGAGGTGCTAACAATTTTCTTTACTTTGCCTGTGAGCTGCCGGAGACTGTTGCTTCACATGAGAAGAATCCTAGGTTGAGAAAACTGAATATTTGGCAAGAACACTGAAATTGTTCTGATTGCTGGGCAAGCTGACTTTCTAGAAGCAAGTTCATATTGCTAATATCCATTAGAGTCTACAAAATGGTCCAGAAACATGGTTGTTCCTATTTTGAAACTTATACCCAAGGTGCAGTGCTGGAGAGAGCATATAGCGTACTGGCTTTTGAAAAAGAGGTGGTAGACACTTGGAAACTAGAAAGTGAAAGGAGTAGGCAAATGAAAATTTTAACCAAGTCACAGTTCTGGCCTAGTGTTCGAGTATAAAAGTTGATGAACTTTGCTATTGAACAAGATATAGAACAAAAAAAAAAGGCATCGTCTTATGATAGCATCTTTTATAATTCTGGGTAGAATGAATAAAAGTTAGAAACACAGAGTCGAAATCAAAATAATGATTAACCTTACACCCAAAGTAAATAAAATATGGTAATAATCTGAAGAGAGATATCAGTGGAGATATTCACATTTGTGAGCACCCTAGTGGAAATAAGCCCCCATAGTAGATATAATGGCCCTTTTTGTGTTCTACACGAATGTCTGTACCATTTTGAGAGGTTTTTGCTTGCATATTGTAATAGCTTAATACTGAAGAGTTGAATGACCTTCCAAACAACAGCATCTCTCTTTCGCCAACATGTAGAGGCAATGCATTCCACAATGGAAGATTGATGCTGTATTCCTTTGACCACAGAGAATTCTCAGGGTCCTTCAAAATCCAAATATCCATAATAGAAGTCTTACCACCGTGCACATGTGTTAGGCTCAATTGATCCTTGAAACCTACTAGAGAAACATAATTACCAGAAGAATATGAACATTCTAAGGGTTCATCAATTATCAAGAAATCTTCTTTCATAATATTTAGTGAGATTATCCTTTCCTGGCCATAGTGATCAGGTTTCATCCACCAATAAACTGCTCCATCAACATTTTCTACAACATCCATAAACCAGGGATATGAATGAGGAAACCACGCAGGGACCCACCTCCAGGAATTGGAACCAGATTTGCGATTATTCCTAATATCATATATCCAGATCGAAGTATGCAAAACTAAATCATCTTCTTCATAACGAATGTAGATTAAGTGAAGGAACATGTCCTCGCTGGCAGAAGGAATATATGTTAGAGCCAAGCATTCAGTCCTGATACTATTACCTCAAGGCTTAGGCAACTTGACTAGTTCATGGGTGTCTGGGTTACATACAAAAGTATCCCCTTTCCCTCTTCTAAGACAAACAATTCATAACCAGAAGGAATTACCCTGACATCATCATAACCTTTCAAAGATAACTCCCAACTTATCACGAATCCTACTGTTACCATCCATCGTTATTAAACTGTGAGCTTCCTTAACAGTAGACCTCTCAGGAAACCATTCATAGTAAAGGTTCATGCAAATAGTGGGGCTTACTCGAGGAGATTGATCATAGCATATCAAGAGAGGAAGGTTCTCTTTCCAGTACTTGTCATGATATGCTTTCACAAACTTGGGTGTCAAGCATCAAATTGTGCCATTGTTTTGATATGCACCTGAACCTGCAAAGAGACTTTGAGGGAAGTCTTAAAAGTTTGTCAACGACCATATCATTAGGAAGATTATCCTTGTTGGTCCTATCCATTTTAGCAGCTTTCATGTTATAGTTTTGTGTGGTATCAAAGCAGAAAAAGGCCAAGACAAAAAAGGAAAAAAAAAGTGAAAGGTTTGGGTTTGATTAGAAGAAAGAAAGGGAATAAGATGGTAATCAAATGAGTTCCTGTTAACTGATATTTTTATTCTGGAGGCTATGTTAAGGATTGCAAATAAAGAAAAAATAGTTAGGGTTCCTTAAGTTTAGTAGGGTTTGTTTACTAAAGAAGAAATTTAAGTGTCCTTGTGTCTGGGTTTTGGTAGACGTTTTTGAAAAGAACTATATTAAAAGAAATTTTAACTAATATTATCTAAATATTATCAGTTCTCTTTAACTGAAAAATACTATCGGGTGCATTAACATAATGTCAGATTAAAACAAGTGTAAGAATTGTCTTAAAAAAGGAAAAGAAAAAATGGAAGAAGCACAAGTAATTATTTTGTGGACATTTTTGGTTTGCTTAAGATCTCTATACCCGATAATGATATTGATTGTTTTGTTTGAAATTGGATATACTAGAACTGCTAAAACAAAGTTCTATTTTTTATATTTTTTGAGAAAGATCTCTATGATATGATAAATTTTGATGCAAGGGCACAAATATTTAGCACTTAGGGTTTCTTTTTCCTTATATTTTTCCATGCTATATGTTACTTCTTTTTGCATGAAAATTTCACAGCAAGTCACTTGATGGTCTGGATATTCTAACAGAGCAGAGTTGGACCTGTGGAATGGTTGAAACCGTATACTGACGAGACAATCATTGAGCTTGGGAAGAAAGGGGTGAAACATCTTTTGGCTGTTCCAATTAGGTAATTAATTTTGCTATCATCAGCTTAAGCCAGTGATTTTACTGGATTTTTTTTCTCCAAGTTGGTTCATTGCTCACTTGATGTTTTAATTTATGCATTGAAGTTCTCAGAATTTTGATCTCTGATTTGCAGCTTTGTTAGTGAGCATATTGAAACTTTGGAAGAAATTGATGTCGAGTACAAAGAGTTGGCTCTCAAGTCTGGTATAGAAAAATGGGGACGTGTTCCTGCACTAGGATGTGAACCAACCTTCATTTCAGATTTGGCAGATGCAGTGATTGAGAGTCTTCCATATGTAGGAGCTATGGCAGTCTCAAATCTTGAAGCTCGACAGGTACCCTTAGTAATTTTCTCAACAATTTAGAAGCGAAATAAGGTGCTTGAAGTTTGCTGTTTATGGATACCAGCATGTAACGTCTCAATTCCAGTGAAACTTTTTATCTACAAGACTGTTCTATGCCTGTTTTAGTGTTAGTGTCTGTTTTATTTGTGTGTGTGCATGCAACTGCAAGTGCACTTGTGCTCTCCCCTATCTGAGTAGACAATTGTGTTTATTTAGATGAAGTAAACTTCAGAGATTCTCCATCATATTAACTATAGTTGCCTATACCAAGTTAAACATGAACCTGTGCTATTCAGTTTTGTTTTTCTAAATATGTTTTCACCAAAATTGTTCTCATTGCTATGTATCATAGCCTGCAACAGTGTGGTTTCACCTTCCCAGTCCTTACCCCATCCTATTCCTGCTTGCATCTCCAAAATAGCTGAGTCTCATGACAGGTTGGGGCCTTTTCTGATTTTCAAATTTTTGCTTCCTCAGCAACGCATTAAATTAAGCAGAATGGCATATAATCACTGTGATGACTATGTGGAATTCGTTGAATGTTCATATTTTGCTCCTTTTCTCATTGAATTTGGAAACTAGCTCTGGGAAGAACATAGGCAACTCAAAATGTTATTCTCTCCTCCAATATTTAAGATGAAAGCATGCTAGGATGCTTGTTGTCTCCTACTCTGTTTCTGTGCTGATGAGCTGCATAAATTTTTACCACCAACTTTTGTCTCATTATTGGTTTGGGAATTTCTGCAGTCTTTAGTTCCGCTTGGTAGTGTAGAGGAGCTACTAGCAGTATACGATTCGAAACGAAGGGAGCTACCACCACCTGTGATGGTATGGGAATGGGGTTGGACAAGAAGTGCAGAAACCTGGAACGGACGAGCAGCTATGCTGGCAGTTCTCGTTCTATTGGTTCTCGAAGTCACTACCGGGCAGGGGTTTTTGCACCAATGGGGCATATTGCCATTACATTGAACAACAGTGCACAAGACCTTTCCCTACCTCTCTCAAACGAAATATGCCAGGTGTAAATTTTGTCACTGAATCCACATGCTTAATTCCTTGTGCGTCATATATGCATTATTCATATATATGCTACATCGAACGGTATGGCACTACTCTCTAGGGCTATAACTGGTTGGATTTGGGTTATTAGCATAGTTGCTGGCTGCGTAGCCCTTCATTGGGTGAAAGGGAAAAAATAATTGTATTATAGATGCCCTATTATTTGTCTCCTCACAGAATGTTCTTTGATTTATGGTTATAAAGTTTTCTTCTGTATTATCTACATGTAAACTTTAAACCACTGCTCATTAAAGCACTGGGAAGAGTGAAGACAGCTTTACTTGTAAGCTGTGAACTCTTTTTTTTTTTTCCCTTGACAGTTAAAGAGTATGGTCGGACACATCGAATATAGCTGTGAGCCTGTGACCTCTCTCTTGTAATGCTTCTTCATGTCTTTAAAGTCAATGCTACGTAACGTCAGGGTGTTTTGCTCAGTTGCTCCAATACAAGATAATAGCATTATTCATGAAAATTCATTGCAAATTGCATTTTCAAATGAGAATGATATCTTCTATCTTATGATCCATACAACTAAACAAACCATCCATTTCTCGCAGATGTGAAGTCCATAGGGGAAATCAATGACGAGTTACGTGAACAATGATCCACGTTAGAACACGAGAAGTTTCATGTTCACAAATCTGTAGGTTTATGCAGCAGTTATTACCTAATGTATTACACATGAATAGTAAAAAACCAAGCTTCGCATTGCTGATGAATTTATGCAATAATTAAACAAAGACCATACCGCTCAACTGATTTGAAACTCTCCACTTGCATGAACCTCCTTGACCCTCTTGTCATATTCGTCTTCCTCGTCTTCCTCGTCATAGTCCTCTTCTACCTCTGTGTCGTCGTCCCAACCAAAACCGTTGACACGCGGGGATGATGGAGGTGGCTGTCTTGCCTCGGCCAAAAGTTTCAGGATCTCGTCCTCGCTTTGAAGAGAGAAGCTTGGGTTATCTCTCTGGTAATAGATGACTTGTGATGACTCGTTCAGTTCCTTTGGCAAGTTCTTTAAGAACCATGGGTGGCTTTTGATTTCTGTGAGTGAAATTCTCTGTAACAATACCAAACAATGTTCAGATACGCATTTACGGTTACTTGGTACAAAATCAAGCCATTAGAGAATTATACCCTGAAAGGGTTTGCAACGAAAATGCGAGATAGCAGGTGTCTGCAAGACTGAGATACATGAACATTGTCTGGGATTTTGTAGTTGGCAGCCTTTATTTTCTGCAGAAGAAGCACAACTAGGCAAAAAAGATTAATAATAACTCATGGATTCTTCCAAAACCAAAGATGCTAGAGATGTTCACCTGAATTATTTTCTTAGAATTTCTAGGGTCATCTTGGTCTTCAAATGGGTATGCCCCCACCAGCATCACATAAAGAGTAACTCCACATGACCAAACATCTGCCATCTGAACCAGAGAAAAAAAGAAAAAAAAAAAAAAAAACTTTCAAGACTTAAAGGTATATAACAAAATTGGTGATGGCCCCAAGAACCAGGGATGGAGAAATGCAATGCAGAAAAGAAAAACTAGTGACTAAAATCACTGTTATAGCAAAAACATTTATGTTATTCTAGATCTTTTCAGAAAATAACAATTAGCCAAAATTTGAAACTGATATAAGAACTGGTGCAAGTAATTCAAGTCCCAACATTTTCTGATATCGTTCTTAACATTTTCTTCATCTCTAATTTGAGCTTTCTATGATCTACATCTCATTATTTTTGGGCATTAATCTGATGGAAAAGGTTAATTAAGAAGCTGAACTGACAAAACACTTTGCTATTCATTGCTAGCATCTAATTAGAACCATATTGGTCAACACTTAAACAAATCCAAACCGTAAGCAACCCTTCAGGATCTGCCAAAACCAAAATTAAAAACAAGATGAAACATGGACCTGAAGTGTCTACAGAGCCAATTGTAATCTAGTGTGTGATAAAAGATAACAAGCCATATAAAACAAGAAAATAGGATATGATAAAATCTGTTATTGGCCTTGCATGTGCAATCAAGCTTATCCTCTTCATAATATATTCAGGAAAATAAAAAATGTCCACCAGAAAGTGAACAAAAATGCATCACTTCTCCTACTCACTCTCTTGAACATTAAAGAAATGCATTCACATTGGTCCCAATCAGCACCTACCTCCTTTTTTATGGTTGCAAATTGAAAAACAAGATTAGATCATTCAAGATAGTGCTGGCTTCACTAGTGATGCACAGCAAAAGTGCAGATGTGGACTAGATAGTGGGTTTTGCTAAAGCTAGAATGAGGCCAATTCCTTTTGGAGCTTATGTTCTACGGTGACTAGATATTCAATTTGACAGAGTAAAAAATGGACAAGAAAAGCAAACTCACCTTTCCGTCGTACTCTTTCTGAGATAGAACTTCAGGTGCGATGTATGCCGGCGTTCCTACGGTTGTTTTTGGCTTTGAATGCAGTAACGAGGACTAAACCAATAAGAAACCAAAAATGTTAACAACATTAAGTGAAAACTCTGAAGCTGATCAACAAATTAGCTAATCTAGTGTGATTTAGCTACTTACAAACCTTAGAGTAACCGAAATCACAGATTTTCAAGAGAGGCTCAGGGCTTCCATCTAGCAGAGTGTTTGTCAGTTTCAAATCTCTATGGCAGATTTTCTACAAAGAAATAGAAATAAACACATTCAGCAATTGTAGTAATTTCTTGTAATTATGCAGAAAAGCTGAGATTTATCATACTTATAGATAACTCTGAGATATGATTATACCATGTTGTGACAATAATTAACCCCAGAGATCAGCTGCTGAAAGAAATATCTAGCCTGAAAAATCAGAACAAAAAGAAAGAGCACACTTGATTGCTACTAAATAATTGCAATTAATCAATTAAATCAAAAGTAATGAGAGAGAGAGATTTAACCTCATCTTCCTTGAATCTACGAGCATTGCGGATTCTTTCATAGAGTTCTCCACCAGCTGCATACTCCATCACAATTCCCAAATGAGTTGGGGTCAAAACCAACTGCAAAAAAATTCAATTCCTTTCCTTAACAACCCAACAAAATCAACAACTGTGTTCATAGAAATTGTAAGATTGAACCCTATTTCAAATACTCACCTCCTTGAACCTAATTACATTAGGATGTCTTAATGATCTGTGATTTATAATCTCCCTTCCCACATTCTTATCTATCTGTAACATCAAGAACCAAAAAATTCTCATTTCATCTTTGGTATCTTACAAGACAAACAAAGAACCAACAACTTAGGTGTATCGTGACAAAACTTTTTAAGGATACCCCATATGACAAAACACAAACTTTCTCTGGAAAAAAACTGATCTTCTCAGGAACCAAACAGAAAAAGGGGGAAAAAAAAATTGACAATAAATTACCTTATGACCTCTTTCTATGTATTTCATGGCAACAAGTTCTTTGGTTTCTTTGTGCCTCAAAAGCCTTGCCACCCCAAAACTTCCAGCTCCTAAATCCTTCACCAACTCATATTTCTCCATCTTTTTCTTTCTCGCTCAGTATGCAATATATGCCTTCTTGCTTTTGCTCAACAAATGTTATGCAACTCTCTGCAAGTATCCACGTACAGATTTTTACATGCAAAAATCTCTTCTCTTTCTTTTCTCTTTATAGCCCTCTGCTCATCGTTTCTTGGTTTCAGTCATGCGTGTGTGATTTTCTTTAAACTTTTGTACAAATATATTATAATAACGCATGAAAATTGTTTTATTTTTTTAATCTCTACCGTGTGTGACAGTTGTTTGTCCATAGACAATGATTTTCTCCGACATTGACCTCATGTGTGCGAGTATATATATATATATATATATGTTCCAACCAGATGCTATATATTGAATTTGGTTCCATTTTTTTCATGAAATCATATATAAATAAGCTATCTACATCAAAAGTATCAAATTTATAAAACATTTACTTCACATTATTTGAGTCAGTCTAGCTGTCTAGCTTTTTTGTTCCTAATAAAAACATAAATACTTTACTTCATGCTTGCTGCACCAGCAAATCACATAAACTTCGTTTTGTTAATCTCTACCGTGTGTGACAGTTGTTTGTCCATATATAATGATTTTCTCATTATATTATTTAGCAAAAAATAGCATTGCTCAAGATTCCCCTTATCCTTACACACCAGAACAAAATGATTGTGCTGAAAAAAAGCATAGAGACATCACTGAAACTGACCGAGCATTGCTTCATCATGCATCAATCCCATTACACTTTTAGGATCATGCCTTTTCTATTGATGTCTACTGTGTCAATCGTCTTCCTGCCCAGTTACTTAATCATAAATCTCCTTTAAGAAGTTCTTTTATAGAAAATTCTAGATTGAAAAGGAATTACAAAAATTTGACCATCCTGAAGAGGTATTACCTTGTTGAACACTTTTGCAGGATTGTGTTTGTCAAATTTAATTTCATGGTTCCTTATTGATCTCTCTCATCTATAAGTAAAGCTAGGAGCCAGCCAAGTACATGTGGATGTGTTTATGTGTGTGTATTGGTTTATATCACAACATTTTAATCCCTTTCTTGTTGCTTTAAGTACCTTTTGTCTACCTTTGCATTTGAAATTTAAGCTCAATTTGAGAATGTGCATTACAGGTTGTGATCTTTTTTAGTACCTGTGAGAGCTGCCGGAGATTGTTGCTTCACATGAGAAGAATCCTAGGTTGAGGAAACCGAATATTTGGCAGGAACACTAAAATTGTTCTGATTGCTGGACAAGTTGACTTTCTAGAAGCAATTTCATATATGCTGGAGAGAGCATATAGCGTACTGGCTTTTGAATAAAGAGGAGTTGGCAAATGAAAATTTTTACCGAGTCACACTTCTGGCCTAGTGTTCGAGTATAAAAGTTGATGAACTTTGCTATTGAACAAGATATAGAATAAAAAACAGAGGCTTTGACTCATGATAGCATCTTCTATAATTGTGGGTAGGATGAATAAAAATTAGAAACACGGAGTAGAAATCAAAATAATGATTAAACATACATTCAAAGCAAATAAAATATGGTAATAATCTGAAGACAGATATCAGTGGAGATATTCACATGTGAGCACCCAAGTGGAAATAAGCCCTTGTAATAGATATAATGGCCCTTTTGTGTTCTACACGAACATCTGTGCCATTTTGAGAGGTTTTTGCTTAACACTGAAGAGTCGAAAGACCTTCCAAACAACAGCATCTCTCTTTCGCCAACATGTAGAGGCAATGCGTTCCACAATGGAAGATTGATGGTGTATTTCTTTGACCATGAAGAATTCTCGGGTTCCTTCAAAATCCAAATATGCATAATAGAAGTCTTACCACCGTGCACATGTGTTAGACTCAATTGACCTTTGAAACCTACTAAAGAAACGTACTTACCAGAAGAATATGAACCGTTCGAAATATGCCTCTGAAGCTGCTATGTTACAGCTGCATTGATTAAGTCCAGTGGTAATGCCAAGTAAGCTTTGACATGTCAGTAAGGATGTTGCTGATCTTAAGGCTCAAACTGCTGAAGACTTGTTCTTCCACTAAAGAACTATTTTCTAGGATTAGTGGCAGGATGTTGCTGCATGATCTTTTGCATTTTCTGTTCAATTAGTGGTAGTTGTGTTCATGGACCATGATCATCATATTTTTAGGAATTTGGTTAAGTTTTTGGTGTATTTAAATCATTTTAATCAATGAAATATGTGACTACTTTCTCCAAATATCTACAATAACATTCTAAGGGTTCATCTATTATCAAGAAATCTTCTTTCATAATATTTAGTGAGATTATCCTTTCCTGGCCGTAGTGATCCATCAACATTTTCTACAACATCCATTAACCATGGATATGAATGAGGAAACCGAGCAGGGACCCACCTCCAGGAATTGAAGCCAGGTTTGCCATTATTCCTAATATCATATATCCAGCACGAAGTATGCAAAACCAAATCTTCTTCTTCATAACGTACGAATATGGATCAAGTGAAGTAACTTGTCCTTGCTGGCGGACGGAATATATGCTAGAGCTAAGCATTCGGTCCTGACACTATTACCACAAGGCTTAGGCAACTTGACTGGTTCATGGGTGTTAGGGTTACACACAAAAATATCCCCCTTCCCTCTTCTAAGACAAACCAATTCATGGCCAGAAGGAATTACACTGACATCACCATAACCTTCCAAAGATAACTCCAACTATCACGAATCCTACTGTTACCATCCATCATTATTAAACTGTGAGTTTCTTTCACAGTAGACTTCTAAAGGTTCACGCAAATAGTTGGGCTTACTCGAGGAGATTGATCATAGCATATCAAGAGACGAAGGTCCTCTTTCCAGTACTTGTCATGATATGCTTTCACAAACTTGATTTCAAGCATCAAATTGCGCCATTGTTTTGATATGCACCTGAACCTGCAAAGAGACTTTGAGGGAAGTCTTAAAACTATGTGGAATTTCTTGAATGTTCATATTTTGTTCCTTTTCTCATTGAATTTGGAAACCAGCTCTGTGAAGAACATAGGCAACTAAAAATGTTGTTTTCTCCTCCAATATTTAAGATGAAAGTTTGCTAGGATGCTTGTTGTCTCCTACTCTGTTTCTGTGCTGATGAGCTGGATAAATTTTTACCACCAACTTTCGGCTCATTATTGGTTTGGGAATTTCTGCAGTCTTTAGTTCCGCTTGGCAGTGTAGAGAAGCTACTAGCAGTATACGATTCGAAACGAAGGGAGCTACCACCACCTGTGATGGTATGGGAATGGGGTTGGACAGGAAGGCCAGAAACCTGGAACGGACGAGCAGCTATGCTGGCAGTTCTCGTTCTATTGGTTCTCGAAGTCACAACCGGGCAGGGTTTTTGCACCAATGTTCTTTGATTTATGGTTATAAAGTTTTGTTCTATATTATCTACATGTGAACTTTAACCCCCTGCTCAGTAAAGCACTGTGAAGATGAAGACAGCTTTACTTGTAATGCTTCTTCATGTCTTTAAAGTCCATGCTACATAACGTCAGGGTCGAGCCTGGCATGGCTTGCTCATTTGCTCCAATACAAGATAATAGCATTATTCATGAAAATTTATTGCAAATTGCATTTTCAAATGAGAATGATATCTTCTATCTTATGATCCATACAACTAAACAAACCATCCATTTCTCAAAGATGTGAAGTCCGTAGGGGAAACCAATGACGAGTTACATGAAGAATGATACACGTTAGAACACAAGAAGTTTCATGTTCACAAATCTGTAGGCTTATGCAGCAGTTATTACCTAATATATTACACATAAATAGTAAAAAACTAAGGTTCGCATTACTAGTGAATTTATGGAATAATTAAACAAAGACCATACTGCTCAACTGATTTGAAACTCTCCACTTGCATGAACCTCCTTGACCCTCTTGTCATATTCGTCTTCGTCGTCGTCGTCCTCTACTACCTCTGCGTCGATGTCTTCCTCGTCTTCATCTTCATCTACTTCCCAACCAAAACCTTTGACAGACCGGGATGATGGAGGTGGCTGTCTTGCCTCGGCCACAAGTTTCATGATCTCGTCCACAGTTTGAAGAGAGAAGCTTGGGTTATCTCTCTGGTAATAGATGGCTTGCGATGACTCGTTCAGTTCCTTTGGCAAGTTCTTTAAGAACCATGGGTGGCTTTTGATTTCTGTGAGTGAAATTCTCTGCAACGAAACCAAACGATGTTCAGATACACATTTACGGTTACTTGGTACAAAATCAAGCCATTAGAGGATTATACCCTGGAAGGGTTTGCAACGAAAATGCGAGATAGCAGGTGTCTGCAAGACTGAGATACATGAACATAGTCTGGGATTTTGTATTGGACAGCCATTATTTTCTGCAGAAGAAGCACAACAAGGCAAAACTGATTAATAATAACTCATGGATTCTCCCAAAACCAAAGATGCTAGAGATGTTCACCTGAATTGTTTTCCTAAAATTTCTAGGGTCATCTTGGTCTTCAAATGGGTATGCCCCCACCAGCATCACATAAAGAGTAACTCCACATGACCAAACATCTGCCATCTGAACCAGAGAAGAAAAGGCAAAAAAAAAAAAAAAAACTTTTAAGACTTAAAGGTATATAACAAAATTGGTGATGGCCCCAAGAACCAGGGATAGAGAAATGCAACGCAGAAAAGAAAAACTAGTGACTAAAATCACTGTTATAGCAAAAACATTTCTGTTATTCTAGATCTTTTCAGATAATAACAATTAGCCGAAATTTGAAACTGATATAACAACTGGTGCAAGTAATTCAAGTCCCAACATTTTCTGATATCGTCCTTGACATTTTTTTCATCTCTAATTTGAGCTTTCTATTAATCTACATCTCATTATTTTTGGGCATTAATCTGATGGAAAAGGTTAATTAAGAAGCTGAACTGACAAAAACACTTTGCTATTCATCACTAGCATTAATCATTCTAATTAGTACCATATCAGTCAACACTTAAACAAATCCAAACACTTAGCAACCCTTCAAGCTCTGCCAAAACCAAAACTAAAAACAACATGAAACATGGACCTGAAGTGTCTACAAAGCCAATTGGAATCTAGTGTATGATAAAAGATAACAAGCCATATAAAACAAGAAAATAGGATATGATAAAATCTGTCATTGGCCTTGCATGTGCAATCAAGCTTATCCTCTTAATAATGTATTCAGGAAAATAAAAAATGTCTACCAGAAAGTGAACAAAACTGCATCTCTTCTCCTACCCCAAATTAAAAAACCATTTGCCTAATGCTTGAAAATGACAAAAGCCCTAACACAGCGACAAAAGTTTCACTCTCTTGAACATTAAAGAAATGCATTCACATTGGTCCCAATTAGCACTTACCTCTTTTTTTATGGTTGCAAATTGAAAAACAAGATTAGATCATTCAAGATAGTGCTGGATTCACTAGTGATGCACAGCAAAAGTGCAGATGTGGACTAGATAGTGGGTTTTGCTAAAGCTAGAATGAGGCCAATTCCTTTTGGAGCTTATGTTCTATGGTGACTAGATATTCAATTTGACAGAGTAAAAAATGGGGAAAAAAAAATAAAAACAAACAAACTGACCTTTCCGTCATACTCTCTCCGAGAAAGAACTTCAGGTGCGATGTATGCCGGAGTTCCTACGGTTGATTTCGGCCTTGAATGCAGTAACGAGGACTAAACCAATAAGAAACCAAAAATGTTAAAAACATTAAGTAAAAACTCTGAAGCTGATCAACAGATTAGCTAATCAAGTTTGACTTAGCTAGTTACAAACCTTAGAGTAACCAAAATCACAGATTTTCAAGCGAGGCGCAGGGCTTCCATCTAACAGAGTGTTTTCCAGTTTCAAATCTCTATGGCAGATTTGCTACAAAGAAATAGAAATAAACACATTCAGGAATTGTAGCAATTTCTTGTAGTTAGACAGAAAAGCTGAGATTTATCATAATTATAGATAACTCTTGAGATTTGAGTATACCATGTTGTGACAATAATTAACCCCAGAGATCAGCTGCTGAAAGAAATATCTAGCCTGAAAAATCAGAACAAAAAGAAAGAACACACTTGATTACTACTAAATAATTGAAATTAATCAATTAAATCAAAAGAAATGAGAGAGAGATTTAACCTCATCTTCACTGAATCTACCAGCATTGCAGATTCTTTCAAAGAGTTCTCCACCAGCTGCATACTCCATCACAATTGCCAAATGAGTTGGGGTCAAAACCAACTGCAAAAAAATTCAATTCCTTTCCTTAACAACCCAACAAAATTAACAACTGTGTTTATAGAAATTGTAAGATTAAACCCTATTTCAAATATTTACCTCCTTGAACCTAATTATATTAGGATGTCTTAATGATCTGTGATTTATAATCTCCCTTGCCACATTCTCATCTATCTGTAACATCAAGAACCAAAAAAATTCTCATTTCATCTTGGTATCTCACAAGACAAACAAAGAACCAACAACTTAGGTGTATCATGAATATCATCAAACTTTTTACGGATACCCCATATGACAAAACACAAATTTTCTCTGGAAAAAACTGGTTTTCTCAGGAACCAAACAGAAAAAGGAAAAAAAGGAAAAAAAAGTTTTGACAACAAATTACCTTTTGACCTCTTTCTATGTATTTCATGGCAACAAGTTCTTTGGTTTCTTTGTGCCTCAAAAGCCTTGCCACCCCAAAATTTCCAGCTCCTAAATCCTTCACCAACTCATATTTCTCCATCTTGTTCTTTCTCGCTCAGTATGCAATATGCCTTCTGGCTTTTGCTCAACAAATGTTATGCAACTCTCTGCAAGTATCCACGTACAGATTTTTACATGCAAAATCTCTTCTCTTTCTTTTCTCTTTATAGCCCTCCGCTCATCGTTTCTTGGTTTCAGTCATGCCTGTGTGATTTTCTTTAAATCTGTATCAAAATGTAAGGAAATTTCTGTACAAATATATTATAATAATACATGAAAATTGTTTTATTTTTGTAATCTCTACCGTGTGTGACAGTTGTTTGTCCATAGATAATGATTTTCTCCATTGACCTCATTGGATTGGTCATTGGTCTAGCCACCAAATATAATATCTTTTTTTTTTTAAAACAAGGACATTTTCTTTTTCCTAAAAACAAAAATTGAACTTTTCTATTATAAGACGAATCCCTTCTCGTTCGAGTCTTAAACAAATTATTTATTTTCAAATTAATATATTCATTTTTTTTTTTTGGCTATCTCTTCTTTAATTTGGATGTGAAATATTAATACAATAAAAAAAAAAAAAAAGGATTGCAGGTTAAACAAATGTCAAATATTAGACAAGTGCTATATTTAAGCCATATCCAATCTATAAGTCTAATTTTACTTTTATTTGGTAAATAATTTTGTTTAGTGTTAGATAATTCAAATTAAAAAAAAAACTTATTTAGTAAATGTATTAATTTAAGTATGAATGATTTGTTTAACTCTCAAAAAGAAATGTTTAGTTTAAAGATATATGCAAAACTTATCAAGAAAATACATAATTCGAAAAGAAATGATGCGTAAAATATATATGTATATGTGTGTGAGTGTATATATACATATGTTCTAACTATAAGTTATATATCGAATTACGTTCCATTTTTTTCCATCAAATCATATATAAATAAGCTATCTACATCAAAATTATCAAATTTATAAAACATTTACTTCACATTGTTTTTCATGTTATACATTAGATTTAGAAAATTCGATTCATTTTAATAAATACATTTTTTAAGTGTGAATTGATAAGGATAAGAATTTGCTATTGTATATATAAGGATACGAGTTGGATATTATAGATATTTCGATAATCTACTTTAACCGAAACTCTATTTCTAGAACTCTATTTAAAGAGTTTACCGCAATACAAAATTTGTGTGATAGCCTTGCAATCAATTCTTAATTTCTTCATGGTATTAGAGCAAATTTAGGCTCAACAACCAAAAGTATACCCTCTCTCTTTTTAAGTTGCTATTGCAAATTTTCTTTTCTTTTCACCGGACCCGCCGCTACCCATCCTTATCCTGCCATATACTCTTGCTCCCATACACCGCCTTTCATCACAACCACTACTACCCACCCTTATCAGCTTTATGTCGAGAATATATATCGCCTAAACTCTTGAGTTCACGAACCCAAGCTACTCGTCTAAATTTGCTTGTGTCTTCTTCTTGGCTTGGTACTATTCACTTTCTTCTTCCTCCAAGTAGTCTTGATCTTCTACACACAGGTATTGCCACTATCCATATATATACATATATATAAAACTCTTCCAACTAAACCATGACATCTTCCTCTTCCTCCAAATCCACCGACCTTCGTCTATAAACACCCAACCATGTCATCACACAAATTACTTTTCTTTCCCATATTCAACATCATTTTCTACTAAGCTCAACTCTATAAATTACCTTCTTTGACTCACCCAAATCACACCATTCTTCAAGGCTATAGAGTCATGAATCATGTTGATGGTTTTGAATTTTCACCACCTACCCAAATTAATGGAGCTCCTAATCCAATTTATCAAGATTGATTTGTTAAAGACCGACTAGTGCTAAACCGAATAATTACTTCTCTCTCCGAATGAGTTATATCATAAGTGGTTAGTGTAACCTTTACCCGTGAAGCATGGCAAAAATTGGCCACTACCTTCGCTTCTAGATCTAGGACTCATGTTCGTTAGTTAAAATCCCATCTTCACCAATTGGAATGCAAAAATGAGGATATTATTACCTATATGCGAGCATGTCAAGCACAACTCCGATTAACTTGTATCTCTTCAAATCCAGTCATGGAAGTTGATCGTGTTGATGCTATTTTACTTGGTCTTAAACCTACTTACGGACCTTTCACCCACAACATTGAAGCTCGGCTTCAATCAATAAGCTTTGATAATTTGTTCGACTTATCGTTAAGTGAAGAAATACAATTAAAAGAGAGAGAGATCTCTTCCATCTAAAATCTTTCCCACTCGTCATTATACCCAATGGTAGTCTTTTAATTCTCATGGAAGAGGATAATGGATGGGGCGTGGTCGCTCCTCCAACCTAGACACCTCTCCCCCTCTCGATCAACTAGTCAATAATAGTAGTCGTTTCCTCCACTCACTCGTCATGATACCAATCGCTACAATTACCATAGGGTTAAGCATCTCAATTCTATTTTTCCCTCTCCCAAATACATAATAAATACTCGTCATCCTCTACTACCCACTCCTACATCTCATCTAGCCTCAACCTAAACCAACCATAAATAGGTCCTTGATATCGAAGCTACGTACCATCTCACCGTTGATCTTGATAATTTAGCCATTCATTTTGAATACTTGGGACCCGAGGAGGTTACAATCGGCAATGATAATACCCTCCCTATTTCTCATATTGGATCCTTTTTTATCTTTACACAAGTTTTCTTATACTTTTGGTCATATTCTTTATATGCCTAAATCCCGTCGAATTTGTTATATGTATCTACTTTTACTCGGACCTAATAATGTCTTTTTGGAATTTTTTTTCCGACTATTTCTTAATTAAGGATATTCGTATAAGAAAATCCACCATAAAGGATCTCCGGACAACGACCTTTACACCATGCCAATTGAGTCTTTGTCATCATCTTTCCCTGTTCAAGCACATTTTTGCAGCCTATCCACATGGCATAGTCATTTAAGTCATAAGTCAATGTGCGCTGTAGCAAAAGTTTTAAGTCGAGTCTAGCTTTTTTGTTCCTAATAAAAACAAATCCTTTATTTCATGCTTTCTGCATTAGCAAAGCACATAAACTTCCTTCTTCTTTTTTTCTATTTCAACTTCTTTAGCACAAGCTTCTTTATAAATGATATATTATGATTTATAAAGACTTTCTCCAATTCCATCTCTAAAAGGTCACAACTATTAATTTGTACTTTATGATCATTACATTAAATATAGTTGAATTTATTTTTTGAAGTACAAATTAGAAGTTTTTAATTTCTTTATCAAATTTCAGCATCTAGTTGAAAAATTCTTCAACAAATCAATCAAAAAATTTTAAAATGAGTGCGGAAGGAGGTGAATTTCAAATTCTCATATCTTACTTAGCAAAAAATGGCATTGCTCAACATTCCTCGTGTCCTTACACACCGAACAAAATAGTTGTGCTTGAAAGAAAGCATAAAAACATCATTGAAATTGGTAGAGCATTGCTTCATCATACATTAATCTCATTACACTTTTGGAATCATACCTTACCGTTGTCTACTATGTCAATCATTTTTCTACCCTATTATTTAATCATAAATCTCCTTATGAAGTTCTTTTGCATGAAATTATAGATTATAATTATTTATATGTTTTTGGTCGCTTCTATTATCCTTGCTTTGCCCATATGCCAAGAATAAATTAAAACCATGTTCCCTTCGTTGTGTTTTTCTTATCTACGATCTGTTACATAAAGGGTATAAGTGCTTAGATATTACATCCTTTAAAATCTATATTTCACGCCATGTTATTTTTTATGAACAAGTCTTTCCTTTCAAAGATGCCAATAGAGGTGCTCACTCTATTTTCAAAAATCCTTCCATAAAACCAAATTCTCCAAACTTGCCCCCATAGGCTTTTACCCTAAAAGGCCCGCATTTATCTCTTTTCCAATTTCTCAAACCATTACACAACAAACATGTGCCTTAACTCACTTCTCCACGGACTTGCCCAACCTAGCTTGTTACCAATCGAACCCCATTTTCCCCTTCAAAACCGACCTCATGGGCTTCTCCCATAAAAAAACCCATCTAACACTACAAGCTCGGTCCCATTAACCTTAAGCCCCTAAATATAGGTCACAATTCCCTCTAGCCGTTTATTCCTTCTCCGTCTTTATCTTCTTCATCAAAATCATTCTCATCTTCTTTTTCCACCATTCTTATCCAACTTAACACCGATCAACCTCTCCAGTTGTGGGTTGACCTCATCATTGACCCATTACTTGATTTGATCAAGCACCAACGACCACCAACACCTCCCTCTTATCTCATACTCACTCGCATCAAAATGGAGCACACTAAACCCAAAACCTTTCTCGCTCTATTTCCACTACCGAACCCACTTCTTTCATAATGGCAAGCACTTAACCTATGTGGTTGCTAGTTATTCATAAGGAAATAAATGCTCTTTTTACCAATGGCACATGGGCTTTAGTGCCCCATTCCCAAGCTCCTAATATTATTAGTTATACTTGAGTATACCGGATCAAGCAACTATTCTATGGTTCTATTGATCGTTACAAAGCATGTTTAGTGTCTTAAAGCTACCATCAATGTCTTGGCCTTGATTATGCCGACACATTCAATCTAATTATGAAGCCCAATCCCTTCCATCTCATCCTCTCCTTGGTAGTCACCCACAATTGGCATGTTCAAGAACTCGGATATCTTAAATGCCTTCTTACATGAGTAGTTGGATACTTCAGTGTATATAAAATAGCCACGGGGTTTTATTCACCCATATCATCCAAACCATGTTTATACTCTCATATGATCTCTCTATAGACTTAAATAGGAACCTAGAATGTGGTATACAAGCCTTACATTTGTATTCTATTAGTCGAGTTTTGTTGGTTCTAAAACTAATACTTCTTTCATGCTCTATCGTTATGGCACGGATACTATTTATTATCTCATCTATGTTGATGATCTCCTTTTAACTAAAAATAATCAAGAACTTATCAAGAAGA